ATATATTATATATATAATATATATAATATATATGTATGTGCAAAAACAGCGTGTGCACATTACATTATACAAAACATAAATATTTACGCTATTTGCGCTGTTTAATAGTAATTTCTACTTACCGTTATGATCGAAAATTCTAATTATAAACAAATCATTACCGTGTTAGACGCGAACTGCAGCAACGCGATAAGAGAATACAAGTTCTCAATATTTTATTTACAGAGAACTAAATGATCGTCTGATGCTTCTGAATGATTTTGTTCAACGTAGTTACGACAGATTCGCGCGTATTCTTTTCACTCGGCTCTTTAGACACACGAGCCTCTCTCAACCAACAACGCAGGATGTTTATTTGACCACCTACGTGCAAGGTCTAAAAATAAAGACCTATCGTCTATGAAAACTTTAAAGCAGGAAACATGAGAAAAAGCAATCTAATCGGATAACGAAATCTGACGAAACATATTGCATTCAATGTTGATGCATTCCGGGTGACGAAACACACAAATATGTAACTCACCGAAGGTAGGAGCAAAGAATTCCCCAGAAACACAGAAGAACATGCGCGAGTTCTATAATCAGCACTGACTTTGTATGCGCGTTGTGTGTTTACGATGACAGGTAAGTTTCACTTCGTAAACATGAGGTAGTTCGATCGTACGGTCGGTCACGTTCACATCGGTCTGCAGAACGAACGCCGGGGCTTGTACGACAGCACGAACCACCACGTGTGAAAAGTGACGATCGTGTTGCTGATGATGAGATCCGATATCTTCATTCTCGTCGATATCTCGATATCTTCATTCGTCGATATCTCGATATCTCTGTTCGCCCAATCTTCCGCCGTTATTATTAACATTTTATCGAATATTCTACAAGTACGAGAGATTGTAAGTACGTCTTTTATTCTTTCAATTATATCATCGAATTTACACACAATGTGCTCTCTAAGGTTTTCTCGGATTGTGTACACATATCGAAAATTTTATAACGTTGTTACTTACCGCTGATTCAATCGAAAGCAAATAAACTTGAGAATTGATTAATATCCTAAGAAGTTACCGAAACAATCCGTTAAGTCAAATAGGTCTAACAAATTGTAATGTGTTAATGTGCCGATGGGAAAATAGAACAATTCCTATTATAAAATTCCAACATACACCAAATGTCCGATCAAATGCCAAACAAAACAAGACACGATTAATTGTACTTTTAGATCGTAGCTCTATTTTTTTCTGCACTTGTTCGTGTGTATGTATAACATTTAGATAAAATAATATATACATAAATATGCACACATTAAAATTCATTAGAAAAAATAACGTTCAAAAACAAAACTTGCAAATAGCTTTGCTATGTGTTTGTCAACGACACACACACACACACACACAGGTCGATGTTATTCATCTGCGTGACTGAGAGGTTGATAACAGAGGTCATCAAATGGGTGTATCTTTGGAAGAAGAGCGACCAATGGGAAATATATTCATTAAATATTCTTATGATATCGCGTGCACATAGGCTACACTTGTCGTTGCTTCTCCCCCACTGTGAGAATAGGAAGAGACGCACATTTCTCTCTCTTTTGAATAAAAGAATCGGAAATTGTTTGTTTTAAATATGCAACGAATTTGCGTGCGAACATAACGTTTATTTATTCGTTGGTATAAATCGAGATTTCAGAGATCTTTCAAAAAGTTTTGAAAGACCGAAAATGTCTTTCTCTCTTATAGTCAAAAGAAGAAACGGAAAAGTTAATTTCAAGAAAATGGCAATTTTAAGAAAGAAATGTGTTTGTTTTCTCTTTTCTCCGTCTCTTTCTTTCTATACATGTATATATGTATACTTGTGAAATGAAATTGTGAAAATTTCGAAATTGTTCTTGCTCCCATTGGCTTATCTTATCACTCTAATTTATGATATTTGAATATTTATAATATTTGAATGTATCTACAAAATATATATTGTACTCATGTATATTGAATGTGTGATTTTATAAAATGTTCATCAATTTTGTATCATGTAAATCACGTTTGTTTTTTTTTTCGCGTATAAAATTTGACGAAAAAAAAACTAGTCTGTCGTAAGTAGCTACATGTAGATTTTTTCTATCTGACTTATTGGGACATATTGTTCGAGAGAAATGCGTGCTTTATACAATTGTCGAGATTCATGAGACAGACGTGCGTTATTTATTGCATCGCTAACATCACCGATAAATATGATCCCGAAGCACTCATGATCTATGACACAATATCACCGTATGAATTTGCAACGCATGCACTCACACTGTAAATAGAAATGTAATGCAACTGTGCAAAATAATTTTCAACAAGAGGTAATAATAGCCAAGCGATAAAAGTACGTGCGAAATGCTCTTAGTACGTTTTATCGGTGTGATAATGCAATGCTAAAAGAGTTCGTAAAAACACATTCACACGTTAGCAAAATTAATTTTGTACACAGATAGATTCTTACATTTATAAGAAATATTCTAAGGAGAGTTCCGTCATTTTTCCGACAGTAAGCGCCAATCGTTTTTTGAGATCTCAATATTACAAACAAACTCAATATAACAACAAACCACAGCTACGTTCGGGTTTTAAGTTGCACCACGCGGAATTGTACGCCGCAATTCCGATAGCTTTGCTCTGCAAAAATAGATCGAACGGAATAATCGGGATTTTATTCTTTTTTGTTTTTTAATACTGTGTTTCTTCGATTTTCAATGCGTTGAATGTCACTTATTATCAATGTTTTAGATTGTCGAGATAAATGTCATTCGATCGCTAACCTTGTTGCTCGGGTATTCGTCAGCAAAACAAAATACAAACGCATCCAGATTCCTTATAGTGTAAAATAAAAGGAATCTTATTACCTGCTGCGTCGGGTGTGCCAATTACCTGTAACAATTAGCCGTATATATTTCTCTCGATGATACTTTATATTGTTCAAACATTAATTCAAAAGTTTTACTCACGATAAGAAATGCCAGCGAGCAAATTATGATCGTATTCGATATGAATTGCAACAGCGCTATGTACGTATAAGAATTTTCCAAGTATATTTATAATAATTTTCTGATGCTTTTCAATAATTGTATTTGTTATGGTTAAATCGCGCTTCTCCTCGCTTGCGTCGGTCAACCAAGCACGTAGAATGTCTATTTGACCACCGACATGTAAGATCTAAAATTAAAAAAACATTACACTAGAATAACATATGTTTACGCTAAATGTGTGTGTGTGTGCGCGCGCGTTTGACGTACCAAAGTTAGGAGAAAGGCGTTCACAGAACCCAGCTGCACATGATGGCATATGCGAGTTGCATGAGTAGTATTAATTTGTACGTTCTTTGTGTACGTTTATTATGTACGTTTTTTATTTTACGCTGAAGGAAAATTCTATTTTGTGAATGTATAGCTAGTCGGACGTGTGTTCGATAATGTCGATATTAGCCACGATGATTAGCGCATTCCGTATGCATACGGCGCTTAGCGTGTGAAGGATGATCATCGCGTTGGCGATTTGCTCGTTGGACAATTTCGCTTTGTACATCCTCTCGTGCATGCTGATCTCGTTGTCAGCGCAATCGTTCCAATCTTCCGTCATCATCGTCAAGCTTTCGATGAATTCTCTACAAACGATAGATCGAGATACGTCTGTTATTGTCGAATTTATCACATAAGAAAAAAAAAAACACTTTTTTATTACTCACCGCTGATTCAACCAAAACGCGATAAACTTGATCGTAACTTTCGCGTGCGCTAAAGAAGCTACTCAGACAATTCATCAAATTGAAAAGATCGTCAAGAGGTACCGGTAGGGAGAGAACTGAACACTTATATAAGTGTAACAATTCAAAATATTCTGTCGAACAGAACACACGAAGTACCCGGCTAAATACCGAACAAAGTGAACAGAACTTCTGTCGTGCGATTGATCGTGCTTTTCCAAATCACTCTATATCTTCTTTTTTTTTTATTCCCGATTTTACACACGCGAATTGTATGTAATAAATGTACATATATTTATAATATTACAGTTTTAACAAAATATAATATATAATTTTGCGATAAAGTAACACGTGTGTGTATCACAGCTATAAATTAAGACTCGACAATTTCATTTAAGAATATACGCGAATGTTACACCTTTGAATTGTTCGCATTGGGGAAATTTCCCTTGTCAAATATTTTCGTACCGTTGTATGTGTGTTCGACCGCATAAGGTGTATTCACTTCTCGTGAACACATCCCTCCGACGAATAATAAGTTTTACCTCAATTTTAATGAAAAGAAGCGGACATAAGTGAGGTCATTGTCTCTTTCCGTGAGGGACGGAGCGGTGTGTCGCGAATTATTCGCTTTAAATATGCAAAAATGTGCGTGCAAACGTAGGTAGGAGGTGACGGTGTATATCCGAGCAAGCTGTGTTTTACGATTCCCCAAAAACATTTTGAAAGTTTAGACTTGAGAGGAATAAGGGAAGTACATACAGGTGTAACATAATATGCAAAAGTAACCATGTGAGCAATGTCACGTGGTTATAACTTTTCTCATATAAAATGCAAATCTCACACTGCTAACTCCGCGAGAAGAAAGCCGAAGACAGATCTATGATTTTTGTTCTTTCCATGCAAAAACACGACACGTTAGATATATATATACATATATTTTTTTTTCTTTCAAAGAAAATAAGCAATTTTACAACAATATGTGTTTAACATATAATTAGCGAAGGCATATTTTTTTGTGGCGTTCTGTACATGCTTCACGACTATTGATTGACAAGTTATGCTTATTGCATTGCCAGTAACACCGACAGATAAGATCCCGAAGCATTCATAATCTATAACAATAGATTTTTTTTTCTGCGTCAGTAAAAACGTCAATTGTTTTATTGATGAAGTAATGCAACTATGGCGTAAAACAAAAATATCGCAACCGAGGCAGTAATTAAGCTTTGTATAAAATATTGAGAATAAAGAGAAATAATTCTGTTGAAAATATATTTTATATAATAATTCTATTAAATATATTTTGAGAAAACGTTATAACACACACACACACACACACACACACACACACACACACACACAGAATCCCAATGCTAGAATTTAAATGTATTTCTCGTGAATCTTACACTTGTAAAAGATTGTAAGGAGAGATCCATCATTTTGCCAGCTGTGAGCATCATTTGCTTTTGTGATCTCATTATTATGAACAGTAAAATACGACTGTCTTTAGGTTTCAAGCTGTACCACGCGCAACTGTACGTCGCAAATCCGATTGCCTGACTCTACGAACATACACGTGTTATTTTCATCTTATCTTATTTTTTCTGCTTCGCAATTATTTAAAATTTAATAAATTATTGTTTTAATATATTTATTCAGTCAATTTTTTACGATGTAATAATTGTCAACCTTGTTATTTAAATATTCTCCGGCGTAGCAGAGCATAAACGCCTCTAAATTCGTTATTATGAGAAACATAACGCATTTCGCTATGTTTACGATGGCATTTGGAGTTCCAATTGTCTGTAAAAAAAAAGATATTAAAATATATATAACAAGACAAGTAGAAAAATCTTTGACAAATTAGAACAAATCTCTGTGTAATACACTTTGTTGTACTTACCATTACGATGAGAAAACCTATTGAACAAATTAACAGTGTGTTCGATGCAAATATGAATAACGTAATGTGTGTAAACAAACTTTCTATGTTTTCCGAAAATTGAATAATCTTTTGATGCTGTACAATAATTTTGCTTGTCGTGGTGGCGATTATTTCTTGATTATTTTCAATATTTTTGGGTGAAAGTTTTGTCAACCAATTTAATAAAAGATCTATTTGGCCACTTGCATGCAACACCTAAAAAAATATCGATATTCGAACAGGATTATCATACACGGTATTGTATGTGTGTGTTACGTGTGTGTGTGCGTACAATTATATACTTGTTTATTATATACGACCGAAACACTCACCAAAGTCACGAGTACAGCATTTACAATGCCAATCACCAAATTACAACAAATCATATGTATGAATTCCACAATTAATATAGATCTGTACACGTTCTGGGTGTTGGTGGTGTAATAAAAATCCATTTTGCTGCCGAAGGGTAGGGCCGTTGTTTTATCGGTCACATCGGCATCGGCAACGATGACACCGAGACAATACGCGACAATGCTCGACGTGTGAAGAACGAGTATTATGTTTGTGATACGATCTGATATTTTTGCCTTGCGTGTCATTAGATGCAGGTCACTGTTCGCGCAATCGCTCCAATCGTTTGCGATCAACTCCAGAGTTTCCATGAATTTTCTGTGGATGGTTACGCGTTTTCCCGATCATACGTGTATATACGCCGTGCGTCGGATTCAAATGCAACACACAATTCTATTCATCGCGTAATATATAATATATATATATATATGTATATGTATATTCGCTTCACTTACTTCTGATTTATCCAAAGCACGATGAGCTTAATGTACGTCTTCCCGTACGCCAAAAAGCTAGACATACAATCTATCAAATTGATAAAATCATCTGGATTGAAGTGCTTTACAAAATAACGACAATGACAGAATTCGACAAACGCTAATGAAACTAGCCAAAACACTCGGCTGATAAAAATGCACGTATTGCTCGACCAAATACCGAAAAAGGGAAGCAGAAAGAACAGTTTGCGATCGATCGTGCTCTTACGAGTCATAATTATTTGCTTTTCTTCGAAGTCGCTTGTGTCCTAGCGCAAGAGCGCGCATAAAAAAAAAAATACAAACGTACAACTGCGATAAATATATGTATGTGTGTATGTGTATACTGTAGATAAAAAATACTTTGTAATAAAGAAAAAGAAGAGCTCTGTCACTCGTTAGAGACAATTCACGGTATACATATATATCATCGGATATTTGCGTGAGGACTGGAGCCATGGGTGGTCATCGAAATAGATACACCTGCGGAGCGGCGATGCGGCGGAAAATATGCTCATAAAATATTTTTATCGCGATGCGTGCAGACCTCAAACACAGTTTGTCGTATTTCTCCTGCAATTTTGATATAAAAGAGAATAGGTAAAATATTCTTCTCTTCAAATATGAGTGACAATGTGTGTATTCCCCAATGTACTCACGAGAAGTGCGCATTAAATATGTAATGATTTCTGTGAAATGTGCACGCCTCTCGCGGAGCTGGACGTTCTTGAGTTTTATTCATTACTATATTAAGTCTCTCGAACATATATCGCTCGATGTTTACATGAAATCAACTAAATAAAAAAGAAATAGAAAAAATTGAGACAAAATTTCTCGCAATCGTCGACAACGCCAAGAGCGACGCAGCGTATCAGAAAAATCGCATTTTTCAATGGTGTATTACTTCGTGTTTTACTAGCATGTGCACTACGTTCGCGCTTTGTATCAAAAATGCAGTTGCAATGTTCAGTTTTATAACTTAAATGTAATTTATTTATATAAATGAAACAATTGTGATGACAACTATTTGTTCTAGAAATCAACAATTCGATTATATTATATCGCTAATAATACTGACAAGTATGATCCCGAAGCATTCATAATCTGGAAGAAAATGATTGATTGTTTCGTGAGAGAGAGAGAGAGCGAGAAGATAATCAATACACATTTTTAATTGTAATATTCTTCAAGAAGAAAAGTTTAAAAGTGCGCAAGATAAAAAAAAGTGTAAATCTTACACTGGTGAATGTTTCTAAGGAGAGATTCGTCATCTTGCCGACTGTGAGTGTTAATTGTTTTTGCGATCTTTTCATAATAAACAACAGAACACGAATATCTTTAGATTTTAAATTATACCACGCACAATTGTACACAGCAACGCCAACTTCTTTGCTCTAAGAAAACAAAATTGATTAAAACGCAACGCCTCTTTTTGTAACGTATTTATAATATACATATTTATAATATACGTATATTTATAATATACATATTTATAATATATTTATAATATACGTATTTATAATATATACATGTTGTATGTTGCTTTAATATCGAGATTATAAATCATGCAATTATTTATACATACGTGTTTAGCGCATATTACTAATACCTTATTGTTCAGATATTCTCCAGCGTAGCAAAACAAAAACGCTTCGAGATTTGTAATAGTGTAAAAGAAAAGAGATCTCAGTACTTCTTCTACAACATTCGGAGTTCCAATTGCCTGAAATATTGTGCAGATACACGATATGTCTTGAATAAAAATATTTTATTTTATATATATATGTAATGTACTATTCATATATAATTATATTAATACACATTATATATATGTAATTATAATTAATTAATAATGATATTAATTAATATATAATGATATATATTATATGTACTTATATGTAACTATTACATTATAATTATTATTACATTAAAATTATTATTATACATATAAAATATTTAAATATATAAAATATATGTTTACGCGTATATAAAAAAATAGGAATTGTTTAGAAAATCACGATGTAACGTCAAATCAATCTAATAAAATTAAAACATTAATAATAATAATAATAATATTAATATTAACATATAATATAAACATAAGAATGACAGTAAAATATTAAGCTACAATGTAATATTTTATAATCTTTTTTTCTTATTTTCTTTGAAAATTTATCTTTATATTAATATTTGTTATAATTATTTGAATAGAATTTATCATATAATTTTTTTATTTTCAACGATTTGTTCTGTAGTTACCGATATGATAAGAAAGCCTAACGAGCAAATCATTAGTGTGTTTGACACAAACTGCATCAATGCAATGTACGTATAAAGACTTTCGACGTGGTTTGAGAAATCGATTATCTTTTGATGTTTTTGAATAATTTTACTCGCATCAACAACAGTCGATTCCCGTCCGCTGTTGTTTTCGTGAGGTGCGAGTTGCATCAACCAGTAATGCAAAATGTCGATTTGGCCACCTACATGTAAGATCTGAAAAAATAGTGAATCTATTTGTATAAAAATTCAAAAACATAGCGTGACATTCTCAGCATGCAAATGTATGCTTGAGCAAAATAGGAAATGCGTTGATGAATATTTAATTTTAACTTCATTCATTCTATCGTGATAAAAAAAAAGTCACGCACTATGCAATCGCTATAAATTGCAATTAGGTCGTCGAATCGTCATTACAATTTCATTTTCAAAAATGTTTATTCAAACACATATTTTCTACATTTTTTACATTACCAAAACCAATAGCAGAACGTTTGTTATACCAGCCGTCCACGCGCAGATAAGCAAGTGCACGAATTCTACGAGTAACACAAGTCTGTAAGTGAGTTGCGTGGTTATGGGAAACGGACTTTCGAACTTGGTGAAAAAAGGTAAATCTGTCGTTTGATCGGTGATGTCGACGTCGGCCAGAACAACGCCCAGGCAATATGCAAAAATTGTTAACGTATGAAGAAGAATGATCATGTTGGTAATGCGATCCGCAACGTTTGCTTTCTCCGTTGTCTTCTGCGTGCCGATATCGCTATTGGCGCAGTCGTTCCAATCTTCTGTCATCATTCTCAAAAGTTGAACAAATTTTCTGTGTTCATCAATATATCCGTGTATACACATCGCTTTAGTTTATTATCTATCTTCAATCCGGATCCGTAATCTCGGATTAATTACACGCTTCGCACTTACCGTTGATTAAACCAAAACACAATACACTTGGTGATCACTTTGATATGCGCCATTGTCAAACAAAAACAGTCCATCAAGTCCGAAAAACTAGCGGATAATAAATTCTTCTGTAAATACTGGTAATGATAGTACACAGAAATTGCCATTGTGACAACCCACAATATTCTGCAGAACAGAACGCACGACGTGCCTGGCCAAATGCCGCACAAGTTAAGCATAACCCTCGCTGTATTATTAATTGTAGTATTGCGAGCCATAATTTCTCAATATCTCTTTGTTTTCTCGCTCGTGTGTGCGCGCAAAATTAAAACTATTATTAGATATATCACTTTCTCTTTTTTACACGAAAGTAAGACGATTGAGTACGACGACGAAGAAAAGTATTTATTTCACAAAAAACAAAGACTTTCTCTGAAATGTTTTCAAGTTGTAACTTCAATGCGCGCTCTTACAGAGCGCATGAAAAATAAAACCTACCGATTCTCCAAGATATCGCGAGAAGATATACAGGCGCCTTCTAGAACGATCAAAGTTTAATACTCATTAAACAAGTGCGTTATATACCGCGCGCTGTGCGCGCGTACATTTGTCATAACTTTCGCAATTTAATGATGTAAAGTTCGAAAAGCGAAGAAACGAAGAAGAAACAGGTGGAATTACTTTTCCCTTTCTCGAACACTCGTATTATCAATCGCAAATTCTCGCTCGCGTACGGGTTTTAAATATGCACAAGGGTGCGTGAGGATAGATATTATGTTCGCTGTGCATATACTCTACAATCAGAAAGTGTGTATTTCTCTTTCTCTCTCTCTCTCTCTTTCTCTTGATCTTCAGAATTTCAGAATTGTGAGAGAGCGAAGAATCAAAAGGAAACAAAGCAAGACGCTATGGAAGATTACATCGCTCGAAATTACAACTTAAGTTGTAATAGCCTACGCGCATCAGCGCGGCAATAATTTCTTCTTTCATAATTCAAGAGTTCCGAGGAAAACGAATATATACGATATTTGTTGCTGTTACAGATATAGAAGTGGACAAAAAACTATTTTATTATATATTAATATTTTTTTTCTATTTGTATTTGACAAGTTGTATACGTATCAATTACATGTGCTTTTTTTAACTAGTGATTTACGGACGTAACTCACGCTTGCTTCGCACATCTAAGATAAAAATAATCGATCCAATATGATATTCATTGCATCGCCAGCAGCACCGACATGTACGATCCCGAAGCATTCATAATCTGGAACGACAATGTCGAGCGCGAAAAGACTTTTTATATTTAAAGATGTTTTATTTAATAAAATCAGGTTTGTACGCTCTACAAATTGTTCTAAAATGATCGCGTGAAGCTTACACTTGTGAAAGAGTTCAAGGAGAGATCCATCATTTTTCCAACGGTGAGCCTCAGTTGTTTCTGCGATCTCAAGATGATAAATAACAAAACACGACTGTCTTTAGGCTGCAAATTGTACCACCCACAGTTATATGCCGCGATACCAACTTCTTTGCTCTATATATAGACATAGAATATAATAAAATATACTATTATAATGTTTATTCCATTCATCTGACAACGGAGAGAGATAATGCGTTTTGATTATTTATTATTTTCGATATTAATTATATTAATTTTACATTATTTTGTTAAAGTAATTATTAATTACGTATAATAATAACTTTATATCACGCTAGCCTTGTTATTTAAATATTCTCCAGCGAAACAAAATATAAACGCTTCGAGATTTGTTATGGTATAAAAGAACGAGGATTTTAATATCTCTTCCATCATATTGGGACTACCGATTGCCTGCAATATTATTCGAAAACGTGTTGTGTGTAAAACGGAATTATTAAATATACAAATATATAAATTTTTTAATATAGTGTACAATATGCGCATAATAAATAATAATTTATCTCTCTTTTCTTCTTGTAAAAACGCTACTTTTAATAAGATATATGTTATTAAATTAAAAAACAAAATTAGCATTTGCCGATACGCGTATGTAAATATTTAAAATGTTACGGTAATTTTATGTGAAAAGAATTCTCTTACCGTTACAATAAGGAAGCCCAGCAAACAAATCATTATAGTGTTCGTCACAAATTGAACTAACGCTATGTGCGTAAACATATTTTCAACATTTTCCGAAAAATCGATGATTTTCTGATGCTTCTGAATGATTTTGCTCGTAGCTATGACAACTGACTCGTGTGCGGTTTTATCTTCGCAGGGCATGGATTGTGACAACCAGTGACACAGAATGTCGATTTGGCCGGCTATGTGCAAAGTCTGAAAATAAAAATTCTATTGTTCGTAACGTTTAGAAAAATTATGATATTTATTTCATTAATAAAATAAATCTGTGAGAGATCAGTGTAAGTATATACAAGATCACTTTTAGTAAACTATCACAATCGCGATATTCTTAATTTACCAACGTCAACAATAAAGCGTTTATTATACCAGCTGCCCAGGCGCTCAGTATCATATGAAAAAATTGCGCCATTAACACGCATCTGTACAATCGTTGTGTCTTTATGCTAAACGGAAGTTCGATCTTGTTCACGAAAGGTAATTCCGTCGTGTGATCGTTGACGTCGACATCCGCCAGGATGATGCCGAAACAGTAGAGAAAAATCGTCACAGTGTGAAGAGTGATAATCGTGTTTGCAATTCGGTCCGATATTTTCGCCTTGCTCGTTATCTTGCGCATACTGATCTCACACGAGGCGCAATCGTTCCAATCTTTCGTTATCATCGCCAAGATTTCGGCAAATTTTCTACGGATGCGAATCGCGTTTTGTTCTCGAGATATAGAGAGAGAATATTATACGCACGATATATAATATAATACGCGCGCCAACATTCGCGTATGCGCGTAGTATCCGACTTACCGCTGATTCAGCCAGAACAGCGCGCATTTGATTATCACTTTGGAAAACGCCAGAAAGCTGGATACGCAGTCCATCAGATCCACAAGTTTCGCCGAATAAACGTGCGTCAGAAAGTAACGGTAGTGGCAGAATAAAATCATTGTCGTCGTAACGATCCAGAACGTTCTGTAGAGCAGAACGTACGACGCGTCTGGCCAAATACCGCACAAAGTGAGCACAAATCTCAACGTGCGATTGAGCGTACTTTTACGAGCCATGGCTCCTTATTTCTCTTTGATCTCGGTCAGACGAGTTTTGCGAGCGAGTTTCTCAAAAGTGTGCGGTATAGAACAGAAAATTGTTGAAAGCCAGATGAGATTTCGCTCGGACTGAAACTGTGTGTGTGTGGTTTTTCAGTCTTGAGGGTATGTATATTTTAAAATATGTTCGTACACGAGAGAAACAAAGAAACTGATAAATTCTGAAAGATTTCACGGACGAACAGAAGCGCGCATCTCTGATACGAGTGTTTAATCGAATTTTCTCATTAAATATTGTTATCGCATGCACGCAGAACGCAGGTGTACTTCTCGCAATTTTTCGCATAGTTGACGCACGAAAAGAAAAAACAAGTATAGCGCGGGGTCAGTCTTTTCTCTCTCTTTCTCTCTCTCTCTTGTGTGCGTAATGGTAATAATAACCGGATATTATCTTACTTAAATATTTGATAGAGGAGGGTGGATGTGGGTATAGTACACGATGTGATCGGTCGTGTCTGCGCAAGTGTCCGAGGAGACTGTCGGAGAAATTTATGTGAAATTTATAATAAAGAGGCAAAAAAGACTCGTGACTATAACTACGCGACTAGAAGCTTGCGTTATTTTGTTCGCAAAATAGAAAAAAAAGAGAGAGAGAGAGAGAGAAAAAGTGTGTACGTGTATATTCTCTTTTTGTAAAAATATTGACACCTATGTATATTTTAAAAATATATAATAAAAAAATATAAAGTGAACAAACTTGTGTAAAAGCATAATATAATAACTTCTCTGTTTCTAATAAAAGACACAGCATAAATATACATTATACTTCACGACTATTGTATCCTTCGAATGACATTTATACGATGTTTATTGCATAGCCAATAATACTGACAAGTACGATCCCGAAGCTTTCATGATCTATAATAAATTATGCGTATTTTGTTTCTATAATTGGAAGTAACGTTGCTTAGATATAAAATTTGATCGTAAAAAAATATTGTAAAAAAACGCTAGCAAAAAATTTAACACTATAGAAAGAAACAAATTTTGTGTAAAAAACAAGTATCTTGGATACTAATGTGTATTTATGTACATGTTATATTTCCTGTAATTACTTTGTATGTATGCGTATGAACCTTACACTTGTAAAAGATTCTAAAGAGAGATCCATTATCTTTCCAACCGTGAGCGTCAATTGTTTCTGTGCTCTCAGTATTACGAATATTAAATTACGACTGTTTTCAGGTTTTAAGTCGTACCACGCGGAGTCATACGCCGCAGTTCCAATAGCTTTGCTCTGCAGAAATAAAAACAAAAAGAGATTATTGCATCTTTATTTGTCGTTTTTTTTTTTTTTTGCATCTTTCTCTATAATGTAACGTATGTTTATAATAATGTATTGTGTCGCAGTATTATATCAAATTTCACAACCTTGTTTTTTATATATTCTCCTGCGAAGCAAAATATAAAAGCTTCGAGATTCGTTACGGTATAGAACAAAAGAGATCTCACTATCTGTTCCGTAGCATCGGGATTACCGATTGCCTGTAACATATGAAATCAGCGCGCGAGAGCATTGTTTAAAACTGCGCGCACATTGAAAATACGTACGTACGTATGCGGATTAATTAACGTTATATTACTTACGGTCACAATGAGAAATCCTAACGAACAAATCAGTACTGTGTTCGATGTAAATTGCACTAATGCGATGTACGTGTACAAATCCTCGATATGTTCCGAAAAAGTGATAATTTTCTGATGCTTCTGAATAATTTTGTTTGTCGTAGCGACGATGGATTTGTGTCTCTCTTTATTTTCATCAGACACGAGCGTCTTCAACCAACTGCGCAGAACATCAATTTGACCACCTACATGCAGAGTCTAAAAATAATCAAATAATCTAACTCTCGTATACATCCGTATACTGAAGCTGAGAGTAAAAGTTTGAAATTATCAGGACGGACAGAACAGAAATAATTCAGTCGGGAAAAAGGGAAGTTATTTTTTTTTATGTGCAAAAAATAAGCCAAAAGTGCAGAATAAAAAATCTTTTGTGCGAGAAAGTCAATTGTGAAAATTTGATATAATATTTTTAACCATGCGTTGCACGCTTTGATCTCCTAATTAACTTCGTGTCACACGTCATCGAATTAGTATTAGTTGTAAAACTGTTTTTTTTACCAGTGTTAAAAGTAGAGCATTTAGCAAACCGGTTCCGCAGCCGGACATAATGAGATGCACGAATTGCGTCGCTAGCAGCATTTTGTATGTACGTTTTGTGTTTATGCCGATGGGAAGTTCAACTTTCAAGAGAAGAGGTAGTTCGGATTTGTGATCGGTAACGTCAACGTCGGCCAAAAAAACGCCAATGCTGTACGCAACGATGGTCAACAAGTGAAGAGTGAACATCGCGTTAGTGATACGATTCGCTAATTTAGCTTTGTACACTGTTTCCCGCATGGTGACGTCATTGTCGACACAATCGTTCCAATCTTCCGTCATCATCGTTAAGATGGTAAGAAATTTTCTACGAGCCACAAAAATGTCACACACACACACACACACACACACATACACATCTGTTTATATTATTTTCGTACACGCGTACTCACCGCTCGTTTATCCAAAATATGATCAACTTGGTGCTAAATTTTATCTGCGTTAGAAAACTACTGAAACAATCCATTAAATCGAAGAGATCGTTGGTGCGCAGGTGCATTGAAAGATAGCGATAATGACAAATTTCATCCGTGGCCAATGCAATTATCCAATACACTCTGCAGATTATAACGCACGATATGCCCGGCCATATGCCGCAAAGAGTGAGCATTAATTTCAATGTGCGATTAATTGTGCTCCTTCGCGTCATAATTTTTCTTCGTTTTGCTTCTCAATTTTTACAAGCGAGAGAGAACATCGAACAGATGTATATATACATGTGTGTGTGTGTGTACACCGTAAGCGAGCTCACTTCCAGCAAAGAGAGAGAGACAACTTTTTTTCGATTTCTCAGCGTGTTTTCCAGTGACCGCACGACGCGTATCGTGGAAATAAGCGTCTAAGAACTAAGAAGATGTCATCAATTGTGCGAGCCCTCCCCCGAGAGAGCGATCGACCAATGAGAATTTCTCATTAAATATTTTTATCGCACGCGCCCTTTAATTATGTATACGTGCGTCATGGTTGTTTTCACAACTCCGTTACAAGCGAAAAGAGAACGCGAAAGACCGTATTTCTTTCCCTCGGACGCTGATGATATAATCTCTAATGTAAATATGCAATGATTCATATGTACGAGCATAGTGAAAAATGTTCCGCAGTCGGTTCGCGTTCGCGCACTTCGCGTTTTACATTTTCTAAATGCGGTTGAATAAAAGTTACCGCGCGCGCAATAGCTAAAAATGAACTTGTGCAACATTTATCACACAAGGAATATTTCGAAAAAATATATGTGAATAGCAGAATTCTGAAATAACAGACTTTTCCGTCGACGAAAAGACTACACGTATGAATCTATGTACATACGTATATATATTTTTGTTTGTTTGAATAAGACTTTTTTTTAATAATAAAATTAAAACTACATATCACACTTTGTGGCTAGTCTACGACTCTCCGTTAGAAAATGTCGAGAAAAAATTACTCTCGCGCGGTGTTCATCTTATTGCCAGCAACATCGATAAATACGATCCCGAAGCTTTCATAATCTACAAACACACAAATGTTTTCTTCTCAATTTATAATAACAGAGAAACAAAATATACGCGCGCAAAACAATTTTAAATCTATTCTTCTCTTCTGTCAATGTTACGTACAGTTGTAAAGCACTCGAACGAGAGATCCATCATCTTGCCGGCTGTAAGTTTCAATTGTCTCTGCGATCTTAAAATTATCATTAATAACGTGCGACTATCTTTAGTCTTCATATCGTACCACGCCGAATTGTAAGCTGCGTTTCCGATTGCTTTACTCTACAAAGATAAACAATAATCGAAATGTTTTTTAATATCTCATTACATTGTTTGTATTTTTTCACAGAAGGATATACACGCAAAAGTTATTTGTTTGTATCAAGTGTTCATTGTTATTACGTAATTATCTGTTTTCCGTCGCTAACCTTGTTGCTCAGATACTCTCCCGCGAAGCAAAATATAAACGTTTCGAGATTTGTTACAGCGTAAAACAAAAGAGATCTTCCTATCTGCTCAGTGGCGTTGGGACTGCCGATTGCCTGTGACATCACACGAAGACGCGGAACAAGGTGTAATGTGAACAATCTTTCGAATTTTTCTCACGCGTATATAATTGTTTTTTAAACTCACTGTTACGATTAGAAACCCCAGCGAACAAATCATCACCGTATTCGATGTAAACTGTACCAGAGCGATGTGCGAATACAGATTCTCGATATTTCCCGAGAGGCTGATAATTTTTTGATGTTTCCGAATGATTTTCGTCACTGTAACAATCGACTCGTGTTTCTTTCCCATCTCTTCCGGTTTGATTTTCGTCAACCAGCAAAGCAGGATGTTTATCTGACCGCCGACATGTAGAGCCTAAAAGTAAAATACATACGTCAATTAATTAACATTACGATGCGCTTCGCCAATTGAAATTTGTTTACGTCGTTACAAACAAATAAATTGATTTGAGATAAAATATATACATTATTTACGAGTTAATGTATAATTATGCATTTCAATATTTATACGATACTTGCTTATGCATGTGTTACCAGAGTTAGAAACAGGGCGTTGAACAAACCGGCTCCCCAACTGCATATCATCACGAACAGAAATTGCGTAACCAACACCGTTCTGTACTTGTATCGCGTGTCTATAACGAAAGGATATTCCATTTTCATCATGAGGGGCAGTTCGATCGATTGATCGGTAACGTCGGCATCGGCTAGGAGAATGCCGATGACATATGTACACGCAGCGATTGTATGAAGAATAATTAATCCATTACAAATATTACTCGATAGTTTCGCTTTGCGTACCGTTTCGCGTAATACAATGTCACTGGTACCGCAATCGGACCAATCCTCCATCGTCGTGGTCAAAATTTCGATGAATTTGCTGTAAATAATTAAACACATTTCAACCTCGAACATTCTGATCGCATATTTACAAAACACGTGCTGTACGTGTGTGTGTGTGTGTGTTACACGTGTTGTAACGTGTACACAAATAAAATTATCGCACATATGTGCATTATAATTATTACTTACTGTTGTTTTAACGAGAAGATGACGAGTTTAACGGTCAGTTTAATATGCGCCAACAGACTGCTCAAACAATCCATCAGTTCGAAAAGATTCTCGAAGTTGAAATGCGTCACAAAATATCGACAATGGAAGAACTCGTTAATTGCTAGCGCGATCATCCAAAATATTCTGTAGATTATAACGCATGGCATACCTGGCCAGACGCCAAACATGGCGAGCATAACTTCCACCGTGCGATTAATCGACCGTTTAACAGTCATAATTTTCTATTTCTCGTTTGTTGTTTCTCGCGCTAAGTGAGCAAGTCAGAACATCAACGCGCACATAGAGCAAACGCGCTTGTGTGAACGCGCGCGCGAAACATATGCCTCTCTTGTCGAATTAAATTTGTCAACCGCACATCAACGTCGACGCGAATTTCGCGTGACAAGTGAGAGAACTATCGAAGCGAGCACCTCTCTTTGATATCAACCTTCGCGTTGACACTGGATATTCTTTACTTTAATTGTGCGCGGAACGCAAAGAAACTCGCCATAATTTTTCCCGAGACAAAAAAGCGGAGGATCATTTTGTCGTCTCTTTTGTTTTTGTCTCTTCAATGCAGTTGCAAATTTGCTTTACATGTTTAATGATCCGATGAACGGACAACGACGTATTGTCGGTAACAATTTGCGTCTGGTAATTTTTTTTTAAAGAAGCTTTGAAATTCAGAGAATAAAAAAGATCCAAGAGAGAGGAGGGGGGGAAGAGGAAAACGTCGTCTAGTTGTTATCCGGTCTAAGGTTTCTCTCCGTAAAAAAGTACTTGTGTATAAGAAAAGAAAATAGAGCGTCTTTGTACGAGAAGAATTTCTTGCGTACGGTGTAAAAGTACTTGGTGAGCATTTGGTACGTATATGTACATGGGCTTTAATAATTCACGATATTGCGCGATAATGTAAATTACACACGAAGTAGTTCACATTTTGAATTCTTAGTAAACCTGAGAATCCGAGGGACGTAAGACACAGGAGAAAAAGAAAATTATAGTCTTCACGCATGCGATTACACACGTGAGCAAGCTTTCCTACGTGAGCAGTTAAATTGAGTTGAGACACGGAATATCTCTCTCGCAATAGATATATTATTTGCGTCATCATGTGAACCACGTGTAAATTTTCAAAAAAATTTATATTTGTACGATATAAATATTTAAAAAAAACACAATATATGTATGTACATATAAAACGCACGCGCGCGCAAATATAAATAAATAAACACATTTAATATTTTTTATATAAAAAAAACACGTATATGATATCTCTAACAAGAAAACTTTGTTTCTAGAGGAAAATCTTACATTTGTTGAAATTGTTTCAAGGAAAAATTCAAATACTGTAAGAACGCACGTTGAATGTTAAATGCCGGTGTGATCACGAGAAATGTTGAACTTTCATGAAAAGCTAAATATATTTTACGAGAAAATAAAGAAAGACCGAAGGAAGAGAGAAACTTCTATTGTATGGATTATGTGCTCTCTTTTCTCTTAGCAACGCAAAATATCGTGCGCCGTCTAAGGTAATATGCTGCAGGGAACAACATCGTACATAGAAAAAGATAGAAACAAATAAACAGAAAACTCAGACTTGTTTCTGAAAACATGCAAACTAGTCATAAGTTCGTAAATGATCTATTTTAAAGTTTGTGTTAAATTAAAATTTTTGTAATTAACTATAACGATGGTAAAAGTTTTTTCAGGACATGGCCAACAATATATATAAATATATACAATGTATATAAATAGTAACGATAATCACGAGATATCGATGAGATATTTGTACGGTGAAATGAAAGTTTAGCAAAAAATGTGTGAATTATTATATCGATATTTTTCTCTTTCATTCAGTGACAACAATGAAACCTGAGAAGACTCCGGTAGGTATTGTATGTAAGATGATTCAACACAAATCGGTAAAAAAGCTTACACTTGCGAAAGACGTTTCCGACGAAGGATTCTTTTCAATCGTAATTGTCAGTCGTTTTTTTTTTTCAGCAATCTCAATATTAAAAGTGATATTGTTTGACTCTCATTCGTCTGCATATCGTATCAAAGAGAATCGTAAATTGCGTTCGCGGTACGCTGACTTTGAAAATTGCAACAAAGCGAAAAGTCTCATTTTTCACAATTTGTATGTAAGTATACCACGGAGTGGCATTACAAAAGATAATGCATATATGCTGACCTTAGTATGTATTTCGATATTCTCCGCCGAAATAAAAAACGACTCGCGAAGTTCATGAGATGATGGTAAAGCAGTAGTTTTTCATCGACAATAGAAGCGTTTGGGATCGAAACATTACGAATAATATTTTCTACATTTCTTTTTTTTTTTTATTAAAATAACGTTGAAAAGAACATAGCGTAATTATTGTAGAATCTGATAACAATTAAGTTTTTCTTACGATATTCTTCCACACTTACAGTGACAGTAACAGGCCGTATACTAAGACGTAGTTTAGATCATCCATCTCAAATCAGCTAGATCGGCGATATGAAGTAAATACCTATGCTGAAATATCTGAACGACGATTAACAATGTCACCTGAAGAATATTCATTTTATTCGGCGTAAAGCAATGTACTCGGTTATAAATGGCGACAAAACGAAGAACTTAATAGCGAAGGATATAAGTTCTTGTGATTGTCATGTGGTTACATTGTTGTATTTACGAAAACCGAACTTTTCTAAAAATCTTTATCGACTTATGAAGCAACGAACATCGGAGCGCTGTATGTTTAAAACGTATCACAAAATAATTTATCAACAACATTGCGGTAGAACATTATGAAACCATATTGCGAGCAAAGTTATCTCTCTTTTTTTCTTTTTTTCTCTCAAATATGATCATTACTTATTCTTTACGTAAAATAAACGTGATTACACACTAATTGTAAGAGACATATTTAACTGCACATTTGAAAGAACAGAAATACTCCTCGTAATCCGTTTTCTTTTCGGTTTAATTTTATCGTTTTCGACGTTGTTTATCGCAATAAACCGGCAAAATTATATGCTCAAAAATGCAAGACGTTGCGAGTGAAATGAAAAAAAACCCATAACACGTGCGATGAAAAAGAAAAAGAGAGAAAGAAAAACCTTCAATGCGAAAAATTCAAGAATACAAAATAAAATTTATGCTGTAGCAAACTATACAAGAGACAGAGAAAATCATCAACTTGCACCATTCGATCTCATTTAATAAACATTGGGTACTGTCAGAAAAGCCGATAACTTGTGTAACGTAGCGCGTTATTTTCTTGGAAAATTCAGTTTAACGAGAAACCACACACATGCACACGTGCACCAAATTAGTATATGAGAAGTTTTACGGTTTTTGGAAACAATAAATATTTACGTGATAATACATCTTCTTCTTGATTAGATAATTTTAGTTACTTACAACAAGTAACATTAAAAAAATGTTGTTTAAAACAAATTTTTTATTACAATAATTATATATAAATCTATTTCTACAATTGTGTTCTACTATTTTTATAGTCGGGTTTCAGTACATTGCTAAAAGAACCGATAAGTACGACACCGATGCTTTTATAACCTGCAAATTTTAAAACTGCTCTCGTGATAAAATACATACAGTATAAATAATTGTATTTCTAATATAAATATTTATCTAACACACGAGAAAAGAAACAATGTGTATATAACATGTGCAAAAATCGTATATACAGTCTTCACACACACACTAGAAGTTTTACTACTTTGAAAAAATGTCAAAATTAGAATATTACACTAGTAAATCGTTCCAATGACAAGTCCATGACCTTTCCGCTCGTGATTGTCAGTGTTCTCTGTGATCTTAAAATAACGAACACTATAATTCGACTCTCCGTAGTCGGATAATCATACCAAACAGAATGGTACGCTGCATGTCCGATCATCTTACTCTAAAAATAAAATTCAATTTAAATTAATTAGACATACAATAAATCCTGATGCGAGACTAGAGTGATACAGCTTACCTTAGCGCTTAAATATTCGCCAGCGACACAATATATAAAAGCTTCGACATTCACCGTGATGTAAAATAATACAGACTTGACTAAAATTGCAGCAGCATTAGGCGCATCAAGAGACTACAATTTCCAAAACAAAAAAATTACCAATTCATAAATGTAAACAGCAACAGCTATTTCTTATATTAAAGTTTTCCGACACTTCCGTAACCATCTTTGATTTTGACTTCATAGAAGCGAAAAGTCTTAACAGTAATTGTGACACCATTTTACCTAAACTTAAACTCATTACCACAAGCATTATTTTTATTGAAATTACTCACGATAACAATAATAAATCCTAAACAACATATGATGAACGTGTCTGATAAAAGTATCATTAGCGCAATGTACGTGTAGAGATTTTCAATATTTTCTGCAAATAAAATAATCTGCTGATGCTTTGTGATTATTGTGCGCATTGTAATCTCTTCTGATAAATGTGTTAAATGTCTGGAGAAAGCGTTTGTCAACCATTCACAAAGAATGTCGATTTGGCCACCGACATGAAGTATCTGAAGTTTACCACTTGATGATCTTTGGTAAGATAAAATAGTAAGTTTCTTACTTGTTCCAAAAATTGAAATTATATACTCTTCTATTTATATATACATTTTTAACATTTTAATATTAAAATATAATATATAGATAAAATATATAATACATAAATATATAGATTTATAAAAATTATACCTAACTTACGTAATTTAAGCGCTTAACAATTATTAATTAATATTAAAGTAACGGTTAGAACAAATTAAATTTCTAACAATTATTAAAATGATCTATTTTTATAGTTACAAGAATGTTTATTCAGAACTTACAGATATGTCGTGTAACTGTTGTACTTACCAAAATGACCAAAAATAAATTTACGATTGCCACGCAATAGCCTATCAACAGCAGATGATACAACTGAACCGATTGTACCGTCAAGTAAATAGACTCCGTACTAATGTTAAAAGGAAACTCCATTTTGAGAATAAGTTCTCGCGCGTACGGTTCCATTCTCGCAGGATTAGTTATGTTAGCGGCGAGAACACCGATACTGTAACAAGTTACAGAAGCCATTTGCATGCCGATGATCCACGTCGAAGTGCGGCGTGCAAGATTCGTCGTATTCATCAGCACGCTTGAATTATGGCGATTCGAGTTGTAGTCTTGCCAATCCGTGGTCATCATTTGCAATAGATCGAAAACTACTCTGTGTGAACAATCAAATTTATCAGATTTACGTTTGAGTTTGTGTCTACTACTTCGTCAATTTTTGGATTCATAGTACAATTTCATATTCAAGATCATCCCAAGTTCATTTTAAGATGCTGTATAATTATCTTTGTCTTATTGGCTAAAAATCATCTGAAGATACAACCCAAGATAATCCACAATATACAATCTTACTATAAATGTCGCTCTATAAAATCGGTTTTGCACACGCGATCTTAACATTATCGTTTTTTCATAATCACGTCTTACCGTTGATTGACCCACAATATAACGAGTTTGATGTAAAGCAGAGAAGACGCCAGTGCGCTACTCACTCCGTCCATGAATTGCGAAAAGTCGTCCGTATGTACGTTCACTATCACGTATCGGTATTGAAAAACCTGCATCGTGCTGAACACCACGATCCAATAGAATCGAAACAATATGGTAGACGGTACGTAAGGCCAGATGCCAAAAACGTGTAAACCCAATGTAACTGCGCGGCTCATCGTGGCCATCCGCATCTTTCGAATCGAACAAAAAAAACGCTCCGAGGCCTAATCGCCGACGCGCGTTACGCTTGTCAAATAAATTCATCAATACTAAAAATCTACTCGCAGATGTATCAAGAAGCAGTACGTTACCGGTCAATGACACCAAGCATTGCACGTTAAATATACATATTTCCGTTGTATCACGTGAAAAGTTACAGCTATATAATTTTACGTATAGTGAAAAAAGCGTGTTTTTTTCCTCACGTACGCAATTACACTCTTTAAATATGCAACGAGGAAAGTAAGGACGAAGAGCAGTTTTTACGAAATGCTCAAACACGAGTAAAGTTAAAAAGTTTGTTGGAGGGAAATGTATCGCAAAGGATAGTAATGAATGCACGCGAACAACACAGTGTGTCTCTTGCGAGGGAAAGACTATAACACGAGAATCACAGGTCGCTCTTTCGACGACAGTTGCGAGTCTGATCAGAGAATTCAAGGCGATAATTGCAAGTCAATCAAAGAACATAAAAAAAAAAAACACGCAAAACTGACCAAACTTTTAAATGTATTTTTTTCTTTTTTTTTTTGAGTTGATTATTTTATATTATTACTTTTGTCTCATAAGTTTTCAAATATATGTAACCCCTTCAAAATACAGAAAGACCATCAACTTGCATCAGTCAATCTCATCCAATAAACATTGTGTATTGTCAGAAAAGCCGATAACTTGTGTAGCGCAGCGCGTTATTTTCTTGAAAAATTCAACCAACACACGTGCACCGGATTAGTGATGAGAAAAGTTTTAAGGTTCTCGATAACGAGAAGATTTTGAGAAAAAGATAAAGGTGGAAAGAGACCGAAGTTTCTTCTTTTCGACATTTCTCGATCTCTTACTTCTGAAAGAAATTCCTGCCATAACGTGTAATAAGTAATGCATACACACATAGAATTCATATTCTTGAAAGATGTAAAACATTCGGGTAAGTTTAGATAAAATACAAGTAAGTATCCATATGTCAGAAACATCAAGATATATATGCGTAATATTTGTGTAAGAAAAAGTTAAAAATCAAATATAATTGAAATTTAATACGTGTATTTTTTGTAATATGTAAGAATGTCTCAATTTTATTTAAATCTATGTATGAAGTGTATTTTTCAAAATTATCATCAGCTTTATTACACACGTTGCGGTTTTATCGTAGCAGCTACTTACGAACATTGAACTATGGAGAGTTCCTCAAATTTAAATTACGAATTGTTTTACAGAAAACTAAAAAACGTAGTATACTTACAAATTATAGAACCTTATGCACGCTAGTAAGAATCGTTCCAAAAGAAAATCCATGATTCGATTTCGATTTGTAATGATAATCCATTTTTTCTGAAGACCTCAGAAATATGACAATTATAGATAAGTATATCATTACATACTGAAAGTAACACTTGAGCTCACAATCCAAAATAATTGACATACAACAGTTGACGGTAAAGATGTACGGCCAGATGCCGCAAACGCGCGAACACCGATCTTCACTATTTTACTGAATCGTCCTCATACTTTCCGAAGACTATAAAGAAGAGTGCGTAAAAGAACTTCGTATCAGCTGTGAAATCCGGAGGGAGGAGTCGCGCGCGACGTACCCAAACGTAGTAACCACCCAAATCGCAAAACATCGACCAATCGGAAAACCACTCATTAAATATTCTTCCGATCACGCAACGTAAACTTTGAAGAAGTTGCAAACCACGCGCAACAATCTCAGCGACGACCAAAGTTGTCGGAAAAACTTGAAAAGCAAGGGAGTCTCTTTCTTTTTGAATCGAGTTTCCGACCAATGCTATCGCGGATACGATTTAAAAATGCAACAAGCTGCGAGTTCGCGAGTGCGGGTTTTCACGATCCGCGCTCGACACGAGGGTGAAAAGTTTTGTTGTTGCTGAGAAAGAAAAAAGATGAAAATATATCGCGCGAGTTTGTTTCGATTTGGTATTTCTAAGATAAGATCATAGTTTGTGTTGCAAGGTGGCCGTTCCACACGCGAAAAACGAGCGTGACAGCGATATATACTGGAACACTTGACAAAGAGAAATAAAAAATTCATCCCTCTACGCGTACTTTTCTTCTTTTCCCCTGAGATACTAAGAAAAAGCAATAATGTAACTTTTTAGCGCACCACAGATCTTTTTTTTTTGTTAATAAATAGACTAATTGTAAAATTTATTGATAAAAAAAAAGATAAACACTTTCACTTGACGTTTTTGTTTTTTGAGTCTTACGTGTATATGTGATAATATATATCTTCTCTTTAATCACATAAGTTTAGTTACTCACAACAAGTAAAATTAGAAGAGCGTTGTTTAAAACATAGTATTTTTTATTAGAGTAATATAATCCATTTCTCTAGTTACCTTAATTACTTTTATGGTCAAGTTTCAGTACATTGCTAAGAGTACCGATATGTATGACGCCGATGCTTTTATAACCTGCAATATTTAAAATGCTCTTGCATTATACTATAAATAGTATACCTATTTGTATCTCTAGTATAAATTACTAGCTTATACATGAAAGAAAAAAAGATACATATATAAATATATATAAAATGTGAAAAAAATGTATGTACAATGCAAAAACATTACAAAATTTACTACTTAGAAAAATAATCAAATTTATACTGGTACACTAGTAAAACGTTCCAACGACAAATCCATCATCCGTCCGCTCGTGATCGTCAATGTTTTCTGTGATCTTACGATAACAAACAATATGTTTCGACTCTCCGTTGTCGGACAGTCATACCAAACAGAATCGTACGCTGCATGTCCAATCATCTTACTCTGAAAATACAATTCAATAATTAAGTAAAGATGACAAATCCTGATATGAGACGTGATAAAGCTCACCTTGGCTCTCAAATATTCGCCAGCAAAACAATAGATAAAAGCTTCAAGATTTATCGTGATATAAAATAATCCAGACTTGACTAAAATTGTAGCAGCATCGGGCGCATCAAGAGACTAAAATTTTAATGTGCGAACAGTTTAATACTTCCAAAATATAAACAGAGTAACAGTTTTTTCTTACATTAAAGCTTCTCGACACTTCGTAATTATCTCCGATTTTGACATCATAGAAGCGAGAAGCCTTAACAGTTCTTGTGACATTATTTCGCTCAAACTCAATATCTCAAGCATTATTTTTATTGACGGTACTCACGGTAACGATAATAAATCCTACGCAACATATGATGAGCGTGTCTGATAAAAGCATCGTTAGTGCTATATACATGTAGAGATTTTCAATCTTTTTGGCAAATAGAATAATCTGCTGATGCTTTCTGATAATTGATCTCATTGTAATCTCTTTTGACGAATGTGTTATATTTCTGGAGAAAACGTTTGTCAACCAGTCACAAAGAATGTCGATTTGGCCACCGACATGAAGTATCTGAAGTTTACCACTTGATGATCTTTAGTAAGATAAAATGCCAGTTTTTTAATTGTTGAAAAAATTGAAAATATTAATATATACATTATTTATACATACAGTTTAATAGTTCACCCTTAAAATATGATAAGTATACATACTTTGTAAAAAAAGTATAACTAAACTAAGTAGCTTTCTAAGCGCTTGTCATTGTTCTTTTTTCATTGATGGTCACAAGATTTTTAATTCAGAACTTACAGATATATGTTCTATAACAGTTGCAGTATACACTTACCAAAGTGACTAGAAATGAATTTACGATTGTCATGCCATAGCCTAGCACAAGCAAATGATAAAATTGAACCGATTGAATCGTAAAGTAAAGAGATTCCGTACTAATGTTAAAAGGCAACGCCATTTTGAGAATAAGTTCTCGCGAGTGCGGTTCTATCCTCTCGGGATTAGCTACGTTAGCGGCGAGAACACCGGCACTGTAAAAAGTTACGGAAGCCACTTGCATGCCGATGATCCACGTCGAAGTGCGATGTGCCAGATTCGCCGTATTCGTCAGCACACGTGAACTATGGTAATTCGAATTGTAGTCTCGCCAATCCGTGGTCATCATTTGTAAGATATCGAAAAATATTCTAAGTAAAAAATCAGATTTATTGTTTGCATTTGTCTATTACTTCTGACGGTTTATTCATAGTCCGATTTCAGGATCATCCCAAATTTATCTTAAGATGATGCACAATCTGTTTTAGTGACTACAGATCATATGAAAATATAACCCAAGACGATTTTCAATGAAAAATCTCACTATAAATGTTTTGTACACTCTACTTCAACATTATCTTTTCCATAAGCTCAGCTTACCGTTGATTAACCCACAAAATAATGAGTTTGATGTAAAGCAGAGAACATGCTAGTACGCAACTCACTCCGTCCATGAATTGGGAAAAGTCGTCCGTATGAACGTTCGTTATCAAGTACCAGTACTGGAAAACCTGAATTATACTGAGCATCACGACCCAGTAGAAGCGGAACAATATGGTAGACGGTACGTAAGGCCAGACGCCGAAAACGTGCAGACCCAATGTAACTCCGCGGCTTAACGTGGTCATCCGCATCTTTCGAAGATACGAAAAAACGTTTCAAAGCTCAATTGCGCGCGCGCACTACGCTTTGTCATATAAATTCACCAAAACTAAAGCTCGCTTGCGGGTGGATCAACGAACAGTACGTCATCGGTCTATGATACCAATCATTGCACGTTAAATATACATATTTCCGTTGTATCACATGAGAAGTTACAGCTATATAATTTTACGAATAGTGAAAACGCGTGTCTTTTTCTTCACGTATGCAATTACACTCTTTAAATATGCAACGAGAAAAGTAAGGAAAAAGAGCAGTTTTCACGAAATGCTCAAACACGAGTAAAGTTGAAAAGTTTGTTCGAGGGAAACATATCGCGATGAAAGCACGCGAACATATGGTAAGTGTCTCTTGCGAGGAAAATACTATAACGTGAAAATCACAGTTCGCTTTGTCAACGGTTGTTAAATGAATCGGAGAGTCTGAAGACAATAAACGCAAAGGCGATCAAAGCACTTTAAAAAACATTCTATATAAGTAAATTTATAAAGGTATTTTTATTTTAAGGTAACTGGTTTATAATAATAATATCATCTCACAATTGTTTAAATAATTTTTAAGAGATAGAAAAAATCACCATTTTGAATCATTTGATTGTATGTAATTGTCGCGATGTATCGTACATTGCTTGTCAATATACGCTCACAGTGACATAGTTCGGATTAGGTAGGATTTTTGTTGTTTATTGGGTCCGATTAAAATTTTGTTCGATTCAAACTGTATTCGAATGAGTCCATCATGTGTTCGTTGTTTAGTGTGTCCGATTGAAACTGGGTCCGAATGACTCCATCATGTGTCCGTTACTGGATGAGTTCGTTTGAGACTGTGTCCGTTTGAGACTGTTGTGTGTCCGTTTCAATTCATGTCCAATTGAAACCGTGTCCGATTGTTTTCGTCATATGTCCGTTCCTTGGTGTGTCCGATTGAATCAGTGCCCGTTTTATTTTGTGCGCGTCATTCCCACGCGCGTATTTTTATATTTTTCCATCGAAATATCAAAAGAAAACTAGACTGTATTAGTCTCTCTAGTGTAAAACAGAATTCTTTTTTGGTACATAAACATACATACAAAACTTATACAAAACAACTTGATAAATACTCACTTTTTCTTTGACAAAAAACTTCCAGTTACTCACAACAAATAAAATTAAAAAAGCAATGTGTAATTCATTTTATTTGTTATTAAAGTAAGTAAACCTATTTCTCCAATTGTTCTCTATTATTTTTATAGTAGGGTTTTTAGTTCATTGCTAAGAGCACCGACATATACGACGCCGATGCTTTTACAACCTGCAATGTTAAAAATTCTTCTGTACTATAAATAGTATTATTGTGTATCTCTAATATAAATATTTTATAGCTACTATACAAGAAAAATGCATATATAACTGACAAATATATATATGTATATATATACAATATGTAGAATTAATAAAAGTTCTACTACTTAGAAACAATGTCAACTATATATTGTTACACTAGTAAAACGTTCCAACGACAAATCCATCATCCGTCCGCTCGTGATCGTCAATGTTTTCTGTGATCTTAAAATAATGAACAATATAATTCGACTCTCCGTATTCGAACAGTTATACCAAACAGAATGATACGCTGCATGTCCGATCATCTTACTCTAAAACCAAATTCAATGATTAATTAAGAATGATAAATTCTGATATGAGACGTGATAAAGCTTACCTTAGCGCTCAAATATTCGCCAGCGAAACAATATATAAAAGCTTCAAGATTTATCGTGATGTAAAATAATCCAGACTTGACTAAAATTGTAGCAGCATCGGGCGCATTAAGAGACTAAAATTTCAATGTGCAAACCGTTTAATACTTTTGAAATACGAACAATAACAGTTAATTCTTACATCAAAGCTTCTTGACACTTCCGTATTGATCTCGAATATTGACATTATAGGAGCGAAAAGCCTTAGTTATTGACATCAATTTGCTCAAACTCAATATCTCAAGCATTATTTTTATTGATAATACTCACGGTAACGATAATAAATCCTAAGCAACATATGATGAGCGTGTCTGATAAAAGCATCATTAGTGCAATATAGGTGTAAAGATTGTCAACATTTTCTGCAAACAGAATAATCTGTTGATGCTTTCTGATCATCGATCGCATTAAAATCTCTTCTGATGAATGTGTTATTTTTCTGGAGAAAGCGTTTGTCAACCATTCACAAAGAATGTCGATTTGGCCACTGACATGAAGTATCTGAAGTTTACCACTTGATGATCTTCAGTAAGATAAAAAATCTTAGTTTTTTAATTGTTCAAAAATATTGTTAAAAAAAGTACTACATTATTTATACATACATTTTAACATTTCAGCATTAAAATATATAAGTTTGTGAAAAAACTACAACTAGACTAAATAATTAATTAAAGCGCTTAATTATCACGGTAAACTTATCACATTGTTCTTCTTTCACTGAGGTACCTAAAATTTTTAATTCAGAACTTACAAATATATATCGCGTTAACAGTTACGTTCTACACTTACCAAAGTGACTAGAAATGAATTTACGAGTGCCATGCCATAGCCTATGAATAACAAATGATAAAATTGAATCGACTGAATCGTCAAGTAAAGAGGCTCCGTACTAATGTTGAAAGGAAACGCCATTTTGAGAATAAGCTCTCGCGCGTACGGTTCCATCCTGGCAGGATCACTTACGTTACCGGCGAGAACACCGATACCGTAAAAAGTTACGGAAGCCATTTGCATGCCGATGATCCACATTGAAACGCGGCGTGCAAGATTTGCCGTATTCGTCAACATAAGTAAACTTTGATGATTGGAGTTGTAGGTGTGCCAATCCGTAATCATCAGTTGCAAAAGATCGAAAAATATTCTATGGAAACAATCAGATTTATTATTTGCGTTTGTGTCTAGTTCGGACGGCTTGTTCATATATAGTTTCATTTTATAGTTAAGATTATCCCAAGTTCATCTTCAAGTGCTATATAATAATATCTGTTTTAGTAGCTAAAAATGATCTGAAGACACAACACAAGACGATTCCCAATGAACAATCGTACTATAATTGTTGTCCTATAAAATCGGTTTTGCACACGCAATCTTAATAGTATATTTTTTCACAGCTTACCGTTGATTGAACCACAAAATAACGAGTTTGATGTAAAGCAAAGAAGTCGCCAGTACGCAACTCACTCCGTCCATGAATTGAGAAAAGTCATCCGTATGAACGTTCGTTATCAAGTACCAGTACTGAAAAATTTGAATCATACCGAGCATCACGGTCCAGTAGAATCGAAATAATATGGTAGACGGTACGTAAGGCCAGACGCCAAAAACGTGCAGACCAAATGTAACTGCGCGGCTCAGCGTAGTCATCCGCATCTTTTTTTCAAGAGAAAAAAAAGCTTCGAGGCTTTTTCGTCGGCGCGCACTACGCTTGTCAAATTCACCAATACTACAGTTTGCTCGCAAATGGATCACCGAACAGTACGTCATCGGTCGATGATACCAATCATTGCACATTAAATATACATAATATTTCCGTTGTATCACGTGAGAAGTTACAGCTATATAATTTTACGAATAGTGAAAAAATCGTTTTTTTCCTCACGTGTGCAATTACACTCTTTAAATATGCAATGAGGAAAGTAAGGACAAAGAACAGTTTTCACGAAATGCTCAAACACGAGTAAAGTTGAAAAAGTTTGTTCGAGGGAAACATATCGCGTAGCGAAGAAGGCACGCGAACATTGTGTTTGTTGCGTGGGGAAGACTATAACGCGAAGATCATAGTTCGCTTTGGCAACAGTTGTGAGATGAATCAGAGAGTTCTGGAGGAAACTTTACAACGTAAGTTACTTAAAAACTAAAAAATCTTACGCTAGTAGTGTTGCAAAGTGTTCCAAAGAAAGATTTATATTTGTTCTACTTATAGTGGTTATTCGTTTTTTTTAATTAGATTTTAGTATTGTAAGAATTATAGATAAGTATAGTAGTACATACTGATACTGGAAATTCCTTGAGCATCACACTTCCAAATAATCAACATAGTTGACGGTAAAGATGCCGCAAACGCAAACACCGATCTTCAATACTTTACTAACTCGTCTGTATATTCACTCGAAGAACATATAGGGAAATGCGTCAAAGAACTCCGTGTTTGCTGCGAAATCCAAAGGGGAGGAGTTGCGCAACGTAGCTAAACGTATAGCAGCCCCTAGATCGCGAAACATCGACCAATCGGAAAAACACTCATTAACTATTCTCCCAACCACAGAACACAAACTTTGAAGAAATTGCAACCCACGCGCAACAATCTGAGCAAAGTTGTCGGAAAAACATGAAAAGCAAGTGAGTGTTTCTTTCTTTTTGAGTTGCGTTTCTGACCAATACCGTTGCGGATACGATTTAAAAATGCAACAAACTGCGAGTTTGAGAGTGCGGTTTTCTCTACTCGCGCTCGACACGAGGAAAAGTTTTGTTGTTGAGAAAGAAAAGAAATACAAATATATCACGCAAATGTGTTTCGATGCGGTGTTCTGTATTGTGCGCAAACTATATCTTAGCTAAAATCATAGTTTGCGTTGCAGATAGTCGTCCCACACGCGAGAGCCGAATGTGACATATGTACTGGAACACTTGCCACAGAGAGATAAAAAATTTATGTTTTTACGCGCACTTTTCCTCTTCTTCTCCGAAATATCAAGAGAAATAGTGTAACAATCTTCTTATTGTAAAACAAAAATTTTGTATATTACCACACTAAAATTTGTTGAAACAAAATAGATTAATGCTCTCACTTTGCATATAATACTCTTTCCATGTTTTTTAAATGTGACATTTACGTGATAAAATATATCATCCTTTCGATCACACAATTTTAATTATTAACAACAAATGACACTAGAAAGTATTGTGTAAAACATCTTCTTTTATGTTAAAGTAATTAACTTCATTTTTCCACAATTGCCTCTACTAATTTTATAGTTGGATTTTTCAGTACATTGCTAAGAGCACCGATATGTATGACGCCGATGCTTTTATAACCTGCAATTTTAAAAATGCTCTTGTAATATACTATAAATAGTAAAAATATTTATATCTAATATAAATATTTATAGCGTATACACAAGAGGGAGAGGAAAAGTTATATATAAGAAGTGCAAAAAATGTAAATACAGTCTGCAAAAACATTAAAATGTATACTACTGAAAAATAATGCCAATTTAATAATGTTACAGTAGCAAAACGTTCTAACGACAAGTCCATCATCTTTCCGCTTGTGATTGTCAATGTTTTCTGTGATCTTAAAATAACGACCAATATACTTCGACTATTCATGATCGAACACTCATACCAAACAGAATCGTACGCTGCATGACCGATCATCTTACTCTAAAAAAAAAATTTATTGATTAGTTAAAGATGATAAATCCTGATATCAGACTGACGTAACAAAGCTCACCTTGGCGCTCAAATATTCGCCAGCGAAACAATATATAAAAGCTTCAAGATTCATCGTGATGTAAAATAATATAGACTTAACTAAAATTGTAGCAACATCGGGCGCATCAAGAGACTAAAAGTTCCGAATACTACCAGTTTAGTAATTTTCAAATACGAACAAAAACAGCTATCTTATATTAAGTATCTCTTATATTAAAACTTCTTGACACTATTGTAACCATCTTGGATTTTGACATTGTAAAAGCGAAACGCCATAACAGTTATTGACATTGTTTCAATTAAACTCAATATCTTAAGACTTATTTTTATTGCAGTTACTTACGATAACAATACCAAATCCTAAGCAACATATGATAAACGTGTCTGATACAAGCAGCATTAGCGCTATGTACGTGAAGAGATTTTCAACATTTTCTGCAAATAAAATAATCTGCTGATGCTTTGTGATTATTGATCGCATTGTGATCTCTTCTGATGAACGTGGTACATTTCTGGAGAAAGCGTTTGTCAACCATTCACAAAGAATGTCGATTTGGCCACCGACGTGAAGTATCTGAAGTTTACAATTTGATGATCTTCGGGAACATAAAATCCCGTTGTTTACTTGTTCAAAAAATTAAAAAGATATACAAACCTAGTTACACGTATATTTTAACAATTCCGAAATAACAATATATAGATTTGTAACAAAATTACAACTACACTTAGTAACTTAAACGTCTAACAATTTTCAAATTGTTTTTTTTTTGATTGATGTTTACAAGATTTTTTATTTGGAACTTACAGAAATGTCGCGTACGAGGTGCATTATACACTTACCAAAGTGAGTAAAAATGAATTAACGATTGTCATGCCGAAACCTAGCAACAGCAAATGATAAAATTGAACTGACTGAACCATCAAGTAAATAGATTCCGTACTAATGTTAAAAGGCAAAGCCATCTTGAGAATAAGTTCTCGCGCGTGCGGTTCTATCTTCTCAGGATTAATTACGTTAGCGGCAAGAACACCGGTACTGTAAAAAATTATGGCAGCCACTTGCAAGCCGATAATCCACCTCGAAGTGCAGCGTGCAAGATTTGCTGTATTTGTCAACACGTGAGAACTATAGTAGTTCGAGTTGTAGTCTTGCCAATCCGTAGTCATAATTTGTACGATATCGAAAAATATTCTAAGTGAAAAATCAGATTATTGTTTTCATTTTTGTCCACTACTTTGACCAGTTTATTTATAGTTCGATTTCATATTTAAGATCATCTCAAGTTCATCTTAAGATCCTGTACGATTTGTTATAGTAACTAAATATCATATAAAGCCACAATATAAGATGATCCTCAATATAAAATCTTCCTATAACTGTCGAATTAAACACTCGGAGCTGCACACACGCCAACTTTTTTACAAGCACATCTTACCGTTGATTGATCCATAAAATAACGAGTTTGATAAAAAGCAAAGTAGACGCCAGTGTGCTACTCATTCCGTCTATAACTTGGGAAAAGTCGTCTGTATGAACATTTATTATCAAATATCGATATTGAAAAACGTGAGCCGTGCTGAGCATCACGATCCAGTAGAATCGGAACAATATGGTAGACGGTACGTAAGGCCAGACGCCGTAAACGTGCAGGCCCAATGTAACTGCGCGGCTTAGCGTGGTCATTCGCATTTTTCAAAGATACAAAAAAAATCGCTTCAAATCTTAATCGCGCGCGCGCACTATGTTTGTCAAATAAATTCACCAACACTACAGTTTACTTGCGAGTGGATCACCGAACAGTACGTCATCGGTAGATGATACCAATCATTGCACGTTAAATATACATATTTCTTTTGTATCACATGAGAAGTTACAGCTATATAATTTTACGAATAGTGAAAAACGCGTGTTTTTTTCCTCACGTATGCAATTACACTCTTTAAATATGCAACGGAAAAGTAAGGACAAAAGACATTTTCCACGAAATGCTCAAACACGAGTAAAGTTGAAAAGTTTGTTCGGGGGAAACATATCACGAAAGAAAGCAAAGAAGGCACGCGAACACATTGTAAGTGTCTGTTGCAAGGGAAAGACTATAACGAGAAGATCACAGTTCGCTTTGTCGACGAGTACGGATCAGATAGTTCCAAAGTAATAAACGCAAAGACGATCAAAATTACGTAAACACTTAATAAAATACTGAACTTATGAGTGTATAACTGTTTCTTTGAGGTAACTATCTTAGGCTTTTAATAATATCTTGCATTTTTTGCACTAATTATAATAAAGAGATAAGAAAAACTACTACTCTGCATCTTCCTATCTTATTTAAGAAAAATTGAATATTGTCACAAAGGCCGAGTGTAGTTGGTGTAGCACAATCCGTTATTTTCTTATAAAAAAATGATATCTATCCCTACTTTGCATTTTTGTGTTTCAAATCTTACATTTACGTGCTATTTTTTTTTTTTTTTACCAAATAAGTCCGGTTACTTTCAACAAATAAAATTAGATAAGCGTTGTGTATATATATATATATATATATATAAAATCTTATTTTTTATTAGGATAATTAAATCTAGTTTTTCACTTGTCTTCTACTATTTTTGGATTTCAGTACATTGCTAATAGGACTGAAATGTACGACGCCGATGCTTTTATAACCTGCAATGTTAAAAATGCTATGTACTTGTAGTATAAATATTTCTATCTATCAGACGAGAAAAAGACATATACATATATACTATGTACACCATATACAATACAAAGGTCTACAAAGTTATTGAAATTATTACTACTTAAAAAACTTTTTTTTACATTTATGAACTTACGCTAGTAAATCGTTCCAACGACAAGACCATGATTCTTCCGCTCGTGATCGTCAATGTTTTTTGTGATCTTATAATAACAAACAATATAATTCGTTTCTCCGTAGTTGGACAGTCATACCAAACAGAATTGTACGCTGCATGTCCGATCATCTTACTCTGTAAATAGAATTCATTATGTTTGATGATTACTAAAAATAATAAATACTGATATGATAAAGCTTACCTTTTCGCTTAAATATTCGCCAGCAAAACAATATATAAAAGCTTCAAGATTCATCGCGATGTAAAATAATATAGACTTGACTAAAATTGTAGCAACATCGGGCGCATCAAGAGACTAAAAGTTCCGAATACTAGCAGTTTAGTACTTTTCAAATGCGAACCAGAATAGCTATCTTACTAAGAATCTCTTATATTAAAACACTATTGTAACATCTTGGATTTTGACATTGTAAAAGCGAAACGCCTTAACAGTTATTGACATTATTTCGATTAAACTCAATATCTTAAGACTTATTTTTATTGCAGTTACTTACGATAGCAATAACAAATCCTAAACAACATATAATGAGCGTGTCTGATACAATCAGCATTAGCGCAATGTACGTGTAGAGATTTTCAACATTTTCTGCAAATAAAATAATCTGCTGATGCTTTGTGATTATTGATCGCATTGTGATCTTTTTTGATGAACGTGGCACATTTCTGGAGAAAGCATTTGTCAACCATTCACAAAGAATGTCGATTTGGCCACCGACATGAAGTATCTGAAGTTTACAATTTGATGATCTTCGGGAACACAAAATCCTGTTTTTTACTTGTTCAAAAAATTGAAACAACATACTAAACTTATATACTTTAAGTTATACGTATATTTTAACAATTTCAAAATTACAATACATAGATTTGTACCAAAATTACAACTACACTAAGTAACTTAAACGTCTAACAATTTTCAAATTTTTTTTTCTTTGATATTTACAGGTTTTTTTATTCAAAACTCACAAATACGTCGCATAAAAGTTGCATTATATACTTACCAAAGTTATTAGAAATAAATTTACAATTGCCATGCCGTAGCTTAGCGACAACAGATGATAAAATTCAACTGACTGAATTATAACGTATTTGACTTCCGTACTAATATTAAAAGGCAACGCCATTTTGAAAATAAGTTCTCGCGTGTGCGGTTCTATTCTCTCAGGATTAGCTACGTTAGCCGCGAGAACACCGGCACTATAAAAAGTTACGGAAGCCACTTGTATGCCGATGATCCACGTCGAAGTGCGGCATGCCAGATTCGCCGTATTCGTCAGCACGCGTGAACTATGGTGATTCGAGTTGTAGTCTTGCCAATCCGTAGTCATCATTTGTAAGATATCGAAAAATATTCTATGTGTAAATCAGATTTATTGGTTTCATTTGTATCTACTATTTTGATCAGCTTATTCATAGTTCGAGTGTATATTCAAGATCATCTCAAGTTCATATTAAGATTCTATACGATCTGTTATAGTAACTAAATATCATATGAAGACACGATCTAAGATGATCTCCAATATAAAATTTTCTTCTAAGTGCTGATTTTAAAAATTAAAGCTGCACACACGTCATTTTTGTGCAAACACATCTTACCGTTGCTTGACCCACAAAATAACGAGTTTGATGAAAAGCAAAGTAGATGCCAGTGTGCTACTCATTCCGTCCATAAATTGGGAAATGTTGTCTGCATGAACATTTATTATCAAATATCGATATTGAAAAACGTGAGTCACGATGAGCGTCACGATCCAGTAGAATCGGAACAATATGGTAGATGGTACGTAAGGCCAGACGCCGTAAACGTGCAGGCCCAATGTAACTGCGCGGCTTAGCGTGGTCATTCGCATTTTTCAAAGATGCAAAAAAAAACGCTTCAAACCTTAATCGCGCGCGCGCACTATGTTTGTCAAATAAATTCACCAACACTACAGTTTACTCGCGAGTGGATCACTGAACAGTACGTTATTGGTAGATGATACCAATCATTGCACGTTAAATATACATATTTCTTTTGTATCACATGAGAAGTTACAGCTATATAATTTTACGAATAGTGAAAAACGCGTGTCTCTTTCTTCACATATACAATTACACTCTTTAAATATGCAACGGAAAAGTAAGGACAAAAGACATTTTCCACGAAATGCTCAAACACGAGTAAAGTTGAAAAGTTTGTTCGGGGGAAACATATCACGAAAGAAAGCAAAGAAGGCACGCGAACACATTGTAAGTGTCTGTTGCGAGGAAAGACTATAACGAAAAGATCACAGTTCGCTTTGTCGACGAGTGCGAGACAGATCGGAGAGTTCAAAAGTGATAAACGCAAAGGCGATCAAAATCACGTAAAAACTTACACAAAAATACTGAACTCATGAGTGTATAACTGCTCCTTTGAGGTAACTATCTTATGCTTTTAATAGCATTTTGCATTTTTTACAATAACCGTAAAGAGATAAGAAAAACCGCTACTCCGTATCTTCCTATCTTATTTAAAAAAAATTAATTTAAAAAAAATTGAAAAATTAGTTTAAAAAATTGAATATTTTCATAAAAGCCGATAGTTGGTAGAGTGCAATCCGTTAGTTTCTTTAAAAAAATGACAATTATCTTTAATTTGCAGGTTTGTGTTTTTAATCTTACATTTTTTTTTTATGTGCTAATATATATCTTTTTTTTAAATCAAATAATTTCGGTTACTTTCAGTAAAAAAAATTAGATAAGCTTTGTGTAAAAAATCTTAGTTTTTATTAAGACAATTACATCTATTTTTTCAATTGTCCTCTATTATTTTTGGATTTCAGTACATTGCTAATAGGACTGAAATGTACGACGCCGATGCTTTTATAACCTGCAATGTAAAAAATGCTATGTAACGTTCTATAAATACTATAAATAGTTATCTTTTTAGTGCGAATATTTATATCTAACACATGAGAGAAAAAACATACATATATATAATATGTACCACATATACAAAGATCTACAGATGTATTGAAATTATTAATACTTAAAAAACTTTTTTTTAAGTTTTTATAAAATTACACTAGTAAATCGTTCCAACGACAAAACCATGATTCTTCCGCTCGTGATCGTCAATGTTTTTTGTGATCTTAACATAACAAACAATATAATTCGTTTCTCCGTAGTCGGACAGTCATACCAAACCGAATCGTACGCTGCATGTCCGATCATCTTACTCTGTAAATAGAATTCATTATGTTTAAGAAAAATAATAAATCTTGATATGATAAAGTTTACCTTTTCGCTCAAATATTCGCCAGCGAAACAATATATGAAAGCTTCAAGATTCATTGAGAGGTAAAATAGAACAGACTTGATTAAAATTGCAGCGGCATCTGGCGCACCAAGAGACTAAAATTTCCAAGTACAAACTATAACAGCAATTGTTTTTATGAAGGCTTCTCAATACTCTCGCAATTATCTTTCGATTTTAACATCAAGAATGAGAAGCCTTAACAATTACTGACGTTATTTTGTTTATACTTAATATTTTTAACATTGATTTTGTTGTTGTTACTCACGGTAACGATAATAAATCCTAAGCAACATATGATGAGCGTCTCTGATAAAAGTATCACTAGTGCAATGTATGTGTAAAGATTTTCAATTTTTTTTGCAAATAAAATAATCTGCTGATGCTTTGTAATTATTGATCGAATTGTAATCCCTTTGGATAAATGTATTACATTTGCGGAGAAAGCATTTGTCAGCCACTCACAAAGAATGTCGATTTGACCACCGACATGGAGTATCTAAAGTTTATCACTTGATGATCTTCAGTAAGATAAAATCCAAGGTGTTTAATTGTTCACAAAAGTTAAAAAATGTGTTACATTATTTATACATACATTGTAACGTTTCAGCATTAAAATATAATATGTAAGTTTGTGAAAAGCTTATATCTAACTTAAGTAATTTTTAAAGCGCTTTACAATTATCAAATAGTTTCTCTTTCATTGGCGGCCACAGAATGTTTAATTCAGAATTAACAAATACGTCGCATAAAAGTTGCATTATATACTTACCAAAGTTATTAGAAATAAATTTACAATTGCCATGCCGTAGCCTAGCAACAACAGATGATAAAATTCAACTGACTGAATTATCACGTAACTCACTTCCGTACTAATGTTAAAAGGAAATGTTGTTTTAAGGATAAGTTCTCGTGCGTACGGTTCCATTTTCTCAGGATTATTTACGTTAGCGGCGAGAACACCGACACTATACAAAGTTACAGCAGTCACTTGCAGGCTGATGATTACCATCGAAGTGCGGCGTGCCAGATTCGCCGTATTCGTCAGGACGCGTGAACTATAGTGATTCGAGTTGTAATCTTGCCAATCCGCGGTCATCATTTGCAAGAGATCGAAAAATATTCTAAGTAAAAAATCAGATTTATTGTTTGCAATTGCCTACTACTTTGGTCAGCTAATTCATAGTCCAATTTCATATTCAAATTCATCTCAAGTTTATCTTAAGATGCTGTACAATTTGTTTTATTGACTAAAGATCATCTGAAGATACAACCTAAGACGATCCCCAATATAGAAATTCACTATAAATGCCGACCTATAAAATTCACAAGCAATTTTCGCATTATTTTTTCCACAGCTTACCGTTGATTAACCCACAAAATAACGACTTTGATGTACAGCAGAGAACACGCTAGTACGTTACTTACTCCGTCCATGAATTGAGAAAAATCCGTATGAATGTTCATTATCAAGTATCGGTACTGAAAAATCTGAATTGTGCTGTACACCACGATCCAGTAGAATCGGAACAATATGGTAGACGGTAAAAAAGGCCAAATGCCGAAAATGTGCAGACCGAATGTAACTCCGTGGCTTAGAGTGGTCATCTGCATCTTTCGAAGTCAAAAGAAAAAACAGTTTCAAGTCTTAATCGCACGCGCGCACTATGCTTGTCAAATAAATTCACCAATATTAAAGTTTGCTCGCGGGTGGATCAACGAACAATACATCATCGGTCGATAATACCAATCATTACACGTCAAATATACATTTTTCCGTTGTATCATGTGAAAAGTTACGGCTATATAATTTTACTAATAGTGAAAATAGTGTGTTTGTGTTCTCACGTATGCAATTACACTCTTTAAATATGCAACGGGAAAAGTAAGAGCAAAAGACATTTTTCACGAAATGCTCAAACGCGAGCAAAGTTGAAAAGTTTGTCGGAGGGAAGTGTATTGCGATGGATAGCAAAGAAGGCACGCGAACACGTTGTAAGTGCTGCGAGGGAAAGACTATAACGCGAGGATCACAGTTTGCTCTGACGACGGTCGCGAGACGGATCGGAAAGTTCAAAGGCGATAAACGCAAAGACGATCAAAGCACTTAAAAAATCACGGACAACAGACTGAACTTACAAATATATTTGTTTTAAAGTACTTATCTATTTTTATAGAATAGTAATAATATTTCGCAATTTGTAAAATAACCATTTTGACAAATATCTTCAGATACAGAAAAAACCATCATGTGATCTCATTTAATAAACATTGAGTATTGTCAGAAAAGCCGATAACTTCTGTTGCGCCGCACGTATTGTTCTTGAAAAATTCAAGCAACGGAAATACACGTGCACCGGATTACTGATGCAAAGCCTTGCGGTTTTTGGAAACGAGAAAATTGTGAGAAAAAGATAAAAAAGAAGAGACCGAAGTTTTTTTCTACATTTCGAGATTGTTCGATCTCTTACCGCTGAAAAATATTTTTGACGTACTGTGTAATACTATCATTCGCGATCGAGATCAGTACATTGCCATTAGTACAGATATATACAATGTCGATGCCCACACAATCAAGATACGATTTGTTCGGAAAGAAACTGAAAAACGTAAGTAATCTAAAAATTATAGAATTATACGCTAATGAAAATTGTTCTTGAAAAGGAAGATACTTGATTTTTTCAATTGTATAGTTATTGTCTTTTAATTTGAATGATAAATAATCTCATTTTGCGCATTTTTGTTTCTTACATCTTACATTTACGATACATACACTATATATCTTCTCTTTGATCGGACAATTTCAGTTATTCACAAGAAATAAAATTAGAAGACCGTGGTTTTAAACATTTTTTTTTTATTAACATACTTAAATCTGTTTCTCTAATTGTCTTTTACCATTTGTACAGTCCAGTTTCAGTACATTGCTAATAGTACTGATATGTACGACGCCGATGCTTTTATAACCTACAATGTAAAAATGTTCTTCTGTAATATAATATAATTATAATGTTTTTGTGTAATATAATACAAATAATATTTAATATAAATATTAATAATTAATAATATAAATATTTATATCTCTTTAGTATAATATAATGCACGAAAGAAAGAGAAATATGTGAAAAATATATATAGCAAAGTTTAAAAAAACTTTAAAATTAATACTTATAAAAACTGTCAAACTTATAATGTTACACTAGCGAAACGTTCCAACGACAAGATCATGATCTTCCCGCTCGTGATCGTCAATGTTTTCTGTGATCTTAAAATAACAAACAATATATTTCGACTCTTCGTAGCTGGACAGTCATACCAAACAGAATCGTACGCTGCGATTTCGATCAACTTACTCTAAAAATAAAATATAATGATTACTTAAGAATGATAAATTCTGATATAAGACTGACGTAATAAAGCTCACCTTAGCGCTCAGATATTCGCCAGCAAAACAATATATGAAGGTTTCAAGATTCATTGCCATGTAAAAAAATACAGACTTGACTAAAATTGCAGCAGTATCGGGCGCATCAAGAGACTAAAATTTCCAAGTACGAACAATAACAGCTATTTTTTATCTTAAAGCTCCTCAAAGACGGTTACCCCAGTAATCCGTCTTTGAATTTTAACATCAAAAATAAGAAACCTTAACAGGTAATGACATTACTTTGACCATATTTAATATCTCAAGCATTGATGTTACTCACGGTAACGATAATAAATCCTGCGCAACATATGATGAGCGTCTCTGATACAAGAATCACTAGTGCAATGTACGTGTAAAGATTTTCAATCTTTTTTGCAAATAGAATAATCTGCTGATGTTTTGTAATTATTGATTGCATTGATATTTCTTCTGATAAATGTTTTATATTTCTGGAGAAAGCGTTTGTCAACCATTCACAAAGAATGTCGATTTGGCCACCGACATGAAGTATCTAAAGTTTATCATTTTATGATCTTCAGTAAGATAAAATTCCAGGTGTTTGATTTGTGCACAAAAGTAAAAAGATATGTTACACTAGTGTTACTTATCTTTTACGTATATACATCGTAGCATTACAGCATTAAAAAATAATATATGTGTTTGTAAAAACATTATAACTAAACTACATAAGTAACTTTTTAAGCGCTTAACAATTATCAAATTGTTCTTCTTTCATTAATAATCACTCGATTTTTAATTCAGAATTTACAGATATGTCGCACAACAGTTGCATTATACACTTACCATAGTAATTAGAAATAAATTTACGGCTGCCATACCATAGCCTAGCAACAACAGATGATAAAACTCAACTGACTGAATTGTCAAGTAACTAAATTCCGTACTAATGTTGAAAGGCAACGCCATTTTGAGAATATGGTCCCGCGCGTACGATTCCATCCTCGCAGAAGTACCTGCATTAGCAGCGAGAACACTGGCACTGTAAAAAGTTATGGCAACCACTTGCATGCCAATGATCACCATCGAAGTGCGGCGCGCCAGATTCGCCGTATTCGTCAGGACGCGAGTACTATAGTGATTCGATTTGTAGTCTTGCCAGTCCGTGATCATCATTTGCAAGAGATCGAAGAATAATCTAAGTAAAAAGTCAGATTTATTGTTTGCAATTTACTATTACCTCAGCTAGCTTATTTATAGTCTGATTTCATATTCAAGATCATCTCAAGTCCATCTTAAGATGCTGTACGATCTGTTTTATTGATTAAAGATCAACTGAAAATACAACCCAAGACGATCTCCAATATATAATCTCTCACTAAAAATGCCGACATATAAGCTCGGTTTTGCACACGCAATATTCGCATTATTTCTATCACAAGCACAGCTTACCGTTGATTGACCCACAAAATAACGAGTTTGATGTAAAACAGAGAACACGATAGTACGTTACTCACTCCGTCCATGAAGTGAGGAAAATCGTCCGTATAAACGTTCATTATCAAGTATCGGTACTGAAAAACCTGAATCGCGCTGTACACTACGATCCAGTAACATCGAAACAATATGGTAGACGGTACGTAAGGCCAGACGCCGAAAATGTGCAGACCTACTGTAACTGCTCGGCTCAGTGTGGTCATACGCATTATTCAAAGATAAAAAAAAAAAAAAAGTTCGGGGTTTAACTACCCCAAACTGTAGTCTAAAGGCCGGAAGGTTTATTTTAATTACTTTGAAAAAAGCAATTTGAGGCTTAATTACCAGCGCACACTACGATTATCAAATAACTTTATCAATACTAAAGTCGCGCGCGGCTGTATCAAGGAACAGTACATCACCGGGTCAATGACACTCATCACTGCACGTCAAATATACATATGTCCATTGTATTATGTGAACAGTTGCAGCTATAAAATTTTATGAATAGTAAGAAAAGCGTGTTTCTCCCTGCAATCTCACGTATGCAATTGTGCATTCTTTAAATATGCAACAAGAAGAAGAATAAAGAGCAGTTTTCGCGAAATCTTGAAACGCGAAGAAAGTTTAAAAGTTTGTTCGAGGGAAACGTATCGCGAAAAGTAGCGTGGGCGGCACGCGAACACAATGTAAGTGTCTGTCGCGAGGGAAAGACTATAATGCAAAGATCACAGTTCGCTCTGTCAACGATTGCAAGACGAATCGGAGAATTTGAAGGCGATACACGCAAAAAAACGGTCAAAGCACAGAAAATAATTAACGGTAGTGATGTGCGGTTTGATGCCGCAAGCGCGATCACTGATTTTCATCTCTTTAGTAACTTGTCTTCATATTTTTCGAAGATCATATAAGAGAGCGCGTGAAAGAATTCGTGTTCGCTAAGAAATTCGAAAGAAGGAGTTGCTTGACATAGCACAACATAGCAGGTCTCAAATCGCTTTATCAATCAAAAATCACTTACTAATTATTCTCACAATCACGTAACGCAAACTTTGAAGAAGTTGCAAACCACGCGTAACAATCTCAGCGACGACCCGAGGTGTCGGAAAAACATGAAAAGCAAGAGGCTCTCTTTTCTTTTGAGTCGAGTTTTCGACTAACGCCGTTTTCGCGAATACGATTTAAAAATGCAACAAGCTGCGAGTTCGCGAGTGCGGTTTTCACCACCCGCGCTCGCCACGAAGGTGAAAAGTTTTGTTGTTGCTGAGAAAAAAAAGACGAAAATATATTGCGTAAATTAGTTACGGGGCAGTGTTCTGTATATTGAGCGCAAAAATTATATCTAAGCTAAGATTATAGTTTGTTTTACTAGTGATCGTCCCACACGTGAGAAATACGTGACAGCAATATATACTGAAACATTTGACAAAAGAAGATTAACAATTTATCTCTTTACAAGTACTTTTTTTTTCTTTCCAAAAATATCAAGAGAAAGCAAACTTGTAACAGTCTTTCTCTAGTGTAAACCAAATATCATTTTCTGCATATAAACAGATTAAACTTTATTGAAAAAAAAACAATTTACCTTTACTTTGCATTATTGTGTTGTAATTTTTACACATGTATGTGATAATATATATCTTCTATTTGATCAAATACGTTTAGTTACATCAGATAAAATTTGAAGACCGTGGTTTTAAACATCTCTTTTTATTAAGATAATTAAATCTATTTCTACAATTGTTTTCTACTATTTTTATAGTCGGGTTTCAGTACATGGCTAATAGTACTGATATGTACGATGCGGATGCTTTTATAACCTGCAATTTTTAAAATATTTTTGTGTAATGTAACATAAATAGTGTAATATTTAAATTTTTATGTTATCAATTTTTATGTTTAATACACGAGAGAAAAAAAAGAAGATGTGTATATAATATATGTAAAAATTTATACAGTCTGCAGATATGTTTAAAATTTCAGTAATTTAGAAAAAATGACAAATTTATATTGTTACACTAGTAAAACGTTCCAACGACAAATCCATGATCCGTCCGCTCGTGATCGTCAATGTTTTCTGTGATCTTAGAATAATAAACAATATAATTCGGCTCTCCGTAATCGGACAGTTATACCAAACAGAATCATACGCTGCATGTCCGATCATCTTACTCTGAAAATAAAATCCAATAATTAATGAAGAATAATTAATCCCGATATGAGACTGACGTGATGAAGCTCACCTTGGCAGTCAAATATTCACCAGCAAAACAATATATAAAAGCTTCGAGATTCATCGTGATGTAAAATAACACAGACTTGACTAAAATAGCAGCAGCATCAGGCGCATCAAGAGACTAAAATTTCGAAGTACGAACAGTTTAATACTTTCTAAAAATACGAACAGTAACATCTATTTCTTATATTCTTATATAAGCTTCCCGACACTTTTTAATTCATATTTGGATTTTAACATCAGGAATGAGAAGTCTTAATATATAGTTATTGACATCATTATGTCCAAACTTAATATCTCACGCAGTGGTTTTCTTGATGTTACTCACGGTAACGATAATAAATCCTAAACAACATATGATGAGCGTGTCTGATAAAAGCATCATTAGCGCAATGTACGTGTAGAGATTGTCAATATTTTCTGCAAATAAAATAATCTGCCGATGCTTTGTGATTATTGATCGCATTGTGATCTCTTCTGATGAACGTACATTTCTGGAGAAAGCGTTTGTCAACCATTCACAAAGAATGTCGATTTGACCACCGACGTGAAGTATCTGAAGTTTACAACTTGATGATCTTCAGTAAGATAAAAAATCTTAGTTTTTTAATTGTTCAAAAATTTAAAAAGCTATACTACACTATCTATACGTACATTTTAACATTTCAATATTACAATAGAATGTATAAAATATTGTGACAAAATTACAATTTACCTAAATAACTGTTTAAGCGCTTAACAGTTCACAAAGTGTTTTTCTTTTATTGATGTTCACAAGATTTTTAATTCAGAACTTACAGAAATGTCGTGTAACAATAGCATTTTACACTTACCAAAGTGACTAGCAATGAATTTACGATTGTAATGCCACAGCCCACCAACAGCAGATGATAAAATTGAACCGACTGAACCGTCAAGTAAATAGACTCCGTACTAATGTTAAAAGGAAACGCCATTTTGAGAATAAGTTCTCGCGTGTTCGGTTCTATCCTCTCAGGATTACCTACGTTAGCGGCGAGAACACCGGCACTGTAAAAAGTTACAGAAGCCACTTGCATGCCGATGATCCACCTCGAAGTGCGGCGTGCAAGATTCGCTGTATTTGTCAACACGCGTGAACTATGGTGATTCGAGTTGTAGTCTTGCCAATCCGTGGTCATTATTTGCAAGAGATCGACAAATCTTCTATGTAAACAATCAACAAAAATTTATCGGTTGCATTTGTTTCTACTACTCAGGCCAGGAATCTTATTCTGTACACTCGTGCCAACAATTGTCGGCTTGATGTGTGTCGGTACGCAGCTGTTTTGTTATCAAACTAGCTGCACAACGTCACATATCGCATCGATAATTGTCGGTACAAATGTACAGAATAGGACTTCTATTTATAATTTGATTTCATATTCGAGATCACATCCCAAGTTCATTATAAGATGCTGTAGAATCTGATTTAATGACTGAAAAATCATTTGAAGAAGAACTACAATGTTTCCCACTATTAAATTTTCCTTTAAATGCCGACTTATAATATCGGTTTTGCACACGCAAGTTTTGCATTATTTTTTCCACAAGCACATCTTACCGTTGATTGAGCCACAAAATAACAAGTTTGATGTAAAGCAGAGAAGACGCCATTGCGCTACTCACTCCGTCCATAAATTGCGAAAAGTCGTCCGAATGAATGTTCACTATCACGTATCCGTACTGAAAAACCTGAGCGGTGCTGAGCATCACAATCCAGTAGAATCGAAACAATATGGTAGATGGTACGTAAGGCCAAATGCCGTAAACGTGCAGTCCCAATGTAACTGCGCGGCTCAGCGTTGTCATTCGCATCTTTTGAAGATTAAAAAAAACGCTTCAAGGCTTAATCGCGCGCGTGCATTACGCTTGTCAATCAATTTCACCAAATACTAAAGTTTGCTCGCGGGTGGATCGACGAACTACGTCATCGGTCAATGACACCAATCACTGCTTCAATATACGTGCAGATATTTTCATTGTATCACGTGAAAAGTTGCGGCTATATAATTTTACGACTAGTGAAAAAATCGTGTTCGTCCTCTCAATCTCACGTATGCACTTGTACACTCTTTAATTATGAAACGATGAAAGGAGGGTCGAATAGCAATTTTTACGAAATGCTCAAACACGCGCAAAGTTGTAAAGTTTGTTCGAGGGAAACGTATCGCTAAAGATAGGGTGGGAAGCACACGCGCACGCAAGTGTCTGTTGCGAAGGGAAGACTATAACGCGAGGATCAGTTCGCTTTATCCACGGTTGCGAGACGGATCGGAAAATGATAAACGCACGTAAAACAACATGTAAAAAAGAAACTAAACTTTCAAGTGTATTTTTTCTGAGGTAACTATTTTATAATATATTATTTCGGAAATTTTTCAAATAACGTTTCGTCTGATATTTTGTTTCGCAGTGATTGAAGAAAGTGAGTTCATTTTTTAATTAGAATAAATTCGATCGAACGTGTCAGATAAGAGGATCAAGGTGAAATTTGTAATTTTGGCTTGTCGTCCAAAAGAAAACAAATCGATGTTATCTCAGCAAACAACGTGTTTCACAAAAAATACATTAGCTATGACGCCCTCGTTCAGACTGCAAATAGGAAAATTGCTAATTGTATAAACGGCTTGACGGAACTAAAAGTACTATATTCTTCTGCACGCGACGGCATATAAGCGGCGGCATAGAGCACGTTAAGCTTTCAATACATCGCGTGTAACACCGACACGTATGATGCCGAGGCTTTCACGATCTACAACAGATATATGATAAAGGCCAATTACGGCCATCGTTCGTGAACATTGTATTGCGATCAAGCGACTATAGGAAACGTTAACCCGATTGTCAAAACATCATATCTAACAAACAGATATAGTTTCCCGTAATCGCTTTTATTATTTTCGCCAAATTCTTACAGCGGTGAATTGTTTCAAAGACAAGTCCATGATCTTTCCGACTGTGAGCGTCAAATGCTTCTGCGATCTAACGATTATAAATAAAACATCTCGATTTTGAGTCGGTGTTAGATTGTACCAGAGCGATTCATACGCTGCGTCGCCGATCATTTTACTCTACAAAATACGGTAAATTAGAAAAAACTAACAGAACATTATACAGTTACACGTGTACAGTTAAGCAATAATATTCTTGTACTGACTTTCTTACTGAGATGTTCTCCTACGAAGCAAAGTATAAATGCCTCTGTGTTAATAACTAAATAAAAGACCAAGGACTTTACTAGCATCGTTGATCCGTTCGGAGCGCCAAAAGACTGAAATTTTTGCAACATCTCGTACTTCGAAGAAATTATGTTATATTAGTTTACTCACGATTACAATGAGAAATCCTAAACAGCAGATAACTAAAGTGTTTGATACAAATTGCATGAGCGCGATGTTCGAAAACAGAGCCTCTATATTTTTTGAGAAGATGATGATGTTTTGATGACGAACAATCAGCGTTTTTATAATATTCTCGGCTATATGACGTTCGATGTCTTTCTGTGAAATTTCACTCAATTTCTGTCGCACTAGATCGATCTGTCCAGATACGTGAAGAACCTGAATATTATAAGAGTAGCAAAACACCAACTTATCATAATAGATAACGATAAATAATATATTAAAATAAATAAAAATGTATGTAATCAAGAAGTAATAAAATGCATGTAATCAATAATTTTTTTATTTAATAATTTTTATAATCAATACTATAAAAATAGTACACTATAATACAAGTAATCATTTTCTTTGTGTATCAGGAACGTAACATCAGTTTAGTAAATAAGTAAAGCCATTCTTTAACATTCTGTTAACATATCTCGTTTTCTTACTTTTCAAAATTATTTACAATGTGTACAAACAAAGCATTCACACTTACCAACGTTATCAACAGGCAATCCAATACACCCGCCATACTAGCTGCGCTCGTCTGATGTATAAATTGTGTAACAAGAATAGCTACGTACACTGATGCGTTGTCGATTGTGAAGGGTAATTCCATTATAAGGAGAAGCTCTCGAGCATCAGTCTGATTGCCGCTTCTGTGTCTCAAGAGTGTGCCAGTCGCATAAAAGACCACCGACGTTGCATTGCAAGCAATTATTAAATTTGAGAATCGACGAGAAATATAAGCCATCTTTGTCATCGTGTGATCGTCAGAAACGTCGCGCGTATTCCAATCTTTAACCATAGACGCTATCATTTCGTCTAATAAACTATAACGAATTTAAAATACTTCGAACACATATCGGACGCAAAACCGTTACTTATTTTTTTTTTATTTTACCAAATTATCACCCAGCCGATTATACATACATCATTGCAAAATGTGACTTTTGGGCGAATTAAAAATTATTTACAAATTTAGAATGCGCAATACAAATTTTTTAACATTTATTTTATACAAATTGAAAATTAATTTCTTCTTTTTTGTGATTTATATTATCAAACCGAAGAAGCTTACCGTACGTTGAGCGCGAAAATAATCAGTTTAATTAATAGAATACTATAAGCCAGAGTGGCGCTTAAAACATCAATAAGAACTAGTAAGTCTTCCTCGCCGAAATGCATAATCACATACTGATACTGAAAGACTTGGAACATCATCATCAAGAGTATGTAGAAGATTCTGCGTAAAAATGCGTGCGACGTGCCGGGCCACACGCCAATTAAACGAAGTCCGAACTCCACAGAGGGAGGACATACGATATTCGTCGACTTCATTTCGTTCTTCGTCAAATCCGAAGAAATCAATTTCACAACTCGGGGATGAAATCTATGTGATTTCGATAACTTTAACAAACTTGAGTGCATTTTTTGTTTTTGTTATACACAAAATATTAAAACACAATAAATACAATAAAGAACACTTTGATTTGCTACGTAAAATGTTCGAAAGTTACATCGTGTGTTCCGATGTATTGCAAAATTTTGACGTGACATCGGATGGATGATGAATTTTTTCGATTAAAGCATGATCGGTTGTAGTCCTGGATAGATATGATCGGTCGAGAAGTTGTAGTTAGACTGCAACATTCTACGAAGCTACGCTCTGTCGCTCAATCCCCACTCCCTTCCATAAAAATTATACCGTTTTTTATCTTGAAAGCCACGAGTAAAACCGACGTTTCTATGATTGCTGTAATTGTAAAAAACGTAAGAAAGACGGCAGTGTATCTTCGTGTACTCATTAGTGGTTATTTACGTTAAAATTGCAGGAAAAATGTACAAGAGCTGGATACACGTGGAACAGACAAAATGAACAAACGAATGAGAAAAAAAAAAGAGAGAACGGTAGAAATTTATGAAGATGAATCGAACGCGGAGGTAAAAGTTTATGATAATAAAAGAAGAATGATGATAATAAGTGCGTTTGCCTTGGGCGCTCACGCGCTTTGAGCGTCGATTTATCTTTGTTCTACATTTTAAAGAGCAAGAAAGACGGACCGGCGTTGAAAGCGCGTAAATGCTCAAAGCGAACGCGCTGTAATTGCAAAAGAGAGACGGCAATGTATCTTCGTGTACTTATTAGTGGTCTGTCGAGCCGATGTCTTCGAGAAAAGCAGGAGACATATAAAACAAATTACAACGCATCTTTAAATTCAAGTAAAATATATTTATATTATTTTGTATAGCGTTCACGTTTGTAAGAAAATCGACTAATTAATATTTGAGAATAACAAAACATATTTTTCTCTAATAGCTACGTAATTTCTGCGATTATTTGCAGTTTTTAAGACGTAGCACCCAGCATGGCACGTAAGATGCAGATGTTTTAATGATCTGGAAGAAAGAAGGTAGATTTAAACATCGTCTTCTGTTACCTATCGTGCGAGTAATGATATAAAAATTTATTAAAATAAGAAATAATAATACATATATACAATCTCTGTTCTATTATACAGATCATCTGAAGACACATCCTAAATCTCGCTACAATATCTCGAAAGCGGATTTGCACGCGATTTTTGCAGTATCTTTTTTACATGCACACCTTCTCGTTGAATGATCTACAATTAATAAGGTTAAAACAAAAAAAAGATGCTTTTGCACTACTTATTCTGTCCTAAATGAACTATTTACATATCGATACTGAAAAACCTGTGTGAAGTGTGCTGAACATTACGATCCAGTAGACTTGAAACAGTAGACGATACGTAAAACCTGACGTCGTGCAGATCCAAATGTAATTACGCGGTTCAATTGCGATTGGTCATCCGCATTTTGCTTTTTTCGGAGACAATCACTCTTTCAACAAGCAAGTAGTGAAATAAGAACAAAAAAAAAACAGTTTCCACGAATTGCACAAACACAAAGCACTGCTGAAAAGTTTTATTTGAGGGAAGCGTATTGCGAGAAATAGGAAGGGAGAGGCAAACAAAGACTCATTATAGATGTCTGTTGAGAGGGAAAGACTATAAAGCGGAGATTGCGCAAGTTGGTGAACGATTGCGAGCAAGTCGGTGAGTTCGAAGGCGACAATGCAAAAGCGGTAAAAGCACATTAAAAAAAAAAAAAAAAAAAAAAAAAACATTTTGTATTGACTGATTAAAAAGTTGTTCTTATTTTTCCGTTAGATTGAATTCAAACACGTCAGGATCAAGATTAAAATTATAGTTTTGAGTTTATCGTCCAAAGGAAAGCGTAAATCATAGTAGTTTTCAAATCAACAAAATGTGTTCACGCAACATTAACTGTGACAATTCAATACAATTCTGAGACAGATATGATGAGAAAATTGCTAAACCCATAAACGGCTTGACGATAATAAAAGTATTATATTCTTCAGCATGCAAAGATATATATATATAAGCGGCACAAAATGTCCAAAGTTTCAATACAATGCGTGTAACACAGACACGTATGAAGCCGAGGCTTTCACAATCTGCAACAAATATGATAAAAGCCAAATTACGATCATCGTTTGCGAACATTATGTTGCGATAAAGCGACTAGAGAAAACGTCGCCCGACTTTCGAAACGTCATAACGTAATTCACAATTTCCTTTAGTCGCTTTTGTTATTCCGTCGCCAAATTCTTACGCTGGTAAATTGTTGCAAAGACACGTCCATGATTTTACCGATCGTGAGCGTCAAATGTTTTTGCGATCTTACGATCATAAATAAAACGAGTCGATTCTGAGTCGGCGTTAGATCGTACCAAACTGACTCGTAAGCTGCGTCGCCGATCATTTTGCTCTACAATGGGGTGAATTGTTAAACAACAAAATTCATTGCATTCTTGTACATATAAAAGCATGTGTTATACATACTAACTTTTTTACTGAGATATTCTCCTATGAAACAAAATATAAACGCCTCCATATTAATAATAATATAAAATAACAAACACTTTATTACCATTGTCGTTCCGTTCGGAGCACCGATAGACTGAAAAATTCATAATATCTCATATTTGTGAAAAGAGGTATGCTATTACAGTTTACTTACGATTACAATGAGAAATCCTAAACAACAGATAATTAAAGTATTCGATATAAACTGCATCAGCGCGATGTTCGAAAAAAGATTCTCGATATTTTTGGAGAAGATGATGATTTTTTGATGCCGAACGATCAGAGTTTTTATAATATTCTCGATCATATGACTTTCGATGTCTTTTTTCGTAATTTCATTCAGCTTCAGTCGCACTAGATCGATCTGTCCGCATACGTGAAGAACCTAAATATAATGAGAACACTCACAGTTTATATGCATCATACATGCTTATAAACAATATTTACAGTATACAATGGGTTTATGAATAATAATTATTATAAATAATTATGATAATAATTACTATAAATAATTATTATGTATAATTACTACTTCGCAAACACTAAAATATGAAGTAAACATTTTTTATGTATATATATATCCGCGGTGTAACACTAGTTTTTAAATAGGTAATGCAACTTTTTAATATATTCTGTAACACTATCTCGTTTTCCTTTTAAAACAAATTATTTCCGGAAACAATTTAGAATTTTTTAAAATAAAACATTTTTTACTTACCAGCGTTATTAACACGCAACTGAACACACACGTTATACTAGCTGCGCTTGTTTGATGGATAAACTGTGTGACAAGAATAGCCACGTACACCAGTACGTTGTCGATCTCAAAAGGCAACTCCATTTTAAGGAGAAGTTCTCGAGCGTCTGTCTCATTGCCGCTCGTATGCCTCAAAAGTGTGCCAATCGCATAAAAGACCACTGACGTTGCATTGCAGGTAATTATCAAATTTGAGAATCGACGAGAGATATGAGACATCCTGGTCATCGTAAGATCGTCAGAAACGTCGCGCGCATCCCAATCTTCAACCATGGACGCTATCATTTCGTTTAATAAACTATAACGAATTTAACAACCTCAAACAAATATTGATTAATATTGTGTGACGCAGAAATGTTATTTATTGTTGATTTATTTTACCGAATACCCACTCAAGTTATATTTATCAATACAAAATTTGACATTTGCGCAAATTAAAAGGTATTTACAAAATACAGAATATTCAACATGTTTATTTTAGAAGAACTAGATACTTACTTTTATCTTTCTTTTTATTATTAATGTTATCAAAAGAAGAGGGCTTACCGAGTTTTAAACGCGAAAATAATCAGTTTAATTAGTAAAAGACTATAAGCCAGAGTCGCGCTTAAAACATCTATAAGGACTAATAAATCTTCTTTGCTGAAGTGTTTAATCACATACTGATACTGACAAATTTGGAACACCACCATCGAGAGTATACTGAGAAATTTGCGGGAAAATGCGTACGACGTGCCCGGCCATACGCCAATTAAACGAAGCCCAAACTCCACAGAAGGAGGACATACGATACTCGTTGATATCATTTCGTTTTTTGTCGTATTTGAATTAATCAATTTTACGAGGTAGTGGAGATACCTACATATTTTTGTTAAACTTAGTTAATTCGACTGCTTTTTTTTTATTTCATCACATTTACACAAAATATAATACACTATATATGTACAAGAAAGAATATTCTGATTTGTTACGTCAAATATGTTCGCTGCGAAAAATGCACCGATTGCACCAATGTATTGCAAGGTTTAGACGTGGCATCAGTTAGATGATGAATGCCAAACTTTCCGACTAAAGCATGATCGTTTTCGTAGTCGTTAGATACGTCCGATCGATCGAGAGATTACAGTTTGACTGTGAATTTTTACAAAGCTATACTCTGTCGCGTTATCCCCACTCCTGAGACCATAAAAATTACACACTTTTTATTGTACCGCTTTTTATCTTGGAAATTACAAAGTAAACTTGACGTTTCTATGATTGCTGCAATTGCAAAAACATAAGAGAGACGCTACGTATCCTCGTGTGCCGTATCGACGGTCTGTTATTTACGTTAAAAATGCAAGAAAAAGTACAAGGACTGAATGCACAAATTGAACAGATGAATAAAACGATAAAAGTCAAAAAAATAGTAGAAGGTTGTAAAGATGAGGCAAACGCGAAGGTAAAAGTTTGTGATAATGAAGGAAGGATAATAATAATGTGTCTCTTCGAGAAGAATCGAGCAGAAGACACATAAAAAAAACAATTGCTAAGCGTCTGTAATTTTAAGTAAAATATTTTCATGTTCTTTTGTAATCGTACGCGTTCATAGAAAATCGATCATTTAATATCTGAGAATAAAAAAAGCACAAACATACATTTTCTGTAATATAATTACAAATTCTCATTGATTATTTACAGCCTTTAAGTAGCACAGATGCGGCGCAGATGCGTAATGTGCAGATGTTTTAATAATCTAGAGAAAAAAAATACGATCTAAATACGATCTTGTGATATAATGGAACAGAAAATAATATGTATTGTTTACATTGTGATATAATATTTATTTTAAAAGTGGCACAAGAGAATATCTCGTAATGCATTATTAACAGTCACAATTAAAAATCCAAGTGTTGTAAGTGATCAAAGTTTTCTCTATAAATTTTCTCTTTCTTGCGTGAGAGTTAGGTATCTTACGTATGAGAAAACAGTCGTGATATTAGTCGAGAGCGCGATAATTCTATGGTGTCGACATATTAGAGCTTGAATAGTTGGGGCTTGCAAGTCGGACGCATTGTCGCCCGAAGATATGTTCACCAACCCTCGGCACTTAATATCGATCTGACCACCTACGTGAAGAATCTAAAAATAACGGTCACACCGCTCTTGTGTTTCTCCAACTTAAAAGAACAATTAATCAACTTCAAAGAACAATTAAAAATATGTCGCAAAATATACCTGTGTGTGTGTACGTGTGTGTGTGCCGTTTCCAAAAATGTCAATATTTTTTGACAAAGAATGTCGATTTGTCTATTTCCATATAGTGTCTAAACGAGAATCTTAATAAATCTATAAAATGTATCTTTTTATATTATATTGTTTTGTCAAAAGTGTATTTATAAAATTATGCATTTTTCGTTTAAGATACTCTGAGTCAACTTTAAACGGATATTATCTACTGTACTACAGAAACAAAAACCAATTCACGGCGATGATAATGATTTGAAGCAACATGTGATGAAAACATCTGATGAGAGTATCACGAGTGCAACGTGTAGAGATTACCAACATTTTCTGCAAATAGAACGAACTGATGCTTGAAAGTTAACGTTTGCTTATCTCTTTTTTGTTGAATGTGTGTCATATTTTTGCGGAAAGCGTTTGCCAACTATCGCGAAGAAGATTTGACCACCGATATGACATAACATAACCAAAGTTCATAACTTCATGATCTTTAGAAAGGTAAGATTTCAGGTTTTAAAATATTCAAAAATTAAAAAGATAAAAATTGTTTATACATTTCAACATGTCTTATATATATTATTGTGTCAATCTTGTTGAGACTGCAAGTAGAAACATTGCTAATTATACAAACGGCTTACAAGAGCACTATATTCCTAAAAGTACTACATTCTTCAGCACGTAATGGCATACACGAGGTATAGAATGCGCTAAGATTTTAATACATCGCGTATAACACCGACACGTACGATCCCGAGGCTTTCACAATCTACAACAGATATATGATAAAAGTCAAATTGCGACTATAGTTCGCGAACATCATGTCGCAATCAAGCGACTAGAAGAAACGTCGCACGGTTATAAAAGCATTATTTCTGATAACATTCGCAGATATAAATTTCCCTTTAGTCGCGGTTGTTACTTTCGTCAAATTCTTACGCTGGTAAATTGTTGCAAAGACAAATCTGTGACCTTTCCGATCGTGAGCGTCAAATGCTTCTGCGATCTTACGATCATAAGTAAAAGATTTCGAGTTTGGGTCGGAGTTAGGTGGTACCAAAGCGACTCGTACGCTGCGTCGCCGATCATTTTGCTCTACAATATACGATCAATTGTTAAACAACAAAATGCAATTCACGTATTGCATTTTTGCAGACGTTAACATATGCATTGTATACTAACTTTCTTACTGAGATGTTCTCCTATAAAGCAAAATATAAATGCCTCTATGTTAATAACAATATAAAAGAACAAAGACTTGATCAGCATCGTTGTTCCGTCCGAAGCGCCAATAGACTGAAAGTTTCGCAATATATCTCGTACTTCGAAGAATTTATGTTATTTTAATTTATACTCACAATTACAATGAGAAATCCTAAACAGCAGATAATTAAAGTGTTCGATATAAATTGCATCAGCGCGATATTCGAAAAGAGAATCTCGATGTTTCTGGAAAAAATGATGATTTTTTGATGCCGAACGATCAATGTTTTTATGATACTTTCGGTCATTTGACGTTCAATGTCTTCCTTCGTAATTTCCATCAACTTCCGTCGCACTAGATCGATCTGACCGCATACGTGAAGAACCTAAATATCACAATAGCAGCACTTACAGCTTATATATTACATATAACGATAAATAATATTTACACACACAATATTGCGTTTATAAATAAATTCTTATAAATAAATAGTACTATAATAAATAAAATAAAAGTTGAAATTAACATTTTTTTGAACATTTGTAGAGTAACATCAGTTTTTAAATACTGTTTTTTTACCGCAACTTTTTAATATTCTGTAACATTTTTTTTTAAATTGTCAGAAACATTTGCAAACTGCAACAAATGCATTTGTACTTACCAGCGTTATTAACACGCAACTGAACACACTCGTCATACTACCTGCGCTCGTCTGATGGATAAATTGTATAACAAGAATAGTTATATACACTGATGCATTGTCGATGTTGAACGGCAACTCTACTTTAAAGAGAAGTTCTCGAGCGTCAGTCTGATTACCGGTTCTATGCCTCCAAAATGTGCCAGCCACATAAAAGATCACCGACGTTGCATTGCAGGCAATTATCAAATTTGAAAATTGACGAGAGATATAAGACATCCTGGTCATCGTAGAGTCGTCAGAAATGTTGCGCGTCTTCCAATCTTCAACCATGGACGCTATCATTTTGTCTAATAAACTGTAACGAATTTAAAATACCAAAAACAAATATTGACTACTAGTGTTACGCAAAAAAAAACAAGTACTTATAAAAACCTTTAACATATTTTTGTTATAAAACTTGTACGTGCAATTTTATTTTGTGATAATTTTTATCAAACCGAAGAACCTTACCCAGCGTTCAATGAGAAAATAATCAGTTTAATTAACAGAAGACTATAAGCCAGAGTCACGCTTAAAACATCTATAAGAACTAATAAATTTTCTTTGCTGAAGTGCTTAATCACATACTGATATTGAAATATTTGAAACACCACCATCGAGAGTATGCAAACAATTCTGCGTGAAAATGCGTGCGACGTGCCGGGCCATACGCCAATTAAACGGAGCCCGAACTCCACGGAAGGAGGACATACAATATTCGTCAACTCCATTTCGTTCTTCATCAAATACGAATTCATCAAGTTTACAACTTCGTGATATCTGTACGGTTTTGTTAACTTTAGTCAACTTGAATTCATTTTTTGTTTTCATTATACACCCAATATATTACACAATAAATACAATAAAAATACACTCTGATTTTCTATATCAAATATTGTTCGTTGCGAAAATTGCACTGCTTATACCGATGTATTGCAAAATTTTGACGTGGCATCGGATAGATGATGAATGCCAAATTTTCAGACTAAAGCATGATCGGTCGTGGTCCTAGATAGATATGAGCAGTCGGAAAGTTGCAGATAGACTGTGACATTTTACAAAGCTACACTTGGTCGCGTAATCCCCACTCTTGTGACCATAAAAATTATACCGTTTTTTTATCTTGACAGCCACGAGTAAAACCGTTTCTATGATTGCTGCAATTGCAAAAACGTAAGAGAGGACTCTACGCGTCTTCGTGCACTCATCGACAGTCTGTTATTTACGTTAAAAATGCAGGAAAAATGTACAAGGGCTGAAGGTACGCGAATATAAAGTGAACAGACGAATGAACACTAAAAAGAAAAAACAAAGAATTGTAGAAATTCATGAGCATGAATCGAACGCGGAGGTAAAAGTTTATGATAATAACGGACGGATGATAATACCGTGTCTCTGAGAAATATCGAGCAGGAGACACACACAAAAAAAAAATAATGATAATTGCATCTATAGTTTCAAGGAAAAAAATATACTCATGTTAGTTTGCATATAATCACATTCATAGAAAAATTATCAGTTAGAATCGGAAAATAACGAAATGTACATACATTTTCTATAATAACTACGAAGTTTTGTTTGAACATTTATAACTTTTAAGACACAGTGTGTAGCACAGAGAGACACATGAGATGCAGATAGTTTAAAGATCTGATAGAAAACTGACTGAAATAATATCTTGTGATATCCACTATGCGATCGTTGATAAATGTGATGTATAAAAAATTAATATTGGAAACAGTAATATGTGTAATGAGTGTGTGAAAAAATGTACTATTGTTTTAACGAATTGTTCTAAATCTAGATATATTATTAGCATGAGACAATATCTTATTGTAGTGCTTGATGCTTGCAACTCGAACGCACTGTCACCCGAAGAGATTCCTACCAACCCTCGGTAATTAGTATCGATTTGACCATCTACATGACGAATCTAAAAATAACGGTCAACGCTCTCCAATGTGTTTCTCCAACTCGAAAGAATTAAAGATTATAATACGTTGCAAACACGGAAAGCACAATTGCACACAATAATTCTTTTTTTCTAAGTGTTCATCTTGCCGTTGATTGATCCACAAAACTACGAGATGTAAAACAAAGGAGATTTAAACGCGCTATTATTATCTCTGTTCGTTGGAAGTTGTTCAAATGAACAGTTACTATTATATCGGTACTGAAAAACCTGAATCGTGCATCTTATAGGATCGTGATCTTATAGAATCGTGATCTTATAGGATCAAAACAGTAGGTTGTTAAGACGTGAAATCAAACTCCGTAAAGTGCAGAGCTAATGTAAAACGTTTCACAAGGATTAATCGCGCGCTTTACGCTCGTCACCAAAATTTACTAATATTAAAGTCTGATCGTAGACCAACGCACAGCTCATCTTTATGTTATCCGTCAGTGATACCTTCCACATGGATATCTTTAGTCAACAACATGTTCAAGTATTATACATTAGCTGTGACATCCCCCGTGAGACTTCAAACAGGAAAATTGCTAAAAAGAAAAATAACCGGTTTGATAGTAAACATACTATATTCTTCTGCACGCAATGGTATATAAGTGGCATAAAACGGGTTACGGTTTCAATACATCGCGTGTAACACCGACACGTATGATGCCGAGGCTCTTACAATCTACAACAGGTTTATGATAAAAGCCAAATATGGCCGTCGGTCGCAAACATTGCGTTGCGATGAAGCGACTAAAAGAAACATCAACAAGTTATCATTTTTGATAATGATTTTACAAACAAATGGTTTCCCTTAGTCGCTCTTATGTTATTCTTTTAAAATTCTTACGCTGGTAAATTGTTGCAAAGACAAATCCATGACTTTTCCAATCGTGAGCGTCAAATGCTTCTGCGATCTTACGATTATAAATAGAAGATCTCGATTCTGTGTCGGCGTTAGATCGTACCAAAGCGACTCATATGCTGCGTCGCCAATCATTTTGCTCTACAATATGCAACAAATTGTTAAACAACAATACTCATGTATTATATTGCATTTTTGGAGACATTGTGAGTAAACTAACTTTCTTACTGAGATGTTCTCCTACGAAGCAAAATATAAATGCTTCTGTATTAATAGCAATGTAAAAGAACAAGGATTTTACTAGCACCGTTGATCCGTCTGGAGCATCAATAGACTGAAATTTTTCGCGATATTTCGTACTTCGAATAAGTTATGTTTTATTTCAGTTATTTACTCACGATTATAATGAGAAATCCTAAACAGCAGATAATCAAAGTATTCGATATAAATAGCATCAACGCGATATTTGAAAACATAGCCTCGATATTTGTAGAGAAGATGATGATTTTTTGATGCCGAACGATCAATGTTTTTATGATACTTTCGGTCATTTGACGTTCGATGTCTTTCTTTGTAATTTCAACTAACTTCCGACGCACTAGATCAATCTGTCCGCATACGTGAAGAACCTAAACATCACGATAAGATTTCTCACAGTTTATACATCATATAGAACGATAAATAATCTTCACAGTAATGTGCTTCGAAATAATTCTTAGTATTATAAACAATCTTTTTTTTTAAATATAAAAACTAAAAATATTCTTCTTATATCAGTGGTGTAACCAGTTTTTGAATAGATAATGTAAAATTAATTCTTTTTTTTAATTTACAGAAACATTTACACAAACTGTAAAAACATTCGAACTTACCAGCGTTATTAACAGGCAATCCAATACACCCGCCACACTAGCTGCACTCGTCTGTTGGATAAATTGTGTAACAAGAATAGCTACATACACTAATATGTTATCGATTGTGATGGGAATCTCCATTTTAACGAGAAGCTCTCGAGTGTCGGTCTGATTGTTGTGTCTGTGACTGAAGAATGTGCCAGTCGCATAAAGAAACACCGACATCGCATTGCAGACAATTATCAAATTTGAGAATCGACGAGAGATATCAGCTATTCTGGTCATCATATAAATCTCAGAAACGTCGCGCGTTTTCCAATCTTCAACCATGGACGCAATCATTTTATCTAATAAACTATATCCAATTTGAAATGTTTTGATCAAATAGTGAATAATATTACGCTAATTACTTTTTTTTTTTATCACTTTACCCGAATTTCATACTTTAGTGCAAAGTGTTACACTTTTGTACATTAAAAATTAGTTGCAAATTCAAAATATAAAATAAATGTGAGTAATATTATCAAACTGAGAGAAGAAGCTTACCGAGATTTGAACGCGAAAATAATTACTCTAATTAATACGAGACTATAAGCCAGAGTGACGCTTAAAACATCTACAAAGAGTAACAACTCTTTTTTGCTGAAATGCTTAATTATATACTGATATTGAAAGATTTGGGCCACCATTAACGAGAGTATGTAAAGAAATTTGCGTGAAAATGCGTGTGACGCTTCCGGCCATACGCCAATCAAACGAAGGCAGAACTCCACAGACGGTGGACATACGATACTCGTCAACTTTATCTTGTTCTTCATCGAATCCGAATATATGAGTTTCACGATTCGGTAGTGATAACTCTAAAGTTTCTCGCTAACTTTAGTTAAATCAACTTCCTTTTCTGTTTTCATTATATACACAAAATATAAGATATTATAAATACAAGTAATGACACTCCGATTTGATAAATTAAATATTGTTCGTTGCTAAAACGTGAGCATGATCGGTTGTTCTAGGTACGATCGGTCGAGAAGTTGCGGTGGGACTGTAAAAGTCTTTGAAGGTACAGTTTGTCGCGTAATCCCCACTCCTGTGATCATAAAAATTATACACTTTTTATCATGCTGTTTTGTATCTTGAAAGCTACGAGGAGAAAACCGACGTTTCTATGATTGCTGCAATTTCAAAAAAATAAGAGAGAGAGAGAGACGACTGTACATCCTCGCCTACTCGGCGTCCTGTTATTTACGTTAAAAATGCAAGAAAAATGTACGGGGACTGAATGCACGTGAATACAAAGTGAAACGAATAAACGATAAAAAAACCGTGGAATTGTAGAAATTTATGAGGATCGAACGCGGAGGTAGAAGTTTGTGATAATAAAAGAAGGATAATAATAACGTATCTCCGAGAAAAATCGAGCAGAAGACACATAAAAACAATTGCAATGCACTTGTCATTTCCATTAAAATATGTTCAAGTTGTTCTGTGTAATTGTACACGTTCGTGGAAAATCCATCATTTAGTTGTTTGAGAATAACAAAACGCACATACATCCATAATAGCTACAAAGTTTTTTTTGAATATTTACAACCATTAAGACATAGTATGCAGCACAGAGACATAAGATGCAAACGCTTTACTGATCTGAAGGAAAGAAATTACACTTGGATAATATGTATAACATTTATAATATGTTTAATATTTATCATGCGATTATTGATAAATGTGACGTAAAAAGTTATTAAACTAAAAAACGATAATATATGCATATAAAATGTCTGATAAAAAATATATTATTTTTTCCATAAAGTTTTTTAAATTTACTCCACAAAAGGTAAATTAACAACTTACATTTTTTAATGTATAGAAACCTACAATATTTTTATTCATTTGTAAAAGAAAAAAGTCGTAACTACTCTCATAATCACTTCGAACATTCTTTAATGTCCACAGACTAATGTAAAGTCTGTTATATTTTTTGTTGTATACACATACAAAGTTACGGTTATATAATTTCATAATTAATGAAAAAAGCGATGTCTTCTCTTTTTCTTATGAGCTTGATGCAAACGAACACTCTTTAAATAAACAAAGAGCAAGATAAAAACAAAAAAACAATTTTCACAAATTGCTTGCACACAAGCAATGTTGAAAAGTTTTGTTTGGGGGAAGCGTATCGCCGAGAATAGCAAGGAAAGGAAGCAAAGCAGACATATTATGTGTCTGTTGCGAGAAAAAGTCTATAACGCGAAAATCGCAATTGACTATGTGAACGGTTGCAAAACAGGTCGGTGAATTCGAAGGCGAATCCAAAGTACATACAAAAAACAAATTATAATGTACTTATTCTGAAGTAAAAAGAAAATTAAGTATCTTATAACATTAATAAAGAAAAAAATCTTATAACATTAATTAAGTATCTTATAACATTAAGTTATTTTACAATATTTACAATACACTTCTGCGTTTTGTTCGATTGCGTTTATGATGTGAAGTTTTAATTTTTATCTTTCTTAAAATTTTGCGTTGGATATTATTATTTGATACTGATTTAAAAAATTGCTTTCTTTTCGACGTTAGATCAGAATTAAATATGTGTCAAGATTAAGATTAAATTTATAGTTTTAGGAGTATCGCTTAAAGAAAAGCGCGCGCGCGAATCAGTTTTCAGGCAACAATGAATTCACGAATTACATACATTAGCTGTGAGCCTCGTTGAGACTCCGAATAAGAAAATTGTTAAACGCACAAATTGATAATAAAAGTACTATATTCTTCTGCACGCAATGGTATATAAATAGTATAGATCGCGCTATGGTTTCAATACATCGCGTGTAACACCGACACGTATGATGCCGAGGCTTTCACAATCTACAACAGGTTTTTTAATAAAAAAGCCAAATACGGTCAACGGTCGCAAGCATTTTGTTGCGATGAAGCGACTAGAAGAAACGTTGTCACCCGATTGTCGAAACATCATTTCTGATCATTTGTTTACAGACACAGTTTCCCTTAGTCGCTTTTGTTATTTCCGTCAATTTCTTACGCTGGTAAATTGTTTCAAAGACAAGTCCATGACTCTACCGATCGTGAGCGTCAAATGTTTCTGCGATCTCACGATTATAAATAAAAGATCTCGATTCTGAGTCGGGGTTAGATCGTACCAAAGCGACTCATACGCTGCGTCGCCGATCATTTTGCTCTACAACATACACGATACACTGTTAGAAAATATTACACCCCGCATTTTTACATACGCAACAATACGCGTTATTGTTTATACACTAACTTTTTTACTGAGATGTTCTCCTGCGAAGCAAAATATAAATGCTTCTGTATTAATAGCAATGTAAAAAACCAAGGATTTTACTAGCATCGTTGTTCCGTCTGGAGCATCAATAGACTGAAATGTTTGCAATATCTCACACTTCGAAGAAGTTATGTTATATCAGTTTACTCACGATTACGATTTGAAATCCCAAACAGCAGATAATTAATGTATTCGATATGAATTGCGTCAACGCGATAGTCGAAAAAAGAGCCTCGATATTTTTGGTGAAAATGATGATTCTCTGATGCCGAACGATTAATGTTTTCACGATACTTTCGGTCATTTGACGCTCGATGTCTTTCTTCGTAATTTCACTTAACTTCCGTCGCACTAGATCGATCTGTCCGCACACGTGAAGGACCTAAATAACACAATAAGAACACTCACAACTTTTTCATTTCATGTAACAATACATAATATTTATCATAATGTTTATATAACTATCAATTATTATATATAATCGCTGTTTTATAAGTAATGAAATATAAAATGTAAACATTTTTTTGTATATCAGTAGTGTAAAAAAGTTTTTAATTAGGTAATGTAACATGAGCTATTTTTTCTAATTTGCAGGATTGTTTACACAAACTGGAAAAAAAGTACTTACCAGCGTTATTAACACGCAATTGAACATACCCGTCATACTAGCTGCGATTGTCTGATGGATAAACTGTGTAACAAGAATAGCTACATACACCGGTATATTGTCCATTGTGAAAGGCACTTCCATTTTAAGAAGAAGTTCTCGAGTTTCGGTCTGATTATTATTTGTGTGCCTGAAGAATGTGCCAGTCGCATAGAAGAACACCGACATCGCATTGCAGGCAATTATCAAATTTGAGAATCGACGAGAGATATCAGCTATTCTGGTCATCATATAAATCTCAGAAACGTCGCGCGTTTTCCAATCTTCAATCATGGACGCAATCATTTCGTCTACTAAACTATATCAAAATTGAAATATTTCGAACAAATAATAAATAATATTACACTACTTAATTTGTTATTTTATCAAATTTTGCACTGAAATATAAAACCAGCGTTTCATATTTGAGTGCAAAACTATTTTGCAAATTCAAAATATAAAATAAATGTAATTAATGTTGTCAAAGCGGAGAAGCTTACCGAGATTTGAACGCGAAAATAGTCATTTTAATTAATAAAAGACTATAAGCCATAGTCACGCTTAAAACATCTATAAGAACTAACAAATTGTCTTTGCTAAAGTGTTTCATCACGTACTGATACTGACAGATTTGGAACATCACCATCGAGAGTATACTGAGAAATTTGCGGGAAAATGCGTGCGACGTGCCCGGCCATACGCCAATTAAACGAAGGCAGAACTCGACCGAAGGAGGACATACGATATTCGTCGACTCCGTCTCGTTTTTCATCGAATCCAAATCTATGAAGTTCACGAATCGATGATGATATCTATACAGTTTCTCGCTAATTTTAGGTAGCTCGGCTTCCTTTTCTGTTTTCATTATATACACGAAATATAATACACTCTAAATACAAGTAATGACACTCTGATTTGTTAAATTAAATATTGTTCGTTGCGAAAAATGCACTGAAATGCACTGCACCGAAGATTTGCAAGATTTTCACGTGGCATCGGGTGGACGATAAATGTTTTCCGACTAAATCATGATCGGTTGTAGTCTTAGATATGATCAGTGGAGAAGTTGCAGATGGACTGTGACACTCTACAAAGTTACACTTGGTCGCGTAATCCCCACTCTTGTGACTATAAAAATTATACCGTTTTTTATCTTGAAAGCCACGTGGAGAAAACCGGCGTTTCTATGATTGCTGCAATTGTGGAAAAATAAGAGAGAGACGGCTGTATATCCTCGCGTACTCATCGGCGCCCTGTTATTTACGTTAAAAATGCAGGAAAAATGTACGAGGGCTGAATATACACGTGAATACAAAGTGAACGAATAAACGGTAAAAAAACCGTAAAATTGTAGATGAATCGACGGCGACGGTAGAAGTTTATGAGAATAAAAGAAGGATAAGAATAATGTGTCTCGGAGAAGAATCGAGCAGAAGACGCATAAAAACAATCGCAATGCACCTGTCATTTTCATTAAAATATATTCATGTTGTTTCGTAATTGTAACACGTTCGTAGAAAATCGATCAATTAGTATCTTGAGAATAAACGAAACGTACATACATTTTCTATAATAGCTACAATTTGTTTTTCGATTATTTACAGGCTTTAAGACATAGCATGCAGTACAGACACGTAAGATGCGGACGCTTTAATGATCTGAAAGAAAGAAAATGCACCTGAATAATATGTTTTGATATCCATCATGCGATTATTGATGAATACGATGGAAAAAGTTTGTAAAGTTTTTGTTGTGTAACATCAAAGTTTTTAAACATAAGAAACAATAACGTGGATATAATGTAAAAAACATTTTTTTACGATTTGTTCTAATTGTGCTTCAAAACTTGCACTAACATTTCTAAAATGTGTGTCAAGTAATTGAAATTTTTATTAGATCTGTTAAAGTAAAACGAATAAGGACGTAATTATTCTCAAATTGCATCTTACTGTTGTGAAACGGTCTAGAGAGAGATCCATAAATTTTCCAATTGTAATAGTTAACTTCCTTTGAGATCTCAAAATTAACAGTAACAAAACTCGACTTTGCGTAGGACTCGATTTGTACCACTTCGCTTCGTACGCCGCGTCGCCGATCATTTTACTCTACAATCGAATAATAATTAAATAATAATTACGAAGTACAGAAAAAAACACGTTTCATTATAGATATATAAAAGGAAATTTTAAATTTGCAAAAATGTAACATAAAAGTGTATCATTGTGAATTCTGACCTTTGCGCTCAGATATTCTCCGGCATAACAAAAGATGAACGCTTCGAATGTAATTACAGCGTAGAAAAATAGAGATTTAATTAGCATTGTCGTTCCTTCTGTAGTGCCTATAGACTAAAATGTAATAAAAAACAAAGTATTTTATACATTTTACATCATGATTTGATTTGAAACTTGCATAAAAAAGAGAAGAGAACTCTCGTAGAGAACTTTACTCACAGTCACAATTATAAATCCAAGACTGCAAATGACCAAAGTGTTTCCTAAAAATTGCATCAGAGCTATGTACGAGAAAAGATTTTCGATATTGGTCGAGAGCGCGATAATTCTCTGGTGTCGACATATTAGAGCTCGAATGGCTGAGGCTCGCAAGTCGAACGCATTGTCGCCCGAAGAGATTTCTGCCAACCCTCGGCACATAATATCGATTTGACCACCTACGTGAAGAATCTAAAAATAACGGTCAACGCCCTTCCCGAATGTGTTTCCCCGAGACTTAAAAGAGCAATTAGTTTTATGGATCAAGAATATATACTAAAATATATGTGCGTGTGTATGTAAAATAAACAATATTTATAAACTTGAGGGGTAAAATTACACTGTTCAGAAGATCGAAGTTTTTGTTATAAAAAAGAAAAAGACAGTGGAAATCAAATAAGTGTTGTTTTTTTTTTTCAATCATCAGTTTGTGTGACTAGACGCATTGGAACGTTATTCATTTGCGCTTAAATAAAGCAAACGATAAATTATTGATCGCATGATGTGTATAATATAGAATATTCATTAAACATGCAGCACGGTGGAGCGCGAGAAATCCGATTAAAAGTATTTTAATTCTCTACAATAAACTCTTCTCTCGAGAGAGAGTATATATGTAGATAAATTTACTTATGTATGTACACACATATATTATAGTATGTAAACATATCTAGACGATGTAATTACGCGGTACAATTTTTGCGGTATATTAATTTTCATGAATAATTTAAAAAAGAGAGATCGTTTAATATTTATCTAGTTTTTTTTTTTTTTTTTTTTTAGATAAGTATGAAACAAAATAGAATATCAATCACAATTTAATGCGCAATCAGATCAGCCACAAATGCAGTTTAAAAAAACATAGTGTGTTCATCTTTGCTTTTTTTTAATCGCAGATTTTTTCTTTTATGTAACGCAGATGTTTACTCACCAGTGAAACGATCAGGGCGTTTAATACTCCGACTAGTGCAGCTGCTGCAACCTGATGAATAAATTGCGTGACCATAACGATCTCGTAAACGGGGGAAGTATTGGTTTCGAAGGGTAGCTCCATTTTGAGAATCAACTCTCGCGTCTGTGGCTCGTCGACCTCTTTGACCTCATCGGGACTGGCAACAAGTACACCGGTGCCGTAAAGAAACACCGACATCGGATACAGGCCTATAATCACATTGGAGGACCGATGTGAAATGTAAACTGTCCTTGACATTGAACTGACGGCCCAGTTGGTCACGCACTCGCTTCTGTCCCGAGCCATCGTATTTAAAATGTCGTAGAATCTCCTACGAGAGATTGTGAGTTAAGGTGCGAAAAGAGCAATTTTTTCCTTGATATAGGATTTACACATTTTAAATATTTTTCTTTTGTGATTACATATAAAATATGTGCATATGATACATACATGTACAATTGTTAAAGTAGTTTTATAATTTTTTCGAAATGTATATTTACGTATAAGTCTATTACGTATAGTCTATATTTTATCAGTTCATCTCGTTTTTGCGAAAAAAAAAAAAGAAACACCGGAACTCACCGTCGATGAATCCAAAATACAATGAGCTTCAATAGCAGGAGGCTATAAGACATCGTGACGCTCAGGCCGTCCATAAGATGCGGCAGATCGTCCGTGCGAACGTGTATGAGAAAATATCGATACTGAAATGTCTGCGCCATTGTCAGAGTGATCATCCAGAAGGCGCGACCGAGGATCATGTAGGACGAGTTGGGCCATACGCCGATCGCGCGGAGACCGATCTCGATCGAACGACTGAGAGTGCCGAGACCCATCGTCGGATCGGTCTTCGATTCCATTTTCGGAGCTCCGCTTTCGAATAGAACCGAGATGCGTCTTTACGTCAATGCTCTCGCGAAACTTGGATATTTCATCGAGGCTCCGATCGTGTACTCCGCGATGTAGCAATGTCAAATACATGGATGAACGCGGGATGAACGCGGATGAATAGGGGCGGATCGCGCCGGTATATCGAATCCCCTACTCTCCAACTTTGTTGTAAAATAAGAAGTATGGAGACAAAATACTTTTTCATTACGACGGCAAAATTCTCGGATAAGTGTTTGCGATAGGATAAGTGCGGGGTATAGGTAGCGAGAAAAAAAAGAAGCAGAGAGAAAACATTGTGTCTCCTGGATCGCATTAATAATTTAAGGATCGTTACGGGATCGAGCGTAAAGCGCGCAAGACCCTTTCAAGAGATCGCGCTGCGATAATAATCGCGCGGATAGAGATAGGTAGATTTTAAAATAATATTATTCACAGAGACTGCGTGGAGAACATTGTACGCGTGTACATGATAAAAAGAGATGTAAATTTATGTGCGTCTGTGGATTGTCGACTGAAAGCAAAATATGCCTGTTTCTAACAGACATGTCTGTTATCACCATCGGGTAAATACACGCATATGATAAATATGACAAATTTCTGATGTAAATTTTTAACCATTGTTTCATATGAAAATGTTTGAATTTCCTGTGATGTTTACAATTGTAAAAGAATTATACGTAACAAAAAGTGCGATGATAAAGCTTGGCAAATTCCGCAATATGATAACATATATATATACGTACATATACAGTTAACAATTAAAAAAATACATATATTTTATAGAAATATATTTCACAGAATATTTAAAACTATTCCTTTTTCAAAACCATGTAAACATTTGGCTGAAACAATAGTTTGTAAAAAATATGTTTTTTAATTTTTCTATTTCTCTACTATTATTTTATATAAACTCTACAATTTTTTTGTTTAGATTGTGTTTACAGAAGTATATATACAGTTTATTTTGATCCAGCTGCATACAACGCTGTATGTATACGTTGCTCCGTACAACGTTACGTGTTACTGTTCGACACATTGTTGTAATTGCTATAGTTATACTACTTGGTAAAGGTGTAATTGGTTATCCACACTGGGAATTTGTCTAATACATTGCATGTAGCACCGATATGTAAGAAGCGGATGCTTTCATCACCTAGCCGGAATAACCCAATCAATTTTAATTAATTCGTATATATTCATTACTTGCTATAAATTTGTTTTTTTAACGAACATTATTAACATTGATATTACATTAAATATATGTTCAATATTAGATTAGATGTGTATATAATAAAAATTATATATTTTCAAAGCAAACTTCTTACGCTGGTAAATCCTTCCAGAGAGAGATCCATAATGTTACCAGCGGTGATCGTCAGTCTTTTTTGCGACCTTAATATTACAAATAATACAAATCGACATTCACCGGGTGTCATGTTATACCAGAGCGACTCATACACCGCGTCGCCGATTGATTTACTCTGAAAAAAAAAAAAAAAAAAATACACCGCGCAAACTTGATAAACACAGAAGAAGACGCGATCTTAGAAAATGGTATGTAAAAAGTGACAAGTGAGACTTAAGGAACCTCAAATAGAATACAGTGTAAAATAATATATATCACGCGATACCTTAGCGCTGAGATATTCTCCGGCGAAACAAAAGATAAACGCTTCTAAGGTTACGGCGAGGTAAAAAATAGCAGATTTTAATAATGCTACCGTATTTTTATCCGTAGCGAAAGACTAGCGAGAAGAAACAAGATAAAGAATTCAAGATAATAAATAGGCTACGAGGTGATTTAATACACACTCTTGCACGTAACTTACTTCAATTGAATATATTTGCACAACTTACGCTCATTATCGTCAAGCCGATACAACAGATGACTAAGGTATTTGCCAGAAATTGCATCAACGCTATATGAGAGTAGAGCGCTTCGATGTTATCCGAAAACGATATTATTCTCTGATGTCGCGCGATCAAAAGCTTGATGTTCGTGACAATCGACTCGCGCTGCAGAGTTTCGCCGTTACAAAGCGTCAGTAATTTCTGGCGAAGAATATCGATCTGTCCACTTACGTGTAGCACCTACAAACAGAGAAATTATTAAAATGTATGTTTTTTTTAATTATATTGTATTAGCGAAAATTCATTGAAGAAGTTAAGTGTCTTTTACAAATCACATTGTTATATTATTTTTTTTTTTTGTTTAGAGTAATTTGCGTCAACACTTCAAATAGATCCGCGGTACTACGCGGGACCGAACAAAAAATTCACTTGCACAAAAAAACGAGAGGAACAATTTCGCTCGAACTTCAATCGGTTTCGCGCAACAGGACGCGCGCAGACTCGCGCCGCAGGACGCAAAACAAACTCACCAATGTAACAATTAAGGAATTCATCATCGCTACCAAGACGGCCATCGACACTTCGTGAACAGTCTGAGCGATAGCTATGATCTCGAAGAGCGGAGACTTTTCGACTTCGAACGGCAATTCCATCTTTATAGGTAACACTTTCGTACTAAAGTTGGAGTCTCGCTCAGGATCGTTTGAATGTCCCATGAAATTAGTCACGGCGTAAGAAATTGCGGCGGTGGCGTTGATGCTGATCAGCGCGTTCGAGAAACGTCGCGACCAAGCGACGTTGCTCGTCATTACGCACACTACCAATCGGTCGTCTCGAGCGACTTCGCCCCAGTCTCGGTTCATGGCCAGCAGAATGTTGTAAAATATCCTGCGGAAAAGCGCTCCCGCGCTCCGTTGCGTCAGAACAACCGTTATTCTCATCGCGTCGAGGAATGTTGTTCTCCTACCTACGATTCGACCAGAGGGAGATCAGCTTGAGAAAGCCGAGGCTGTACGTCAACGTTAGACTGAGCGCGTCGATTAGGATCGAGATGTTATTCACATCGAAATGATGGAGAATGTAAACGTATTGAAAATACAGCGCGATCACCGCGCTCGTCATGTACGCGGACCAAGTGAAGGTTCCGTACGACAAACCCGGCCAGATTCCGACGAAGCGGAAACCGATCTCGACGGCGGCGCAGATGGAAGTTACGCGCATATTATCTCACGAGAAAATCGCGCGCCGCCGATTTGCTTCTCTTCGCCGGAAGAAAATGGACTTGAGAGCGACTGTTTGAAAATTACATATGAGTGTTTCAGTTGAGCTATATAACACTCTCGCGCCGCTTCTATACAACAAGTCTCATATACCGCGTTATATACAAAGGAACAATACGTCAGCCCCTATATCGTTGGTCGTTATCGATCAATCGCAATTATGCGTGTGCTTTTATCGCGTTTAATGCAGCGGCAAAAAAAATTGTATGTTACGTATTTTCTTTCAACGCGCGCGATTACGAGGGCAATCAAAGAACATACAATTTAACGGCGAACCTTACGGAGGGGAGACACAATAAGTTCGTTCACTTAAAAAAAAAAAAGCGTTACGTTTTCGCACAAGATAAGCGCGCATGTGCAATGACAGAAGCTAAGTCTGTTGAAAGAGAGACGTGAGAAACACGAGAGCCAAAGAAAAGGAGTTAGTGTTGCGATAAAGAATAGCGAAAATTTATGAGAATATTGTATTCTCTATGTGCACAACAATGCAGCGTGTATTAATTGCGCACGTATAGCGTAATTACATGCTCATCAAAACACGTACGTTAAATTACTTTTTCTTTAATCGTGTTTATATAATACATTAAAAACTGCATATTTTTTCTAAATATAATATATTACGTTTATTAATTAAACATATTTATAACCGAAAACATTAATCAAAATACGTTACAACGCTTAGAACGCGCGTGCACAACGTAATACCGCGCTGCGAAAGTATCTGATTATGATTAGCTATTGCATCTTAAAAAAAACGATTTGTTTTGCATGCGTTTTTTTTGTACGATCAGCTTCGTTAAATAAACAAAAATGATATACGAGCCGTTACATGCACGCAACATCGGATACGTGTGGAAAGTGATATTATACCATATTTTTCTCAATATATGATAACACACTTGAACGAAAGTTTATTTACGCGTCGAAATATAATAATTTTATATTGACAATTTTTTTTATACACATTGAAGTAATTGGTTTTCTATAACAACAAATTCTGTATATTAACACAAGTTTCACTGAAACAATGTTACGAAAAGTGTCGTATAATCGGATACCGATGCACTTTTCATAAGATTGTGATTTTTGTTATACTTTTTTCTAATACATCAGTACATCGCATTCAAGACGGATATGTACGACGCCGACGTTTTGAGAACCTAAAAGTACGAAAGTAAAGGTATATTTTTCAATATTTGAGCACGTAACATGTACTGTTAATCCAAACATATCGAGGAAAGTTTTGAAGACGGTGTACGTACGTTCGTAAAAGTTTCCAGAGACAAATTCATCATCTTTCCCGCCGTGAGCGACAACTGTCTCTGAGATCTCATTATTATGAACGATATTATCTTCCCGTGTCTCGACGGCATGTCGTACCACGAAGAATCGTAAGCCGCGTTGGCGATTAATTTGCTCTAAAAGACATTAATTTACTTTGTACAAAATAACAACATTTTTTTCACACTGTTTATTTTTCTATAACTATCTCTGCCATTTCGGTTATGTTCATTGAAAAAATAAGTATATTCCAATAGTTTTAAATATCAAAGATCTAACCTTGAGGCTAAAATATTCTCCGGCGAAGCAAATAATAAAGGACTCAAACATTATAGACACGTAAGCGAACGCGGTCTTCACCACTATCATGACACTCGCCTCATTGTGAACGGACTGCGTTTCATAGAGCAACAAAAAAAAAGACAGAGTTATAATTATTAATTATCACATCGTCTCTGTGTGCTAAAAAACAAAAAAATTATCACTATACTTACTACTATGCAAATAAATCCTAAGCAGCAACCGACCAAAGTGTTCCAAACAACTTCCATCAGCGCGATGAAAGAAAACAGTTTCTCAATGTCATCGAAGAATAAAATAATTTTATTGTGTTCCTCAATTAGCATTCTCAACGTGAACTCGGAAGAACCGGAAAAAGTTCTCTCGGAAATAATTTTAATTTCTTCGCATATAATTTCGACTTGTCCGGCCGCGTGGAATACCTAGAATATATTTCACTTCTGCAACAATTTCAACTATATATTACATGTGTGAAAACTACATTAATGTATTACGCGCGTGCGCGTGAAGATATATTGTAACTTAACACGTTTCACACGGCTATATATATATATATATATTCTCAAGAGAAATTGTTCAATTCTCATCGCCTAAATTATCTCAGTAAACTAAATAAACAACACAATAATAATATTCATAACAAACAATAATATTAATAATAAACAAAATATCAGACCTACCAAGGTAGAGATCAGACTGTTTATAACACCGATTGTCAACGAGTTGCATGTCATATGTATCGAGAGAAATATAAACAGTAACTCAAATGTCGGCGATTGCTCGGTATCAAAGGGAAGTTGTATTTTGATGGGAAGTTGGAAAGTGTTATTATTGTAATTCTTGCTAAAATGAATAAGATGACTCGCATACTCGCCTAGAAGATAAAGTATCGCGACTATTCCGTTAAGCGTCAGCATGGAGTTGGTAAAAACGTGCGATATATGGGCTTTCATTGACATAACGTAAAAATGCTGTTTGACACCGACGGATTTGCGCCAATCGTCGTCCATAACCGTGAGGAGTTTGCGAAAAACTCTGCAACGTGTTGCGTTCGGTAAGTCGGATTTGTTTTTTTTTTTTTTTTTTTTTAAATAACGGAAACTTTAATTTATGCTCTTACTGGCGGTGCACGCAAAGACTGGCCACTTTGAGAAACGTCAGGGAATAATCTATGCTCGCGGACAGACCGTCCACGAGATTCGAGAGCTCGTCGAGTTTGAAATGCGTGAACACGTACTGATATTGAAAATATTGTAGAATCAGTGTGCTCGATAAGTAAATCACCAAGCAAACGCTTAGACACGACACACCCGGCCATACGCCGAGCAATCGAAGACCGATTCTCAGTGACGGGTTGACGGTACTCGTGAGCACCATTCGTCAATATGGTATATATGTATATATTATATATATATCTATTCGATAAACACGCCAAAATCAGGATCTGTATGTTTGTCCTATCGATACCTTTCGTCTGATATGCTGAGAGTGCACTGACTGATTCTCCACGAGTGCACTTCCACGTGATCCGTCTCACCCTACTCGGGTGGAATATAGATCCGTCGTCATTACGTTGTGTTGTGCGTGGTGTAATATTACGACGAGAGATATAGAGAGACTCATTATCTGCAAGTTCTGCTCAAATGTAACATAATTTCATTAGCGATTTGAATAATGAACGGTTCGTTGCGAGTTCTTTGAGAAGCTATTCTTTCTCGGAAAACGTGAGTGCCATGTGAGAAACAAAAGAAAGTACTCGAGATTTTTTTTTTTTATTAAGATATTATCGCGACGATTCCCCCTAATGTGAGTTGGAATTGTATGGTAGATGTTCTAAGAGCAAATTAAATTCGTTATCAATAGTTTGATAACAAAATTATAATACAATATTAAGGGAGATAAAAAAAACGAGGCATCGAGAGCTCTAACAATAAGATGCGGGAGATAATAGAGGGTAGTTTTTTTTTTTTTTTTTTTTCAATGATTCAACAGACTGTATACAGCGTATTGTAAGTTTATACTGAATGTCGAGAGTAACGCTCGAACCGTTCATTAATTTGAAAAGAAACCAGTTGTGTTTAACTGCGCGAAAACATAAGAACATTGAAGATAATACATGGCTAAAAAACTGACCATGTAAAAGAGTCAAAGAATCGTCCCGTACGAAGAGCCGGGTCACGTGTCAATCAAACCGAGATCGATCATCAACACGGAACTTTAGTATTCGATATTGAGATTTCGGATATTCACATCGTCGGGTATGTTTATATCGTCTTGATCAAACAAAGTCTTTGTTTGTTTCAGATAAATTTCAAATATCGGCGAAAATGCCAAGCCGCGAAAACAAGTTTTCGCAACGCAAAAGCAAGTTTTTGTTTTTTAATGACGGCGCACTTCTCCTCTCCCGTGCACTCAAGAAAATGAGAAATTTGAGAGAGAGAGAGAGAGAGAGAGAGAAAGAGAAAAACCGGCGCGATATAACGTGAATATCGATCAATTGCAAATTATGTGTAATATTTCGCGGTGCAATGCAGCTGCCGTACAACGACAAGGTAAATTGCGCGATGACAGATGATTACAGGTTACTTCGAGCGCGAAGAAAATATCCACGTGGAAAATGTCATCGTCAACTCTTCGTTGAATGAACTAAAATTGATGTAAAAAACAGAAAGAAGAAACAGTAGATAATTTTGTTTAAAGGCTCAGTATTGTGTGTGTGTGTGTGTGTGTGTGTGTGTATGAGCACATTTATGAATGCTCTTTGGTAATAACCGCGGCTTTGCCATAAGAAAAGTAAAAAATTGCGTAAACAGATCTTGAACTTAGATTTAAAAATATGACCAGTTGTTATACTGCGAACCAGTAGTAGAAATGTTGAAAAGACGGTTGTGAGAATTACAACTTGATATTTTCAGCAGAGAAAAATATCGCTTCGCGGCGACAGATAAAACTAAATTCTATAAGAAATTTGTATGAATATTAAAAATATATTTTAGTCTGCAATATTTAAGCGTGTAAGTGACTAAAATCGCGTGCGTAATTATATCTTTAACATATTGTTACTAAAGTATACGTGGGCACATAATTTCGAAAAAAAAACACAGTAGTCCGCAATTCATTATATCCAAACACTTAATGCAGATATTGACTTAACTCTATGATGACGTGCACAAAATTTTGTTTATTACCAGGTCTATTCTTTCTGCAAATGTAAGTATACGATATTACGACTCGTGACAATTCGGCAATACTCCTATCCCAGCGTAAATTCGATTCGATATTCTCGGTACATCGCGTGCAAGACCGAAATGTACGACGCCAAAGCTTTCCATGACCTAATACTTTATTCTTGTCCAGAGATATTGACAATTAATGTGTGTGTAGAAATCGGCCAATATAGGAACCGGATGCAGAATATTTTTTTCAATGACAAAGACGAGTTGTACGTCGAAACGTTTCCATTTGTATTTAAGTCATCATCAGTCGACAAAACTATAATAATTACAATATCGTGTTATTAAAGTGTATAAATAAATCAAATTTACAATAAAACAACGTCTCACCTATATAAAGATCAACACTTCATCGACGCTTAATATATAAATTCAAAATATATGTACTATTTAGATAGATCTGCCATGTTTGGAGAGTAGACAAGAACTGAGAGGCAAAACAATAAGTTGTCAAAATAAAAGTCAGAGAAAACATATGTCTATCATAAGGTAAAAAGTAAAAAAAGAGTCAAAGTTTATCAATAATCGGTTAGGTAAGTTTCATCTAACAGCTCTGTATTTCTCATAATGTTTAAACTGTTATCTTTTTGTAATGTACAGCATCTGACAAAGCTTTACATAGTTCGAAACTATATTTTATGTTGAATAGCGAGTTTGGTATATTGTTGTAAGTGATTTTATGAAGATGCAAATTTATATAATGGGCTGTCTATTGATGATATGATTATTCCGTACGGACAGTTATCTTTATGGATTTTGGAAACTCCATAGACACGCGGTAATATTGGATCTTTGTTTAAAAGAGAGTTCATTAATATTTGGCTTGTGAAACCTTTGGTAACCGAACTTTCAAATATGTTTTTCAGTTCGCTATTGATCTTCATCAGCGGGTTTTTGTTAATTAAAATATATGTGTTGTTATCTTTTAATACATCGTTCATTTTGAAGAGATATTCAATTTTAAGGATTGCTACCGTGTAATTCCCTTTGTTCGCTCTCGTGAATATGATATCGGAGTGTTGTTTAATAAAAGTATAAGCGGATTTTGCTTTCTTTAATAGGTCACGTTCAATATGTGTTAATGAATCGTTATTGTTAATATGAGTATTTAAATAAGAAGATATGTGATTGCGAGATTTATTAGATTTCCACGTTATGTTTAATTTACGAATATTGCATTCAACATATCTTTGATAGTTTCGATCACAGTTTTATTTTTGTTACGTCTGACTGGGAGAGTAAATTTGTGGTCTAGCTGGAATAGTTCGGAAACATCAGAAGGTATAATTAATCCTGTCATATTGATGAACCAGTTGAAACGTTTCGACACACAACTCGTCTTTATCATTGCGAAAAATATCCTGCATCCGGTTCTTATTAGCCGATTTCTACACACACTTTAGTTATTAACGTACGAACCCGAGGACACCCTTCATATCCGCGTAATTTATATTGACAATTCTTCGAGAAGTTCAATTATAAATACAATAACATAAATCGATAGATTTTTGTAATAGAAAGAACACGTATATATCATTTTGTTCATAACGTGGAAACTTACTGTGGCGAAACTCTCTAATGTCACAGATCCATAACTTTCTCGGGTGTGATCGTCAATCGTTTTTTGCGATCTGAGAATGACGAATAATAAAATCCGTCGCTCGCTGGCGAATAAATCATATCAAACTGTCTCGTATATGCCGCGTCGCTGATAGATTTACTCTGTAAACAAAAAAAGCGAGAATGTTACAAATTTGTGTAAATAACACATGACGAATGCGTGTTTTTTAATCGTTTCATGTTACTAATTGCATTGACCTTGTTTTTTTAAATAAATTTATTATTGAAAACTTGATCAGAAAAAAACAGCTAACTTCAGGTATTCACCAGCGAATATGATTTTCTGATGTCTTTCGACGAGCAACTTAATTAAGAAGAATTTTGATTGGTACGTGGAAGAGATTTCTTTTACTTCTCGATATATATAACGTCAATTTGTCCGCTTACCTTGAAGAGAAAAACTACGATTTCAACGTTACAACTTTACGACGAATAAACGTGTTGGAGTATTTATTTTTAAGAGCGATCAAAATGACAGGTTTAAAAAACAATTACATGTAAGAAAAACAATGTACGTTTGTGCTTTTAATTTTGTTCGACGTTAATTGAAAATATGAATGATATTGTTATAAATTTAAATTCTTTGTCAAAAGAAATTGCAAATCAGTTATTGTAACTGCCTCTGGCATAAACTAAAAGAGCAACGCTCTCGCTCTCACTCTCTGTTTTTTCCAAAAAGTTAATTTAATAAAACTAGTAAATTAACTCGTTGGAGAATTACATAAAAAATTATATTATCTGATTACAAATTGACGTGTGCGAATTATTCGCATTTAAATTATCAAAAAACTGTCCCGCTCGTTCAACTTTACCAACGAATTCAGCATCGCGATTACTAACGCCGTTACTAACACGTGAAGAAACAACGAGCTCGAAAGTGGGAGATCTCCGGCGGCAATTGTATCTGCACGGGAAACTTCCTCGAAATCCGTCTTCGGAAATCGTACTTCGCGACGTACGTGACTGTCGACGAAGTAGAGCACAGTGGCTATCGCATTGACGGACATCATCGCGTTGGAGCAACGATAAACCAAATTGACCTTACTCGTCATCAAACACGCGCAAATCGGTCGTTCAGATCGTCGCTCATCGCGGTTAAAATATCTGCAAATATCCTGCAAACTGATCTATTTCCCGGAAACGCAACAAGAATTTGATTCGGTCTCGGGAATCGAACGGAGTTGTGTGGCGAAGAAATCGATCGCTGTGTTTTTTTACCTGCGATTAAACCCCAGAGACTCAACAGCTTGAAGATCGTTAGAGCGAAGTCCAGAACGAGACCGTCCATCAATTTGATGAGATTGTTGAAATCCAAGTGAGCGTAAACGTGAGAATATTGATAGTGTTGCATCAGGACGAGAGTCGTCATGTAAAACCATCCAGCAGAGCGTTTCCGTACGAGGTGTCGGGACCACAGACCGATCGCACGAACACCCATCCTCAGCATCGAACTTATAGTGATTGTCAACATAGCGACGTGTAGCTTCACATTGATGCATCACTCTGACGAGCCGCGTGCACGTCGTTCTCTTCCAACGGAGCGAATAACAACGGCAAGACGAGCGACGCCGCGAAGAAAACTCGGTATCGAACGTGTATATCTTTTTCGATAACTCGCACACAGTTTTTCCCCTTCCTCCGCGAGAGAGAGAGAAATGACAGCAATTTCAAAAAAAAAAAAAAAAAAACGCAAAAAACGTCGCGCGGTATAGCAGAGTGCGAGCAACGATCAATCGTAATTACACGTATCTCGCGGTACAAACCGCGTACGGTTCAAACTCAATTGCGATGATTGATTAACGATTACAAAGTTGAAGCGTACACGTGTAAAAGGTACACGTGTAATTTTTGCACAGCTAATCGGTTTTAAAAATGCAGACGCGGATGGCCGCCGTTAATGACGAGCATTTAAAAAAATGTTCGTGAAAAAGAAAAAAAAAGAAAACCGCGGACGTTTTCTCCGCGGATCTGAAAATTGAACATTGTGAGTGAAGCTAATACGATAAAAATTGCTCAATTAATGTGCAGCAGTTTGAGCTGAATCGTAAATGAAATACTTATGTCAGAGCAAAGATAAAGAAAAATATCACATAGACAAAAGACAGATTGTTATAAATAAAGAGAGAAATATAATAAAGATATATTTGTTAACGATAGATAAATTTATATATATGATGTGTCATTATTGGTGTGTGTGTGTGTGTGTGTGTGTGTGTGTGTGTATTTATATATCTTTTCTTCACATCTGATAAATATCTTCAAAAAGAGTTCGAAATCAAATATAATAATCAGTTATTTATCACACACTAACGTGAAGTTGATTGATTAAAATATAGATAGAGATGTAAATAGAATAATGTAAAAAACATAACACACACTTCCCGCTCTAGTACATCGCATATAATACAGATATGTAGGAACCGGAAGCCTTCATGACCTGAAAAATCGGGTTTATATAAAAGATCTATATATTAGCATTATTTAAAAAATGCGTGTTACACTCGCGCGACATCTTACACTCATAAATCCTTCTAAGGTGAGATCAACAATTTTTCCCGCGGTAATTGTCAATCGTTTTTGAGACCTCACCATTACAAGCAACAAAATGCGACTCTCGGACGGCATCATATTATACCAAAACAATTCGTACGTCGAATCGCAAATTGATTTACTCTGGAAAACCGACGAAATTTGAATTAAAAAAAAAAACACAAATAAAAATGTAAAGTAAAAAAAGATAAAACACACGTTTCATACGTACAAAACATTATATAGTATATATGCTAACCTTAGCGCTCAAATATTCCCCCGCGTAACAAAATAGAAAGACTTCTAATGTTTTTGCGACGTAAAGAAGCACCGATTTAATTACAGCCGCTGCGCCTCTGCGAGTACTGAGTGCCTACAGAATTAAGCGCGAGAGAGAAAATCAAGAAAAAAGTGGATTATTGACGGCAAACATTTTTGAAACATTCATGAAGTTGATAAATATTTACAATTATAATCATAAAACCGGAGCAGCAAATAATCAAAGTGTTCCATAGCAATTGCATCAACGAGATGAGCGAAAATAAATTTTCGATATTGTCCGACAGACTAATTACGTTTTGGTGTCTGAAAATGAGTTTTTTGATTTCGATTACGGTAGAATTGTTGTTGTCCGATACTTTCTGCGTCGCTTCTTGCCGCATAACATCAATTTGACCACCTACATGAAGTATCTGCGAATGAAAAATAATCACCACCCATTGTAATGTGACGAAACAAAGTTTTTAATCATCGTAAATTTTAAAGTTTATTACTCACCAGCGTGACAAGTAACGCATTAACTATACCGGCCACAGAGGCGAGCGACAATTCGTAAAGGAACTGTCCGAACAGGATGCATTCGAAAAGCGGCGACTCGTTGACGTCGTCAAAGGGCAAGTTCATTTTTACCGGGAGTTCTCGAAAAACTTCATCGTCACCGGCATTTATCGAGCGCAATACGTAAGCACCGGCTGATAAGAAAAAAGCGGCCAGAGCGTGTATTCCGACAATCATTTTGGAACAACGACGCGACAGATCCGCCACCGTCGTCATAATACCGAGTTCGTGAAAATCACTAACGCGCTTCTCGTCCCAGTCTCTATCCATTGCCGTTAGAATATTAAAAAATATTCTATAAACAAACATACATTTTCTTTTCAAACAAACAAATCGAGATTCCGTCTTCATGCTTACATTCGGTTTTTCTTTTCTAGCTAACTTTCTCTGTTATTTTTCTGTTTTATTAAAAAAAAAACCGGAGTGAGACATCTTACCGGCGATTCGACCACAGAACGAGCAGTTTGAGAGACACGAGTGTATTAGTGAGGGCGAGACCCAGACAGTCCATCAGAAGCGTGAGATTGTTGAGATCGAAATGTGCGATAACGTACGAATATTGAAAATACTGCAATATCGTTATGGTCGTCATGTACATCGACCAGTACAAATTCGGATACGCGGAGTTCGGCCACATACCGACGAAGCGAAGACCGATTTCGACCAAACGGCTGATGGTACGCTTCATCGTGTGCGAATTGTTTTCAACAACTCAAGACGTTAAAAAAACAATGCGCGGCGGTTACGAGTTACGTAAAGCATATACATTGGATAGTCCGTGCGTTGCAAAAAGAACGATAATACTGAATAATCATAGTAGAGACGACGCAAGGCGCAAGCTGCACTTTCTGCAACAATCAATTGCAATTACCAGATATTCTGATCGTATTAATTCTTGGAAGCTCGCGAAGTGCATCGATGGAAAAAAAAAGAAAAAAAATAGAAACGATTACCGAGTTCGTTTTTGTCTTTGGAGATAGAAAGAGCATTTGAATGCAATAGCGTGTAATTATATTAAAACTTTCTTCCAACTTTCTTTTTATGAACATCGTAGCGTAGTTACACTTCGTGTTTTGTAGCTACATTCAACAATAAGAGAGAACATAAAAGAACGTTTAGCTTATTTTATCTAAATATTTGATGTCCCACATGCAACCGACGCATCTCTCTTTCTCTCTCTCTTTCTCTCTCTCTCTCTCTGTCTCCCTTTTTCTCTCTCTTTTAGAAGTACTTTTTGATTCGTGCTTACACGTTGCGCTTGTGCCAGTTTAACATCAACGGAAAGACTAAAAAAGGAAAATTGCTGACAAATGTAAAAAATATCTAAACAAAAACTATAAAACACAAAAGTTATTCATTTTTGTTTTATATTAACATGTGAACCAAGGAAACATTTTATTAAGATTACTTTATTCATTTTCGATCTCTTTCTACAGATATACATATATATATATATTTTTGTTTTTAATTACTGGAAAAATAAATATTGTTATTATCATTAGGTACATGTTTGCACGTTTTCTTTTATAAATCTGCAATGCGATTGAATTTATAAACGTTGCCTATTTCATTTGCCACAAAAAAATATTACCAAAATGAAGAACATCGACAAGCTTCACGGTCTTCTGGCGCGATCGCGCAATTGTTCCGATCGGGAAACCGTGAGCAGACACTACTCTTCTGATCCTGTGATTTCTTAATACATCGCATTTAACACCGATACGTAAGATACAGAAGCTTTCATAATCTGAAAAGGTTATTTGCGACAGTGACGTGCGAGCGCTTTAAAAAAATAGCTACGTTAAAAATAAGGGTCATACGGTGGGTACCGTAAAATGTCTTCGCACGTGAAGTTACGGCATTACCATGTTGCAAAACGCGTTATGGCGTAACGTCAACTTCACTGTGGAAAGGCATTGTTGGAATTCGAGTGTATTTTATATAAGATATGTGTGTCTTACATTTGTAAATCCTTCTAGAGTTAAATCAACGACTCTTCCCGCAGTGATCGTCAGTCGTTTTTGGCATCTCACCATCATGAAGAATAAAATGCGACTGTCACTCGACGGCATGTCGTACCAAAGTGAATCGTATACTGCATCACCGATCGACTTACTCTGGAGAAAGAGAGAGAGATTGAGGGAATTGGATACTGTGTGTGTAAATTCTACACCAAAATTCTATTACCAAAAACAGAGCAAACAATATTATTTTTGTTTTCTTCAAAGAGACATTTCTTGGTTTCAATGTTATTTTTAAATCATCAAGTATAGCAAATTACACAATTGGCAAACACGTATTTACGACATTTGCGATGTTACGTAAACAGAAACATCGCACGTTGCAACAAATACGTATCTGAAATATTTAAAATCGACTCACACACCTTGGCGCTCAAATATTCTCCGGCGAAGCAGAATATGAAAGCTTCTAGTGTTATCGCCACGTAATAACTCACAGACTTGATCAAACCTGTTGCGTCCTTTCCGCTACTGATGGTCTAAAATACGAGAGAAGATGATTCAACAGTTCTTTCTCTCACAAAAAGAATAAGAAACAATCGATCTTACGGTTATAATCACAAAACCGGTGCAACAAATAACCAAGGTGTTCCACAACAGTTGTATCAGCGCGATGTGTGTGTACAGATTTTCGATATTTTCGGATAAGGTGATGATTCTCTGATGCTTGTGAATAATGTTTCTGATGACGATCAAAAATGTACCGCGATTGTATTTGCCGTTGGAAATGTCGACCAAGTTTTGTCGTAAGATATCGATTTGGCCGCTTACATGAAGTATCTGAAAACGCAAAACAACATAAAATATTTCTTTAATTTAATTGTTTTCAGATTAACAATCTTCAACAATCTTCTTGGACAATCGTGTACGTGTTGCAAACTACTTACTAGGCTGACGAGCATCGCGTTTATAAAACCAACTACGGAGGCTATTATCAAGTCGTATATAAACTGTATGACTAAAAAACACTCGAAGATCGGCGAGTTGCTAACTTCGAAAGGTAATTCCATTTTTATGGGAAGTTCTCGCGAATGATTGTTCATCCGATTGGCGTCGTCTACCGACTGCAGCATGTGCTCGCCTATCGTAAGGAAAAAAGTGGAAAAAGCGTAGATGGCGAACAGTACATTGGAAAAACGTTGAGCCAGATCACTCATGCTCGTCATCGTGGACACGTACGAATCGTTGACAGCGCATTCTTTCCAATCTTGCTCCATTGCTCTCACAATATTATGAAATATTCTACAGAAAGATACACACATTTGGCGTAAAATAATTAATAAATAAATATCTTTTTAATATAATACGATGCATTCAGAGACTCATGTTGCGCGCGCAAGATTTTTGATGTAATTTCAGTGATGCTAGTCAGAAATCAAATATACTTGTGTGTTTGACATAAAAAAAAAAAAAAAAAAAACGAGTCTTACCCACGATTCCGCCATAAAACACAAAGCTTAACACAGGCGAGAGTATATCCCAAGGTAAGACTGAGACAGTCCATCAGGAGCCAAAGATCGTCCAATGTAAAATGCGCGATTATATACGCGTATTGATAATATTGCACTATTCCTATCGACGTTATGTAGCTCAACCAATAGAAACTCGCGTAAGATAAATCCGGCCACAGGCCTATGAAACGGAAACTGATTTCGATCGAATAACTAATGGTGCTTGCGCGCTTCATCGCTTTTTTGCTAACCGCTGAACGTGACAGAAACGTTCGACATCCGCGAATAAAGACGACAAAAAGCGCGTCGTCCGAACACATAGCGCGCGATCACAAACTACAGGACTAAATGATTGCGGCGAAGACAATAGAACACGCACCCTCTTTCTAAATCGACCATGATTATAACTTTGTATTTTTAACGTATCAGGTTTTGCGCGTCTATAGCTCATGTTGTTTAGAAAAAATAGAACGTATATATGTATTTTATTCTCTTTCGAATTGGCGAACAACTTTGTTATCTCATAACATATAATTGCCCCAAAACTTTATACATTATTTCCTTGAAGAACAATTTTATGTCCATTTACAGTCGTCATTAAAACAAATTACACGCGATGTCTTAGCAAAACCAATAGCGTTTAGATACAAAGTAAGAAAAGATAGCGATATTATGGTTGAATAGTTAAAACTGTCGTTGTATAATTTAGCTTATTTTGCGGAGTTTCTTTCCCTTTTGTCTTTGTGTATTATCTTTTTCCTCTTATTTTCGCTTGTATATTCTAGTAAATTCGATTTCGAAGCGAAGAGAAACATTAGCGTCAGGAATCATCAGTTGTAAAAACTGGTTGCGGATGTTTTGTCACTATATTTCTTTACTAATGTCTGCGATTTAAGGCCGTTTAAATTATTAAAAAGTATTTTAAATTATTTAAATCGTATATATTATTTATTTGTGTATTTCGTTAATTTTGTACATGATATGTTTTTAATTTGTATGTCAGTATGTAGCCTTTTACTTTAATAAGCAGAAGGCTGATGCCTTTACAATCTAACAAAGCACGTATTATAATTATAAGAAATATTATTTAAAGCACAATCTACTTACAAGAATGAGAAAAAAATGATATCTCTCACGTTTGTAAAATCAAATAACCTTTCAAATCAAATGACTTTCCCCGCGTTAATTTCTAATCGTTTTTGTGATTTCAGCATCACAAACAATAAAGTCCTGCAATTGTTCGATGAACGACGGCGTCCCAAAAAAGAGATTCATCACTTCGCATCGTTAAATCGATTTACTCTAAAAACACGATACTTATTTTGTTTAAAAAACATAGAAAAAGTTTATTGCTCGAAGTACTGCTGTGTTTTTTATACAGGGATCGTCGCGTTTTTGCAGAAACTTAGCAGTTCGGCGATAAAGTTGATCATCAAAAGGTTCGACATCAAGATTTTTCGCGAACTTGATAATATAAATTCACAAAGGTTCACTTTACAAATGAAAAAACTTTAGATTTTTTTTTTTTTTGATAAATAAAAATCGTAGACTATTTTACAAGTAAGCTCTGCTACATAAAAACTTCTTTCACAATTATCTTGGCGCTTAAAAATTCTCCAGAGTGTAAAAACAACTTGTACAGTTATTTCGATATAAAAACTTTTTTACAGATTTCATCAAACTTGTCGCACTTTCGTCGGTACCGATGGTCTGTAAGCAGAGAAGAAAGAGAGTACATCTTTATTGGAAAAAAAAAAAAAAAAGATCAAATAAAACAGTCGTCTGTCGCCCGTATCACTCACACGTGTAATTACAATTAAAAAATATATATTATACATTCATATATATACCTACGTATAGATAATACTTTGAATACACAAAATATATAAATAATTTATTTATTTTCTTTTTAATACATAAAATATCATCACTAATGCATATATAAATATATACGTATTCTCTCTGTCCAACGATGTCGGAAAGCTCCGCCATTTAGAAGATACTGTATTTTATAGTTTCACACCTGGAATATACCCATTTGTATCGTTAAATATAAATGTACTTAATGTCTTCTATATATCCCCAGTAAAATCTGTAGAAAACAAACGTCAAAAAGGCGGTAATTTAAGGTTTGCTGCCGACACCTTGTGTTGCGTGCTTACCTTCTCCCGAGCGCAATATCGTTCACACCTTCCTCTAATACAACGCGTGTAACACGGACACGTACGACGCGGACGTTTTCATAATCTGAGACCAGTTATTTATATTGTTTATGTTGTTCACAGTATTTAAATTTATAGTCAAAGTCACGAAGTGACATACAACAGCGCTTACAGTTGTGAAACCTTCCAACGACAAGTCGGTTATTTTGCCCGCGGTGATGGTCAATCGTTTTTGCGCTCTCAATATCAGAAATATCAAGATCCGACACTCGCTGGGCGTCAGATCGTACCAGAAACACTCGTACGCGGCGTCACCGATGGATTTACTCTGCAATGGTAATCAGTTTTCACGATAAAAATCGCGTCTATATAATAATTACATTTGTTTCTTTTTAGAAGCACAACTTTTTCCATAAGAATTCTACGATGCTACTACCGTCGCTACGCTTCCTCGCGCTGACCTTAGCGCTGAGATATTCTCCGGCGTAGCAAAAGACGAACGCCTCGAGAGTTATCGCGACGTAAAAGATGAGAGACTTCGTTATCACCGTGGCTCCTTCCTCCGTGCCGACGGACTGCAACGTGAAAATTTATTTCTTTGCATTTGATGTCGCAAGTCAAAGTATCGCGTATATTTGTTATTATTCACGTTTGTGAATATTTTACACGTCTAATAGAAAATAATATTTATTTATATTTTTATAAGTGTACTTTATTTATTATAATATTTATATGCGTACTATATTTATTATAATACTTTGTTGTATTTATTTATTTATTTCTTTACTTTGATTTACCAGACTAGGTTCTCTCGTGAAGAGAAATCGCGCGCACAATTAAAATCGCGTTTTGTTACGCGCGTATAATTGCGACTTACTATTATCATCATAAAGCCTATGCAACAGATAACCAGTGTGTTCCAGATGAACTGAAGTAACGCGATATTCGAGAACAGATCCTCGATGCTGTCCGACAGATCGATGATTCTTTGATGTCTGTTAATCAGATTCTTGATGTCGCTCGAACAAGATTTCGACGGATGTTTCTTGGGAGAAATTCCCAGCAAACCTTGCCGCACAATGTCAATCTGACCGCTCACGTGCAAAATCTACAACGTACGTTCACAATTTCATGCGGTAATTAAAGTTACGAAATTACAACCCGATCAGATCAGATTGAAACTCACCAGTGTGACGAGCAAAGCGTTCAACGTAGCGATGACGCAAGCTACCGATAGATCGTGAAACAATTGGATTATCAGCACCAGTTCGAAAACCGGCGAACTGTCGATGTCAAAGGGAAATTCCATTTTAATGGGTAACTCGCGAGCTGAAGCCTCTTTGTTCCTCTTGTTGATCATCGATCGCAGTATCGGTCCTCCGATCGTGTAAAAGAACACAGCCAGCGCGTTCGTTGTGATCATTACGTTCGAGCACTGGCGCGAAAAATCGGCGTGTCTCGTCATTGTGATCGCATCCGAACTGATTGCAATTCCGTCGCACCAATCCTTATCCATCATATCCAGAATAACGTACAACTTGCTACAGAGAACGATTTTTTACGTTTACGATCAAATAAACACGAACAGACGCACTTCTCTTTTATCCGCGGGAGTGTCTTACCGACGATTGAACCAGAGATTGATCAGCTTGAGAAACGACAGACTGTAGCCCAACGTGATGCTCAAACCGTCTATGGTGTCGGAGAGATCGCTGATATTGAAGTGCGTCAAAATATACGAATATTGAAAATATTGCATTATCGCCACAGACGCGATGTAAGTCCACCAGTTGACGTTCGCGTATACGCCGCAACGCGGCCATATTCCGATAAAACGTAAACCCATTTCGACCGACTCGCTAATGGTGGTCGTGCGCTCAGCCGTTGCGTCTTTGTTTAACTTCAACATTATTTTCTCTCAAAACGTCGCGGACGTCTATCATTCCCGTTAGATTTCATCGACGTAATATCCGAAGTGCGCAAGACAACAAAGAGCGCAAAGACAGTAGTGAGCCGATCAATGATAATTATACGCGCGTGGAAATTGCGAAAAAAAAACCACTTACTGTGAATTACAGCGTTCAAAGATAATTGAGATGTGTGAAATAAGCGTCGAGTTTTTTTTCCGGATGGGAAAAAAGTGAATTTTTTGCTTATATAATTCGTCGCGAAATTATTTGTGCTTTTAAAAACAAAATACAGTGTAAAGACGAGTAAACGCATTCGTAGAAGAGCGAACAATGAGATGTAAAAAGTGAATCCTCGAGAAGTAAAAAATGAACGGAACACTGCAAATGGACGATATGCCGCACGATAGATCTTCAAAATCCGTAAACTTATATTTGAGATATTTTTATTATGTAAATATACTTAACTAAATATGTTTGTAAATATGTTTACTTGAGAAAGAAAGAGAAAGAAAAATTTTAGATAAGAGATTTAAAAGTAGATGTTAAATTACTTTTTTTTATCAAAATACACGCATGCAAATATATCGATCGTGAAAATCTAAAATTGTTTATTATGACTGCGGAAAGTAACTTCTTACATCGTCTACATCTAGCTATATGATTTGCGTAATCGTCGATTATAGATCTTGAATCGATAGATAGATCCTAACGAATCAATATATGCGTATAAATAAACTGGACACGAAGATTCGTCTCTAATACATCGCATGCAGTACCGATATATACGAAACAGATGCTTTTACGATCTAAAACAATATTAAATAATGCGATAAAATAAAATAAAAAAATTAGAAAGTGAATATATAAATTATATCGCTCGCGGATGTCAAAGTTCAATTAAATATTCGCATAAATAGTTTTCTGTTCTATTTCTATTATGTAACTTGTCGTAAAGATAATCTTAAAAAATGTATTGTATAACAAATTAAATCGATAAGTCTAGTAAATAATTTCCTTAGTAACAAAAACAAACTCTCAACAGTTAAATCTTACGCTCGTAAATCTTTCTAGCGACAGATCCATGATTTTTCCAGCTGTGATAGTGAGCCGCCTTTGTGATCTCAATATTATAAACAGGATGAGCTTGCTCTCGCTCGGTGTGAAGTTGTACCAGATGGACTCGTACGCCGTGTCGCCGATCTCTTTGCTCTGGAGAAGTTGTATTGTCAACGTGAGACAAACAAGAACAACTGGAGTCATTAAACTTTTGTACTTGATGAAAGCGGCAATAGTTTGAATGTATAGTTTAACATTGAAATATATATTATATATACAGAAGACAGCATACAAAAAGAGAGAATGAAATTTTCCTGTTTTTTTTTTTGTTTTTTTTTTTTCATTTTGAAATAAAAACGCTTTCTAACACACACATATAATTCTCGTTAAAGATGTATTGCAATATATTCACATACATAAAAAAAGGATTTCTCTTTTTTCAAAAAAGAGAGAAGATAACTTTTTATTTTAGACAGGTGTGCGTTTTCCATGATGAAAAAGTGATTGCCGTTATCTAAAATTATCGAATAAAATATAACCGAATAAATAATATATAACCGAATTCCGTGAAAAGAATTCGTAGATTACGTTTCTACACAATATCAATCAAGCTTAAGAATTAAATTTAATTAATTTCAAAAATTTCTTTTTAATTGTGCGTTCCGACCTTGGCACTGAGATATTCCCCGCAAAAGCAAGGGATAAAGGCTTCCGCCAATGCGTTCACGTAAAACACCACAGCCTTCATCAACATCGAGCTATCGATCGCATCGACATCTTGCGTCGCGCTAATCGACTGCAATATCGAACAAAGATATAGATCGTGTCTTCGAGTTTTTTGTTTTACTGTTTGTTTGTTTGTTTTGTTTTTTTTTCTAGAGAATATAATTATACTCACTGTCACGATCATGTATCCTAAACAACAAGTTACCAGCGTGCTAGTTACAAATTGGATCAAAGCGATGTAACAAAAAATGTTTTCAATTTTGCTCGAGAATATGATGATCTTCTGATGTTTGCCGATCATATGCTTTATGATGATCAGATGTCGATTATGCTCGTTCGAACAAATTTCCTTCAGTGTGTCGCACAAAATGTCTATCTGACCGCTCGTATGAAGAACCTGAAAACAACATACAAGTTTATCTTCTAGAAAAAAAAAAATGTAACGACACATGCAATAACTTGATAATTTTTTTGTATAAAAAATAATTAGAGATGAAACAAAGAAGGCTCTTGTCTTTTTTTTACCGCTGAAAAAAAAGAGAAAAAGCACTCGAAGTTTATCTTCGATAACGAATCTCCAGTGTGTTCTCAATCCCAATTGTGTGCGCGCAAAGTATATTGTTGACACAAATAAAACCAATCTGTTTCAATGCGTCACACAACAACTTCGCACTACAAAATTTCACTTGAGATTATGTACAAGAGACGGCCTAAAAAAAAAACACTAATAGAATATCTTTGCAGATTTTGCCACTTACTAACGTGATAATGAGCGAGTTTAATATCCCAGTTACGACGGAAGCTGTCAGCAAATGAAAAAATTCCAGACACGTGACGAGCTCGTACAGCGGCGACTCGTTGCACTCGAACGGAAGTTGCATCTTCAACACGAACTCGCGAGTGGACGTCTCGCTCACGTCGACATTGTGATCGTCGACGTGAAAAGTCACGCCAATGCCGTAAAGAATTACCGCCACCGAATGAAATCCGATCATCACGTTGAGAAAACGCCGTGACAAATTGGCTTTGCTCGTTATGATGCGCACGTTGCTGATCGCAGTTTCTTTCCAATCGCTAGCCATCGCAGCTAGGACATCGTAAAATATACTACGGCAGTTTATTTTCATGTGCAAGCGTACGTGTACTTACGCGAGATCACTGCCAGTTGGAAGATGGAAACAGATGTGTCAAAATTATCATTTCTTTTTATAAGAAAGAAAGATTGATCTTTTTATTGCATATTCGGGAATAAGTTCCACTTATATCAATTTTTTATAGAGTTATTTTTACACAGAGAGTTATATAATTTTTTTTAGAGTTATATAATTTTATTTACGTACACAAACGTGTTATCATTGCGATAACATATAATCTCAGTTTCCAACTTCGCGACTAAATTACACTGATTACATATGCGCTATCTTACCGACTATTTAACCATAAAATAATCAATTTTATTAACATCATAGTGTACTCGATGGTGACACTCAAAGCGTCCAGCAAATACGACAGATCGTCATTTTCGAAGTGAAGAACGATCCACCAGTACTGGAAAGTTTGTACGATGCCTATGGTCACTATCCAGGTACTTCGAAACAACACCGCGTACGACGCGTCCGGCCAAATACCGGCAATTCGAAGACCAATTTGCATCGGAAGAGCCAAACCTCTCGAAAAAGTCATTTTAGAACATATTAGCGACGCGCGATTCGCGATTTATGAGAAAAAAACAAAAAAACAAGTAAAAATTGCGCGAAAATTTAACCGAAAATTTGACGGTTCAATTGTCGCATTTGGCGAAACTTGTTACGACTTTGTTAACGTAGCGAAGCTAGAAATTACAGCGTCGATAGATTGCGCACAATTCTAAAACAACTCTATAGCAGCGAGTTGATCATGCGAGGGTCGACTACTACTTAAAAACGCGACCCTAGCAAGATAATCACCGATCAATTGACGGCGACCGTAAGAACAAAACTTTTGTTCTACACAATATAATCAAAGTTGTCAGCAACGGAGAGATAATTGCACGAACGATTACAGAGGTATACAATTACGTTATTTTAATGTAAAAACTGTTGACGATAGGATAGATTAGTCGCTTGAAAAAAAATGTAAACGTTAGCTCTCTTCTATAGAATAACTTGAAAAAACTTGGAATTATGAGGTGAAATATGAGACAGAGAAAAAGAATCATGCGCTTCTACGTACGTACGTACAGTGCAATTGTAACACGCGCAACGTATACTATCGGTAAAATAATATCGTGAAAAAAGTAAGAGTTCCATACACATAAAAAATATGTATAAATGGAGATACAAGAATCAAATACAATATTACATTAAAATAAAGCGATACAGTTTACAGTGATATACAATATGTACTCAAGAGAGTACTCGGAGCGAGAGGCAAACTCCGCGTTGGACTTCTAGCTGTTACGCTGGCCGGAAAGTGGCGCCCTCTAGTCGTCTCAGAAAGAGAAAGACAAACGTATACACATAATATAACACAAAATAATCACAATATAACACAATTTAATGAATATATAATGAGGTTATAGAAAGAAATTGTATAAGTAAAAAAAAATTCATGCTTATTTTTGACAATCAAAAGAGTAAGTAGCGAGAAATCTTAGCACAATTTATTTATTTTTGTAAAAGCATTTTCGACTTGGTGCAGTAAATACGAGACTAGAGCAAACCTATGAAACGTCGGTTTACGGGTCTCTATAATCGGTATCCAGTATCCTTCTTAACTTTATCAATAAGATATTAATACATCGTGTGCAAAACAGATACATATGACGCGGAGGCTTTTAAAATCTGAAAAACAATTGTGTAATTATGTTACAGCATAAACGTGGAAGAATGAAAAATACTGTACAGTGAACCCTTGTTTATCCGGATCTCTTTTATCCGGAACAATTTGAGGCCCAACCTCTATTATACAGACCGATAGTTCGTATTGTAGGAATCGACAGTCCGTATAATAGAGGTTGGGCCTCGGTTATCCGAACTATCTTGTCCCCCGATCGGTTCCGGATAAACGATCCGGTTTCACTCTATAGAGTGAACGTGTACGAGAGAGAGTGACCGCTTATACGTGTCAGTGAATACATCCCCATCACGTAACAAAAAGTCGGGCCCAACCCTCTTTTATGATGTCGACCGGCCTGATTTTTTAATAGAGAGTCTCTATCCGGCTTTGTCTTTTTTAATGCGTACTTTCCTTCAAGCGATTAGAGGATTACATATTGAAAGGAAAATAAATTTGCTGTTTTTTTTTCGCGTATGTTGGTATTGCGACAACTCCCGAATCATCGACACGTAAGCGGCACTGTGATTTCCAAAACGTTTCCACAAAATCTTATCGTTGATAAAAATCTTACATTCGTGAATTCTTCCAATGACAAGTTTATGAACTTCCCCGCGGTAATCGTCAGCTGTTTTTGCGATCTCATTATCAGAAACAACAGAAATCGGCAATCTCGAGGTTTGAGGACGTACCAAACCGATTCGTATGCCGCGTCACCGATTGTTTTACTCTGAAAATATAATACAAATAAAAGCATTAAAAGCACAAAGAAAAACGTCGCGACTTACTAATTCACTCAAGTATATATCAGCTTAATTTTCTAATATCAGCAATCTCTAATAAGTTTTTAACAGTTTCAGCACGGAAGAGGAACACGTTTCTGATGAATTATTTTTCGGATGCTTACTTTATTGCTAAGATATTCGCCAACAAAACAGAAGATAAACGCCTCCAGGATAATAGAAATGTAGAAAAAAGTTGTCCTTATTAACATCTTGACGCTTTCATCTGTACCTAACGACTGTAAATCGAAAAATCAGTTATAGAAAAACTGTCGACGCGACTATATTTATGGAGGTGAAAGTCTCAGTTTGCAAAGAGAAAACCCCATCGTTCTAACTTCACACAGCTGACCAATCTCCCCGCTACACATTTAACAAGGCCCAACAGTAAGTACTTCTATAGCATAAGGGTGGGAGTAACAAAACGCAGAGAAAATATTTCTTTGTTTTTTAATTGCAGAACGTACTCACAGTTACTATGAGGAAACCGATGCAGCATATGATCATCGTGTTCGACAGAAATTGCATCAGCGCGATGTGGGTGAATAGACGCTCGATGTTGTTCGAAAAAGCAATAATTTTATGATGCTTGGTAATTAAAGATTTTACAACGGCAGCGGATAAATCATTGTCAGGATCCTTGAGACAGATTTCTCGCAATTGTTGATGTATAATATCTATTTGCCCGCCGATATGTAATATCTAAAAGTTACACAACTTCCACAAGTCGAACTTTACTACAAGTCGAAACTTCACTAAAGCGAAATCTCCGGGACCGCGAATGTAACCGATAATTTGAAATTCTTCTTTCGATATACACTTTTCGGTTCAGCGCATTTGAAACATATCATTGTCTATTTGCGCATGTGTGATCGAACGGTGAGTGTTCAGTAACGAGAAGTCGAAATGAGAGAAGAGAAAGAATTCACCTTAGTGAGGGAAAATTTATTTCACTTTAGTGAAGTTCGATTGTAACTTGTTTGCGATATTTATTTTCCGATCTCGCCTACTCTCGGTTTACTATTCGTGCAAGTGTTCACACAGGATTATATTATTGCCAAAGAGTAGAGGAAGGAGAGAGAGAGTAAGATCAGCGGTCACAACGCGGTCCCGACTCATTAACCCTTTCGCTCCGGCGCGCCTGTGACAAAATGTGAACGGAACGCGTCGATGACAAATTGACACACGGAGTATCCACAACAATTGCGTTTTTGGTTTTAAACTTGTGAAATAAAAAATACAGTTTTTACACAATTATGAGCATATTGTTCATAATTTGAAGACGTTGAGAGATGAATACAATTGGAGCGAAAGGATCAAAGCGTTTGACTTATAAATATAACATAAATATCTTTAAAAACTATAAAACGATATATCTGTGCATATATATATATACCATATATATACTATATTTTACGTAACGCATGTGTGCTGCTGAAAAAGAAGAGAATAGATGGCTAGATTTTACTGTCACGTCACATGAGGCTCTTGCGCGAAACGACCGGAAAAGAAATTGCTTCACAAAATATAGTGACGATATTGTGAAGCATTAAAAATTATATTGACGTATAAATCATAGGAAAGTAACATGAAAAAAACGGAAGTGCACTTCTTCTCTTATAAAAGAGAGAATAAATATTCGAGCGATAATTTTCTAAATAAAGAACGATTGATTTTCAGTTTCTGAATAAAATTAAAAAATATATATATATATATGCGATTTGAGAGAGAGATTACACACAACAAAGCAATATGTAAAATTCACAAACTTACCAAAGTCACAATTAACGCGTCGAGCATACCTATGGTCGAGGCGGCCGCCATTAAGTGAACGAATTGCGCGAAAACCACGGTTTCGTAAATCGGCGAGTTGCAAAATACAAACGGGAATTCCATTTTGATGAGCAATTCTCGGCAATCGTCGCCGATCTGCTTTCGAAAATCGATCGTCACGGTAGTGTAAAGTAACACCGCCGTCGAGTAAACACCGATAATGAATTTTGAGCAACGATGCGAGAGAATCGCTTTGTCGATCATGGCGGGCATGTCGGAATATTCGCGCCAGTCTTCAGACATCGCCGTCAGAATATCGTTGAATATTCTGGAATACGGAACACACTTTGCAACGCTTCGCAAAACCGATTTGCGTTTCTATACGCGTTAAATTGCGCGCACACATAACAATATAACAATGGTATCAATTCGTAAGCAAATTCGATATAAGCAAATACGGTTGTGAGAGATAGATTTTAAAATTATAATTAAAAAAATTACAGAAAATGTATATACACATACCGATTATTGAGCCACAGAATAATCAGCTTGAAGAAGAGTAAGTTGTACGGCAATGTGCAGCTCAAACCGTCTATCAGATTCTGCAGCTCGTTGACGCTCAAGTGAATCAAAATATAGTGATACTGGAAGATCAAGCCTGTTCCCATCACTATCGTCCACATCAGTCTGAAGAAAACAGACGAATTTGGCCATATCCCCGTGAAACGAAGACCGATTTCGATCGGTCGACAGACGGTACTCGACGTTATCATATAAGTGAGTTGATTCGGTCGACGAGTCGAAGCAGGAAGTTGGACGAGAAGAAGCTTCCTATAACCGCGAAGGGTAAGCCTCGAGATGTTAGCGCGGAAATCGGAGATGCAGCCCCACTTTGACGATCGTCGACCAATCGCGAATGTCAGACGTGTGTTTTCGTCATGTGCTTAGAAATGCACGAAGTAAGTTGCGAACGATCGAAGAATGATTGCAGGCTTTTCGAGCCCAAGAATCGACAAGAATGGTATTTACTGTTTTCCGCAACAAGAAAAGTGCTTGTCGTCGATGATACCGAGAGTGATTTACTTTAAAAATGCAAGAAAATAGGGAAAAGTTATACAGTTAGGCGATGCAAGGGAAGAGCGAAAAAATGTCGGAGTAATGATCGAAGAAAGGATGATGACCGTCGTTGAAAGAAAGTTTTTCGAACAAGAATAGTGGTGAGGCTTCACGAAAGATTGGTAATGCAAGAAAGAGCTCTCGAGCTTCACGGAAAATACATAAGTGCGTGTAATAGTATTATAATAATATTTCAGTTACACAGAAATATGGTAATGTATTTGTAATTGCATACTGTGTTTATGTGTACATACAATATGCAGTTTCTCTCTTTCTCTTTCTCTCTTGAAGCGAGAAAATTTTAATAAATAAATTATGTAGTGCAAAAACTACACAATAGAGTATAGAATATGTTTTGTTAACAAACATGGGGTCTCCAACGCGTTGTTAATCCTCTAAACAATGTCCAAGTTAAAGGTTGAAAAGCGCCTAGATGTAGGCAACTTACCGCACACAAGGGCACAGTGGACTGCTTACTTTCGAGGCGTTTTTATCCTTTTAACTAGGTTTATTGAGAAAAAAATTTATATTTGAAAGATTTTGACAGAAAAAAAAACGCGCGAGTTTCACTGTGGTAGTCATCGATCGAAATTATTCATTGTGCAGAAGTGGTATGTTAGAAGAGAAAGAAACTACACGATGGCGCGCACACTATGATTTCAGGTTTGCCGAAGAAAAAGATATCGAAATACACAAGTTTTACGTGGTCTTTCACGTCAAGCGTCTCATTGGGGATACAATTGACAGTTATTTGCCTTAAAAATGCAGAATACAATGTGTTTGAGCTCACGTATCAAACGCAAGACGAGAGAATATGTTGAGTGTTCTCGATGTAACCAGTGCGCAAGACAATATGACGTAGCGTTTCGCGTATGACACGCGACTTACCAAACAGTGCAAAATATATTCTTGACGTGGTTTGATATCCAGTGTTGTACGTGATGTGTGTTTAAAGAAACAAATCCTGTGCATTAATATTAATTAATTAATAATAATGTTAATGTATATATTAATTAGTGTCATATTAATAGTAGTGTGTCTGGTTATAATTACATTTCTGTGTTATATAGTGTTATATAGTGTAAATAAATATTAGTTCTATATTAGTTATATTTCTATATTAATATAAGACAGTGTTCTTTGTTGAGGCATTTACTTCGTAAAACAAATAATAATAATTAAACAATATGTTTATAACAGTTTTACGGTATCACTCGTTTCAATACATAGCATGCAGCACCGACATGTAAGACGCAGAAGTCTTGAGAATCTACGAAAAAAAAGGAAAATATATAAATTATTTTGTTACTTAGTTCCCAAAATAAAATCACTTTGTGATAAATAAATAAAAGTCACGAATATATCTCTCTTTCTCTCTCTCTCTTACGCCTGTAAAACTTTCTAAGGATAAATCCATGAATTTTCCAATTGTGATCGACAACTGCCTCTGAGATTTTACTAGTAACAATAACAAAAGTCTACTCTCGGTAGGTTCCAATTCATACCAAAGTGAATCGTACGCTGCCTGAGTTATGGACTTGCTCTGAAATAAAAGTTTTTACATAAAAATCTTCTTCTCGTTCTCTCTCTCTCTCTCTCTCTCTCTTACCTTTGAATTTAAATATTCTCCGGTGAAACAAATTACAAATGCTTCCAGGTTCACAACGGCGTAATAAGGGATGACTTTCACCAGCACGACATTCCCTTCGTCGGTACCAAGTAACTACGATTTAAGAGAGTTCTTTGAATAAACTGCGAAATGTCGCGATCGAGGATGTGGATGCGCATCGTATTACTCACAGTTACAATCACGAATCCGAGGAAGCAAATAACAGCTGTGTTTGAAAAAAATTGCACCAGAGCCATGTAGCAAAATACATCTTCGACACTGTCGGCGAAAGCGATGATCCTCTGATGTCTGTTGACAACAGCTCTCAGCGCGACTATGCGCGACAAGTCGCGTTTGTCCGCGACCGCTGGAATTTCCATTAACTCGTAACACATTATGTCGATTTGGCCGGCAATGTGGAGTATCTAAAAGTGACGATCCAGAATTGTCCTGAAGGCAACGTTATAAGCGGCTGCAAAAATGGTTAAGATGCTATCTATAACGTGAGAATATATATGTAGAAAAGAAGTGAAACGGTGTAGTGTTAATATTTTTTTTTTGTTTTTTTGTTTGCTCTCCGAGTTAGGAAAACCAACTTACTAACGTTACAATGAGAGCGTTTAACATTCCCGCCAAGAGCGCGCACGTGAATTGCAGAAGAAATTGCACGATCTGAACAATTTCGAAAAGCGGCGACGCGTTGTACTCGAACGGCAGTTCCATTCTGACAATAAGTTGCCTTCCCGTCTCGACAGACAGTTCCGCACTTCTCTGGGACAAGATACCGCTCGTCCAGAAAAAAACTAAACATCCTGTGTACACACCGATGGTATATTTTGAAAACCGACGAGACAAAACCGCTTTGTTCGTCATCATCCGCGTCTTCAAAGCGGTCGTGCATTCGTCCCAATCCTCGACCATTGTTGTCAACATGTTGTAAAAAATACTGAACAATAATGTATGTATGTAGATTATTATTAATATACGTCTATAATTTTTTTACAAATTATGTACAACACGTGTTGGAAATTAAAAAGAATTTTCAAACAAGTTTGTTCAATCGAAATTTTATCAGCCGTTAAATGTGTGTGAACGTTGGAGGTACGAAGTACGAAGCTATTCATAATGTTAAGATAATCTGTCCGCGTTTATCCAAAGTGTTTACACTGATCTTACCGGCCGTTTATCCAAAGAATACTCATTTTCAGAAACAACAGACTGTTCGACAAGCACAGACTCATCGAATTCATGAGATCTTCCAGAGTGTCGGAACCAATATGAGTGAAGAGGTACCAGTATTGAAACAGTTGCGAGGTAACCATCGTCATCGTCCAAGCGACGCGTTGCAGAAATTTACACGAGGAATCTGGCCAAACGCCTATTAGCCGCAAAGTGAGCACCATCGGACCGCCGATGGTGCTCGCGAGTATCATTCTCATCTCTCTGAGTTTTTTTTTCGATTGATTTCGACAATTGTTACAATCACGTAAAACAGAATCTCCGATGTGATTTGCAGTTCCGTCACGTTTTTCTCGGAAAAGAAGAAGTTCGGACGTTTTCTGATTAAAAACGATCGGCCATAAGTGCACGCGTACACTTCGGATACTGATGTGTTGGCGCTTAGAATCCTTACGGTTCAGCTGTGAACGCCATGATGCTATAGATTACCATAAAAAAAAAAAAGCTTCCACGAGAGCCAGTTGATCTCGAAGTGAATAAAGCGTTGCGAAACGACTACCGTCCGACTGCAATTACCGTCTGAAGAGTATTATACAAAATGCGCACGTAAATGTGTAATGACCACTTGAATCTATCGGAAAAAGGGATTGTGAGAGGGAAAAAAGGTAGACTGATTGCGCGTAATTCGACGAATTTTACGTTGTTCGCCATACGATCTACCGATATACCGACGAGACGTTTGTTTTAAAAATGCACAGCTACCTACAATCTATCAAATCGCTCGCTGTGAACTCCGATAATTATTTTTAAAAAAAAATTGAAGATATCGTTTAAAGATAATGGAACATAATAGCGAGTTTATTTTTAATTAGAACGTGCACGGGGATACCAGCTGCGTATGATGAAAGATTCGCGTAGAAAAGAGAGAAATATCAAAATATTCGAGTGGTATAATACATATATTCACTTTATATTACGCTGTAACTCAATATTACGTTTAATTCAAATATTATATTTACTGAGTATGCATTTCTCGTCGGGATTATTTAAACAAAATATGAATATTTCATTCATTTTCTTCCTAAATAGATGTAAGTGTATTCTCGTCCGTGTTTACCAGTAATATACACGTAACTGCGAATAAATCATTTTTGGGAAGAATCTTTTTCGTTCTCATTTTAAACTTGCTACGGTAAAAACAAATATTGCCGCGTTTATATGAATTTACGCGAGAGAGAGAGAGAGAGAGAAGTTCAGATTGGCTTTCACCGTGAAGTACAGGAGAACACGCAACAATTTTACAACGTACATGTGGCAATAGCAGCAGTTGAGTATTTTTTTTTTTATTTATATGACAAAGAAACGTATCTACTTATATAATAATTGTACACACGTGTACGGATATACGTCTCATATAAATTTGCTTTTAAAGAAGTGTAAAAATATTTACTTTCACAAGTAAATTGCAAACTGTAAATGTTATTCAATCATCATTCGCGAACGGTCTCATAGGAAATCTTGGTAACTGCAGACGCAAAGTTGCGAACAAACAAATACAAAATAATGCGGGCCGTAAAAATTTATGTACGCTTTGGGATGTGGATTTCAGTAGAAAAACAGAGAGTTCTGAAATGAAATGTAAAAATTACAGTTTCAAAGTTGGGATATATTAAACCAGAAATTTTCAACCTTTTTGACATATTCGCATGAAAACTTTATAAAAAAATTTTATAATAACTCTTCATATATATTTCAGTCACAGAATTAATGTTAAATAATTTATGTTATATATTCATCCGATCAAAAGAGAGATTCATGTGATACAAAAAAGCTGCTGTCTCTAATTAACAAGGTTTCTGAAAAACAATTTTTATAACAAACAAAACTTGAAAAATTATTTCTTTATCATATCAAGGAAGGCTAAAAGTTTAATTAGCATAGAAAAAGGGATAATATGAAAAAAAAGATAGTCGCTGCAATAAATCGTGTACATATGTGTATGTAATGTGTACATATATATACTTTAATTTTCTCACATACAAAAATATATATATATATATAAATTGATATATAATATAATAATATACATATTTTTATAAATTTTATTAAAAAGTATCAACAAATGGTAATGTTGTATAAACATTTTAAAATTATTTTTCTTTGCGCGGCTGTAAGAAAATGTTTTACATGAGATATGTATATATACATATGTATGTATATACATATATATATGCATACGTATATGTACGCATTGCGCAAAGAAACAGATAGTAAACAAGTTTTGAGCGATGAATAATATTACACATTCGAACATTTTCAATTCGAATTAGATGATCTACTTTACATGCCGTCATAAGCAGGTCCGCCGCCACCCTCGGGCACGACCCAATTAATATTTTGACTCGGATCTTTAATATCACATGTTTTACAGTGAATGCAATTCTGCGCGTTGATTTGTAATCTTTCACCGTCTCCGCTTTCCAGTGGCACGAATTCGTAAACACCTGTAAGTTTATTTTACGTACACGTTATGTAAGATTAGGATTGATTAATTCCGTAAATGCGATATTTTGGTAAAGATTTTAGACGCGCGAACATCCTCATCAGAAGGGAGCAGAAGGAAAATTATAAGTCCGGAGAAATATAAAAAGGAAAATATGAAAAACATAAGAACGAAAACAATACACTAAAATAAAGATTTCCAAACAATAGTGGAAAAATTAATGTATACGTAGTTATTTACTTAAAAACACTTTCATTTCGAGACACACAAGCTTCTAATTTGATTTTTTAACTCTCGTACTCATTATCCGAGAAAAAAATGTATCACTTATACATTACTAATGTGTACGTAATTACTTCAAAAAACATTTTTATATAACAGTTTCCTCAAAAAAAGTATATAATTAAAAGTTCAAAAATAATTACAGTTACCGTGCGTGCACACACAAATGTAAAAAGGTTAATTTTTCGCAAACTGAAAACTTCGGAACAAAGGTTAACAAAGGATAAATGGCAGCGAGGTTGTTGGCCGGAGCTAGGTGTAGAGCTCTGTTCGATTTCGGGGATTGAGCTTGGTCCGGGGTTGTCTAGCCAAGCGGGGGTTGTCCGGGTGGCTCAGGTTCAAGGACACAACGGTCGATAAACCCCCGACAGAAGACTGGAAAAGAGGAGAGGGAGGAGATACAGCTCGAGAGAGGGCGGAAGAGGAAGAAGTCGAATTGCTAGCAGACTGCGGAAATTTATCCCGAACGAAATAGATTGCTTCGTGAAAATATTCTTAATAAGCATTCCGAACAATCCCGCGTTAAATTTTCATCAAAAAATAATTGCAGTAAATATACGAATAGTCAAAAAAAAGTTTATAAAACGTAAATATTAAAATGTAAATAAATAATTTGATGTAAAACATATGCAAGATATATCTCAAACATTGCAATGCATATATGTGATATCCATTCGCTGTTTACAGAGAAATTTATATTTAAGCTAATTGATTGTAATGTTAATGTTTTATTATTATAAAATTAAATTCATAATTGTACTTCAATTCTCGTTCATAGAAAACAATTTGATAAACTTTTATAATTTAACTTTGGTAACATATAAGAGTTACACAGTAGAAATTTCTTAAAAATTATTATAGAAAAAAAAATTAAACTTTAGAAAGAAAATCTAACGTTTTGTAATAAAAAGATTCATGAAAACTTACCAAACGATGTTGACAGACTATAAATTACTAAAATGTGTAATCATGCAATAAACATAAACTGACTCACCAGCAGGACAGAATCGTCCTTCAGGACCAGCAAATTCAGCTAAATTTTTCTTTACTGGAACGGTATCGTCCGTCAAAGTTAAATGGGGTGGTTGATCAGCTTCATGATTTGTACCAGTTAAAGCCACTGATGACAAAAGATCGAAAGATACTTCATTGTCCGGTTTGGGGTAGTCTATAGGTGTTGACTCAGATGCGAGTTTCAGTTTCTTATAATCGGGACCTGTGAACACAGGATATAAGGTTTTCTATTATGTTTAAAATATTTTTCAGAAAATCCTTTTAAGATGTTCTTTCAGAAATACGTCCTCTTACCTCCGTGGGAGAGAGTCCATGGTTCTTTGCCTTTCAGTAACATTGAGAATCCGGAATAAATCAAACCACCATAGAGTCCCAGAGAAGTATGAAAACTGGGCCTTATATTTCGTACAGCCTTCAGTTCTTTGTAAACCCAGCTATTTTTTATTTTATCTGTGTACGACTTTGGTTCTAAACCTTTTGTCGGTGAAGTGTTATTTTCGGCATCTACAATCGCTTCAATAACGCTTTCTGCAGCCAGCATGCCACTTTTCATAGCGTTGTGAGTACCTTTAATTTTAGGTACATTTAAAAAGCCTGCGGTGCATCCAACAAGGCAACCTCCAGGAAATTGCAGTTTGGGAATACATTGAAATCCACCTTCTACTAATGCTCTAGCGCCATAGGCTATTCTACGATTACAGACGTAACAAATATCAAGAGCATGAAAGTTTCAAGCAAGACAATAGCAATATGTAGTCTTGGTAATTATTTACAATCTATTGTCTTTGCAATATGCTCTTGACAACATATATTTAAGTCAAAATAATTGGCGCTGTATTCGTTAATGTAAATTAATGTAATTTATAAATAAATATTTGTGTATGCTTGGCTTACATTAAAAATAAATATATAAAGATCCCCAACATCCTTACAATTAGATATAAATTTTATTTTAATATAAATTTATAATTCGTATATTTAAAATTACTAACCGTTTCCCTCCTTCAAAAGTTTGTCTAATACTGGGATGTTGTTTAAATCTCTGAAATTCTTTGAACGGAGATAAATATGGATTGCTATAATCTAATCCAATAACAAACCCTACAGCAACCGAAGGTGTTTCTTCGTTCAAATGATATAAAAATGAACCTCCATAGGTATTTCTATTAAGAGGCCAACCAACTGTATGTTCAACTGCTCCAGGTCTATGTTTACTTGGCTCTATCTCCCAAACCTTTAGAATATGTTTCATATACATACACATTTTTTAATGTTTGTGCAAATTCAGTGGTAATTACCTCTTTTAATCCAATCGCATATGTTTGGGGCTCACAATCTTTTCTAAGATTTAATTTCTTTGATAACTGTTTTGTTAAATGTCCGTGGCAGCCTTCTGCAAATATAGTACATTTTGCATGAAGTTCCATGCCTCGTTCAAACATATCTTTTGGCGAGCCATCTTTAGCAATACCAACATCATTTGTGGCCACTCCTTTCACAGATCCATCCTCATGATAGAGGACTTCTGCTGCTGCATAACCAGGATATATCTCAACACCAGCAGCTTCTGCTTGTAGGCCCAGCCAGGCCACAACGTGTCCCAATCTATACAGAAATGTACACAAATAAATAAATTGTTATAATTACTTGACATTTATTTATAATCTTCAAACTTAATTTTAGATTTACCTCACTATAAAATTTCCATGGTTATACATTGGCATTCCTTTAAAGATAGGTATATTTATTCTTTCCTGTTTTGTCAAAAATGCAAATTTGTCTTCTGTAACTGGAGTATTTAGTGGTGCACCTAGTTCCTTCCAATTTGGAAACAGTTCATTTAAGGCAATCGGATCCAAGCAAGCACCACTAAGAATATGTCCACCAATTGTAGATGCCTTTTCAACAACAGTCACTCTGAGTTCTTTGCCATGTTTCTCTGCCAATCTACGAGCTTGAATAGCTGCGGATAATCCAGCTGGACCACCTCCCACAATAAGAATATCGGTTTCGTCGACGAACCTTTCCATATTTATATCTAATGCATAAAAAAAATACATATATGTATGTAATAAAAATATATATATGTTGTAAATATTATTAACTCTTGTACTTTGATATCTATTTGTATAAATAAGAGAAGAAAAAATTACCTTTCCATCGTGGATCTGTCTCCCTTGGAATTACTGTATAGTGAGTTGTGATTTGAGGGTATTTGGCATCTGAATAAGCTCTTTGAAAAATTCTCTGTAGCTTTTGCACTGTTAAGAAGTAAAATCTTAAAGTTAGTTTTAAAAAAATATTTTATTGTACGTACTTATTATTTTTATATTTTTTGCACTTAAAAATATACCAACATTCTCTCTTGTATAAATCATTTCAATAGAAATAAGTACAGAAGATCAAAGGAGATATATGTCACAGGGGGCAAAGTACAACAGAGTTTATATTATTAACCTATCACATAAAGCTTAATTTTGTGCTCAAAGTCTATTTATTGGCTGCTAAACACATTAAATATATATATATATTATTAAAAAAAATAAGTTTATATTCTTGCAATTATATAATTATTGATATTTATCAAAAACAAAATACAATCTCACAACTACACAATAAATGAAATAAAAAATTTATATATATTGTCTTTTTTAACATTGTTATTTACTTATATTTAAAGCTGTTACTTTGATAATATATATCATCACTTTTTATTAAAAAACAATATGATGTCACATAAAGCTAATTCCAATACACTGTTTAATTAACTTTATAAAAAAAAAATGTGACAGAAGATTAAAAAAAAAAAAGAGAAAAGAAGAAAAATGCACAGGCAAGAGAAAAATATTAATAAAAAGTTGACACTTACATTTTGTACCAGACGCACCAAACACAACAGAAGCCATAATTGCACACAGGCAACACACAACTGCTGATTAGTGTTTGTGTGACAGCATGTGACGGTAAACATTCACTTATGAGCAGATTCAGTAAATGCCCAGGCTAATTTGCGAGCTGCTGGAAAGAGACAGAACACAAAAACACAAGTTATCTCTCTCTCATCTCGTGTCATTCTTCAGTCACTAGCAGCTGCCGGCGACTGATCAGTCCACTTTACCGACACACGATCATCGATCACCGATCTAGAACAAAATTTATTGTTTGCAAAATGACCGTATGGTGCGAGTATATGTTGCGCAGCGTTGAGGTCTTTGTTGTGTCACATTCAGATGCAGCAGCACCTGACGAACACTGCGATGGTACATCATGTTTAACGTGCTATGTGAACATTATCGTGCCAATGCTGTGTAAGTAGGTGTGCCCTGCTCGCAGGGTGCCAACAAATAAATTTTTTTTTTCGACTCTATGTCACAACCGTAAGTACGCCGTGATAACGACAATTTGTTGGCGTAAAAGAGTTTGGCAGCTTCGGACATAACGCTCAACATATGACAAGCGTTTCACGGCGTGCTCGTGTGATTGCTTACTTATATCTGATAGTAGCACATTACATAGTATATTCACCTATATGGGTGTATTAGTTGCATCAGCGATGACAGATATATACACATATACGTTGTTTATAGTCTCGGAGGATAAGTTTATTAATACGGAAGACTCATGAAGTGTGAAACTCTCTCGGAGGAGCGAGAAATTCAGATCGTCCAGGTGAGGAATCACATACAGAGGATCACGAGGAGAAGATCTCGCGATCCAGAAGCTGTCTAGAGCACCGCTAGGGTAAGGGAGCAAGGAACCTCTTGGGGCGGCCAGGTCTGATGCGATCACGTGATCCATGTGTTTACCAAGATGGTGAATGTCCGCCGTGCGCCACACACCGCTCTGACGTTATCTGTCTGTGCTACGAGCGAGTGGCCGCGCGGCGCTTAAATGTCTGAATAGTCGCGCCATCAGCTGTGCTCCTTCAAGTGCATGGTACGCGGCTCAACGACGACGTAATTTCTCCAATACGCCGCGGAACGTGCCGTAGAATCGCGTCCCGGACGAGTCGATCCCGTCGTTCGTGCGTCGTCCCCGTTTGTTTCTGGCGTCTCCTCACCTAGCGTTTTCTTCGTTGTGCGGAACACACAGAGGACGAGCGAAAGTTGGAAAGTGGACGGCGCCACGCATTGCGCTACTGTGCACGGCGTGTCGTCGCGTTTTTAGTGTCGCGTAACGGGAGAATATTTTTTTGGTTCTGGAATATATTTTTGTGGACGCGTGTGATATCACCAGGAGATGCCACGACTCGACACGACGACGGCGACGACGACGACGACGGCGGCGGCGACGGCGGTGGTCACGGTACGATGATCATCTCGTCGCGCGCGAATCCATTGCAGTCTCCGCGCAACGGTATTCTTGCAAGTCTCCGTATCTCACGATGTCGTTCATACGTCTCGTTACATCGAGTTTATCTCTCGATTGCTTATTGTCTACACTGTAAAATTACTGCAGGATCTCTGTTTTCTTATATTGCACTGCTCAGGAAATATCCCAAAACTCTCAAAGGCCTAATTCCATTTGCCGATAATGTTGAGTTTCAAGACTACAAGGTATATCACTCTCTTTACAATGATTGTTTTGATTGTGCAAGATAATGTTAATCATGTAGATAATTTAACTCTGTTCGCTCTCTTTGTTTCTTTGTCTGTTTTATTTGTCTCTTTACTCTTTAATAGCAGATGATTTCCACTTATAGATTAGTGCAAATAAAAAGCACTTTATCAAGGAACATCTAAATGTCAAGAGGTATCCTTGCATAGCACACAGTGCTACGGCCAGGTGTTCTTAAACATGGCCACGTATCAAGTTGACTACCAGTGGTTAGTGCATGTTTTCTTCTTTTTTAATTATGATGTTTTATCAATTGTTATTGTTTGTCACACTTTATTGCAGGGCTTATTCCATCATGGATTCGTCAAGAATATCCACTTTTTTAATATCAATTCTACTGATAGTTTATGGTAGTTTTCGATCTTTAAATATGGAGCAAGAAGCAAGGGAAAGGGAAAAAGAAAAGGAACGTAGTAATTTATTGACTGGGATTACAAGTAACAGTATCGCTGGCACTGCGGACGGCGCTAACGGAGGAAGAATTCAAACATTAGATACGATGCATGCTCTCTGTCTACCTCTTGGTGCTTCCATTTCTCTACTTATCATGTTTTTCTTTTTTGACAGTATGCAGATGCTTCTTGCAATCTGTACAGCCAGTAAGTTTAATGCGAATAAGTTCAGATGAAATATTTTACACTTCTGGTGTAAGATATATCGTAATTTTTTTTTTTTTTTTTTTTGGTGATGTAAAGAATATATTTTATTAACTAACAAAACTTTGTTTGCAGTTATAGCTACAGTTGCATTGGCGTTTCTTTTATTGCCTATGTGTCAGTATATCATTAGACCATGCTCTGATGGTAATAAAATATCTTTTGGCGTTTGCGGGAGATTTACGGGTGCGGAATTGCTCTCATTTTCGCTCAGTGTGAGTATAGTATGCATCTGGGTCTTGACTGGACATTGGCTGCTGATGGATGCGATGGGTATGGGTTTGTGTGTGGCATTTATCGCATTTGTTCGACTACCTAGTCTCAAGGTATCCACGTTATTATTAACTGGACTGCTGATTTACGATGTCTTCTGGGTTTTCTTTTCATCTTATATATTCAGCACAAACGTAATGGTTAAGGTGAGTGTTACCAATTTCTTGTGTCTAAATAAGATATAAGTTAAGGTGGTATATATATTCACTTTTCGGTGGTGTCGCCTCGAAAGCGACAAAAGTAATCCAATTTTCAAAGTTAAAAATATTCTTTAACGACATATATCTCCTTAATAAGAAATATATTATGAGTGTATGTGTGTGAGAGATTAATATTTATATGTGATATCTTTTTTAAATAAATTTACGATGTTCTTATATGTCATATCTTTCTTGCAATAGATATGCGTTAAAGATAAAAGTAAATCAAATTGCACTATGTATCTGTATATTTATAATAAGTTGATACACATATAACAATTGCATTTTATGACCTGGTTTTGTTATTTCTCACACAGGTAGCAACTAGGCCTGCAGATAATCCAGTAAGTCTCGTGGCTAGGAGATTACACTTAGGTGGTGTGGCGAGAGCTGCGCCAAAATTACCTTTACCAGGTAAACTGGTTTTCCCATCGATGCATCAAGCGGGACACTTCTCGATGCTGGGCCTCGGCGACGTTGTTATGCCGGGCCTCTTACTCTGTTTCGTCCTACGATACGATGCATACAAAAAGACTCAGCTGTTGCCTGGCGGCTGCGAAACTGGAGTACCACCGCCACGTCACTTTAGCCGACTTAGTTATTTTCATTGCTCTCTGATTGGTTATTTTCTTGGTCTACTTACCGCCACTGTAAGCTCTGAGGTGTTCAAAGCTGCGCAGCCTGCCTTATTGTACCTTGTGCCCTTCACTTTGTTGCCATTGCTTACGATGGCATATTTAAAGGTATCTTTATTTTTATTTTCTTTCTTCTTCTCTTTCTCTTCTATTTTTTCTTATATTTTACTAGACATTTCTTCAATTAGATTTTTCTCCTTTCATGTAAAATAACAGATAGTTGAAATATTTATGTGTGTAGCTAAATAGTTGTGTGAGCTAAGTGTATTCAATTATTTTCAGGGAGATTTACGTAGAATGTGGAGTGAACCATTCATATCTCATCAACCTTCTAAACATATGGACGTTTGACAAGAATCATGGATACTCGTACATCATGCTTGTGTTAAAGGCAAAATTCTTGTCTGTGCATGAAATTCATTATGTAACTTTGTATTCTTATGTTCATTGACTGTCATTTATAATGTAAGTAACGTTTTCTATATACATACTCTACATATGTGAAACGCGCGCAATATATCCGCATTCTTTTTATTAAAAGTCAATAACGACCATATAGAAGACAATTCCCATCTATAAGGAGCAATGCAATTATTTGAAGTGTAAGTGTAAAAACTGAGAATTAAAACTGCATAAATAATTTAAATGTAATATAATGTCACGAATGTAATGTTAGCGCTGCAATCAACTTTTTACCGAGATTATAGAAAAAAAAAAAAAACAATGAATTCTTAAAGAAATATTCTAGGAATGCCAAACGACACGTATATTATTGGCATTCTTTCTGTGTCTTAACTTGATGTTGAATATATGAATAAACATTACGCACAGTAGATAATTTAATCGATATATATATATATATGTACATGCATACGTACATGTATATATGTTATATATACAGTTTATACATTTATGTGTGTGTGTGTATATATATATAATGTGTACGGTACTACCTGGATATTAGCAAAAATTGTATTTCGAAAAAATTAATGTCTTGACAAAAGCAATAAATTATCCCGATCGGGAGAAAGGATAAAAGAAGAACAATTAGAGCGCGATCTGTCAATTTTTATAGCTGACTCTTTTGTAGCAGGCATAAACTTTTGTTATGAACTTTTGTTGTTATGAACAAAATTCAAGCGAATATGAAGCGCAAGTGTGCATTCGTGAAATAGCATTTGCGCTTCGTGGCGTTCTATGTTTGTTTTTCTTATCAGATCCGAAACAAAGATAATATAATGCTTCGACATATCTAGTGCATACGTTGTTGACCGCAGCCTATATTCAGGAACAATTTACTTGCTAATATCCAGATAATATTGTATAAATATGTACATATATATTTCGCGCTACCAAGTATAATATAGCTAACGACTATGCAACCTGGTGGTTTTAATTTAACGAAAAATAGTCTTTCATTTTTAACATAAAAATTATCATAACTAATCGTTACGGATATATAATTTACCTCTTTTTATCAGTTATATAAAAAAACAAAATATAATAAACTCTAAATATTATTCCTGTGAAATTTAGTTATAAACGCCTTGTTAAAAAAATGTTACTTTTTTTTTTTCACTCATCCGATCGGAATCGAATTATGACTATGTAGCTACGAGTAGGACAATATGTACACTATTCAAACATTTGGATAAGAACATTGCAGTATTACACAAATTCAGTGCATGTAGGTTGCGATTTCGTTTTTCAAGATTTCACTTTCAGTATTAAAAATCTATGATACAGATAACGTGAATTATAGATTTTCAGCAAATACTGACAGTGGATTTTGAGATACAGCTTCAATATCGAATAAAATAGTAGGACTGAACGTTGTACACTGAACGATACACTAAGATTCCTCGATAATCCCACAGCCATTTTGGATTTTAACGTCTTCTAACGTCAAAATCCACGATGAGAAAATGATCAAGGACTTAGTGTCTCTTCAGGGAAGAAGACTTTCCTCTTTACTGCGTGAAGAGAAAAGTTTTAACTTCTCTTACGAGAGACGTTAATGTATAATATCACAACTTATATATTAAAAATTTTATATACTTGAGAGCACGCAAATTTTCGAGTTACAGTAACCGATGGCACGCTTTCTAATATTGTGGTTTTTTGCTGCTTGTTAAAACAAATCTTTTATAGAAAAATAGTTTATTTATTTTCGACATATTAGTAGAACGTTAAAACTGTATTGTTAAAAATAATTACAAAGGGGTTGTTCATATAGATAAAAATGCTTTTTAAATAAACTCTTGCTATGGATAGGCTGTAAAGACTTTATATGTTTATTTAAGAACAAGACTGAAAATAATATGTATAAAAGCCAATTTATTAAAACCAGTGTTATATGAAAGATAAACAATTTGTTTTATCATTTTCTTGAATCAACTTATAACAGTGTATTGCATATTAAAATAACATGTATTCTAAAATATATATACATATATACATAAAATGTAGCGAGAGAGAGAGAGAGAGAGAGAGAGAGAGAGAGAGAAAAGAGAGAAAGTATTGTTGTCTCTAAGAAAAATAAAACAATAATATTTCGTATTTTATAAAATTGTGTAAAATATTAATTTAGTAATTATGATTGTATAAAACATTTATACAAATTTTTGAAAGTAATCGTATCTTTTAAACTAATTTAATCTGTACAGAATTCTTATTTTAATTAATTCTTACTCTTTAAACAATTTTAATTCCATCACAAAAAGAGATTCTCTACGAAGAAAAAGCGTTATTAACTAACATATATACCGTCATCTTTAATGCTTTAACTTTTTTTTTTTTTTCATTTATCTACCTGTCCATAGCGTCAGCAATCTGTTCTTCGTCATTATCATTATGTATTTGAAAAAATCAGTTTTTTTACATATTTTATATAGATAATATTTTTATGTAATAAAACAAAGAGAAAAAAGGAGAATTAGAAAATACATCTCGATTACTTCCATTATTCAGTCACAAAAAAATTTCGGAGAGATGTGTTTGTGAAATTTTTATTTATTTTAAATACATATTTATCTATAATTTATATATTGTTAGAAAATGTTTATAGTAGTTCGGATTAGCGAGTTTGCACTTTGTGATTTTTTTAACAATTTAAATGACTTTTTAATATTATATAAACGTTTTTATACTTCTGTTATACATAGTTTGAAGATGTTTCCAATGCACTATGTACGTGTACATATATGAATACTTGAAATAAGAGAGGGAGAAAATTTATTATGGAATTTTCGTTATATATCTCTCTATAAAGAGATTCTGATTATCGAGTGAATAACCGAATGAAATGTACCTATGTATTTAGAATATGATATGTAGAACGTATCTCAAAGAATATTGTTTATGATTTTTATAATAGGTGTGTGCGTGCGCGTGCGTGCACGCTCGTGGAGTGTGTGTGCGCACTACATACTTTATAAGACGTACTTGTTATTAAAAAGTAGTTTACATTTTTTACTTTTCTTTACGCTTTAATTGATGTTTTCGTACGACAAAAAAAAAGAGTTAAGAAACATTTATATTGAAATAATTATGTATTATAAAATAACTTAGTTTATGGTAAAAATGGGAGATACATTTATTAGTATGGTTTCATTTTATTTTATTTTTTTTTTTTTTATCATATAAGTAACGAAATGATTTATTGATCACATCTTGAAGTCTGAAAAATGAATTGTTTTTTATGAATTATTATTTATTACAGTAGAATATTACAAAAGCACTGAATATGCTCCGTATATAAATTTCAAGAAATGTATATAAAATGGGTGCTCCCTTTGGTTTTTCCACAAACTAAGTGACAAAAGAAAACTAGTACTATATATATATATATATACATATATATATATATATATTAGTGATATGACGTATATGTATGATAAAATGATCAAGGAACAGGTATAAATAAAAACACTGAATATATTACATAGATAATACATTAAGAGCACTTGCTTATACTGTTGCAATTCTTGACTTGCATGTGTACACACACAGTTATGTACATTTTTATATATATAATAAAAACCCAATCATTTCGATTTGGTTTGGTTGGAATAGTAAAATTATTGATAACAAATTTATGCGTTCTTTTTTTAAACCATTTTTATCAACAATATACTGTTGCTTGCGAAATATTTCAACATTACTACTAAAGCTCTTTAAACCTGAGTATTAACTTGTACTTTTTACATTCGCTTTTGATAGAAAATACATAGGTATTATAGTTTCTTATGTGTTTATATATTCTAAGAGTTTAAACACACTTATACACTTGTATGTGTGTGTATATATATATATATATATATGTATTCTTTTATTTAGATTAATTAGATTAATTATTTATTGTTACACAAAAGTTGTAAGACAAATTTAAACGCTGGTTTGTCCTATCGTCACATTATCCAAGTTCCTCTTTATACTCTCCAAATCCTTCATATCTGAAACCGCACTCTCACATTTGTAAACTACCAAAGAGTGATAAAAGTGAACGGCAAAAGCGACAAATACTATGAGCACGGGAATGACTATCACAGTGCTGGCAGTGGCGGCAGTAAAGGAGTAATCCCAGAATTTTACCCAGCAAAGAATGGCCACTTCTACCAGAAAAAGAAACAGTCCTAATATTGTGGAAAACGCCCAAGCCAGCTCGATAAAACCGCGCATTCTCTCGTGCGGCGATTCCGTTATAAGTCGCGAGACCTGAAGCTTACTTATGGCTTCGATATTGGGTAAGAGATACGTGCTTATCATAAGCGCGAAGATATGCACTGATACCAAGAAAGTAGTGCAGACTGCGAACATTACGAAGAGCCACTCCGGTACCGCTGTCGGTTCATTGATTTGCAATTCCACCATTGCTACCTAGAAAAAACGATGAGAGATAAAAAATAATTGATTTGGAATTTTTAAATTAGTAAAATTATCATAAACATAATTTAATAAAAAATATAAACGTTATTTATAACAAAAAATATTATAAACGATTTTATGCGTGCGCGCGCGCGCGTGCAGCGTGCACATCTACGTGTGTATAAAGTTATATCTGTCGGATATTTACAAAGGTATTATTAATAAGAAGTACATAAAACGAATTGAAGAAAGTGATATCTCTCTCTCTCTTTCTCTTCGTTTCTTTTCCTCTCTCTTTCTCTCTCTCTCTTTATATCTTCTACTTTATATAACTATAGATGTGCGCACAGATTACATAGAATTGTCGTCGACGTCAATTTAACTATTTTCAGGAAACGTTGTGTAATCATATACACAACCCGCTCTGAGTTCGATTTCCAGGAAAATAAATCCATTTAAATGATTTTCAAGAAATTATAAATCATGAATATAAATGAATGAAGAAATGTGTATAAATTATAAGCAAATATAATCACGTTCTCGCGCACAAGTGGTAACACGTTACTTTTCGTATTGTACAACAAGTAAGAGGCTGTTTACTAGTTTTTCTAGTCCAAGCTGTTAAATTAGTGTATTTTGACAAAATCAATTTGAAAAATCTAACGTTGACGAAATACACGTAAAAAGTTATGTAAATATTTACCATTGCAAATCCACTAAGAAGCTCGGATGTGGTCGCGGTTGCTTTCAACTTGGCCCTGCTCATGTGAAGTCTTCTCCACGAGAGACTTTCCGGTCCGTCTTGTCGGTCAACGTGTGAGGACGGCGTCGGTGGCGGATTTTGTGAACTCGGACATGTGCAGCAACACGTGTACGACATCCCATTGCCTAGGATGTGGCTGTTCGAATTGGAATACGGGAGTATATTTGGCGGTCTCATGTCCAGAGACATGTATCGGTTATTGTTGTATCTATTTCTCGGCGACAGGATCAATTCGCTCTGAATCGGATACAACGTGTTTCTGGAACTGTGCGTGGACAGACTTGACTCGCTCATTTGATAAAACGGTTTCGTTGGCGAATACGCGAGGGACATCGGTCTGGGCCTTTGCGTACCGTGAGAGAACTTCCACGACAATTGCGAGAAGTCGCTTTGCGTTGATTTGTTGAATTTGACGCATCCTTTTGAATCGTCTCTCATGTCGCTGAGCATGGTGTTGGCGTTCAATTTTCCTTGCGCTACGGCAGCTTGATTATTTTCATGTTGCAGGTCATCAACGAGAGCGCTCATCTTGAACCAAGTTCGGTCGGTGTGCGACTATACTGTTTGCGCAGAAGATTTCACGTTTATTCGCACAAAAATTCGTGCATCTCATTCATCGTTAGACATGTCGTGAATCTCATCACGAGAGAGAGTGTTCATCACAAGCGTAGTTTAATTCATCAAAAAATATTCAAAATGTGCAGGTATGTCAAGGTGCATTACATCATGTATACAATTAACTCGTTCTGCTGTAAGATTTCCGCGTGTGGCGGTCGTGTAATCATTCGTTTTATATAAATTAATTGCAGCTAGATACACACACACACACACACACATACACAACACACGCGCGCGTAACACAATTGTTAAACAAGATTTATTATAGGTACCTCGGAATTATATGTGCGTATGTGTGTGTCATATAACTGAGAATGTTATAAGACAGACGACGTGGCACAATAAGATGCACACAACGCAGTGCATTATTTTTCCTCGGAACGGTGCTTAAATAAGTGTCGGCAAACGCGGCATATGATAAAACGTGCGTTTTCTACGTATACGTGCACGCGCTCTTAAAAAAAAAAAGACTCCACGCAAATATATACGTATGTAAACCGCAAGTGTTCGATGCGCGTTTGAGCTCCGACTGAAGACTGGACTGAAGGATTGTGTCTAGTCAAGGTACCATCGTGACGTTATCGTCTGAATCATAACAATAGTATGATATTAATTACCTTCAAGTCATACCTGCTACATAATAACCGATTATGTGGACTCTCGCGTATACTTATAGAACACAAATGTATAACGACCCAACCTGCACATTACAGTGTCTCACTTAGAGACACCAAACAGTAGACGTGATTAGATGTTGCGATGATAATTATTTTCTTTTTTTTTTTTTTTTTTACTAACGATATTTATTTTTACTTGATGCAATCAACAGCGAAAAGAATGTTTTCGACGAACAAACAATGCTTTTCAACGTGAAACTGATAAATGTCAATCGCCGCGTATTGTTTACGGTAAAAGATAAAATATATCTTCACAAGATTCTTATCTCGAATTTTTTTCTAACTTAACTCGATGCTGGAATTTTTTTGTTCTTTTGTTTTTACAGCACCCACAATATCGTAGCGATCGCTAAATTGCTTTACGAGCACGTTGAAATATTGACGAAGAAAATCCTCTCCTAAGAATCTTCTTCGTAAACATACGGTGCGATACGTATAATGGTATTATTATTTATGAACTCTGGTCTGCGTTCTGACAGAGCCGGAATTAATTGCTTTTGTGCGCCACGTACATTTCGTTGTATACCGTGTGTTCACCGTGCGTAATCGTTAGCTGCGAATGCGCGGGATTAGGCATATAAACGTTCGTGTGACTATACATATAAGACATTTCATCTTACTTGGATTTTTTTTTTTGCGAGACAGGGAAATACCGGGCTCTTGAAGCTGAATGTAACTGGCCGCTATAACCTTTGGTCTCGGTTAATTTTACATTCAAGCAACGTCAAACAATTCCATTGATACGTTCGCGCCTTTATTTGTAAACGCAAGGATATTTCGATGGCTCATCACGTTCAACAGGTTTGCATAGCAATGTGATTTAGAGGAAGATAAAAGCACGTGTCTTTAAATTAATTTTAAAATATACAAGAGATTTGCGTTCGCCTGATAAGATATTTGCTAACTACAAGTTTTAATTTTATTTTTTACAAAGTTTTTTTTTCAATAAGACAGCGATAAAGAGAGATTTTTCGATTCTTCGTCTCGCACGCATTTTTTTAATAACCGAAATATTTTTGCACGTAACTTTAGCATTCCTTATAAACAACATGTGTGTGTGTGTGTGTGCTTTTTTTTTATAAACCATCGCCATTACTCATCACGTTCCGTGTTTTAATTAAAATTCACGCAAAATTGATACGACCACATTTGATAAATATCATGGCGTGATATATCACTTAAATACTTTGTGTTTTAAATACTGACAATCAGTTATCATCAGTATTTTAAATACTTTTTGCCTACTGACAGTCTGCATACTATGTGTTGTGTGCGTACATACATGTATACATAAAAATTTAAAAGTTAAAATACCTTTTTACAACCTTTATATTAGCAAAGAAAGATATATAGATAAATAGACTTTCACTATATTTCTTTATATTAGCAGTAGATTTATCTATGTTATGTAATAACAGTCTTTTATATAGAATAATTTTTTATGTATACATGTATGTACGCACACAACACATAATATGCAGAATATTTCAATAAATCGGTGAATAAAACTGTTGAAAAAATCGAAGAATAACAACTTATGTAATCTCTGCATGTATGTCCTCACATGTATAGAAAAGTTACGTGGCTTCTTGCGTGACAAAATGCTGACAAAATCTTGCAACAAACACGAGACAAGATTGTATCCGTTGCACGAGAATTATGGAATTAAATTTTCTATATGTATTATATATATATATATATATATATATATATATATAAACTATATAACTACAAGTTTATATAAAATTATATACGTATATTTTGTTTTTTCTTAACAAAATATAATCATCACACTTTAACACATCTCGCATATATACAAATAATTTTTTATTATATAAAAAGAGATTATACACATATATAACAGATGTACAAATATTATTATGTAGAAAGAGAAAGCATTGTTCTTTAATAATCGAGTTGAGAAAACTTAAAACTTATTGATAAAAATTATTTAGTTTTAATAGCGTTTCTCCTATAACGTATAAAAGTTAAAAAAATATTTCTACAAAAATAAAAACTTGCCGTAAAATACAAATAATGCGCGCATAGCGCGCGCACTGTACGTGTCTAGTTTACTGAAAATAAACTGAAAAAAAAATGTGTTTGAATAAGACGAGTCCACAGATCACTCTTTTCAAAGCAAACTGCAATTTTTCATTTTAATAATGTAAAATGCCAATTCACGTCTATCACATTTACAATATGAAAGCACAGGATTTATCTTATCGTATTCGTGGATAAATATTTATTCTATTTGTTCGCTTGGTTCGTTCAGTGATCTCGGTAAATATACAATATTTTCGTTTGTTAGAGAATACAGTATTGAAGATGGTAATTTACAATATGGTGAATAAACAACACACAGAATGCATTTTGTAAGAGATTAAGGTATTAAACTATTTTCTTATTTTAGTTATGTATCTTTTATGTGTACATGTATGTATAGAGGATTACGATTTATATGTAGGAAAGTGTATAATATCGTTATCATGTTACCTTGGTTGCTATCAAATTTCTTACAATATCCCTGAAAAAATTGACATTGCTGCAGGCATGCCAATGACACACGTGATCAGTCCATGATATACTTATATACCAGTTGTCTTGCATTGTAAAGAGAAAAACTGAAGTACGCATATTCATGAGCATTGCGTAAAAAATGTACAAAATTATTAAAATCCTAAATTTGAAATATACAATAACACAGAAGAACATTTTATTTTTACAAATTAATTATAAATCTTCATAGAAATTTCCTTCAGAACGCACTAACGAAGAGATTTCTCATTTCTAGAAACAGTGCTACTGGAAATCCATATTGATCATAACTAAGATTTGTAAAATTGCAATTTTTTTTCTATACAACCAGTCTTATGATTGTTCAAATAATCTACGTAAACTCGCATTAAATTATTGTAAATTTTATACGTGCCACACAATCTGTTCTCTTCTGGAATCTCTTCTGAGGAGAGTAATGTTTAAATCTGATGATAGTAGAAGGGTGATCATTTTATATAGAAGAGAGAAAGAAAGAGACACTTTCTTTACTTTATATAATCAAATATTATAAATTATATATTTTAATATTCTCTAATATCATATTATTGCGAAAAATAAATATTAAGAATTTATATTACAGTCTCATTCAAATGTTATTTCCAAATATTAGAAATACAGTCAACATACTTAACACATAAATATATGTAATGTACAAAAGAATTTTCTTATTTGTTTTAAAAAGAAAATTATATATAATAAATATATATATAGTAGAACGTCTTTATTCTTGTCGAGCGTTCTCTCTATTCTTACGCTCTCCTTACAATTAGTGGCAATAAGGAATGACAAAATTATAGAGAAAATTTTGTCAAGGATATACAGAGAGCAAGAATATGAAGAACAAGAATAGAGAAGTTCGACTGTGTGTGTGTGTGTTTATGTGTATACGTACATGTGGTTGTGTAGAGAGATGTAGAAATTAGATCATTTTTAAAAATATGTTGATTCTTTCTTTCCTCATGATTTTGTTTGAACGCGATCAGAAAATTAAACAAAAAGTTCTCCTATGTTGTATCTTAAAAGTATAATGTACAAAAAATGAAAAAATATTTTATGTGCCGGTTTGACGTTAGTGTTCTTTTTTTGTGCTGTTTAAACTGCCATTTACATTACGTTTCGTTTTCCGGAAGCAAACAATATACTGTACATAGTGGCAAATATTTTTTCCTGCACTTGCTAAATTGCAAAGTATCAAAGACGGCGATTCAAATTCATTAGGAACGATACCATCGACAGACGACTCAAAAAAACTAAATAACGGAAACCAGATTCTAGTTCTGATGGAATCGCGCTGCATCAGAGCTTGATTATTAGCTAATGTGTGATAATAAAGAAATAATCGCGAAGTTATATAAAACGCCACGAAAACGTCGATAGAATAATGTTCGTGCGCTGCCAGGATGAAAAAAATACCAAACATATTAAGCATCCATGTGAATGTATGTAAAAAATATAAATGTCTTGGAGTATCTGTAACAAAGAAAGATATTCCATATTGTGTAAATTAATTTGCCTCCTTGCCAAACAAAATATTAACAAGTATTACTTACATTCTGTAATGAAGAAATTAAGCATTGTTAGTGCTACCGTATGCCCGCTAAACATATAATCTCCGCAAGTTCTGACACCTTGAATGGACATGCCAGCACCTCGCCAGATAACATAAGCCATTGCTATTTTATTATATAGCTCGACATATGCGGAACTATATGAGAAAAATTTACATACGTACAAATGTGTATGCAGTGAAAAAGATGTACTATGTCATATGTTACTAATTAATATGTTACCTTGACCAGTCTTCGTCTGGAACTTTTCGTGGTTGACATTGCAAATGTGCACCTGGTACCGATAATGAAGTAATAAGCATTGTAACACATCTTAGCAGGAAGACCGTACCTGATAGTGCAAAAAATCTCCGTAGCAAAATAAATCTGTCACAATAAATTATTTAATTATCAAACTATTCACACACAGTATAATAAATTGTTAAGTTTATATATATTACCTATATTTGTGAAATATAAGCACAACTATCCATATAGCAAAAAGCAAAGTTCCAGTTACTTCACACATATCAAATGCCCAGGGAATATGAGGTACATTATCTAAAAATATGTCCGGCAATGGAGGATACTTCTTCATATCAGGTACTCTATCGTGAACAATAACCATCACAAAGGCAGTAATCCACGTGACAATAAACAAATATGCGAGGCTAATCAATCCCTTCCAAATTTCAGGTGGTAAATGAGAAGCATGCCCATCTTCTGATATAGAAGCTGAATAAAACTCGTGTTCTATAGATGTTTCATTATTTGTACCAGTACTAGGCATCTAAAAAAATAAAAAAATATTAAATTATTTTGATGTCAACTAAATTACTTGAGATTATTTCAATTGTACCTCATGTTTACTTTGATGACTATAAAAATTTGGCGATGAAAATAAATCCACATATCCCAAGTCAAACAAAACAGCAATGTTATCTCTCTGCAACTGTTTTATGGAAAGATATAATTTTTTTATAGCACCAAGTTTTTTTATGTTTAGAATGTTAGCTTTGAGATCTTCTTCCTTTAACGTTAAAAGCACTTTTCCATCAATTTCATGAAAGAAAAATAAATCTGCATATTCTTCGTGACCATTTTCTATGAGCCATGTTTGCACATCAGAGCATGTCCATTCTAAAATGTTTTTTAAAGGCATGCTGTTATTGAAAGTATAATTTATCCTGTAAACAAAAAAAAGAAATTTAAAATATATCGCTTTTTAACAAAAAGCATATTTTACACGTAATAGCAAACTAGTGCGGTAAATAGATAAACTACTCATATTATAATCAACATTATTTTCCTTTCAAAGAACAACAAAATCATTAAATAAATAAAAATAAGAACAGACTCCACAAATAAAACAAAGTAGAAAGAGATATCTTGTGTGACAATGTCACACAATATAATGTATATACACTTTGTATAAATTTAGATAAAAACTACGAAGAGCGATGCAAATTTAACCTCGATAAGAATAACATATCCAACCTGAAAAATGACCGTGTGCCGAAATCGTCGTAAAACTTCTATGAGACCATCTCCGTGCGTTCGTAATTATTACCATACTACAATTGTTGTTTTTATCAAAGTTAACAATCATACGTCGGCAGTATTTGTGTAAGATGTCATTTGTCAAGGCAGTAGGAGCACAAACATCTGTAGCTGTGTTTCAAAATTAACTGTCATTACTGCAAATTTATAACACATGTGACGTGAACTATAGCTTTTCAGTATTTATACAAACGCAGCGCTACAAATGCTGCGAAGCATCGTTCTATTTTTATTCTTTCGTTGAACGTTGACAAAGACAGAATGTTGCTTCGAAGCGTTTCTAGCGTTACGTTGACCGCAGCCGTAAACCGATCTTTCAATTAGAAAAACAAAGAGATGCCATTCCATCGCATCCACTTCGGTGGGTACACGAGCTACGTACTTTGGTTCGAGTCCATGTTACACAACCACTTTTCAATAACTTCCAATAAGTCGCTATTGATAAGTTTCTTGAGGGAAATGATAACTTTATATTCATTGGTCTTCCTCTTACACGATTTTTGTTTCACGCGTGTGAAACAATGTTAGCAACATAAGCGAGAACACACCTTTAACAACTGACGGTTCTCGGAGCGATACTTATTTTTTTTTTCTGTTGGGTTTTTTCGTTTTACGCAAAAACTCGTCGAATAAGCACAAAGATTTGAGGTGAGGAAACGTTGGAGTAAACAATCATCATTTTTAGTTTTTTTTTTAGAACAATTAATTATTCTCTATTTGCAACATCCAAATTTTTCATATCTCAACGAAGTCTCGCGTTGCAGTCGAATCGAGTCGCGTAAGTCATTCTCGATCTTTGCGCTCAATACTTTCTCCACCAAGTAGCGCATTGCCGCATCTGAAAAAATTTTTTGTACAGTGTCAAAATACTCAATTATCGTAAAATTATCTGTTTCAAAATTTGCGGACAAACAATTTTAATATAAAATTTTACAAACGGATGCGTTTGCTCACCGACATTGGTATTGTTCTTCGCTGAAGTCGCGTACCAAGCGTCTATCTTATTTTCCTTGCAAAACTTGAAGATCTGTTCGTTTATTACGGCGACCGATATATCGCATTTGTTTGCCAGCAGCACGACCGGAATATTCGAACCGTCCGGAAGCGTAACCTTCTCTCGGAGGTCGTTCAACCACTTCTTCATCGACTGGAAGGTCGCCGTGCGTGAAATATCGAACACGAGAGCTGCCGCTACCCTAATGCGAATTACATCAAGAAACCAGTCGATGGATCGATGAATAAAAAAATATTTAATTATTTAAAACAATGTATTGTATGTATAAAACGTCATATTTACGCATATTTATAATAAACTCTTGTCATGTATCCGAATCTCTCGTGGCCGGCAATATCCCTGAAAGTGTTCAAAGTTCATTAACTCTTTTAATAAAAATCTTCAAACATTTGTGGAGATATATTTGAGGTATATTTAATAATAATAGAAAACTCTTGAGAACATTAAAGTTTTGAGTAAAAAAAATACATATATATTCATATTACCATAGCTGCAAGTTAACTTTAGTGTGCGGATCCCAATCAAGCGTTTTTGTCGCAAAATCGGCGCCTATAGTAATCTTGTAATTCGAGGAGAACTTTCCTAAAAAAGATAAGAATGTTTGCTGACGCCAGGGGATCTTTTTCGGATTAGTGACAGCTGCAGAACTGACGATGTGACGTGTGTAAATACATATTCAAAGCGGACAAATCGGCTTATGTCACACTCCTCCGTTGTAAAATACGTCGTACGCCTTTACGCGATGCGATTGTCATTTGACTTTTTTTTTTGTTTAAATTCTTTTACTTCTTCCACACGGTTGAAATTTATATTAAATACTCACACAAGTGTGAAAACCAGTGACAGAGAATATTTTCGCAAAATAATTTACGATTGTTGTGAGACGGAGAAAAATTCTCTAATTACCTTCTGTGTACCTTCTGACCAACGCAGTTTTACCTGAAAAACAAAAATATTTCATGCGATATGTGTACACACAAAGAGAAGGAGAACAGAAAATATATAAAGCGCTTATAAATGTGAATATTTTTAACACTTTTGCGGTTATAAAAAATTTTCTTCTTTATAAACATTTTTTTGAGAATGATTTTCCGATTTGAACTATATAGTGTCATTTTATACCGACGTGAACATTTCAATCTACTTAATTCGTTTTCAAAAAGAGCGATTTGACGTTCTTGTCAATCATTTTGCAAATTTAATATTTTGAATCGGTTGTTTTTTTGTCATTTTCCAACAAAAGCTAATCGACCGAATTATGAGGTATTCTCGCGCACAAAACAACGCGTTCACGCGCGTGACTGGAAACAAACGCTGAGAATCGCCAATCGGTAATTTGTTCTCGTAGAAAAGCAAAAAAATGATTGATTGATCGCGTCTGTCTCTGATCGCGCGTTAACGCGTGCTATTATGTTAGGCGAGGTCAGTTTTAAGAATCAATTCAATTAATTAAAACGACGCCGACTGCACGAGACTTACCGACGCCATAATCGCCAATAATGAGAAATTTGAAAAGATGTTCCTTGTGACTGACGTTGGATAAAATGATATCCGAGTCTCTCCTAAATCTTCGCGAACTCATAATCGTCGACGTTCGATTTGCGGTGTTGTGTGGCATCGGCGCGATTTTACTACTCACTTTACAACATGTGCAAATACTTTGCAAACCAGCAAAGTCTCTCTCTCTCGCCGGCGATATAAACGTGATAAACTAAAAAAGACGTTAAGAAGACGGAGTGACCCTAGGTCGATGGCCACTGTTCTTCCCCTACTCTTGACAGCGTGTTTTCTTATCTGTGATTAGCCAATCTCTCTAAGACATATTACATTGTCACTGTAAGCACACACTTTTTTTTTCTTCATGTGTACGTTTTTATTTTAATGTCGCGCTTTTTTCATAACGTATCGCTCTTGTCTTTTTTATATGATAAGCTAAAGTCTCTTCACACATTTTTTTCGGTACGTAATATTTTGCGACCGCTCTTTTGATTTGCTTGTCTACGATAATTAAATATCTCTGATAATTCTGCGTGTATATATATATATATATATATATATATATATACCGGTACGAGTTGAATCGCTCTCGGAGCGACTAACTTCGGTAAATCAAGCAATGTGATTGGTCGATTTGCCAAATTGACCGATCAGGAGATGAGCAATTCAACTCGTATCGGTCGAAAATATTATTAATAAATATTATTAAAGTATTTTTTTTTTTTTTTTTGTAAAATATTTGAAGTGTCTGTACAGCGGAGTTTCTTACTTCTTAAGTTGTCAGAGTTTTATAGTCGCGGGGGCACTTTTCAAGTTTTCCCGCTCTTTGGCAAGGAGGATCTTGCGCGAAAATTACAAGCAACGTACACCTGTGACTACACATGTACTTTTGGATCTGCAACAGATATGAAAACAGGCCAATCGCAAATAGCAAGATACAAAGCGATGGTTCTTTCTTATGCGCACGCAGTCGTTGGACAAGTAGTAGTTTTAGATCGCGGCCGTGTCCACAATGTTGAACCGCGTTGGTCAGTTCTCGGCGAATCAACTTATATCCCTATTTCCTTCTGGAATCTGGATCGCATGGGAGCGTGTCACGGAGATTGGACAATTCTTTGATTTCAAAATCGCGACTGGTCGACGCTCGCGTGCGATCTTCAGCGCGAAAGAAGCACGGGAGCGCCGCGCACAGGCGTTGTCGCGCAAGCAAGCGTTCTTGTCGAAAAATGACCAAGGAATTTTCAGAACCGACCAATTGCGATTCGACAATTCCGGACATTTCGCAAACCAGACGAGCGTTGCGGATCCGACCTTACGCCTCTGTCGTATTCTCTTTTAGATTATGGTAACTTACGGCCGTCCAAAGGCCGTCGTCTCATTTCACTTTGTGTCACCGGTAAGGATGGTCGTGAGTTTTAAGTAACGGACTTGATCGCTTATGTTCCTCGTTAATTTAATTAGCTTTCGTGTCTCAACGAGTTACATTACGCTTATTTCTCGTAACCGACGTTATAATGTTTCAGGCAAATCACCGTTAAACTGGCTACGTAATACACGTTTATTACTTGGCCGGATTTATTTATTACGGTAGAGTAAGTAGCGATTTCTAACTGTCCTGACATCTCTCCTAGGTATCCGTGTCAAAGAAGTGTGCTATCCTTCTCCGGGTCTCTCGTAAACGTTTAATTGTTATTCCGTTTTTCGCTGACCCCGCTATCTTTACTTTACGTGCCTGTGTCGAATTTCAATGAGCGGTCACTCCTTTTTTTTTTTTTTTTTATCTTTTTTCTTTTTTCTCATTGTTTTTTCGATATCACGATGTACAGATGTTACCTCTCGTCGAGTAGAGGTTAGCTCGTGACGTGTCAAGTTAAAACTCCATTCCATATGGTGGACATTATTTTAGCCACTAGTCATTAACATGCTTGTGCACGTAACGCGCATTTGTTCCTTGCGGTTCATTAGTAAATTTTTATTCAACTTTTACAATTCTCAGTTACAAAAGCTCCAAAGCTGATGATTTCCTTTGTGACCAAAAATAAATCGCACAAAAATGACTAAAGTTGTGAAATTGCAAAGATATTAAAAAAAATTCATGTATATATTGTTAAGAAAAAAGAATTTATCTTTTTTGTATTTTGTTAAAATTTATTATTATGATTTTATTACGAACAAAAATTTAGAAAGATGTAATATTTTTTGTAAAGATAAAAACTTTAATAAAATCTAAAGTTAAATGTTTTATAATTTGTGTATAATTTTCAATTTTCGTTTTCTTATATAACATAATTCTTACATGTACAAAGTGTTTTTTAAAAATCATTTTTAATGCTCTAAAATATAGATAAGTGTATGTGTGTGTATGTATGTAAATTATTTTTGTAATATTTTATATTTTGATCATATTTGTGCCGCAAAGTCTTCAAAACTTATAGGATAAATATTATTATTATTTAATAATCCCAAAAATTGCATTTGTTCATGTATTTGCTTTACATACTTTTGTATAGCATTAATATTGTATTGCTATTAGAGAAAGAAAGTGAGAGAAAAAGAAAGAGAAAGAAAGAAAGAGTAGATGTTTTTTATCATTGTTATTAATATAATAACCAGATAAGATACTTCCTTCATTTATATTATAGTGCTACTGTAAAGACTTGGCACGAAACAGGACAATCCCAAAATGCAGCAGCAGTCAGTAATGGAAGAAGGATTGGCCTATGAGCCACCTACTTATGATGAAACATTTCCTGTCCTACCTGAATCATCCAGTTCCAACTCAGGACAGTTAAACATATTTTCTATAAACAACAGTTTACAACTTGGACGCATAACTATTACACAGGTAAAAAAAAGTTCAGAAAAAATTATAAACTTATTATAGAAGTTTTTTAATCAAAGAAACAGAATTAGTTGAGACGGAACTTTTGAGGCTGTCATTTGCCAAAACAATATTTTACTTTTTTATTTTGTATAGATGTTCCGCGTACCAGGAGAGGAGCGAAAATTCGATCACAGTGATAAATTTGGCGAACGTGAATCGATTCGTACTTGTAAAACTATTATGAAAGAAACAAACACTATTATTGAAATTGCATCATCCAAGGACCAGTCTTTAACGTTTCTTATAACTGGAAAGCAAAATCAGGTTTTGGAAGCAAAACGACGTATTTTAACAACATTTCAAACTCAGGTATACATGTAAATTTAAAAAGTTTGTAATTTCACGTATCTTGCTTATTTTTTTCTGATATGGAATATTTTTCGTATGTTATTATTTTTTTTACTTGATTCGCATTCTAAAATATGAATTGGCTTTTATAGGCAAGCAAACAGATTAGCATACCTAAAGATCATCATCGTTGGATTCTTGGAAAGCAGGGACAGAGACTAAAGGATCTAGAGCAGAAAACTGCTACAAAGATTAACGTTCCTGGTATGCAGGACCAGTCAGACATAATAACAATTACTGGGACAAAAGAAGGCATAGAAAAAGCTGAACATGAAATTAGAGTTATCTCTGATGAACAGGTAATTCTTGAGCGAAATTAAGTCAATAAATCTGTATCATTTCTATTTCTATTTGTAATTTGAGATGCCAGTGATGTTTTATCATAAATATTACAGTCTCGAAAAGCGTTTGAGAGGATAAGTGTGCCAAAAATATACCATCCATTCATATATGGTGCACATAACGAAAATCTCAATGCTATGATGGCCGAAACTGGTGCTCGCATTAATATTCCTCCCGCATCGGTACAGCAAGATGAGATAACTATAGCTGGTGAGAAGGAAGGAGTCTTAGCTGCTAAGCAAAAGATCGAGAGTATCTACAAGGACATGGTAGATTAATAAAAATACAGTTTTTACATAATTTTTTCGATTTTATAATATCGGCATATATGATACATAAAATTTTAATCTAGGAAAAAAGATGTACCACGGTGTCCGTTGAGGTTCCCAAGTCCCAACACAAATATGTAATTGGACCTCGTGGTAGTACCATAGCAGAGATATTACAGACAACTGGAGTGAGTGTAGAAATGCCCGCTTCTGATTCGGCAACTGGTACTATAACTCTTAGAGGACCTCAAGAAAAGCTTGGACAGGGTAAAATACAATGTTTAAATATTGTTTAATAAAAAATTAAATATTTGTTTATAGGAAAAGTTAGGTTTATTCTTATATGTATTTATTTACATATATGTGTATGTTTTATACAGCACTTAACAAAGTGTATGAAAAGGCAAACAGTGTTCGTACTGCCGTGGTAGAAGCTCCGGTTTGGATACATAAATACATCATTGGACGCAAGGGTGTAAATATCAAGAAAATTACTCAAGAAATGCCGAAAGTGAACGTAGAATTTACGGGGAAAGAGGACAAGATTAAAATAGAAGGTCCACCTGAGGAAGTAGAGAAAGCGCAGAATGAACTACAAATGATGGCTAACGATCTCATAGCTAAGCTCACTTTTACAGAATTGAATGTTGATCCAAGATTTTACAAGCATATCATTGGAAAAAATGGTTGCAACGGTAAGTTAATGACTTATTTCATATCTTTTAGTATCATTTTGGGTCTCAGACTATAGAAAATCATAAGAATAACTTTTTTTTTTTATTATTCAAGTGAATCGTGTAAAAGAAGGAACTGGAGTCGTGATTAGTATCTCTGAAAATGATGGAAATAACGTTATTCGTATTGAAGGCAACCTTGCTGGTGTACTGAAAGCTCAAACTGTACGTGATTTACATTATTCTTAAACGACAGTAGTCTTTAAATACATAGATAGAAAAATATTAATGTTTACATTTTTTTTATGAACATAATGCAGGAACTTGTAGAAATGGTAAAGAAACTCGAGAACGAAAAGGAAAAGGACGTGATTATAGATCACAGATATTATCGCAACATAATTGGTAATAAAGGAGATAATATCAAAGAAATTAGAGATAAATTCAATCAAGTACAAATTACTATACCTGGACCAGGTAAGCAATATATAAACTTATTTTGTTTATTTTAATGTGTTGCAGTTTTTAGTATGTATTAAATAAATCTTTGTAATTTAAGGTGAAAAAGGAGATATAGTGAAGATAAGAGGACCCAAAGAGGATGTTGATAAGTGCCATAAGCATCTAATGAAACTGGTGAAAGAATTGAACGAAAGCAATTATGTATTGGAAGTACCAATTTTTAAGCAATTTCATAAGTTTGTTATTGGAAAAGGCGGTGTCAATATACGCAAGGTTTGCATCAAGATTTATTTGTGTATACTTCATATGTGTGTTTGCATATATCTATTACATATACATTTTATATGCAATATACATTTGTGTGAATATTATGATGTAGATCAGAGAAGAAACACAAACAAAAATTGATTTGCCTGCTGAAGGTGAAAAAAGCGATGTTATAACCATCACCGGGAAGAAAGAAAATGTAGAAAAAGCTAAAGAAATGATACAGAAGATTCAAAATGAATTGGTAATTGTTGATACATACATATGGCAATAAAAGTTTAGTAGATATGTAAAATATCTATACATATATATAAATACTTTCTCCAGGCTAATATCGTTACCGAGGAGATCACTATTCCACCCAAGTTTTACAACTCTCTCATTGGTACTGGAGGTAAACTAATACATTCTATCATGGAAGATTGCGGAGGTGTTACGATCAAGTTTCCTACAGCTGAAAGTAAAAGTGATAAGGTAAAAATACGAAAAAAAGACATGGAAAGATCTACGATTGCAATCGAACTTTCTATCGATCGGTTATATTGCAATTTATATATATATATATATATATATGTATATAGGTCAGCATCAGAGGTCCAAAAGATGATGTAGAGAAAGCGAAAGCACAACTGTTAGAATTAAGCAATGAAAAGCAATTGTCCAGTTATTCAGCCGAGGTGCGTGCCAAAGTTCAACATCACAAATTCCTCATTGGGAAAAATGGTGCCAACATCAAGAAGGTAGTGAATCCACGATATATTGTGAATGTTAATCATCAGATATTTACAAGTATATGATGTCTATCTATTTTTTTGTTTGTTATAGATAAGAGAATCAACAGGTGCACGTATTGTATTTCCGACAGAAGACGATCAAGACAAAGAAGTGATTACGATTATGGGCAAGAAGGAAGCGGTTGAGAAAGCTAAAGCTGAATTGGAGGCCACGATTAAGGAAATTGTACAAAGATGGATCTTTTTATATGCAATGTAGATAATTGAATGTGTAGTAGTTAGTTAATGAACGAAATTTCCTCTTGATGTGCTTTTAGGATAACATAATTGAAGGCGAAATTCGCATTGATTCAAAGCATCATCGACATTTTGTGGCGCGAAGAGGTGGTGTGCTACATAAAATCGCTGACGAATGTGGAGGTGTGCAAATTTCGTTCCCTCGAGCGGGTAATGACAGCGATCGCGTTATCCTGAAGGGCTCGCACGAATGCATAGAAGCTGCGAAACAACGAATGCGAGAAATTGTTCAAGAACTGGTAAGTGCGAATAATGAATGAAATGCGAAAAAAACCAAACACGTATAATATTGTTACGACGTTAAAAACTTTATCGCTATCTTTCCGATTCTAGGAATCTATGGTGACGATAGAATGCGTGATACCTCAAAAACACCATCGCACCGTAATGGGTGCGAAAGGTCGCAAAGTGCAAAGTATAACAGCCGAATATGATGTGCAAATCAAATTTCCTGATCGCGACGTATACGGTTAGTACATCGATTTTTGTTCTCGATTTCTCTTTTGCGTACCCTCAATTCAATACAAGGATGTTGATGTCATTGTTTTGTGACATTGTTGACAGATGAACAAAAAATGCAAGTGAACGGCGAAAATGGAGAAGCTGTGGAGACTGTTTCAGCTTGCGATATAATTCGCATTACCGGACAACCAGACAACGTTCTTGCCGCTAAGCAAGCTTTACTCGATCTCGTGCCTATTACAATTCAAGTTAGTTCATATTTTTATGCCAAACATTTTATATAAAATTTATAAAATCAAAAATCTTTGAGATAAAAGTATTGTTTTTCTTATTCTCACGTTAGGTAGACGTACCATTTGATTTCCATCGTTCCATTATTGGACAGAAAGGTAAAGATGTACGGGAATTAATGAATACATATGATGTACACATCATGCTCTCACCTGCCGAGGAAAAACTAGATTATATCAAAGTACGTAAATCAGGAAAAGGATTATTTGTGGCTCTTATATGTATATATTTTTTGGTTGTTTGTTTTATGCAGTTTTTGGCTTGACTTTCAGATTTCTGGAACGCCGTCGTGTGTTCAAAGTGCCAAGGAAGCTATCCTTGAAAAATGTGAAACGTTGAAGGCTGAACGGGAGGACCGAGCGTTAAAATCCTTTGAGCTGAAGGTAAATTTATCATATAATTAATATTCCAAGTTAAATATAGTTATAACGAGAGAAAAGAGCGATTGTGTTTTGTATTGTTATATGAAATAAAATTGTTAAATTCATAAAATAGTTTATGTAAAACAAAATATATTGAACGTGTGTTTGATAGCTTGAAGTTGATCCTGAGTATCATCCGAAAATAATTGGGCGAAAAGGAGCTGTAATTAGTAAAATACGTAGCGATCACGATGTACAAATTAATTTTCCGCGTAAGGGCGATCCCGAGGAACATATTATCACAATTACAGGATATGAACAGAATGCGTATAGCGCACGGGACGATATTATGAAAATTGTTAACGAATTAGTAAGTAAAAACTTTACATGACGTACAAAAGTATTCTATAAATGTGTGGTATTATTACATTTATTAGAATATTTTTTATTACTTTCTCCTGTACATATATGTGTTTTTTCTTTTTTTTCTACTTTAGAACGGTTTGACGAAAGAGGAAGTGCATATAAACGCTGCTGTACATTCGCGTTTAATCGGCGCGAAAGGTAGAAACATCCGCAAAATAATGGACGAATTTAAAGTCGACATCAAGTTCCCGAGGAAAACTGACGCTGATCCGAATATCGTAACGATTATCGGAGCAGAGGATAACGTAGCTGATGCAAAGGATCGCTTGTTGAATCTAGAAGAGGAATATGTAAGTATAATGTGTCAAAATATTTGTATAAGTAGAAGCAATGGTTTTAACATGAACAGCACAAACATGATATTTATATGACGTTGCAGATGCAAGATGTAATAGAGAACGAATATCGCGATAGTTTGCGTTCACCTCAACGCGATGACAGTAACAGTGCCGGTGGCAATGAGAACGATACTGGCTTTATCGTGAAGGGAGGACCGTGGGAACAACAACAGCAGCAGCCTCAAACCGCACCGAACACAGCCAGCGTGGAAGAATTTCCTCAGTTCGCTGGCTATTCCCACGTACCCGTTACTAATCCGGATGGTCCTTGGGGAATTAAGCGTTAAACCTATAAATTTTCTTCGGGAAAAAGTGATGGAACATGTAAAAATGATTAGGTAACTCTTATCTCTACAAACAATTATATAAACCGGTATCAAACGACGCTACATACAATACACACGCGCGCGCGCATGTACACACAGACACACGCACACGCACGCACTGGTGTGGATGGGTCCTTATTCCATTACTGACGTTGCTGCATATGAGAGACCTGGCCATTCTATTGGATTCTGACAATGGTTTAATACACACACACATCTCGTTCGCAATGTTATTATTATAATTCACGATATGGATGTTCTATGTATCTGTAACTGTAATGCATATTGCTCTTGAGTCACGTCGTTCAGTTTACGTAGACAATGCGCACACAGCGCACCGTTTAACTATCCGTTAATCTCGTTTCTAAAGAGATGCTTTTCAGATACAGATATATTGTACTTAAGACTGTAGTAGCTTTGTGGGAAATAATCGGATCAGCATTCTGCAGAAAAAAAAAAAAAAACTTCCGAGTTCCGCGAGGATTGTTTGTGTAAAACACATTAATTGTGTCTCTGTATTGTAAAAGAAATTCTCTATGGCAAAAACAAAATCTATCCGTAAATATTAAATTAAATTTCTTTCTGCAGAATCTGACCAATTTGTACATTGTATCATATTACTTTTCACAAGTAATGCTACATACTGCGCATAAACTGCAACTGATCATTTGCAGTTTTTATTGGTCTTAGCATAATAATTTGTTAATTTATTTATAGGTTTTTTTGTACATATCGCATTTTCTCGTTGCGTTGTGTCACTTGAGAGGGAAGTAATAATCTAATTGTACATCATGACACACACATTGTTGAAACTTTTATTATAAAGTCTTCATCAAAATCAAAAACAGAAGAAAAACAAACGTGAACAAAACGTAGTTTTCTAAAGAAAATTTTGTCCCTTGAAAATTCACACTCTTTATTCTTTTTGTTATATTAATTAGTTACTACGTACACTAATTCACACTTCTGGTCTCTGACATTTCAATTGATATGTACGACGTATACGAGAAATCGATTCATGAAAACGCAAATTTATCAATGACAGATATTATCTTAACCACAGGTGTGCAATCGAGATTTACACTATTTTTAGTCTTTACAAACATTATTGTGCATCTTCAAGGAATTATTTAGAAAACCTTGATCGCGTAAGCCATTAAAGACTCATAGAGATGTACGTAAAAAAAAATCATCATTGCTGCAGACAGTGTCTGAATCTAATCTCGATGTTCTAAAAAGTAAGAACGCGACATACAAATTCCTTTCAATAGCCGGTTTTATTTATTAATTCTACTTTACTATTTCGTGCATCGTTTGATGTCCAAATCATTGTATTCTACTATTTATGAAGTCAACTAGCTAAGAAAAGATATTCAGTTCAAGTGCCTTGTCTATTTTCTTCAAGACAGCTCATTTCAATTGTTGAAAGAATGTGTGAAAAAATATAGTAGATTATACATATAGAAATATAAATACTCTCTCTGTGTGCGTGTGTTGTATTTATACGAAATGTCTAAAAAAAAAAGAAAAAATCAAATTTTCTTTCGTTAATTAAACAAATTATATTTTAAACTGGTCGAAGAATCTATATCTATCGAGATTTATCTGATAATTCTAAAACATTGTGAATGAAAAATAAGAGAAAATCGAACATAAATCTTAGGTGTGCAAAAAAAGAAAATTATATTCTGAACATTCAAAGTTTATTTATTCGTATAAAAACGTGAAATATATTTAGTTATTACGAATAAATTTCTTTTCACAATTTTTAATTGGAATAAACTCCAAATCTTTAACGAAGAATACTTTTATGTATTTGATCCAGTCGAGATGATGCACGTATAAAACAAGAGATAAATAAATTGTGAACAACATAATTTGTGATTGCTCTACAGAGTAAAATACCGGAGATCTCTTTATTTTTTACGCGCGTTATATTTTGAACTATCTATTTGACCATTTGCACTTTTTTCTCCTTAAGTAAATTGTATTAATATTAATTTTTTTGCGCATTATTAAGATCTGTGTTTGGTTCTCTTTGGCCTTATTGTTCACTTACAAAAAATCTGTATATATGTATACATGTGTGTATGTGATGCGCGTGTATACATGTAAACATTTATATATGAATACTGATTCTATACATGTATGTTATGTGTGTGTGAGAGAGAATGAGTAGATGTGTGTGTGTGTGTGTGATAGAGAAAGAGAGAGGGAGGGAGGAAGGAAAAAGAAATGAATAAGAAATACTACGAGTATAATGAGATACACTCTATCTTATGAATGAAAAATAATAGAATTATCATGTATACAAATATTCACTTATATATTTTTTAGATTTACAGTAATTTTTATAAACCTACTTAGCGACCTATATGTCATCTCCAATACATGGTAAATATAAGAAAGCCAGGAGTAGTAAATTTTAATATACTTGGTTTTGGCTAAGAATTTGATATAGATGCTATGCATGAATATACTTTTTTAATGAGTTATTATATATATATATAAAATATATATGTGCATATATATGTATATATATATACATATACATATATATATATACATATATGCATGTATATGAAACAAAATATTCTCTGTATACATAAGTAAATAATGTTATAACACATGGATTCTATTGTAACAACAATATATTACATTCATAGATCTATTTATTAATTTCTCATGTATGTATTATTTTTTCCTATCCTTCTCAATGTTAAACAAAACTTTCAGACCTTTCTCGCTGGACATTCAGTTTTTACTGAATTTATATTATAGTGCTCGCCAAGCTTGGGAAAATGAGAACTAGCTTCAGACCGACATTAAACATAATAGAAGGTTGCTCTTTTTTTAACAATAATTATTTATATACATTAGAGACACACATACAAAAGATAAGTTAAAAATACATTTTTAGTGATATTACGGTTTCTATAAGAGAGTGTATGTATGTACACACTATTATCATATTTAAGAAAGAGAGCGTATTTTTTTTTTTAAACTTGAGTATAATGTACTAAAATGTTACGAGGTTTTTACAACAGAGTTCAACATACTGCAATCTCTTGATCCAACTTGGTTTTTTTTTTTTTGAATAAACGACATTGCTTTCAGTGAGTCAAATTGATGTGACTTAAGTTATGTGGAACTCTGCTGTATCAATAAAAGTTGTATTCTCAATACTGCGCAACTGTTTCACGAATCCATCATTAGGTCTAATACAACTTCTTGCCGCCTTTACTTTATCATAAGCCTCGTCGTACGACAATTTTGTAACAATCATCAAATAAGCGATCACGATTGCAGGAGACCGAGAAACGCCAGCATTGCAATGCACAAGAATATTTTCTTTACGATTCGCGTGTATAATCATAATGCAATTCTTTAATGACGCGAGTAAATTCGATTCTGGTAGGTCCAACAAGTCGCAGGTGTGATATTGAATATTGTCAAATTTTTCAGACACGTTAACACCTATGCTTAAAATATGCTTTATTTCGTATTTCTTTAATATGTCATTGCAAACCACTGGATCCTGAGAACTGAGATACAATCCCGGTGCTACATTAGCAACCTGCAAATCAGGATTTTCGTCTACTACGAATGGCAAGGTTTTTCCCAGGTTTCTTATTTGACCACATTCGATTTCGCACTTATTGCCAAGTGTATCCGTTATCACTGTTTTGCATGATTTTAATAACGCCTTCTTTTTCACAATAAAATCTTGCAAATTCATTGTGCAAAGTTTAATAATTAGTTTTCGAATATGTTTAAAGTATATCAAATAGGTACGAGATTTTCTGTAGAAGGAACATATTTATATTATATTTTATGCTATTATATATAATATATGTGATAAAATAAAATATCACTTTTTAACTATTTTTGCACACAACGTAACAATTTTGTATAAAACAAAATCTTTCTCTTAAAAAATTTATTGTAATAAAAAGTCTGGTGTTTATTCAATCAAACTGTATTTAGTGTTTCTGCTTTATTGAATACGGTTCTTGCTCATGCTCTTCCACTATGGTACAACGTTTTAACTCATCTGGATCATATTCCACATTCAATAGATGTAAGCCATTAGATGGTACAGGTACAACACGGGGATTCCAGTTATAATGTGAAGGAACTTGTAGCATTACAGTGATATCTTTCTCTGTTATTTTTCCTAATCCTAATGTAATCAGAGCACCAACCATTCGTCTGACCTGTAACGTGTGAGTAGCATTTACAGCATTTTTACATAAAAACGCATTGTGTTTCATCAAATACTAATAATCAGACATTTATACCTGATTATACAAAAATCCTCTTGCCTTGCATGCAAAATGCCAATATGTAAACCTTTCAGACAACGGATCAAAGGGCATTAGAGGCTGTGCTTCTTCTAAAGTAAAAGTATTTAAACAACGAACATAAGTAATTTTATAATCGGGTTTTGAAAGTTTTGAAAACGTAGTAAAATCTTTCGTTCCCAGAAACAATTGTGTGCCACGTTTTGCCCTGTCTATATCAAAATCACTCGTTCTTAAAAAACAAAAAAAAGCAACATACGCATTATATATTACATAATAAAGAAAAATATTATTATATCATTAGATCTAGTTTTCTGTATACCTTAACTGGTAAGTGTGTGTTGTTTCTGCAAGTGGTCTTCGTTGTTCTCCAGATACTTTAGGTATCATAAATCTATAAATATATGTTCGAGACTTACAGGAAAATCTTGCATGAAAATTTTCTGTGACAGGTATGCAATCTAGCAACCTATACAAAACAAGAGTTTATTGAACGCATCTCATACATTACGTATCACAGCTTATTATTAAAAAGTGTATAGACACATTTTAGAATTATCAATTACCTAATAGTATGGTTACATTTAGCAAAGTAACGATTAACATATTGTTTTATGCTTGATATATTGTAAATACTATCATATTTATTGTTAAGTTCTACGTGACCGGTGTTGCACAAAGCATGAACCCCAGCATCTGTTCTGCAATAGATATTTTTTTAATTATACATACGTACACATATAATTTAGTTGTATCTCGAGTTTTTAATAAAATTATGCGACGTATTTATGCGAAATAAAAATTCTGAGAAAAAATTAATAGCGTTGCTAATCAGGCAACACAATCGATTTGCCAAATTGACGTCATTAATCGCTCATGAAGTGATTTGATCCACTCAAAAACGCTATAAAATTGCAACTTGGATAGTTTTATATCATCTTTAGCGTGAATCTTATTCTATCCCTACTCCGGACTTATTAACATACAGTTTTTTATGGCACATTTAATATGCCACTCAACTCCGAGTTGTTATTTCAGCACAAAACTTACAAGTTTTTTTTTTTTTTTTGAAGACTCCGAGCCATCAAAGATGAAGCGATGAAGTGCGAAGTACCTTTCTTTGTATTTCTATTGCATTAATACATCAATCCTGACCCAGGCTAATGATTCTATGATCAATCTTAGTACAAGATTCACGGTCCGAGTTCTAATTCGCGTGAATTGTTTCGACAATTTGGAACGGTCGGTTTATTAGGAATAATAATGGTCAGCTGAATACAAACCGTTTAAATATTACCGTCAGGTAAAAGAAACTACCTGCTGGAAAGAACCACAGCTGGCTCGTTCAAACTCTTTGGGACAATAGTTGATAAAGCAGTTTCTAAAGCACCTTGGATAGAATCTGTATCATGTACAAAATATGCACCAACTTGCTTCTGCAAACCCCTTTACAAAAAATCAATAATGTTAATTTTATACAACAAAAGAGAAACAAAACTTAAGTCATAAAAATGTAATTGCAAGCGACTGAAAAGATACGTATGGTTATGTTATAATAAAAAAATGTTTTCATGTTATACCTGTACTGCGTACCAATGTACGAAAATCTGAGAAAATATCGTACCATAATTGTATTCTATATTTAGAAACAAATTTGACCGTTTTCAGTTATTAATTACAGCAACTATAAACCAGCAGTCGCACACTCAGTGATGGGAGATGCCAGAAAAAAATCATCTGTTCGCGGTAACTGTGGTAGTGTGTGCGCGCACGCGAGAAGTGAATCATTTAAAGTCGGAGGAACACAAGAAAAAAAACTTGAGTAGCCAGTAAGCAAATTGACCAATCGCAGGCGAGTATTCTCGTTCTTTCTTCTAGGACTGTAGAAGTTTGTGATGGACACTTTGCAAAAAACCGTTTCTTTTCAGATTTGATTATCTTGATAACGTAAGGAGGTTGATAAAGATCAAATAATGATCAAATGCACTGTCATATTATATAAACAAATGTATTATAAACAATTCAAATATATTCGTGGATATAAATCTTGATTATTAATAATAATTTAAATATCACTTATAATATTTCACCTAAAAACTAAAAGAGATAAACAATTACAATGTAAAGAATATAATAAAACGATAAAATATAATTACATATACAGTATATGAATGATACACACATTATACGTGTACAAGCGGGCAACGAGAGTGTCTTTGAAACCTATTCCATCTCTTTTTCAAAACAAAATAATCTTTTTTCTCTAACAAGATACACATACACTTTTTAATAATCATTAATTTTAATCACAAATATATTTTATTACGATCAACTTATATTCTATAATAGGCAAAATAACTTATGTTATTACACTGTCAAAGCTTTGTCTCATACAAAGTATAAAACAGTACGATTTTATTATATCGGATGCTTTTTTTTTTTTTTATTAATATGAGTTTTTTTTGTATTATGAATTTTATTACGTCGAGAATATTAGCATTGATTTTATATAAATGTTCGTCATGGCATAACATAAATGTAAGCGCGCGCGTTATATCTACACAGTTTGTTAGCAACTTTCGAAAATGTCTGTTCTTCGATTTTTTCCAAATTTTATTCATAGGACTTCTATTCTATACATTCGTACCTTCTGGCAACTGTTTGTTCGATACGTATCCAATCGTAGCGCAGCTTTTTGTAGCATAAAATATTCTAAGACGACACAATAGCTTTTGAGTTGCCAAAATCCTTTTAAAATTGCTATTCAGCAGAAAGCTCTCTTTTATATATAAATTAGGAAAAATCGGAACACGAACATTTTTGGAAGAACAGCTTATACATACATACATATATATATATATATATGTGTGTGTGTATATATGTATGTATGTGTATGTGTGTATGTTTGTGTGTGTATTGCACAAAGTAGAATGAATTTCACATTTATAGTCGAATTTAACAAAGAAAAACATAAAAATCGAAGACATTGCGCTATTTCTCTCTCATATACCAACTTTCTTTTCGCATTAATTTATTTAAATTATTTCAAAGCGTACAGTAATAATCATACTTCCTTTTCCTTAATAAAACACCGAAGACCCGTAAGTAGTTTACAGAAAGACGCTGCTATTATAAACAAAAAAAAATAAAATGTCATAAAATATACTTGTTACATATATTTGTTACATATTACAAAATGTTATTAAATAATAAGCACAAACAAAATCTACATCATCTCTTTTTTCGATACTTGTTATTTATATCACACAGAATTTTACATAATTTAATATTTTAATATATATTTATTTAGTTTTTTTGTAAATATATTTTTATATTTATGAATATTAAGTTTTAGAAGATAAATTACATGTACACATTCATACATACATACACGCACACGCACACACACACGCACGCATGCACACACGCGCGCGCGCATGCATGTCCGTAATTACTATCACACTTTTGTCAAGTTTGCGTCTTTAACACTGTGTGTGTTATATTACTTGAGCGACCAAATTAAGTGATTATTACTGTTTCGACATTATGGTATGTATTAGAACATCTTCACTTCAAAATGATCTTAGAAATCTACTGTTAAGAGATGTAACAGGAGTTGCGAAACATCATGAAAAATTAAACATAGCGTAATGAAGTTTTTTGATATTAGTGAATACAACGCCAAATAAATTAAATTATGCGAGAAAGTTATTAAAATTGATAAGTGTTAATGCAAATAATACAGTTCAACAATTGAGTTAATGTATAAGTAAAATAGAAAAATTCTCTCTTGTTGATTAAACTTATTAAATTTTGATTACAATATATGTATGTGTTACTTATATATTAGAATACATGATAATTTTTAATAAACAGACTGCAAAACTTATTTGTGCGATTTTCAATCATACAATAGATATCAAGTCTTTGCGACACTCACTTAATCGCTGTTTTTATATAAACATCAGTGATTCTATTGGAATCTCTGCAGTTTCATGAGAAGAAATCACTTATGGTTAGTATTTATTTACGCTTGTGGTAATATTGGCGCGCTACTCTTTTATATATATATATATATTTACTGTACAAATATTACCTTTTTAAACGAATCTTAATAGTATCATAAAAAGATTACGACGTGATGAAGAAATCTTAAATAAATTAGTGCAGTATGCGGGCGCATAATGACAATGATGAATGAGACCTTATTGGAATAATACTTAACTGTATATTTCCTGCTGAAATGAGTGCATGTTGACGATAATGTAACAGACGCAGTTTCTCTGTAATACTAAGTGAGACCAGTCTCGTTTAGGAAGAGGAATCTTTTCTTCTTTTATGTGTTATTACGTTATCAAGCGTGTCCTCGGTTCTAATTCGTTTATGATGTCTCTGATTCTCAAATTCTAAAAATGTAACAATATATGTAAAAATGTTAGAATGTATTTTGAAACACTTTAAAAAGTATATAAAAGTGTCTACTGCTATTGTCTAAACTTTTAATGATAGAATAAAATTTGTTGGTGGTTCTTGATCAACTTAATCTTTCAGATTAAGTGACTCATCATCCACTTCATAATTCACTAATATATATCAATAATACAAAAAATATCTAAGTTGAACAGTCAATTGATATGTCAATTAAAAGCTCCCAATAGCAATAGATCACTATTATTTTCATGTGTAAAACAGTTTTTACGTTTTAGCTTTGCCATACGTGAACGTGTTAGACGTGGAGTAATCTGAGAAGTTGACAGAGGTGAATTGAGAGATTCATTAATTTTTCTTAACCGTGCGATTTCTTCCATCGCGGGTGTCATCCATTTTGGTTTGAGCTCGTTACTGAGAGACAAACAAAATCATTATGTATTAATACAAATATAATCTGGTATAATACATACACATGTTAACAATGATCATTACGTGTATGTCTGAGTGTAGCATTATAATTAAATAAATATTTATCAAGTTTAAATACTCACTCTGATGATTTTTGTGTTGATTTCTGTTTACAAGAACTTGATTGTCTTTCCCTCATTCTACTTAGCACATTTAACATTGCGTAAGTCGGCAAAGACGGTGATTGTGGAGATTGTGAGGAAGGTGGTGTGAGAGGTGGTGTGAGAGGTGAAAGTGGTGACTGAATACTGATTTTCGCAAGTTTGTCCGGATGCAATGCTAACACTTTTTCCCAATTAAAGTCGTTTTTTTCTGGATCTTTGGGCTGCGTGTTTCGTGTTATTCGTATCTGAAACATATATATAGCATAATAAATAGACAAATCACACGTATGGCTGTGAAACCTTGTCTCCAGCTATTATTAATTCGCTAAAAAGTTAATTAAATGAACTTTACCTCGCCATTTACAGGTCTACAAGGTTTTCTTTCTCTCAGATATGGACGTTCAAAAAATACAGAGTTTGTGAGATTTTCATTAGACTCTTTTATGTCGCAAAAATATTTAGAATTATTATCATTATGATTACCACCATATAGAAACAAATTCCGTAAATAGGAATAATTGGGCTTTGATTCAAATTTCAAGTCAGTAACATATTTCATATATTTCATAATTGCAGCTGCAAAAAAAATATGTATATATAAACATTATATAATATACATATATACACAAAACTACATAAGATCGTCATATTGAACTTTATTAACCTTATTTATTAATCTTATCGTACACTTTTTCTGTGTGACTTTACCTGGTGGTCTTTTTTGGCGAGAAAAACATGTTTCCATAAATAAGGATAAATTTGATAAAAAGAATTCTTTTTGTTGATGAACCTCTTCTGGATTTATGGGTATATTTATTTCATTACTATCCTTTTCCCAAGGTAATTTTCCACACAACCATTGTATAATGTTATATCCTAAAGTTTCTAAATCTCCTCTTCTTGAATGTGCTATAAAATATTTTATTTAATAAAAGTACAATAATAAAAGCATGAGAAAGAGAGTTGATGTGGTTTAATAATAATAATGATTGCTAGAATTTTAATTCCTCGTGTGTGTGTGTGTTACACACACAAATGTATGGTTTTTATTTATTTATAATATCGACATACTTCCATGGTGACCGTCCCGCGAGGTAAATTCTAAAGTGCCTTCATGAGCTCGTCTCTCGTCGTGCATAAATGGTTTGTGTTCACCGGATCTTGTGCGAAAACGATACGCCAGTCCATAATCTACTAAATATGCTTCGAATTTTTCCTTTCCTACCTCATTTCCTTGTGACAATAAGATGTTCGACCCTTTAACATCCGCATGAGCATATCCGTGACTATGAATATATTCTAATGCATCCAACTAAAAAAAAGAAAGATGTATAAGTTTTTAACACTTTTTCAATTCGCTGCGTACTTCATATAGCTTTAATTTATAGTTTCGTAAAATTATACCATCTGTACAGCCAATGAGTTAACAAGTTTTGTTGGTAATGTTTTCCTATTTGACAGAAAAAATTTTCCAATATCTATACCATATCGTGGTATTACAAGAAATCTATATCGTTGACCTTTATAAACATGAGATCCTGATCCTTGATATATAGGAACACCAATTCTTCTTTTTCCCTGAGACACACACCAACTTTCGACTGTAAAATAATATCAAATATATTTACTTGACTTAATAATTTAATAAACCTGTCTTTTTTCCTTTTTTTTCAATATACAAATTAAATTTGTAAAGTAAAATATTAGAAGATTAATATATCAATTATTTATATACTTACTCATATGTTTGCATGCTACTCTTACATAAAAGTTTCTTTCGACAAATAATGGCCCGTTATTGTGAGGTTCAATTTTTATGACATATTTGGCATCTTGCCTAACTGGTGAAGTAATATCATTAGACGCTAAAAAAAAATTTTATTTTTCATTTTATTTAGTACATAAATATTTAAAATAAACATTATATATATTATATTATTTAAAATATATCTTGTCAGATAAATCTCTCTTATCACTTAAAAACTAAGCAAATAAAAAAATCTATTTACCTAAATATATGTCTCCAAAACCACCATATCCAATAGGATTTCCGAGTATCCATTTATTTTGTGTAATATCTGTCAAGATTTCTCCTGCTGGCAGTGGTTCTGGTAACTTGCAACCTGCAGCTGCTACTCTTTTCACAGATACATCTTCCAGTCGTCTTGGTGGCATTCTATTGTGCTCTTAAAATTATCCACACATATAATAATTTTATTATTAGTCTCAACATAAATTAGTTTTGTAATTTTTGTGATATCGAAGAAGGATCATTGTTCATTATTTATTATACAGAATCTGAGGATATTATTAAAATTGTCAGAAAGGAAAATGTAAATCTTTGATTTGAAGGACAATATATCAACATGTCGATACACATACGTAATACAATTGTGACCCAAAAATAAACAACTTCACTAGTTTTACAGAGTTTATATTTGTACCGCAAAAATCTTATACAAATATATATTAATTTATATTACAAGATAAAGAATCTCTACACATATATATATATGTACATAGCAAAACTGTTTAGATATAAGTATAAAATAGAGTAACACTTTTCTCCACATACAACATATATATATATATGATTAAAGAATTAAAATTCTTCAACTTTCTTAATCATATTGTACGTAAACTAAGCAAAAGATATAATAGTATATAAAATAAGATCAAGAAATAATAACATATTTTCATGTACTCATGCAAATACGTATGTACGTGCACGCGTTCCTCACACACACACCACCCACACACGGAGAGTGACTATAAATCACATAACTATATAATCTAAAATAATTGCATGTATGTACTTATTTTAAATAACTCTTAATACATCACCTGTGATCAACCCACACTCTCATACTCTTTTTTTCTCTCCCTCTCTTTCTCTCTCTCCTTCTATAACGTTTGATGTCAATAACACCGGCCTTAAACCTTGTACATGATTAACAATACATACAATATACTTACACGATGTGCACGCAAAGCTTCTGTCGAATAAAGGCCAATCACGTTTTTACTTAACACAAGAAAATTATATTAAGCGCTCACGTGAACCATAAATAAAAACGGATTCCAAATCTGCGTTAACGTTTTCTAGATCCTAGATATACAGATATATGTATATTTTTTGCAAGGTTAGTCGCGAACGGAAGGCATGTATGAATATACGCGCGTATGCGCGCATGCGCGTGTAACGACATTCCCATGTTACCCGTGGATCTATTCTTTTTCGACTGCACTTCCCAACAAAATGCGTTACATATTTGAATTTTGTATATGTGATCAAACTCTGACGAGAGATAATAGCCTCTAGGTTTGGTTTGGTGCATATGTGGCTCAAAGGACCGACTCAAGATAGTCCATACGCCATTCTAAGCTTGAATAGTGATTTTCTTGGTATGTTCACCGTAAACGGTTGAATGGTTGATTTCTCCAACTGGAGTAACAAAGTACCCCAGAGAACTGCGCAGATCTAGGGTCTTTAAAAACTACCAGATACGGAGCACACGCTCCGGAGCAATACTAGCGACNAGAAGTACGTACTTACTTGTAATAAGTGCGTGTAAAAGCAGTAAGAAAGGAAAATACTTGCAAAAGCGCAACTAAAAGGCTGTGAAGGACGGGATGCAGGAAGCACGATGTGTCGCATGCGCAGTCTCAGAGTCGAATCCATAATAGCCTCTAGAGACAGAACGTCAATGAGTGGGTAGAAGCGGTAACCAATTAATACTGCTTTTACATAAGAGCAAATGCTGATTGGCTACCGCGTTGTTTTTATCATATACGTAATCACGTTCTGTCTGCGGAGCCCATAGGCTGCTTTTACATGGAACGTAAAATTTGCCAGAGGAGTGCGCTATGGATAAGTTCCACTTGCCGTTCGCAACGCTCATGGAATTATTTTAGGGTTTGTTTTTCGTCGAAAGTTAAACAAAGACAGGTAACGTCGCGAACAGCAAGTGGAACTTATCCATACTTAAGCTGTGTGCGCATCCCCTCCAATGCTACCGCAAGCTACCAAAGCATAGAATTTGGCATCTCTGGTTCTCTCCTTTGATCTCGGGCCGCTGGCGAAGGCCGAAGGAGAACAGTGCGCGATAGTAGAAGCAGCCAGAAAAGAAATTTCTGAGAAATATTTCCCTTGGAGCCGCACGATATGGTGCACTTCTCTGTTGCGTAAGCGTACCTTGCGTTCGAAGCCAATCAAATTGTCTCAGCTGTCATACGCAATAATGCTGAGACGATTTGATTGGCTAACGCAAGGTTACGCAAGTTACGCTTCATGTAAAAGCAGCCTTTGCCTTTACAAGGGCCAACCCCAACTACAGTTGTAGCGCGACTTTGTGCAACTAGAAGGAACAGATCTATATATGTGGCGTATGGACTAACCGTTATAGGTCCAAGAGCCACAAGCGCACCAAACCAAACCAACAGATCTATACATAGTTGCTGTGTTCCAAATTTCATTGTCAATACTGAACATCTACAATAAACGTCACGTAAACTGTAGGTTGTTAGCAGAATGAATTTTGAATACAGAATTAAAATAACTCACTAGCTGCTATCAGCTGCTTTATTAACATCGACCGTACACATATAATTTTATAACATACATTTGTTAAATTTAAGTATAAACTTCGCAAAGAAAAGATGAGACCACCAATAGTGAGAAAACAACAAGCAGCAAAGCTGGAAAAATTGGTATCCAAATTGAGATACAATATCAAACCACCTCGGAAGTTAAAAAATCCAGAAGGTCCAGTAGGTCGTATTCGGAAAATTCAGAAAACTCTGACAGCGTTGATTAAATACGAACGACTTGAGTTAAATTACGGAAAAGCTGACGAAACCAGAGGATATGTTGATCAGGTACGTTTGTTGTTATTGTTTGTGAAGTTTTTTAAAGTGTGTAAACAATTATCTTTCGCAACAGAGATACAAACGTATCATACAAACGTACATTAGTTCTTAATGAATTTTAAAAGAAAAAACACTGCAATTATATTCGATTGTCTCTCCCGCGATAATATACAGTCAAACATTTACTTGACATATCTGGTAAAATTCTTGAACCAGAGCATTTAATTTTGCAGTTGATTTTTGAAGCAATTCGCCATGGACCTACACACAAAGAGACAATGGATATGGCCAACTTTTGGATACTAGAAAAACAATATGTACATAAACTGTTCAAAGTTCTTGTACCAAGATATCAAAATTATAGTACTTCTTTCACCAGACTTTTGAAGGCGCCAAATCTGTATCCCATGGGTCATTATCAATTTGAAAGGTCAATTTTAGAACTCAAAGGTAGGATGTGCAAACGATATTTTTTTAAGAAGCCGTGCAAATAAGTTGTTTTTTTTATGATTGTTATTTTTCAGGTAACGTTTATCCGAGTTTATGCCTAAGTAATCCATATAAACACAATTTACTTCACAACGTGCTACTTGCTGCAGCAATGAAAGAATACCGAATAGAAAAATATAAAGAAATTGCAGATAATATAAAGCAGTAAATAAAAAAAAAGTAGCAGATAAGCAGTTTTTTTGTTGTTTTGTTAACAATTTTATTAGTGAAAAACAAAATAGACGCATAAAATTTTATATTTCCGGTAGATAAATTTTTCTCCTCACTTTTTGTGGATAAATGAATCTAATGGATAATGTTCTCTGAATTCTTCTAAATGTTTTTCCATTAAATTTACTTGTTTCCTGCAATGTGTAAAATTATATCGAAATGATTGAAAGCGATGCCAATTTTGTAATTTCAGTATTTTCAAGTTTAAATACCTAACGTGATCAGGAATTTCTTTGTAGACGTCTGTAAATAATTCCTTCCAGTGTGGTTTTAATTTCTTTTCTGCCTCCGCAAGAACACGAAGAATCTCCTTTCTAGTAGAATTTAATAACTCTTGTTCTCTCTCTTGACACCATACGCCAAGAGACTCTAAGTAATCGCGGAACCTTGCGAGTGGCGCATAAGTGCTCCATTGAGCGATTTCTTCGGTTGATCGATAAACCGTAGAATCATCCGACGTACTGTGATGCCCGAGTCTATGAATTTTTACAATGTACGTTTAATTTTACATTAAAAAAAAAGTTTTACTTCGAGAAAATGTGTACAGTAAGAGAGAGAGAAAGAGAAATTGTTTAATATAAAAGTTGCTAAGAAAACAATCGATGCAGCAATATATATATATGTACAACATATACATTTGTTTGTTCACCTATAAGTCATGGCTTCTATTAAAACAGGCTTCTGTTGCTTTATGCAAAAATCTCTGGCACTTTTTGTTGCGTAGTACATCGCGAGTACGTCATTACCGTCTACTCTAATCGTATCAATTCCATAAGCCGGTCCTTTTGCTGCAATACCATCCCCTTTAAACTGTTCGACAGCCGATGTCGAGATAGCATATCCGTTGTTTCGACTAGAGATCAGAAGATTTTGTGATCGTGTACATTTACTTTTTTACACAGTTCATTTCTCATCTAATTACGCCAGAAAACAAAATTATACATCTGTCAAAAGTTATTAAAAAATTACCAGAAAAAAATGACAGGACATGATAGAGTAGCTGCGAAATTAAACGCCGCGTGAGCATCACCTTCGCTCGCCGCACCTTCGCCGAAATAACAAGCTACACACGCGTCTTTTTTGTCCAATTTTAAGGCGTAGGCAGCCCCCACAGCTGTAAAGAATTTTTTCTATCTATTTCTTTTTTGGAAAAGAGGAGAGTCGAATAATTAAAGCATTAAAATTAGATAAGCTGTCAATTAAATCTTAAACAAAATATAAAATCTAAATAAATAACAATGAAAAAAAAAATCTAAATAAAACACATTATACCTTGTGGCAATTGAGTCGTTAATGGGGATGATATAGTTACAAAATTAAATTCTTTGGAGCCATAGTGTACCGGCATTTGTCTGCCTTTACCGTCGTCCTCGCAGTTGCCGTAGCATTGATTCATAAACTTTATTAAAGGATATCCACGGTGCAATAACACACCTGTTGTCGCGTGATATGTAACATTTTAAACATGATAAAATAGCAAACGAATAATTTATAATGCGTTATTTTTTTTCTATATTTCAAAATTCACTGCCAGCACTGAAAATCCTAATTTCATTTTATTTCACATTTTCATAGATTTTTCAGTATTGATAGTGAATTATTTTTAAACACAAGATTTATATAACGTACCGGTTTCGCGATACTGCGCGTAAACCGTGTCTTCTGGCGTTAAAGCTGCGGCAGAACCGATCTGCACAGCCTCTTCGCCTGTATTTGTCATGTAAAATGAAATGCGGCCTTGCCTGTGCGATTCGTACATGATCTTGTCCATTATGCTTATAGTAACCATATCGCGATACATGTTCAGTAGATACGCATTGTCAAGCTGCGACACAAAAGAGAAAGAGAGATTTTTCAGTCTCCTTATACAATTTTATTTTGGAACATACGCTTGTCTCACTTTTCTTCGTGATCTCGAGAATGTTATATTTTTGAAGTTGTTAAGCAACATATACCACAATTAAAACTTAAATTACTACAACGAAAAGTAAATTACATCTCAAAAATTGAATGAATTTCTGTTGATTGATTTAATTTATATATGCATTTATATACTTATATTAATTTTTAATTGTAGTATATAGTCATGAACCTTTTTGTCATCGGGCAATTTAACATTTCCTGAAGATTCGAAAATCCTATATATCGGAATGGATCCATAATTGTCCTTGTTGACAAATTGAATATCATTGGTGAAAATACTGTTGATTCCCAGAAATTGTGGCTTGTCTACCGCAGTACCGTATTTTTTAATCTAAAATAATATGTATATATAATAAAATATGTACATATAATAAAATGTACATATAATAAAATAGAGATAAGCACAAATGTTTTCACGCATAAACATGTCGTACAATTTTAAGAGCGCACGTATACCTCAAAAGTATATATTTCAATGAGGATGTAATATAAATAAGAATAAACAACTATATCTGCAATAAAATACGTTATTTATTAATGCTATATATGGCAATACCTGCAATAGAACGCGTTGAAGATGCGTAAGTTTTCGAAGTAAATTGCTCGCGATCATCGCGCACGAATTAGTCAATTTTCTTCTATAGTGTCTTGTTTTTACTGTGCATCATTTTTACTGTACACACATAGAAACTGATAAGACATTCAAAATGTGTGCGTGGTAAAAGGTCAATAGTGCGTACGTGCATGGGTGTATTGGAGAGCGTATATGTACGTGTGTGTTGTCACAGTGCATGAAATGAAGAATAGAACTTGAGTTGCGTTACAAATACTTTGAAGCTATTTATCATAATTCCTCATTAAATATAGAGTGCGTTCGCTGCTCACACACTTTGAGCGTCAGTCTATCTTTATATTGAAAAAAGAGATGATATGGTTCGAGAAGCATCTACATTAAGTTTATTTGGATATATTATCCTTGTGTATTAGATAGCCGGTCCCCGAGTCTTGACATATATGCAAATTAGTGCTTGATAATTTTTTTTTTTTTTATAGCAACGCGCGCAAGAGTGCATCAAACTTAATATTTCTTTCTCACAATCTCACTTTTCTTAAAATATAATTTTCTAAATACAAAATTAATAAATACATTGTTTTGTTAGATAAAAAAATTTTCATATATTTATTATTCACGTATTTAATCACGTATTATCTGTTCAGTACTTTTCTCTTTTTTTTTGGCATTCAGAAAATTTATAAATAAACTGCAAAGATTGAAAGACACTACACTATTATGCTTTTTATTTGTTTTCTCGCAAAAGTATAACAGAAAATATATGACAACAAATGCGCAATAACACTAACTTTTTCTCTCTCGCTCTTTTACCTTGTTTGCGGGACGATTGTGTGTAAGTAAATTCTATTTTATATTCGCACAATATATAAACAAAATGCCAGCGTTTTTGTGTAAATCAAAATGCCAGTACCGTTATTTCTGCGTTTTGACATAAGAATAATATGTCGCACATCATAGCATGTTGATTCTCGATAAAAATGACTAGGAGGAACGGATGATGAATATAAAGACAAAAAAAAACTGAAAATTTAGAAGACCGATGCGAGACAAAACACATCTTTGTTATTAACAACACGAAGAGATCGATATTTTGGCTTGTATTAATCTTCTAAATATTTTTTAGTCATTATTTTTCTAATCTTTAATGGTTTTACATTAAAGACAGGAATAAAGTAGACCAACGTTACTCATTGAAAGAGTAGAATTTAAATTATTACTTTTTTTTATCACATATGTGTGTGTGTGTGTGTTACACATGCTTGATTTCATACATCTTCCACTCGATAAAAATTGTTTACATTCGTGGTTTTTGTAAAAACTCGACAAGTTTTGTTAATTAATTAAGTGGGAAACTCAAATTCATGATTTTGCTAATTTAGATATTTCTATATATACGCGCTTGTGTGTGTGTGTGTGTGTTTTACATAACTTTTTATGTAAATTTGTTGTGTGATTTTTTTTATCGCTGAACAGGAGGTGCCATTGGAAGACCAGATGGATTAGCACCTCCTGAAAAAGCTGTATTCGGTCCTAATAAAACTTGTTTTCTCTGTGTACGTTGTAAGTCTTCCATTTGAGCACGTTCCATTTCAAAAATAATTGGTGCAAACAGAATAACAGATGAACTGAAGAATAGCCATGTGGCTGTACGTGAAAATGCATATAGACCTGTAAAAAATTGTACATACATATATATATATATATTTACAAAAATATGTCAATTGTTGTTTCTATATTTAAGATCTTGTCATGTACATTTTGGAAAAAAATAGAAGCATCTTAATAGTAGACAATAAAAGTTATAAGACTAGTTTAGTTTAGTTTTATCATCTCTGATTGATTTAATTATTCTGTCAAAAACAAATGTAATACCTTTAGTACATTTGTATAAACCGACTCCAAAATTATATCCAAAGTTGCGTACTGGTTCGGGAAACATTTCTGTCAGTCCTAACAATCTCTCAGCTAAGCTTTCATCCTGAATATAAAAGATTCTTTATTAGCTGATTAAAAACCTATTAATAGTTACTTCTTTATTTTTTTTATAAAAGCTATTCGAGTTCAAGAGACATTTTATGTGAGATCACATATCATATTAATTCTACTCTTGTAACCGATCAAAGAAATATGTGTTTACAATACATAAATAATTCTTTTTTATTCACACATTTTTGAACATCTATTATAAACCCATTGTTATTGATAATAATAGAATAATTTTCTTTGCTCGCTTAACCATGTTGCTAGATATGACTGTTTTGCAAATAATCGATTTTTTCTCAATATAAAAAATCCTCATACCTCCTCGTCGTCGTCCTCATCGTCGGGAAGCAGTGTCTTCACCTCCGGAGAATGCACGTCGCTGCTACCCATGCCGCTGTCGACTTGCTGATCCAGTTCCTCAACTGAAGCCATATATTATATATAATACAAGAGTGAACGTAAAAGTCCTTATACTACTCGCCACGTGGGTTTCAGAAGTTTAATTGAGTTTAATGAACAAACGCAATCGCGAATTTCGTTCACGGTGCTTCAAGTATCGAGAAGCGCCAGCACTACCGCTTCGTAGCTATAGAGCAGAACAAGAGATGTGTGTTGCAGATAACACACACACCGGTACAACGCGATTCAAGTTTCGGAGTGAAACGCGCGTAATACAAAATTCATTGGAATAAAAAAAATGTACGAATTCTTGTTACCTTCTGAAGTTCTCCGCACAGTTGCCCAGGTTGCCATTCTTCACCTTTTTTCGCACAACAGGACAATGAGATAATTACGGTCGAATCTTATTTCTTATTTTGAATTGTCATCACTGGTCATCGCTCTATTTTGTCACAAAATCCCTATATCGTCACGTCGTTGGTCTCGTCGGTGACATTTACCAGAAAAATAGCAGAACTATAGACCACGTGTATAGGTATTTCAGATCCGTACATTTTTAACAAATCAAAGAGAGACACCAGTTTTACGCAAGTAAGTACGCAATAGTTCTACAGTTTTCGATATGTTTTAGAAAAGAGTTTTTTGAACACTTGTTTTTGCAACTTTGAACTTACGGAGCTTGATTATAATTGCAGATTGACCAATGAGTGAGCAAGCGCGCTTCGATCTGATTGGCTGATCTGTAACTGTCAAACGTAATTGCAATCAAGCTTGCAACCCGTAACGTAACGCGGGTTTAAAGCTCCTGTGTCAAACGAATTAGGATTGAGATTAGATTGGAATTTGATTGATTAGGACAAAGTCCAGTATAAATTTGAGATCAGCTTTCTCATGAAGGTAAGAATAGTTAAAAGGACGATTTGGACGTTGCGAGTGTCTAATGGAACGCATTACTCAAATTGATGTCTGGCACAGACATATGATATTCGGTGATAATCCAGATATAATGTAATTCTGTCGTGATGTTCGTCGATTTTTTGATCGGTGTGTGCTCGACGAAGGTGCGATAATTGAAAGAAAGGCAAAGGTCGAGTGTCGCATCGCCGCATGGCGCAAGTTGAGATTGTACAACGAGATATATTAGCCTAAACATTGAATGGATGCGGCGTGTCCCTGCTGCAATACCGATATTTGGAACTTTGGTTACGTATTTCGGTGGTCGTCGTCGTCGTCGTCGGCTTGCAGTGATCATCCGGCGCAATGGCAAACACCGGGGTGTTGCCTTTCGTGCGAGGCGTGGATTTGAGCTGCAATGATTTTGGTGTAAGTAATAATACTTTGTTCTCCCGACGAGGTTAACTTTCTGAACACAGGAACAAAAGATGTTCTACAATATTCAGTTAAACATATCCTTGCTTCTGTTTACCAGTTTTTGGTACTTCTGATATTGTTTTCTATCAAAATTTCATAGTTTTTGATGTATCAAAAATAGATCTCTTTTATCATACAATAGATTTTCAAATAGCCGGATGATAAGAGTTTATTTGCTGAGTAATACTTTTCAGATAAAGTTGAGAGTCTTCAAATAGTAGGTACATATAAAGACTGTTTTTTTTTATATGATGTTCTAGGATGGCAAATTTCCTGAATCCATGCGTCTTATGACTGGAATACAATGGCTAAAATTGGACAAAACAAATTTAACAGAGATTCCAGAAGAGATGGGCAAGTTGTTGAAATTGGTAAAGTATTATGAAACTGTATCATTTATATACACACACATTTTTACAAGATCTTTATAATTTATTTACAAACACTCTTAAGTTTGAACATTTTTTGTGATATGTAAATGATTGGCATCTCATCACATTTACTAATACAATTTAATTTTTTCTATCAGGAACATCTGTCACTTGTGAAAAACAAGTTGGAACGTTTGTATGGAGAATTGACAGAATTAGGATGTCTCAGAACATTGAATATAAGACACAACAATATCAAATCTAGTGGTATCCCAGCAGAATTGTTTCACTTAGAAGAATTGACGACGCTAGATTTAAGTCACAACAATTTGAAGGAGGTACCTGAAGGCCTAGAGAGAGCACGTTCTTTGCTCAATCTTAATTTAAGCCATAATAAGTATGTATCAGCTGCTAAATACGAATTTATAATTTATAAATTTTTTATTATATATCTTGTCATATTGTAGAAAATGGATTGAGAAAGTGTTTTTTATGTTTCATTTTTGTTTCAGTATCGAGACTATACCAAATACGTTGTTTATTCATTTGACAGATTTATTATTCTTAGACCTTAGTCACAACAAGCTAGAAACAGTGCCACCGCAAACCCGACGTTTGGCTAACTTGCAGACTTTAAATCTGAATCATAATCCTCTAGGTCACTTTCAATTAAGGTAATTTAAAAGCTTATCGTGTTAATTATAAAAAAAACTTCTGTTTTTTTTTTTTACCAGAGAAAGAGAAAGAACGAAGGAAAGAATTTAGCTTTCTAGCTTAAATTATTTAATTACATTTCAGACAACTGCCATCGTTGATGAACTTAACGACTTTACAAATGCGGGATACACAACGAACATTGAACAATATACCTTCTAGTCTAGAAACTCTAACCAATTTGCAAGAGCTTGATTTGTCGTTGAACAATTTACCCCGAGTGCCTGACGCACTTTATTCTTTATCGAATTTGCGTCGTTTAAATCTCAGCGACAACCAGATAACTGAATTATCAATAGCAATTGGTAAATTATATTGTTACAATTGTTTTTATTTGAGTAATTTAGAGATTTTTATCTGTGTAAGCAGAGAGAATAAACAAAAAGAGATTTATCTTCTAGAATTGTGGACAAAATTGGAGACTCTAAATGTGTCGCGAAACAAATTAAGCGCAATACCGGCATCGTTGTGCAAGATTTTTACATTAAGAAGATTGTATTTAAATGACAACGAATTGGATTTTGAGGGTATACCTTCTGGAATCGGAAAATTGTCATCGTTACAAGTATTTTCCGCCGCCAACAATCATTTAGAAATGATACCAGAAGGACTTTGCAGGTGAGAACCTTTTTATGATCCGTTCTCTGATGTCTTTTTTATTTTTTTTTTTTCATATATAAACTTATATTTGATTTAAAATAGTAAACTGTGAAAACACTGATTATTGTAGATGTGGCGCACTAAAGCAATTAATATTAACGTCTAATCGATTGATTACCGTACCAGACGCCATTCATCTTCTTACTGATCTAGAACAATTGGATTTACGGGATAATCCGAATTTAGTGATGCCACCAAAACCAATGGAAGTGCAGAGGGGATCGGGCATAGAATTTTACAATATCGATTTCTCGTTACAACATCAATTGCGTCTTGCTGGCGCTAATGTACCAGTTCCAGTTCAAACTGCTAGTATGCATCATTACTATTAAATGTCACATTAAAAATATGCAAAGATTCGATATATTTGATGTAAAAAACATTTTATGCATTTAATTGCAGATAGTAAAGATCCTATAGCGCGTAAAATGAGATTGAGAAGAAGAAGAGATCAGGAAGAGGCTGATCAAGATCAGGCTAAGATACTTAAAGTACGTTATTGGTGTTTTTTACTTTCACATTTGCAACAAATTTAGAATTCAGAGAAATAGGCTGATCACAGACAATGAACACAGAACGTTCAGTTCTGATAAACGGTTATTGTAATATATTTACTTTCAGGGGATGAAAGACATAGCGAAGGACAAGAACAAAGATAAGGAAATCGAGGATTCAAAGGCAGAATCTTTAAAGTAAGTAGAGTTTTGGAAAAGTTTCTAGTGTTATATGTGTAAAAATCATACTGATTTTTTTCTTTGACTGTTCAGACCCAAGCGTTGGGACGAAGCTTTGGAAAAGCCACCGCTGGATTATTCCGAATTTTTCGACGAGGATGCCGGTCAAATTCCTGGTTTATCGATATGGGAAATAGAAAATTTTCTGCCAAACGAGATTGAAGAAGTGGCGCACGGCAAATTTTACGAGGGCGATTGTTACATTATTTTAAAGACTGGGATAGACGAAGGTGGAGCGTTGACCTGGGCGATCTATTTCTGGATTGGAGAAAAAGCAACAGTACGTATTTTCAAATTCGTACAATAGAAAGAGATTGACATTTAAATGCTGTAAAATTATATCACACATAGATATAATTTATATATATGTGTAGATTAAAAAACTATTAATTTTACTCTTACTTGTGATTGCAGTTAGACAAGAGAGCATGTGCTGCGATTCATGCTGTAAACTTGAGAAACTACTTAGGCGCACAATGTCGAACAATCAGAGAGGAACAGGGAGACGAATCGGATGAGTTTCTACTGCTATTTGATTCGGGTATTACTTATATCGAGGGCGGTCGCACATCATCTGGTTTTTTCACGGTCGAAGATACGGTAAGTGCCTACGTTTTAATGTCTTTTTGTACAATTTTATATTGAAACACGTGTTTTAAGAGAAAAATTTAAATAACACATGTTAACATTTCTTTTTTTCTCCAGCCAGCTATTACTCGGTTGTACAGAGTGCACGCAGCGGGAGCATCTATACATTTGGAGCCGGTTCCAGTTTGTGTCGATTCTCTGGATCCTGATTATGTGTTTGTACTCGACACGGGCAATAAGATATTTATGTGGTATGGAAAGAAGGCAAAAAGCACGCTGAAATCAAAAGCGCGACTGATGGCGGAGAAAATTAATAAGAACGAACGAAAAAATAAAGCGGAAATTATCACGGAAGTTATGAATTCCGAATCGGAAGATTTTCTATTGCATTTAGGTGTGGAGGAAGACGAGATGAAAAATTTGCAAATTAAAGTACGTCTTTCTTATAATTTCTAGCTAATAATTTTCTCAAATATAAAGTTTTGAAATTACATTTATGCAATTTGTCTAGTTTTTCTATATAAATATTATATGTAACAATATATACGTAATAATTATTTCTTCAACTTAAAATAACAATATCACATAATTCTTTCTTTTGATGGCCAGGAACACGTGGATCCGAATTTCGTGCCTCTTGTGCCCAGATTGTATCAGGTTCAACTCGGAATGGGATATCTAGAACTACCGCAAGTCGAGGTTCCTCATGGAAAATTAACAAATACCTTGTTAAATAATCGTAACGTGTACATATTAGATTGTTATTTGGATGTATATGTTTGGTAAGTATAAAAGAGAGAAAGAATACAATTAAATTATTTTAAAATACATTTTTTACTAACTATTCACATGTAAATATAGGTTTGGTAAAAAGTCGACGAGATTAGTACGTGCCGCCGCTGTAAAACTGTCTCAAGAATTATTTAACATGATCGAAAGACCAGAATACGCGATGGTAACGAGATTGCAAGAGGGAACTGAATCTCAGGTACACGAAGAACATACACCTATATGTATTTTTTTCTTTATTTCGAATTATGAGATTTCTTTTTATCAAACTAAAACTTGTTTTATATTATTATGCAGATCTTCAAATCAAAATTTACCGGTTGGGACGAAGTGATTGCAGTAGATTTCACTAGAACGGCTGAGTCGGTCGCTAAAACCGGAGCAGATCTTACTAAATGGGCTAAACAACAGGAAACAAAAGTGTGTAGAAAAATTTTAAATTTTTACTATAAATATTTTCTTTCTGTGTTAAATACAAGCTACTTGTTTTTTTTTTTAGGCGGACTTGGCTGCTTTATTTATGCCGCGACAACCGTTGATGTCAGCCGCGGAGGCGCATCAACTCATGACGGAATGGAACGATGATCTAGAAGGAATGGAAGCATTGGTGTTGGAGGGAAAAAAATTCGTACGTCTTCCAGAGGAAGAGTTAGGGCATTTCTACAGTGCGGATTGTTACGTTTTCTTATGTCGGTACTGGATGGTGTGTATATCGTTAATATTTACGATGAGATGCGAAAGTATAATTTACAGACTCTAAGTAATCGTTTGACTTTTAATTAAATCAGCCGTTGGACATAACGGAGAACGAAGATGGTGACGATCAATATGAAGACGATTATCAATGTACAGTATACTTTTGGCAAGGCAGAGATGCTGGAAATATGGGATGGCTGACATTTACATTTAGGTGAAGACTGTGTATATACATTTATATATATATCGATAGAAGATAAATAATGTTTAAATTATTTATTACTTCTTTCTCTGTGTTCCAGTTTGCAAAAGAAATTTAAATCGTTGTTTGGCGAAAATTTGGAAGTTGTGAGGACGCATCAACAACAAGAAAATTTAAAGTTTATGAGCTACTTCAAACGGAAATTCATTATTCATCAGGGAAAACGCAAACAACCGAAGACTGCGGGTAGCAATAAAGTGGAGTTCTATCATTTACGAAGTAACGGCAGTGCCTTATGTACTCGACTTATTCAGATACCGGCAGATTCGACGTTGTTAAATTCTGCTTTTTGGTGCGACATATGCTACTAAATACGTATGATTCCATTGTGTTTGTAATGTGTCAACCTCATCTTCTTCTTTTGTTTGTAGTTATCTTTTAAATGTGCCATTCAACAATTCCGATGAAGGAACTGGAATTGTTTACGCGTGGATCGGATCAAAATCTGATCCTGAAGATGCTCGTTTGATCGGAGAAATCGCAGAAGAAATGTTCAATAACGTGAGTTGCAAATCTCTTTTATGTTTATTTTCAACTATTTTTGTGATTGAAGAATAAATTAGTTTTTTTATTTATCATAAGTTTGTACTCGATAAATATTGGATAATATATTATGTAACAGCCATGGATAAGCCTGCAAGTATTAAACGAAGGCGAAGAACCAGACAATTTCTTCTGGGTCGCGCTCGGAGGGAAGAAACCGTACGATACGGATGCGGATTTTATGAATTACACGAGGTTATTCAGATGTTCCAACGAGAAGGGCTATTTTACGATCAGTGAAAAGTGCACCGATTTTTGTCAAGTAAATTTTCAACCTAAATTCGTTCAATTTTTTTTTTTTTTTTATTACCGAACGATATGACATGATACCGAACTTTCTAGGACGACTTGGCTGATGATGATATAATGATTCTTGATAACGGAGAACAAGTGTTCCTCTGGCTAGGCACTCGTTGTTCGGAAGTTGAAATCAAACTGGCGTACAAATCGGCTCAAGTGAGCTTAATTTATTACGTTTTGTGTGAAAACCAAGAATGTCGAATATATTAACAGATTAATTATGTAAATATATATATATATATTTTTTTTAGGTATATATTCAACACTTGCGCGTGAAGCAACCCGAGAAACTCCGTAAGTTATTTTTAACTGCCAAAGGTAAGGAATCCAGAAGATTCACGAAATGCTTTCATGGCTGGGGTTCGCACAAAAGACCGCCACAGTAAGATCGAGTCGATTCTTTCTTTTCACTACGCTTATCCCGTTTGAAATAATAATTTTATACGTAAAAAAAAAAAAGCAAAATATAATCACATAAACTCAACAGTTTTAGTATGTTCACAAATTTATCTCGTGATCTTTTTTTTTTTCACCTAAACTTCACGTACCAATCACAAAAACAAAAGTCAATTTTAATATAATCAATATGTATGTTTTTTTTTTACTATATTGATCTAATCACGCTGCAAAAGAATGTTACAATTGCTCATAAGATAACAATGAATTTATATTAAGTCCACATTCTTGTTTGCTTCTTTGCTTTTGATTCGCTAAAAATATTGTTTTCTCTTACACATATTTAAAAATGTATATATCAATCTCTGCTTAAAGGGCGTGCGTGTAATTTATCCACATTATCAATATGGCACTTTTATATTTTATTTTTTTAATTTAATTTTTTAAGAACAATTTAACGTGTCGAGTTTTGATCTCGGAAAACTTTTTTTTATCTCGTTTTCCAAAAGTTTAAATAAAAATTGAAACAAGTTTTTTTTTAACATTGTATCAAGAATTCAACTAATTCTCTGTGATGCTATCTTCTTTTGCTTTACGTAAAAAAAAAGATTGTCTTTTTCGATCGTTCAGTCATGTTTTTTTTTTTTTTTCACGGTAAAAGTTATTTCTTTATATATATACACATTTTCTATATTTATAAACTCTTGTGTATAAACTATTAGGTTACATAATGCGTTTGGTTTTTGCAGTTTTATGTTTTCCGTAAATATGTGTGTACATGAGTGTGTGTGGTTATATATATTTTTTAAAAACTGTTGAAGAAATATATATATGTATAAGATATACATCGATATTGTGATATCAATTTTTATTGTTGAATAACACAAAAGAAGCTCTTTTATAGAAATATTGTTTTTTCCGTGTGAAAAGGATAGATAAAATTGCATAGTTTTAAAGAGATTAAAAGAGAGAATTTTTAAAGAAATTTTAGATCTACGATATCCTTTTTAGTAATCAAAATGTCAATTCTAAAACTGAGTTATTAAAAATAGCATTTTAAAATTTGTGAATATTAAGCAAAGACTGAAAAGAGATACACGTAACTATAAATCATATGTACATCTGTGACTTTATTATATATATATGGCCCTATTTCCCCTATTATATAAATGCTATGTGTATATATATAAATGCTTTTACATATATATATGTATGATTTATATGTACATATATAAAAGCATTTTTTGTATCACTCAAACTGTATTTAACACAAATTAATTTATTTATTTATATAATATATATATAGATTTAGAAATACATAATTTTGTAAAAGCTCTATCTAACACACTTCCAACAATTGTATAAATAAATATTTCTATGATAATATATATATATTCTTTCTTTCTCTTTTAGGCATATATGTGTGCGTGTACATATATATATATATATATTTTGTATATGTATATACATATATACATATTACATAAATAAGATACTTAAATTCAATAAGAGATTCTTTTTCTCCTGTTTCTTGACTAAATGCTGCATTTTAAATCACTGACATAAGTTAGTTACATGTTGAGTCTGAAAAAGAGTCATATATATCAGTGAGATTCTAATATACACGCAAATAAAACTTATTAGAGCTTTGTCATTAAGAAGCTTTTTGACAACTTGTCAAGAAGAACTGGTTTCTGATAAACACAGATTACTTTACAAATTACTGTCTCTTGAGATTTTATCATTCACATATAAAATTATTTGAAAAGTATATAATTAAAATACACACAAAATTTACCTTTAGGATTAAGTTATACATCTAATAGCTGGACACTTTGAACAATCAACAAGATAAAATACTGATTTCTCTACTAATCGTCGTCATCGTCATCGTCGTCATCGGAGGGAACAAAGAGATCGTTTTCCTCGAGGAAGTTGGCCACGTTTTTACTGATCGTTGCACCAACTAGAAGGCCGAATACAACGCTGCTGACAACACCCAGGAAACTGAATGGTGTTCTCTTTGGCTCAGGCAAGATCGCCCCGGACGGCGTGGTTATTGGCGATCGACAAAATGACTTAGACATTCCATTTGTTTCTTTCAGAACAGATTTGCCGCGAAACAAAGTTATCACCCGATGTAACATCATTCTTTTTCTATCGGGTTTATTTTCGGTGACAGCTAATCGCGCGTCTCTCCCGGAATCCCGCGAGCTGGGTTAGGTTGGGTAAGATTTAAAGCGCACGTTGGCAACATGTTTCGGGTCTGTTTCCACGATGCTCTTCAAATCGGCTCGAACAACTGAGACAAATCGTATTGGTGTTTATTAATTCAATTGACCAATGCCAGATTTGCGATAAGTGCTCATTGGAGATGTGTTCCAATGCTCATTTGCTGTCTTCAAATTTTTACATCAAATCAACCAAATAACAACAGTAGATACTTACTACGTTTTGAATAAGAATCATGTTTTATTTGATAGGACTAGGATTAAGCGATGTAAAGGATATCACTGTAAAAGGACTTGAAATTATCAAGAAATGCAACCGCGTGTATCTAGAGTCCTACACTTCTATTTTGACAGTACAACAAGAAGCTATGGTTTGTATTCTGTGAATTTAACAAACACATGCAAAAATTAAGTTTTGCATAATGAAGCATTTTTCAAATAAAATCTATATACATAATAACATTTGATGTTTATTAAATATCTTCTATTGTGTTTCAATACATTAGGAGGAGTTCTATGGACGGTCTTTGATTCCAGCTGACCGCGAGTTAGTGGAGAGTAATGCAGATGAAATATTGCCACAGAAAGAAGATGAGGATGTTGCATTTTTAGTTGTAGGAGATCCTTTTGGTGCCACAACACATACAGATTTAGTTCTACGTGCAAAAGAAAAAAATATACAGGTGCAAAAAAGAAAGAGAAACAGAAATTTTTGTTAATATAATACATAATACATTTTTAAGGGTAATGTTAATATTTAAAATATTTAATATTTAAAAAATTATCTAAAAAGAAATATATTACATTGTTAAGTAGGTCAAAGTTGTGCATAACTCATCAATCTTAACTGCAGTTGGTTGCTGTGGTTTGCAACTCTATTCCTATGGAGAAACTGTTTCAATTCCATATTGGACCGATAGTTGGAAGCCTGACAGCTTTTACGAAAAGATAGCTTCTAACAGACAAAGAGGATTGCACACGTTATGTCTCCTAGATATTAAAGTTAAAGAGCCTATCTTGGAGAGTATTATGAAGAAGAAAAAAGAATATATGCCTCCTAGATTTATGAGTGTTAACGAGGCAGCTAATCAATTGATAGAGATACTGAACAATAAAATTGAAGAAGATCGGAAAAGCTTAGGTGTGTAGCAAAATAAAAATTTCATTAAACACATAAGAGAGAAACAATAGATATAAAATATGCACTTCTATATGTAATACGCATTTTTTTTGTAGCATTTACACATGAAAGTTTGGCGGTTGGTCTAGCACGAGTAGGCAGCGAGGATCAAAAAATTATTGCTTGTTCGTTACAGGATATGACGCGTGTCGATTTAGGACCTCCGCTGCATTGTCTTGTCATACCATCTGTTAAACTGCATCCCCTTGAGATCGATTATTTAATACAATACGCTCTCGATGAGAATTACTTTAAACAAATGACACAATAAATTGCACAATAATTAGGAAAACAAAATAAAGAATATAACGAACTTGTTTTTTATGTTTTTATTTAACTCTGCAAAATAAGTTTTATTTTCGATCTATTTTAAGAAAACCCCTTTAAAGCTTGATTTTAATAATAAAATGTGTGTATATATATGTATATATATGTATATATGTATATATACATACGTGTGTGTATACGTGTAATTTTTAGGTCGCGCTACTTAACATAATAGTAGTCGTTCATTTTGTTTTTCTAGAAGAAAGTGTTTACATGTATATATACATGTATATGATATCTTGTGTGTGTGTGTGTGTGTGTGTGTGTACACACACGAAAGAAAAGTACTTTAACTTCGATTCATATAAAATTTGCAAGAGCAATATTTATGTATAAGAGAAAGCGAACATATTAAATATTCAATAATCTAATTTATATATGTACCTGGCGACACCAATTACAAATAAACTGCTTTGTTTTTACGTTGTTGCTACGAGAGAAAAACCTAACTACCGCGTACAGTCACATCACATCGAATACCATTATTATTCTGTCTGGCTCACTTCCAGATTTTTTTCTAGCACGAACATATATATACATATATATTTTACATATATATATACGTGTATATTTTTTTGATTATGTATACGTATATAAGAATATAAGTCACGTGTCGCACGTCACGGCCAACAAATCAATGGGCCGACATCGACCATCGCGCTAACAAAGCTGGGTGATTCAGTTGTGCCACACGGGGGTGCATTCGCTCGGTGGTAGCAACCACATAGATAATCCCCTTGCTTTTTGTCTTCAAGCAGGTACAGTTTCTATAATATAAAATAGCGATCTTTATAAATTAATATTTCGAGATGTATAATTTTAAATTTTATTGCATTTGATACGTATGTATTGTTTGCGCGCGAGCACAGTTGTGATAAAAACAATGCACATGTGATAGCAATGTACGCACATGCTTACAAATTACACAAGTTTTCTCTCTCGATAATTCTAATTTTTTTTTTTTATCTCACATATTTAGAAAATTCGCAAATGCTCTTTAACATTGGAGGGATCACGGAACTATTCATATTTTTGAAGAAGGAAGATTTTTGTTCCCCGATGCATCGACGTGATACATTAGAGTGTATAAAAAAAAAAGATAGTACTATGTGTACATATAGATAAAGAATATATTGAAAATAGCACTGTGAGAGAGAGGAGATAGGTTCAAAGCAAAGTGGCTTGGCACAATGTTGAGTCCTACGCCAATCGATCGGCCGAGCCTGCATCCTGGCACGTACCTCATCGCGCCGCGAGTGCCTCACGGACTCGCAGCCGTTGTCGAAGGACTCACCAGAGAAGTTCTGCGACATCGTCCCGAAGACATATACGTCTTTGCGGCTCATCACTTCGAGAAACTGTTGAAGCTACGCGAGCAGTATTACGCTGAAGAGTACAACGATCGCGAATTCGATCGCGAGTTTAGCCGTGACTTCAATTTGAGTCCCACCAAAGAGACCGAGGATACGAAAAAAGTTTCTCACAGCGATTGGTCCCTGAAGAAAGAGATCGGGAGTCTGGAGAAACGCGGAAATAAATACGCCGACGCGGAAGAGACTACGGAAGATGGTTTTACCGATCGAGAAAATCGAAAAACTTCGACAAGTTCAAAAGTTTCTTCGAGAGAGACGAAGAGAACCTCGAAGAGATCGAAGAATAACGAGACGTCGGATGCTCGCGCGGCGCGAATCATCTCGCAGATGTCCGCTGCGAAGAGTATTCAAACCAAGGATATCAAGCAGGAACTCAGGAAGAACAAATTAAGTGGCGAGAAGACAAAGATCACGGATAACACCGAGAAAGGAATTAAAGGAGAGAGACGGGGAAACAGAACGAAGGTGGTAAAAGCGGATAAGGTATCCGAGGAGGAAACTGAACGTTCCACAACGATTACAAGTTCGAGCAAAACTTCCACGAGAAGACCCTTGAAGAAGGTGCGACGAATTGAAACTGAATCCGAGACCGAAACAGAGCGTGAGATCAACAAAACTAGACTTGAAAACGGACACTCTAAATCAATTGCGAAGAATGACAGAAAAGCGAAAGAAAAGCGGATCTCGTCCGAACATTCGTGCGAGAGAAAAATATCGTCGCGAGCAATCAGCATGGATCGCATTCGAGCGTACGTGTTGCGCAAGTTCGCGAGCACGGCGAGTTTGGAAGTTCTCCGATCGCCCACGTATGTGGAACAAGTTCAGGAAGTGATCGATCGAGCGGCGCCGATCATCAAGGAAAAACTGGAGGAGATCAGGAGACCCCGAGGAAAGCGTTCGAGATCGGTTGATCTCGCTTGGAACGAGGAATCTCTTCGTCAGTACGCTCGGGACGAGAAAAGACGGGGCGATCGCGAAAAAGAGAAAAACAAACGAGGAAAGAGCGAAAACGGACTCGAGCGAAGAGAAGACGTCGCGAATAACGAGGAAAATTGTTTTGCGAGAAAAGAGAGCATTTCGAGTGCGGAGACAGAGGAGAAAAAAATCCGAACACGCAGCGTGGGATCGGGCAAGAAATCGAGAAGACGCGAGAGTGGCGACTTCGGGGTCGTCGATCAAGTCGACAACAACTCGAGGCACAGCGATCACAAATCAGACAACGTTTCGCCCAATGTTTCGTGCGACACTCTTGAAGCGAGACTTACCGTCACGCAGAACATTCTGGAAGACATCTCGAAGACAACGTCCGAGCTAAGCGGCGCTCGCAAGATCGAATCTTCCGGAAGTGCGCCGTCACCGGAATTAGAAATCTCCGATGCGAATATCGTTTCCTTGCCGATTGTGAGACCGCCATCCTCTAAAAATTCCAGAAACGCCAGCAAAACCGATTCGGACAATTTGACGTTGCCGCCGATATCTCCGGAGGTGCCGAAGTCGACGAAAAAGAAGGACGAGTTGTCGCTGCCGATTCTACCGGCGGCGACCAATGGAAATCATTCCAAGAAATCGCAAGAGGATGATTCCAAGGACGTCGAGGAAGCCTCGACAATGCGCGATATTACGAGCGACATGGAAGACGAAGGTGTTAATGTTAAAAAAGACCTAAATGATGATCGTCACGACGTGACAATGTCAGACGTAAGAATTACGAACGAGGAGAAACGAGAAGAGGAAGACGAAGTTCTTCTTCGAGAAGATATTTCGGAAACTCTCGCCGAGAAACAAGGAAGTTTCGAGGAATTGGAAAAATTGATAGAACTAGAAGGTGACAGGTTGGAGGAAAACTTCAAAGACAGTTTGAACGTCACGCCGGAAGTGGACGTGCCCCCTAGACCGGATTCGTTGGAGTCACCGGAGATGGAAAAGTTGCGGGATGACGATGCGGATATCGCGCAGAATAAAACGTTTGACGGATTGAAGGACAAATTGATCGAGATCGAGATGGCGGAGAGAAATGTCGAAAAAGCTCTAGCTGGCCAATCAACTGCTACGCGTGAAACCGATGAGTCGAGCAAGGAAGAAGAAACGACGAAGAAGGACGATGTTAAGGACGAGAACAAAGAATCGATGCGTGAAACAGAACAAGCGAAGGAAGAAGAAACGGAGACGTCGACCAACGAAATGGATAAGGTGGAAAACTTGACAAATAGAATGGAAGAAGCGATCAAGCAAGCCGAGAAATCGGCCAAACTTGCAGAAGAGGTAAATGACGTAGAAGAAGCGGAAGTGCTTCGTGATCGGGAGTCCGTAAATCCGGAGTCACCAAGCGGAGACGGTCAGATGATTGCCGATGTGATTACGGGCGAAACGGACGATGGCAACTCGACGACTTCACAAAACAAACCTGAAAATGAGACAAATGAATCTTCTGGAACTGCAATGTCTGAAAATCCTACCGACGAAGCTTCGACCATAAATCTTTCGAACGGGAGTAATACCGGCAAGAAGAAAGAACGAAAGAAACGCGAAGCTGGAAAGAAGTCGCCAGCTACAACGGCGCTCTCTTTGGACATACCCTTCGCTTACGTTCTCAGCGAAGGTTCGCCCTGCGAGATTCCCGAGTCTGTGACAACTGTGATTATTCCGGACAGACGGTATTCCTCTCCCGTAATCGCGGAAGAAGACGACAATCAGCAGAAGGAACATTCACTTGTTCTTTCTGACGTCGAAAATAAAACACAGGATCAAGAGGAATTAGACGCAAACCTGTTTGGCGAGTATATTCCAGCTGAACCCAGCGTTTCATCCGTGGATATCGAATTCGCGCAAGATCTGACAGGAATGAAACCCAATCAGGACATAGTAATTCTTCATCAAGACTTGGACAAAATCAAGGAGGAAGGTGAGGAAGAGGAGAAGGAGGACGTTGACGAAAAAGAAATGACGAATTCTCCAAAGGAGGAAGACGACGATGAAGCGGTTACGCGAAATGAGGAAGCGACGAAGATGGAAAACATCGCGGAGCGCGAAGAGAACGAAGACATCGGCACGAAGACAATTCCCGAGCAGAAGGATACTGAAGAAGCGTCATCTGACATTCCTGAGGATCAATCTTTGCCTGATATCATGCAATTTGTGACCGATACCGATTTGATAAATGAAGAACGAACGGACACCGTGGCGGAATCGAAGAGCACGCCAGAGAACTCGTCGGAAGAAAGTGGAAGCACGCGAGACACCCGCACGTCGAGCGAAGTGAAGGAAGGTCTTGCAAGCACTCGATCGGCCGAGACTCCGAGCTTACCTATTCCACTGGTGCCTGAACTGAATCTGGACTCTCTTCAGGACAACACCGTGTCATCTTTCAAAATCTCGGCGAGCGAAACGAAAGAAGACAATGGCAGTCCGAGAGAGAGCGACGCTACCTCTTTGATCGAGCCTTTGACCTCGGACGAGAGACTGATGAATCGACTGGCCTTGACCGAACACGACGAAGAAGTCGAAGAAGAGGTCACGGGAAGGGACTTGCGGTCGGAACTTCCGGAAGCTGATCAATTATACCGGGCGGAACACGCGGAATACGTGTGGCTGGAGAAAGATTCTATGTCTTCAGAAACCATTTTGGAGGACGAAGCCAAATCTCAGGAGGACAGTACCGGTTTGAAAACTCTACCCGAAGACGTTGTACATGTCGGCCCGCTTTTGCGAGGGGACGAGAATGACGAAGAGTTGAATAGCGAGGAAGAAATTGCGAGGGAATTAATAGGATCATTGGATGAAGAAATACTTCGTGCTGATGAATTCAATTCAAAACCTGAAGATAGCGGAGAATTGGAGAAAAGTGATTTAAGCGCGAACGAAAAATCTAATCAACCACCGTCGGAATTTGTACAATCAGTGTCGGCTGACGAACCGAAGAAGATAGAACATGAAGTTTCTTCAGAAACAATGAAAACAGATGAAGATGTTGCGAGAGGAGGTGAAGAACTCAGCGTGTTGACAAGCCACGCGACGGACATTAGCGATGATAAAGACATTCCAATTACGAACAAAGAACACGAAGAATCTGAATTGGAAGTGAAAGAAAAAGAAACCGAACAGGTCGCGCCTTTGGCACAATTTGAACCAGATGAATTATTAGAAGAAAATGATAAAGGTGACAAAATTACAATCGAAGATGTGCCTGACATTGATAACTTGATCGATAATCGGGAAAAATCTGAGGACGGGCAAACGAGCATTGAAGAGATAGCAGATACTAGTGAGATTACGAGTAAAAATGATGAAGAACTAAATAAAAATCAAGAAGAAAATGAACAAGAAAAGTTGCAAGATCAGGAAAACAGTATGCAAGAAGAATTACAAGTTGACGAAGAACGTGAGCGGGAAAATGTAAAACTCCACGAAGAGGATGACGAAGAGAAATTAAAATTGCAGGAAGAAATCGCAAACGAAGAAAAGTTGCAAGATCGGGAGAACAGTATGCAAGAAAAATCACAAGTTGACGAAGAACGTGAGCAGGAAAATGTAAAACTNCANGAAGAGGATGACGAAGAGAAATTAAAATTGCAGGAAGAAATCGCAAACGAAGAAAAGTTGCAAGATCAGGANAANANTATGCAAGAAGAATTACAAGTTGACGAAGAACGTGAGCNGGAAAATGTAAAACTNCANGAAGAGGATGACGAAGAGAAATTAAAATTGCAGGAAGAAATCGCAAACGAAGAAAAGTTGCAAGATCAGGAGAATAATATGCAAGAAGAATTACAAGTTGACAAAGACCGTGAGCGGGAAAATGTAAAACTCCACGAAGAAGAGGATGATGAAGAGAAATTAAAATTGCAGGAAGAAATCGCAAACGGAGAAAAGTTGCAAGATCGGGAGAACAGTATGCAGGAAGAATTACAAGTTGACGAAGAACATGAGCGGGAAAATGTAAAACTCCACGAAGAGGATGACGAAGAGAAATTAATAAAATCGCAGGAAGAAATCGGAAACGAAGAGGAAATGGCAGAAGTAACAGAATCAAGAAAAGACTCGACGAACGAATCGATCAAAGACGGTGAGGAACACGAGATTAAACAAATTAGTCGCGACGAATGTGTCACTGAGAAAAAAGAGGAAGACGTCGAAGACAAAACGGACGAGAAAGTAACTAACACACTTCCGGGGGAAGTAGAAATTGTTCACGGACCAATTACAAGCGCAATAACGGAAGAATCGGTGGAAGATCCTCACGATGGACATTGGACTATGAGAACTAAATCGTCTACTGTGGAAACAACGATCGAAACTGACGGCCCTAACACGAGCGCAGACGAGAACATGAAAGCTGTTGACGATGAGCCAGAAATTACCGAATCTCTTTCTCAAAAGAAAGACGACTTCTACTCGGCAGTTGTAAAAATCCAAGCTTGTGAGTAAATACTTCGATGAAATTGTATGACATGAATTGTGTGACAGTTCAGTTATGCCGCAAATAACCGATCCGGTCTGGTTTCTTATCTCGTATTATACGTTGAATTAACATTACGAAAAAAAAAAAAAATCAAAAGGTAATAACGAGAAACAGAGAGTTCAAACGAGAGTTCGAGCGGATGTAAATAGTATCGCAACGTGCATTAATTTTAATCGAGATCAAAAAAGGTGGAATCTTATTTCAAGGGAACTGTGACACAACTTTTAACATGTAATAATGAATAAATCAATGCAATAATCTGTTTATATTACACAAAGGTGTTCGAGGATTTTTAGCGCGCCGCCAGAAGCGGAAGGATCTCGAATCAGAACTACTTTCAACGCAGAAAACAATTACGGTAAATATATTAAAATATAAAGTGTGTTAATTAATTTTAATTTTAACTTTACAGAGATCTGATATTCTGATGCGAGATAAATATGTACGTATATATAATAATGTATATTTTTAATGGGAGGATATACGTTTTTCTTCGCGTCTTTCTTTACGGAGCCCGACTAAAACACGATATTTCGCGTACGGCCAGTTTTACCGGAAGCGCGTTACGCAAAAGAGGAAAAGATGGGTCACTGTTAAGCGTCAGTGCTTTCACGATTGCAACACACGGTTTTGGCAGTGACAAGCTTGGCTCAGAGATATAGATCTGAGCGTTGACTATAGATATAAGCGCTTAAAATAATTGCTTCCTGAATCAACGTTGACGTGTTTTTTTTTTTTTTTTTTATTAAATATTGTTTTTGTTCTATTTTTCCTCAAACTCTCTCAATTTGCATTTAAAAAAAACCTAATTGTTTGAAACAATTGTTAGAATTACTTTTCCCTTTAACGCGCGCGCACAATAATTAAGTAATTAAAAAGTTCAAAAATACTTTTCCGACAAATAGTAAGAAAATACATAAATTATTTAGTTTTTAACGTAAAATCAAATTGAAAAAAAATCGAGACGCAATTACCGTTTTGATACGGCACAGGATTCTTCGAATTTGCAAGAAGGCAAATCCGGGAGACGTCTCCGACGAGAGATAGCTCTGCGAAACACCACTCTATCGTTGGAGAACGCTTTCGCCACGGGTCGACTTCAACATACTGGCGAGTTTCACGATTCCGTGCCGTTACCGTTGTTCGATATAACGAACAGTGAAACTAGTTCAATACAATCGAACGAATCTTCGATCAAAGAAGTTGAAGAGGATACAGAAGAAGCCAAACAATCCAGCACCGATCAAAGTAGCGATTGCGTAAACGCGTAAGTAGTTCAAAGAATCTAATGAAATTTGTGTTAAAATGTTAAGACCCATCAACACAGACATTGTTTTATCTTCGTATCTTACATGTAAACATCTTTTGTTACTTAACGCATAGTCATGAGTTCGAGCAAGGCGAGAATTTTCAAAAGAACAAAGACTTCGCTGATTATCCCTTTCCGATCATGATGCAGCTACTGACGGACGCGTCCCGCCGCTTCACCGTCAGCCAGAATTCTCACTCCGACTTCAATGCTAACGTCGGAGGAACGAAAATGATGGAACCGACCGTGGACATCGTGATGCTGGGCTATCCGAGAAACGAAGATAACCAGTACCTGAACTTCATAACTAGCGTTGAGGATTTAGGTTCCAATATGAATTCCTTATCTCAGGAAGATGCGGCAAAATACACGAAGGACGCCGGGGACGATCATCCCTCGATGACTTCCGGCGAGGGAAGTATCAGAGAACCCCTGGCTATTCCAGGCGCGCGTCAGGGTGTCGTGATCGAGGAAGTGACTAGTTTGGAAGCTGAAGTTCCATCGGAATCGACGAAATCATCGACCGTACCGAAGACCACCTCGTTGGATACAAATAGCTCAGTTCCCCTGGAGGAATGTGAAGTCAAAGACGAGAAGAGCGAATCAAAGACGGCGTCGAAGGTCTTAGACGCGAGTACGGATCGAAAATCTTCAGACGATGGGGTTGAAAGACAAACTTCCGACTCTAAGAGTCAAGAAGAAAAAGATCAAGTCGATTTAAATAGCGAGGATGGTGATAAAAAGTCTGACAAGATTGTTTGCGGCAACAATCATGAAAGCGTAGATGAAGAGAAGAACGAGGAGAAGTAAACTGTGGAAAATTTGCGAAATGAAATTGCGAAAAAAAGCGAGAAGAATTGCGATCTTTGTGATCGACACATGGTTCCTTCAATTATAGTCGTTGTTTGTGTGCGCACTGTGTAGAGACAATTATTATCGTAATTTCACACACCGTTCATCTTTTTATTTTATTATAAATTTTATAAGAGAAACAGATGCTAACGATAACTTTTAGGATTTAGAGTGCCTTATTTGTTACTCAATTGTAGAGAAAAGCGAATAAACAACGACGAACAAACTATCTCTCAGGAATAATCTTAAAAAATACACGCTACATGTTCTTCAGTTAGGTTTACACTCTGATAACAAATACGTATTAGAAAATTCAACAATCTCTTAGATTTGCGATTTTACTTTACACAACAAGAGCGAACGTATTCTTCCTGCTTTTGTAATACAACATACATAGTTCGAAGATGTGCAAAAGTAGCAAATAAATTGCATATACATAGGATGTATGACAATTGTAGTTGTTTTTGTCTGTTCCTAACGAGAGAGTAATCTCGCAAATTAAATCTTAATGATAAGAAACGGCCGCGAATTGAACCGACGATGTTTTGCATTTCAATCAATCATCAAAACGAAATGCAAGCGAACTCGGATGAGGACCTTGGTACATATTTTTAGTGCCCGCCTGTGATTGAAAGAGAGGAAGAGAGAGAAAGAGAGAGAAAGAGAGAAAGAGAACGAGAGAAACGATGATGGCGATCAGTATCGCAGCCGAGCGTTCGGTGAGCGGGGATTCAAGGTAAGAGTACGACGTCGTGGTGACGTCATCGAGCGTCGCGACGACGCCGTCGTCGCCGCGGTCACTCGACGCGATTCGCGCGCGAGTATCATCGCGACAGGTCGCGGCACTGTCCGCTCTCTCTCTCTTCTGACCACAGTGATCAGCGTTGAGTTATATTGATAGCCGCGTCAACGTTATCATCGTTGCTGTGAGAAGCAGTCACGCTTGCCGATAGTTACGAGCTGATAGATACCGCAGCTTTGTCACGTATACCTTCGATATATCCTGAGGTGAGCAAGGTCAGCAAACACGAGCACAATGTTGCGAAGACAGAAAAAAAGAAGATGAATTTTTTCAATAATCATGTCAAAGAATTTTTTAATTTTTCGGACTGATTTCTAAATACTCTGAATTTTGCAATTTATACCTTGGCTTAATTAGATCTCTTCTCGTTTGGGCGGCGTGTGTTCTTTGATTTCTTTGATTTGTCACAATTTTAATATTAAAAATAATCGAGAAAAAATTTTACACAATCAAAAACTGGAATATTTTGTGAAAATAAAAAATTGTAATTAATTGCGATTGAAAATGTTTGAAAATTTATGATTTTTTCTGATAATATAAAAAAAAAAACGTTGAAGAGTGACGTGTGTAAAGCGGGAGAGTTAGCTTAAACTCTTAGATCGCGCGATTGAACAAACAGACTGGCGGACGACGTGATACGCGGACGATCGTTATCGATATCCGAGCCGGGTTGATCGCGCGTATCGTTTGCGCGAGTATATTTTCGTAATGATGAGCATGCGAGGAGTTATGTGCGAATATGCGTTCGAGAGATCAAACGGCGGACGCAAACAAATTGGAATGTTCTTGGCCGCACTCGCGCGCCGCGGACTTTCGTCGCACTCTCGCGACCATCAATCATCAATCAGCGTATATTGGCCTCAGGGTGACGAATTTACTGTGACGCGCATGTCGACCGCGCTCTCACGAGACCGAAATTGATGCTATGCCCGGGCGATGTATTACACACTATGCGAGCTTTCAAATATAAACTATGTTGCAAGTAGAAGAATAAATATCCAAGCGCACAAATTTCAAGAGTAAGTAAACTTGTACATATATACATTTTTTCTCATCACAAATCTTATCTCGCACATTCGATTTGAAGAGACAAACTTCGGTGTACTTTATATAAATCTGTGTGTGTTTGACAAAGTGTGCATATTTTTTTTATTTCTCCTTCGTTAACAAAAAATCAAGTAAAAATTTAAACAGTAATGAGAATTGAAAAAAATTTGCATTATTTTTTCGTTTCCTTTCGATGTGTTGTAAAAAAAAAGAAAAATCTACACACACACACACACACACGCACATCTTGATGACAGTTTTGCTTCATTTATAAGCACGCGAAGGCCGTGTGCCGCACGGCTATCGGACAGCCGCTGTTTCACTCTCTGCCAAGTTTGTACGAAATTAACTATTCTCACAGACGAGGATGGAATAAGACGCAAGGCGATCGACAATTCGGAAAGCGGAGCTCTCGTTCTTCCTCATAGTGTGTGTTTATCATATATCGCAGGACGCATGCGCGATAAATCCATCCTCATCGCGTTTGTAGATGAAACAAACGGGTGCGTTGTGTCCGCGTGCCTTTTTGTCGCGCATCCGTTGTTGTACACGTCAGTTTTTCATCTCGCTTCTAGCGAAAAGCACGCGCGATAAGAAGAAGATCCTCCTAGGCGATCGGAAGCGGAGCGAAAGTCGTGTCTTCGAGGATACTCCGAGTCGAGAAGACAGTCGGTGTCGATAATCTGAAACGGGCGAACTTTTGAAATCTCTCGTTTTCTGGAACCGGAATCAATTCTCTCCGGAAAGATTCCGGAGAAAAAAAAGATCGATCTTAAAATCGATCGAACCTCTGCGTTTATTTATTCACTGTGATCTATTCACATTCAAATTGATTGTTCTTCGGTCGAGGAGAAATTATATCGGAAGTGGTTTTATTCGCGAAGAGAATCTTCGCAGACAAAAAAAAACAACTGCTCTTTCTACTTCTCCGGTTTCCGATATTTATAGACGATCGAAAGTATCTCCCGAGTGTGTCTCCTATTTCCGACGATGGACTCATAAATAATCGACCGATTATCCTGTTCGCAAGAAGAAGATTATCGCGTTTCCATTCGGCAATAAATCTTCCCCCCCCCCAAAAAAATATATAAAATTTCCATCTTTTTTTTTTTTCATATTTTTCTCGAGAAACTCGCGAGGTGTATTCGGATTTCGATAAATTTTGCCAGAAACATCGATATTTATTGTTTCCGTTTTTGGAATCGATCTCTGTAAATAAACGAAAGTATAATCCACGGCTTTGGGAAACGATATAAAGCAACCTTGAAGGATACATCGGAATCTCTTCGGAAGTTAACGCGAAACACATATAATCTCCGAGAAGAATCTCGGACGGCTTCTAAGATTAGATCCGGAGAGATATAAGGATCTTCGCTTTTGATCGCTTCGGAACTTTGTTCATGTCGCAGAGACCGAAGGAGAATATCGACGTGATGAAGGCCAACACTGCGGCGACGAAGATCCAGGCCAACTTCCGCGGGTATCGTGTGCGCAAGCAGCTGAAGGAATCCCAGCGTCACCAGCGTTCGCAGGACCAGCAGCAAGATCGGCAGCAGCAACAGCAGCAACAGGACCCGTCGAAGGAACATCTTCTGAAGAGACAGAACACTCGAGAGGCGCTCGAGGAGAAATCCGCGACGAAGATCCAGGCGGGCATTCGCGGCTTTCTGGTGCGGAAGCGGCAGCAGGCCGTTCAGGCCGCGGCGACTCGAATCCAGGCTGGTTTCCGCGGCTTCAGAACGCGGAAGTTGCTGAAACAGAACGGCCAGTAGTCACATCGTTGATCTGCTGCATCACTTTGCTTCTCCCGGAGCGCGCGCAAGAGGTACTTCTTGTTTGTGATCGCGCTGACGTTTTTTTAAATTTAGAGTACCGGATGTGACTTGTGTCGCTACGTTGAGTGTAGAAGATGCGAGAGAATTCCTCCATCGATCTGCTCTATTTTGTTTTTCTACGATCTAACCTTATGACTGACCGCTTCATAAATTGCAGGCGTATTCTTTTTTTGATTAATTTATCGTCTTTTTTTAGAATTTATTATGTTTTTAGAATGTTTATTTAGAATGTTTTTTTTTGCAGTCTCCACTAATTGTCGCTAATTAGTCTCGTTGCCTCTCTCAAGTCTCTAATGTCTTTTTTTTTGTTTCGACTTTGACTGATCAAAGATCATTCTGAACTCGGTTTGTATATATACAGCACGATATTTGTATAAAACAAAAACAAAAGCGTAATTTTCATCGTCCACAGGCGCCCGTGTATTTGAGAAACAAATAACAACGATGATCAACAATGATCGTCAATAACGATCGTGTTGCGTGCCAATATTAATCGTCGCGCTCATTAACTGCAGAAGAAAAATATAAACAGCTGCAACGCATATGGTGGCAACACACACGTATTGATCACGCGAATGTTCGAGCGCTAAGACTTTTACAAACGGTTTAAATATAACATCAAGCTCTCTCGCTCTAACATCTCGAGCCCTTGACCCTTAAATTCTTGAACATCGAATTCTCTGGCACGCGTCTCGGCCTTCTCTGTATATTTATTCTCATACGATACGTCTTGTTTGTTTTTCAGCATTTTGCGGATTTCGCGTTTGATGGAGGAACTTCTTCGAGATTTGGGATTTGAAGATGCCAAGGAAAACAAAGAATTTTAATTGAGAAAACCACCACACGTTGATTCGTAATACCAAACAAGCGAACGTACTTCTGAAACACTCCGTATGTGTTTGTGGATATTCTCTCTCTCTCTCTCTCACTTTGTTATTAATGACTTCGAAAATCATTTCCAAAAAACAAAAGTAATCGATTGTAATATTTAATATAATTAATAATGAAACGTTGTCGTGTGTTGTGTAGAACGTAGTCGTATAATATTGTCACACACATCTTTCTTTGAATATTCTTTTGGTGTAAACTGTTTTTTTTTTTTTTTTTTTTACGCGCGCGCATAATATGTGATAAAACTACAACAATGCGTGTGTAAGAGCGCGAACAAAAGTTGATGTCGACGATATATTTGTATCATAATTTTTCGTATCTTCTATGCGAATCTTGTTGACAAATATTTGTATAAACGATTAACACACACGTATATAGAGATGTACATATTCAACGTATATTTTTTGTCATATTGTAATGTATTCTCTCTATCTTACTTTCTCTCTGTGACTAATAAATCTTTACATCTTTCATAATAATTTAATAAATAATAAAAATACACATAAAGTTTCTCGCGCAACATGTATATCTTGAGAAGCAATTAATCCCGAAAGAGAGGAAGCGGCAAGTCTTATATATCAATGAACGCACGTGTGAATGCAGCCAATTTTTTTATTTTGTTGTCCGTTACACAGGATGACGTTTGACAGACATTTACGGTCTCCGCAAGAAAATCGAAAGTTATGTACATAAAGTACTCTCGTCTCACAATTTCAAGTCTCTATAAGTGACTAGTCTACACAAAACTTCCTATGTTAGGTAGCAATTGGATACTTTTTTTTATTTAAATAACGTATCGATTTGTGTTGTTGTTTCTTTTTTCTTTGAAAGAAAAAGAAAAAGAAAAACCGCGCGATAAAAGTTCGGAATCGTGAAATCGAATTCCGAAAAGTTATGTAGCGTTTTTTCTTTTTTTTTTGATCGAAGTGATTAATGACGATTTACTTTGTTAAATCAAATAGTGTATATGTATATATATATATATATATATACACATATATATAGTCGACTTACGAAATTGACGTCATTACTCGCTCCGGGAGCAATTCAACTCATATATCAATTGTGAAAACGTTAATTAATAGCTACCATCGTAAAAACAATTACACATGCTCATTTCACGCGTTCTTAATAAACGTTGTATTAATACATTAATATATTAATTTGACATATTAATATATTAATAAATCATCCGTTATTTAACATATGATGTTTATACATTTTCAAGATATTCATAAAAAGTAAAACATATACATCCGGATTAAATATTACAATAAATATTTACGTATATAAAAAACTTAGAAGATGTTTTTTTTTAAATAAATAATTAATTGTGTTTGGAGAGAGTCAGTTTAAATCAAAGTTCTTTTTGTCTCTCTCTCTCTCTCTCTTTTTTTTAGTGAATCTTTGAAGTTTATACTTTTTTGTTTTTGCTGCTGCTTTTTTCACAGTTTTATCACTCAGTTTTTTTTTCATTCTACATATTCTATCCCGTCGTCTCGTATGTAAGCACTCTCGGTTTTCCGCGGAAACTCTACGATGGATTCGAACGAAACGCGGAGTTGTTCGGGAACATCGCGAGGAATCCAGTCGTCGCGCGCGCATTCCGCGAGAGAGACGCGATTCATCACAGCCAAGAATCATGCGCGATGATTCATTCGAGTATCTCATGAGATCAAGCTAGCCGGCAACGCGCGCTCGCTCGCGCGTACATGTCCGCGCGAAAACGCGGAGTTTTTTTTTCATTGAGTGTGTTGCGCATTTGTAAATGACAGAATATTATAACACAGTAATGAAAAAATCACAGAAAATGCCATTAAACAGCGGACAGCGGCAGCGTCTGTCTCTCTCATATAGTAGAGAACGAGAAACCAGCTCCGAAGAATTGGACTTTAAGACTATCACAATCGCAGATATCTAGTTTCGATTAATTACAATGTGAAATGCAATAAATAATTCGGAAAATCGTTAACCTAGAGATCCGCTTTTCTCTTTTTTTTTTCTCTCTCTCTCTCTCTTTCTCTCATTTCACATTCGCTTCTCGCACTCGTTGTCTCTCATCCATCCGTTGTCTTTTTCGTTTATCCGGGGGGCGAGGGGAGGGGGGGGGTGATGATGCGCGATCTGTTTACTTGGCGACTCTCTCGAAGGGAAATCCGTCAAGAGATGGCTCGAGATGGCTTCGTGATTCCAAATGCGGCAGGCAAGGATTCTCAAAGCACGTGAGCGAGTCCAGACTGCAACCGGAGCATCGGTTGCAACTGCATCTCAATCCCTCACCGCACACGCCCCAAGTCTCGCTCGGACCGCCGCAGATTTGACCGGGGCCCTGTATAAAAAAAATCGGCGTCGATAAAACGAGCGGATAAATTAGACAATTATTTGATTAATTTTTAATTTTTCTTGAAACCGCAATAAATTCACATGTTTAACTTAAACATTGCGATTTTTTTCGAACAATCGTGCAGCGTTCGACTCACCCGTCGGCATTCCCGAATACCGCAGAGAGTTGATATTGTATAACCAAACTCGCATTTATCACATTCGTTCCCGCATCCCAGACACAGCGGTCTCACATCCTGTCGTCGAAGTAAGGGATGACACTTGCCGACACTACCAACACACAACGTTGAAATCTCATTAATCATTGTGTGACAAAAGAGTAGTTTTTATTTTATTAAAACGTCTCTGACGTTTTTGTAATGCTCACAAGAAGATTGCGGTCAGAAGAGTGAACGCGTAAAAGACCTGGATGTTGAGCATGATGATGATTCGTCGATCTGTAACAAATATGAGAGACAAAATGCTTTGACTGACTATATTTTCTCAGAGATCTTCTTCTCTCTAATAAAATTACACACGAGAATCTCAGCGCAGCTATAAAAAGTTGCATGAACTCTCCGACATGTGTTTTTATCAATGCCGTTTTGCTTTGAGCGTGTTTGTATAAATTTTGCGCTGTCGCGGAGCCGGCCTTGCGTTCTCAATTGATTAGCTCAATTAACAAATGTCGTCGCGGTTCGCATCAAATTTCGATGTAAATTTAATTTTACGCAGCGAGAAATACTTTATTTACAAAAGATACGAACAACAAGAATAAAAAAATTAAGCGTTTCCTTAAAGATAAGAATTTATTTGTGGTTTTTTCACCGATAATCTCGATCATTTGTTTTTTTCTCGCTCAAATTTTTCTCGCTCAATGTCAATGACTGCGACGACGCGAAACAGATTATTTTTCCATTTACCGAGTTTGTTTTTTTTTTTTTGTTTTTTTTTTTTAGTCACTCAGCTCCTCGGCTTCACAGTCTTGATCATCGCGCGAAGCGTAGTAGCACAGTTCGATCGCTACGGAGATCTGGAAATATATATATCGAACATCTCCCATCGATATCGTTGCACCGTAAACGCGACTTCTCATCGCCGGTAACGCCACGCACGTGCCGCTACGCGGTGTTACGCGGCAGCGGCGAGCACGCACAAAAAAGGTGTGACAATAATAGATCTCTCGGAATGAAAGCGTCAGAATATAAAAGTTTTTTTTTTGATACTTTGTGTAAAAAACATAAAACCTTTGTATCTTACGCAAAAAAATAATCGCACAAAATGTATTTTAACAACAGCACGCGTGTGTATATTTGAAAGAAATATAATTACGTTCAAGTGTGCGAAATCAATGAGTTGTTCCATCCACCGAAAGAACGTATACGCATCGGACGAGAAGATAAATAATTTAATTACGAAGGTTTAGATATAGTTTAATTCAGAGATTTTGTTCTCGGAGCACAAAAACACACGAGATTCTTCTAACGCGAAATCACTTCAGCGTTTAACTTCGGGACACTTGCGTAACATAGCGCTCACGATTCGATTATATAGCGGGATAAAGGAATCAACATAAATGTTTTATCATTCAAGTTTTTCGGTTCCGGAAAAAAAATCAAATGTTTTTCTAATTAATTTATCTCTTCTAATTTGTGCGCGTATATATATATAATATTTTCCACTTTGCGGAAAGAAGAGAGAAAAGTCGTATCGTTCTCCGCTGATTAATCGAAATCGGTTAATTGGCGGTGATGATGACGAGTTTGTATAGAGATTTTGATGATGCTGACGGTGTCCGGCGCGTTGATGATTTGGAAGCGCCGCGGAAAAGCGTCCCGCGTCGGCGACTCGTCTCGCGAATTAAACGGACAAAACTGATGTCCTACATCACGCCATGAGGATCCCCACTCTGTGTGTGAGAAGAAACGCCAGCTTAAGCCGTCCAACCTCAGCGGGGACAAAGACTGTGTACCGGCGCAAACCGGCGTTTTATCGATATATTATTACATAAAGGGCACACCGAACCCGAGATGCGGTGTTTAAAAACTTCTTCTTCCTCTTCTATCTTAGGAAACAACAATTATACATGTACACGTCTGCTCTCCGTCTCTCCTTTCCGTTTCCCGGAATATCGCGGAGAGATATTGTGATGTTTAGAATCATTTGAAAAATGAGGGAAACCAAAGTTCAAGATTTGCGCGGAAAAATAGCGGAACGCGCCGCTAGCATGATATTCGACACGGAGGAAAGTTCTACGGAGACTGGCGCGCTAAAGAGGAAAATTTCCTCTGTGTTTTCGTACGACTGAAAAGGAGATAAGAAACTTTTTTTTTTTTTCTAATTTTAAGATAAATTTGTTGATGGGTCGTGGTATAAATAGCGACAAAATATGTACGTGGCTGATTTCTGTTTTTTTTTTTTTTTTTTTCGTATTGTTTTTGTAAACAGTTTGTTTATCGCGCTGATTTGTCTCGTTTTTCATATTATTTTTTGTGGAAGAATTGCAACTCGAGCTTTTCGATAATGTTGCGAACTCGTAAATAAAATCGTATATTCACACTGATCGCGGCTTCTAATTGTTACACTCGCTAGAATTCATTATCGCGAATACGGCGATTAAATAATGCGGCGCTAAGCAAAAGTGACGTTTTTTTCTTTTTCTTGTAAGTTTGCCGAGACACGTTGTATTGTTTCTCGAAATACAAATAACAATCGGCTTCTTGTTGCTTTTCTGTCTGATTGTGCTAATAATAAACACAAACATTTTTCGCGCGCAGCCGTATGATCCACTTTCGTTGTCGAACAAGGCCTTCTTTCTTCCCTCGCTCAAGTCTTAAACACATCCGTTCATAAACAAGGAAACCGTGGAAAGGCTGACTCAGTATTGATACTCCGCGAATCTCGCGGCCTCCTTTTCATTTTCCTTCGTATGCGCGCGCGCGTGTAGTAATGGACCAATGAAAAAAATTTATCTCCCATCGCTGCGAGAGCTATCTTGCCACTCTCTCTCTCTCTCTCTCTCTCTCTCTCTCTCTCTCTCTCTCTCTCTCTCTCTCTCTCTCTCTCTCTCTCTCTCTCTCTCTCTCTCTCTGTTTTCCTTTGCTCTATTCGAATCCGCCGGTTCTATTATTTCCAGCCATTGTTATGTTCTTATCTACACGCATGTCGGTTTTCTCTTTTCCTTTCGAGAGGAGACTTGCTTCGGAACACAATAATCTCAAGTGCCACATAAATGCACCGCCGTGAGACTTTGGTCTCGAAAAATCACGACAATTGATGATGTAACGACTTGATTCGAACCTTCTAATCACAATCTAATCCTATAATTATCTTATTTTTTCTCTCACACACACAGATGCAAACGTACGATCGCTGTATCTTGAATAATCACGCGTGTTGTATAATTATGTTCCTCACGCGCTTTACGAATTGTGTCAGTTTAGTTGTTCTAATCGCTCTCGCACTGGCGCCATCGAGTCCGGCGGGTCTCGTAATTGGCATATTGTTTGTTGCAAAAATTTGCAAAACAATAAGATGATAAAATGCAGATGTAAGACTGGGCAAAACTAAGGCCGCAGTTGTTGCACTTGTTGTGCTTACAAACGCCAAGTTCTGTCAAGTGACAGAAAGTAACAAAAATAATATAAAATTGATAAACACGTAATAAACAAACTGTTGTAATAACCATCGTAAAGTAATAATGTAATAATAAAAATAATGTGTGTTGCAACTACAAAAAAACACATCTCCCAGTGGCGCCATTCCTTTTCACTTTATAACTGCAGCCTGGCAGAGCGAAAATTTGATTGTGCAAATTTCGATTGCGCTCATTTTAACAGCCGATGACCTTGATTTTTTTTTTTTTTACGAAAAAAGGCGGACGTGAGACGTATAGAAATTGTTTTTTTTTTTTTTCGCGACAAGATGATATTACTTGCGGAGATGCTACATTTTCTCACCGCGCGAGTCGTTGCGTCGAACCGCGCAAATCCTTTCCGAACTCGCCGCGAGACGGCATAAAATTAGCCATCCAGAAGACGGCGACCGGCCGATTCTCTCTTTCTCTCTCTCTGTCTTTTACTTTCCCACTCCCGATGAGTAAAAACACATGTATCGCGCGAGAATGGGGTCAATAACACGCGAAACACGCGTCTTTTGTAATGGAAAGACTTGATTTTGAAACTTTAGTTGCAGTTGAGATATGATTTACAGTGCGCGCAATAAAGAGAAAGAAGACTTGATANAAAAAAATACTTGTAAAAAAAAAAGAAAAGAAAACAAGTCGTGATAGATATTTTTATAGTTGCCAGAAAACGCTGAAAACAATTCCGTCACATTTTGTGTGCGCGAATCTTCGCAATCTTCGTGTTAAATAAATAAGAATCAAAACACACACGTATACGTGTGCATTACGTCCTACGGATCTTCGACGGGAGATTTTGTTGGGAATCCCGGCGCAATACACAATATAGGTGGCAAATGTTAAAATGCAGGTTTATTTTCGTGATATCGCGTACCGAAATTAGTCTCATGTGAAAATCTCGCGTAATCGTACCACGCGATCATCGCGTTTTACCAGGTATTGACCAGAATCATCGACTATAATCGTACCTCCCTCCTACGACTGTGTGAGAAGAAGTATGATGAGTCGTGCGCGCGAAGAAACAACAAATTCTCGGCGCGCGAAATTATATTTTTGCACAAATAACCAACCGTATTTCGAAATAAATTTGCAATTGCACTTTTGCCTTTTTTTTTTTTTTTTTTTTTTAGATCAAAACGAACCTTTCTTGCGACTGTTTTCTGATAACGGAAAAAAATTGACTGACGCTTAAAACATCTAGTTTTGCGCAAATTGTGACGGCGACTTTAAAAGCCAGTGAAATATGACGAGTTTTCTAGATCGAGTTTTAGGGAAATTCGATTGTCTTCGTAAATTCGACCTGGCTAAATAAAACGTAAAGTACACGAATAATAAGAAAACGACGACGAGATTCTGTGAATCAGGTGCATTTATATATATATCTTCAGAAACAGAACAGAAACTGTCGAATCACGATTCCGATAGTTGGCAATAGTAAAAGCCGAAAACATGAATGGTCTCATAGAGCTACGTGTTTTCTCCGCATCATGTAATCATCCCACACGCGTATCATACACACCGACATACGAAACTTCGCGACGTTTGGGACGTCGCGGAAGATGCATCTATATAGCGAGAGGAAGCGCAACCAACGTCGCGCCCCAACTTTGGCTAAGAATAACCGAAGAGATTTGCGTTGCTCGACGCGATGCCAAAAATTCTCTCTCCGTCTCGATCTCCCTCGTTCTCTTCTTCATCCCGTTGTCTTTATTCTCCCCTACATTCTTGAATTTCTTTTTATTCTTTCCTCTTTTTTTGTTCTATTTCACGTTGTTTGTGTCGAGTGTCTCTTCTCTCTTCGGGTGCTTTCTCGTTCTATCCCTCCCCCCTCGTTTCTTCTTTTTCCATCTTTCTTGCTCTTCTCTCTCTATGTGACATGTAACATACGTTTGCTGCACGCACACACGTCGCACACCCTGTCTCTCGTAGCTTCGCTGGTACAAAGACCGACCCGAACGGTCAGTATCGCACCAGTTAGCATCCGTTTTAGACGTGTGCAGTCAAACAAACGGCAAAGCGACCAAAGTTCGTTCCGTAGTGATTGTCGACATAAAGTCGAGAGGTCCCGAAGAGACGCATCCTCTCTAAAGTGAATTCCAATACATAACATCCGATTTCAATATCTGATTCTAATATCGAAAGAGCTGCAAGATAGAAAGAGAGAAAGAGAGAAAGAGAGAACGAAAGAGAGGGTTTTTTCTTCCAGTAAACTCCACCTTCTTTAATTGTTTTTGTGTAAGGAGTAAGCACGATCTTTTCGTCATTGTTTAAGAGTGAGTAATCTTTTGTATTATTGGCTCATTAACTAAAACTTGACAGATATTTTTATTATATATATGTATGTATATAGCAACACAATTAATTTCTATTTTTTAATATAATTCGAATATCTTTGACATCGCGAATTGCAAGTGTTATATTACGAAATATCACATCACCCGACTACATTCGAACTTGCGATTGCACATTTAGAAACTTCCATCGCATCATGTGTTTTGAGCTAAAAGCGGTATCTGATATTCTGCGTCTTATTTACCTCATACATAGAGATCGTTTTAAACGTTATTCATAAACAACGTCGCGCGTTTGGCGCTAAATATGCTGTAATCCGCGCACGTAATCAAAGATCGATTTTTATATATATATCTCTATTTACGTATATTTATTTTTCACACATGAAGTGAAACGCAAAAACTAAATTTTAAAAAGTTTTTTTCCTTAACCATATTGTCCCGGTTATTTTTTTCAATTACAAATTTGTAGCACAAAGTAAAAAGTGTCACGTATATAAAATTTAAGATTAAAAAAAAATCAAGATTTTAAAAAATCACAAAAAAAAACACAAAAATGTGATCAAGTCCATCTTATAAAATTAAAAAACCTACAAGAGTGCTTTTAGTTTTTTTTTTTATTACAAAAAATTTGAACGTAATTTGCAATTCACATGACTTTTATCCGACAAATATAGCCACGTGTATATCGACTATCCGGGACCGATGTTTTCATTGCGCCCCACTTTTGTTTCCGAAGTTTCACAAATTAAATTATTTTATAAGCAAACATGTTTACCGTGTTGTGATATCATGTGTAAAATCGCCTCGTTTTTCGACCGCATCGAAACGCACTGTTGTTAATCGCAAAACAGAATTCTCGAAATTTGCGCCAAACATGTTTCCGCACAGTTTTCATTGGCCAACGTATATATTGTATTTATATGTATATATATATATATATATATATATATACGTTACCATCAAATGACGTTAGTTTTCCTGACGTGTGAGAAGATATCATGACGTGTGTTTTTTCGTCCAAACAACTTTAATTTAAGACATTTCTAAAATCGATTTGTTTTCACTAGACGCAAGAAGAAAAAGAAGAAGCGCAGATGCAGAAGAGACTTAGAAACAGATCTTGAATATCTCTCTTGCCAAAAATCTTCGCGCGAGATGATGACGAAAAGAAAAATTTTGTCGGAATAAAAGTTGCTAGATGAACACAGCGGGAGAAATTTGCCGAATCTATTGAATCTTTTTATCAACAAAACATTTTGTTATAAAAAAAACAATTCGGTAGGCCCGGCAAGTTCTTTCCGCTGTCTGTGTAAAACAGCAAAAACTCTTTTTTTCCGCGAACGATCACTGAGTGTCACGCTGATCAATTTAATCTCAGTGTAATTTGTTTTCTGTAGTCTCACAACTCGTTAAACAATTAGCGAAATTTATCAGCTCGCGATTGCGCCAATTAACGTTTGCCAATTGGAACTAACGTTGGACAAATTTGTCGGCGATTATGTTAGATTCGATATAGTTTGTTTATTTTGCTCTAGTTACCTGTGTAATTGACAAATTTCTATTAAAAAAAAAAAATAAATCCGTAACACGGTCTGATTTCAGAGGTTCAATCATAATGGGCATGATAGCGCGCGTGAGACGCCGAGTCCGCGCGAACTCGCTAACGGTCGACAAGGAGAAGACGGCGCAAAGTGTCTGCCTTCTGAGCGCGATACTTCTTTTGCCTTATTGTCCACGTGGTCCATTGCCGCTTTTGCCATCGCCCGCGCCAGTCTTGTATTCGGCGTTGGTGCTTCCGGTGGTACTAAGCGCGAATTACAGGTATCCCGTACCGACTCTCAAGACTCTCGGCGAAGCGGTCAAAAGTACGTACATTTTTCTCTAATTATACTACCATCAAAGAAATCTGAGAAATAATGCTTTAAATTCAAATAGTTTTTTTTTTTTTACAAATTCTAACGATTCGATGTTGTATTTTGTTTATGCGACCGTTCTAGAGATAAACGTTTCCCCCGTTTTTCTCGATTCAGAATGTTGATTTTTTATCGATAGAAGAATTACAGATCGAAGTTCAAAACAGATAACGCGAACGAACACACAATTAGTAGAAAATCCAAAGAAAAATTTTCCAAGAAAAAACGCAAAGATATCGCGTTCGAACAGACTTCACGTTGACACAAGGTCAATTACTTACGTGTAGGGAAAAGTCTCAATATTTAATTAATTAAATAAATAATAATTAATTAAATTAATTAATATTAATTAAGTTTACTATATATTCATAAATATTTATTTTATTTTTAAATAAACCAAATTTCAAATAAAGAAGACCCTACACTGTGTCGCGCTATATGTACCGTTTTCAGATTAATTTAATTAATTAATGTGAAAAACGATAAAATTAAATAACAAGCTCAGTATTAAATCACAGTAATAAATCTGAAGTTGTTATATGTGTCCAACTTGACGTTATTCTTGAAATTGGCAAATTGCTGAAGGGGACCAAGTAAAAATTTTACCGTGATATATTGAATTCACATGTTGCGCCTTAATTTGTTGACAGATATTTGATATTTTATAAAAAAAAACCAACTACTAATTAAAACGTGCTGAAATTCAAGATCCTTGTAATTATTTTAATTATTGTTCGAACTCTCTTCCGTGGAAAGTTCAACCGGAAGTGGCAACGCCATTAGTTTAAAATACCACGCTCAGCAGTGCGGAGTTGCACGACGCGATTATTATTTTTCTAATCCCGTGTGAAGTAGCGAGAAAAGAATTACATATTCTCGCAGATCTCGCGGTTCTATTGTTCATACTCACTCTCTTGATCTCTTGAGATCCTCTTCTTGACTGACGTACGGTGTTTCGTCTCTCTAATTCGCGATGATCCTTTTCGCGTTGACGTCGAGTCGCTCAATGCACGGCAGAAGACCGGACGGGTTAGGTTTTATAGGTAGCAGAAGCCCTCCTGACTGATGTTCCCCGAACACGAGGGGGGTGGCATTCTCCGGTTGCCATGTGAAATCTTACGAATCCCACGTAGAGACACCGTTGCCCTTCTACCACCTCCTCCGGCACCTGTCCTTGTCTCGTCCTGCAGCCATGTCGTCGACTGGTGACTCGTCCTGACTGACGTCCATTAATATGCAAATTTCTTCTCTCGCCGGACTCTCTCTCCCGGAGCTTGTTACTAAAAATGACGTCTATCATTCATCGAAGCCACGTCGATTACGTTATACTCAATTAACGGTTGCCCGGAGGAGTGAGCTGTTCCTATCTCCGTCTCTCGCGCTTACGCTTATCAGCTGTGACCAAGAAGCACGCGATTATTAACGTAAAGCACGCCCCGTCAGATTATTCAGCAACCTGTCATTCCGCGATAAAACCCTCAATGCAGGGTCGGTCGCTCGTCGTTCTTTAGTCGGGTCCACCTTCGGAAAATCACTCACAACGAGTATCGCTCGCTCTCCTCTCCGCTTTGCTCTCTTTCGTTTTCGCCGTGAGTGAACGATGACGATGTCAGAAAGAAGAACAAGGAAGAGAGAAAATGTTCGCAACGAACGCACATCAATGTGTGTTCTTGTGAAGTAATAATAATAACGTCGAGAGAGATGTCGCGTGTCTGCGCGTTTCTTTTTGCTCGAGCGTCAACGGTGATAATCTTCTCTGATAATTACGAGGACGTCGCGGTGGTTATATACGTGTTTTTGTTAGAAGAAGCCGATGAAGAAGAGTTGCAGGAGGTAACTTTGTGCTTTTTCCCTTCGAGTCAAGCGCCTTTATACTTCGAATATGATTATAATTGGTTAAATGATAAATGAATGTTTAACATGAATTGTACACAATCTTCGTTCTTTAGATATATAATTATCTGCGAATGTATAAATATAGCTCGTAACATTTTTTTACAAAGTCGAACGAGGCCAATGTAAAAATTATAATTGTTCTTCGGTTATTTACTTCGATTAATCGTCGCAATACATCGCGCGCGCGCGCGCGTCAATTTCTCTCGGGATTGTAATTCGATATAAAATAACAATTTTGTATTAATTTGTTATAAAAATTAACTTGATGCTATTGTAATATTTTCTAGAAAATTTATAATTTACATTTAAGAAATTTCTTTCACTTACGTTACAATTACGTGACTTTGAAGATATAAATTATTTTTTTTTGCACACTTTCATACCTTCTCGAAATTCGATACGCAATTTCGAATCATAATTACAATCTTTTTTTAATTTTAGCAAATAAAATGAGAAATTTCTGACTCAATATTGAGTTGTATCTCACGTTGTAAACTTTGATTAGAAATATTCTAAGAGAGCGCGAAAAAAAGTAAATGAAAAAAAAAAAAAAAAGACCTTTTAATTTACATACAATGTTATTGTTACAAAGATGGAGCTAAGAAAGCCTGGCATCCTTTGAACCGCTTTCTGAGACGGGTGTACTCGCCGGTGGACCGCGCGGAAAATCTCTTTCTCAAGATGCGCAATTTCTCCATCATGGCGAATCAAGTGGTATTTCTCATACTGGCCGACAAGGTTCTTCTGCCGCAGCAAAAGCTAACTTGCTTGTACACGCTTATGTTTTACAACGTGATAGCCTATTGCGTGAGTTACATCAAAGAGCTGATTCAAAAAGAAGACTGGTCGCCTTACGTCACTCTGACCGAGCGATCCAAGATCAAGCATCTCGCGATGTCGGCGACCAAAATCGTGCTCGAGTGGACCAAGGCGGTGACTTTCGTCGTCACGTTGACCTTCATGCTTCTTGTATTCGGATTGGAGCAAGGCCTCGATCACTACAAGTGAGTAATAATATATCGGTAATTTTTTTTCGAATCCTCTTGATCTCTCTACAGAATAAAAAAAATATCTGTACATTTTTTTCTTCTTTATTATTTTGTTTATTATAATTCTATTTTCTCTCTCGCAGGCCTTCTTTGATATACACGATAGTCACGTGGACCTACTACTCGGCAACGGAAAAGGTCTTCGTGGAGATGTTCCCGACGATATTAGGCTTCTTTCAGTTCGAAGCGTTGGAGAACATCGAGAATCTTTACGCGCCGGTGATACTTCGCTGCTTCACAATCGCTATGTCGGCGATGTTCAGCATTCTGCTGTTACCCACGGCTTCCTGGAGGTTTCTCATTGTCGCCACATATCTGAACGTGTATCTGCGATGGAAAGAAATGATGCAGAATTCGGGAGCGATGTTGCGACGGGAGCGCGAAGTGCTGAATCGTTACCGAAAGGCAACCATTGAAGAAATCGAGAAGTTCGACGACGTATGCGCGGTGTGTTTGTGCGGCATGAAGAAGGCCAGAGTGACACCCTGTCATCATCTCTTCCACGCGGATTGCCTGCGGCAATGTCTCAAGTCCAGCGACAGTTGTCCCATGTGCAAGCGCGAGCTCAAATTCGACTAAACGCGCGCGAGCACGCGCGCGACGCGATAAAATATATAAATATGATTTTTTGAGAAAATATGTGTACGCACACATGCAATTCTTAAAATCATATTCAGAGAAACTTATATTCGCGATATTATTCTCGAACCACGCTCGGACCTAAAGAAAGAAAAAAAAAATGATCTTGAATGCTCGAGACGACGTCTGTCCAAGAGATTTAAGACGTTTTCTTGTACGTTTGAATGTTGGAGATTTACGACGTCGTTCGTCTCCAAGATTTATGACGTCTCCTCGCGCGTGTCTCTAGAAGATCTAAAAAAAATTTTACCATTTCTCTCTCTTTTTTTTTTTTTAGACACTTTTCTATATTGTTCGGAACCCAGTAAGGAGAAGGAAGAAAAGAGAAATTTGCGCGACATTATTATGTAAAAATGGCAATAATATTTGTGTGGAATGTGTGCATGTTCCTTTTTAGATATACATTACTGTGATATATATAGATCAGCCCAGCATCGTGTTAGTTTAAGAGCACATCAAACACTTCTTTATCACATCGGTCAATTATTGGCTGAACTGAACGTAATTTATATAATTTATATGTTACATTCATGTAACCGGGTCGAAGTAAAAAAATACGCTTACTTTGTATTACAAACTTTTCGTTAGCACGTAACGTTGAACAAAAAAATAACTGTGTTGTTTATACATAATTTACAAAATGACTCTTTCTGTTTTTTTCGCGTGTATTATTATTCTATCTCACGTCTGTTCTTAGAAATTTTGAACAGGTCGTAATTTCTATCTTTTTATTTTGTTATGTCACCGACATACGTAGTACGTCTATGGTTACGTTGTATTCAGTATTAATAAAAATTATGTATATCTATGAATTTGAATGTAAAAATGTCATATCTGTCTATATACATATATATATGTATATATGTATATATAGTTTTCCAAAACAAAGATAGGAAAGATTTTACAGGATAATTCTTTCTTTTCCTTATATTAAAACGTTTACATAATTACTTTATCGCTTTCTATGTGTCTATTCTATTAAATTTACAAACATTGTTAATTGTACAGATTCACACTTTTGTGAAAAATGTGAAAATACATGCTTTATTTGTACAAATTTTTCATCGGAATCAAATATTCTTAATATTCTTCTCCTTCGTACCTCCGAGTTGTATTTATATATTCTCCATCGGGACTGTCATAATTTTCTATCGGCGGCGTTCTGAGCGGACCTTTGGCAATATGTGGTAAAAGTCCCGAGTCCACCTAAAATCAAATTTTATAAAAATTTAAATTATATTATAAATCACACAGTGTCAAAAATGAAGAACACAATTATTTTTATTTTGTCAATGAGAAATGATTAATACAAGTGATCAATTACTTGTATGGCTTCCTGATATAAATCTTCAGATACTGCTCTAAGTTCGTCAAGTGCCTTTTGTTGAGAATACATCATGGAATCTATCGCTCGAATATCACCTAAACGCTGCTGAGTTTTATACTTGGTCCACTCCTTAAGCAATAAAACTCTAGATTCCTCTTCTTCTTTTGACAACGGTGAAACCTTTCGCAATCTTTGCCTAAAATAAGTTATTTATTTCAACTAATAATGGTAAAAACGATATATACAATTTCGACATATAAATTAATAATTTGTTTTAAAAATTATAAATAAATATTCGAATAATATATAAAATATATATTACTCCTTTTCTTCAATTAACTTAGATGGGACTTCCATCTCATCAACTGATTTTAACTGTTTACTTTGTTTTTGCAATCTACGGATTTGCTTCTCCAGTTTCTTTTTTCTTTTTTCTTCTCGTGCTCTGATAATTGCAGGATCTATTTTCTTTTTTCTCTTCAATGGTTCTGCTCTGTGTGCGAGACATTGAAAAATTTAATAAATATATACATAACTGTAAACCAAGACACACATGGTAATACAATTTTGTTTCTAACAACATACAAAAGAGCACTGCTGATTCTGAAGTACAGGGGACTGGTGCATGTCGATATATTTCGCACGCCAGTTATATTACGTAAAGATAATCTAAAAAAAAAATATGATATTAAACAAATTAAGTCAATATATTGTGATTATAATACGAATTAAACTTAAGTACGTCAAAAATAACAACTTAGGTTATGGCAAACGATATAAAACTGATCGTTTTCTCCAATTACTTGAAACAACATATAAATAGCTCTTACGTGAATAAAATTATAAAAATGTAACACTTACCGTGAAAACACAGGTAATAAATTAGAAACACTCATCTTCGTCGGATAGAACTTCTAGCTCTTTGCACTCACGCCCGTTTCTATCGTCAGCGATTACACTTAATCCGACCGATTGTACCAATGGAATTGATCAATCACAAGCGAGCGTTGTACAAAACGCTTGAACGTTTTCACCAATGCCGCGTCCTATTTGCGAGAGCCAATAGGTCCGTATCTCACGATCCAAATTGACCACACGCTTGTGTCAGCCAATCCGATCGTTCGTTCTGTCGTTTATACACGTGCGTGTCACGTGTTGCCTAGCAACGGTTTGACACTACTTTGACGTGCAATTTATCGAAAACATGTGCACACGTTGACACGGCTCGAAATAATTTAAATAATTTCACAATGACGGACGAAGTGCGACCTGAAGTAATAAAAAAAACGCAGGATTTGTTGGGAAAATATTTTAAAAAACCACCGTTGACCGAAAAATTGCTTCGAAAACCCCCATTCCGTTTTCTGCACGATATAATAACGGCTGTAACGTATCGATTATATATTTAATATTTTTTTCGTTTTTTTACTAATAAAACAATTTATAAACAATACATGTACGTGTAAATAATTTTAGGTTATTAAAGAGACAGGTTTCTTGGAAGGATTGTTCACGGAGGAGGAATTGATTTCGGATAATATAAAAAATAAAGAAGCAAAGCTTGCCTTCTTGACGAAACTGATCGATGTTATGAGTAATAATATTTAATTTTAAGTTACGTCTATCAGACGTACACATGTAAATTATAAAAATGTAAATACAATTATGTGTTTCAGAATTAATTTCAAGCGCTAATTTAACTGTTCGGGCAAGTAAAATTATCTCTGGTCAAGAACCGACTAAGACAAATGAATTGCTACAAGCTATTGGAAAAGCTCTCGATAAGAAAGTAAGTACATTTTGTTGTTTAAGTAAATTTAATAAACTAAATTAATACTAATAAATTTGTGTCATTTATCTCAGGTCAGCAGTGCGGAAGCAATTGAGCATTATAAGAAGAGCTTGGAAAAGAAAACGAAAGTAGGATCAAAATCAAAATCCACGAAGAAAGAGGAAGTTGCGAAGACAGCGACACATCAGGTCTCACAAGCAAGAAAGTCATCGGAAAGAGACAAGATCTCAGCAGAGAGAAAGAAGAGATCATCTAGCACGGGGAAAGCAGCTTCGAACGAAAAAAAACGTAATGACAAAACTGACGAACACGCAAAAAAAAAAGAAATTAACAAAAAGGAAGAAACTTCGAAGAATGTTGAAACAATAGATATCCCACCAGCTGAGGTAAAGAGTTTTGGTCTTTTTTTTATTTTTTTAGTCACCACTTACTAAAAAAAAATGATAAACAACAAAAAACAAACCAAACTGTGTTAATGTATTTTTAGCCAGTTGAGGATAAGATTTCGACCTCAGGGCAAAGAAAAAAATCGTCTTCGTCTGCTAAATCAGAACAAAATGCGATTGCAAGCGAATCAACAAAGGAGAAACACAGAAACTCTTCCAGTAAAGCGAGACACTCAGCGCAATCGAGTGGCTCGAAGGAGAAATTAGCAAACTTACGTTCGGAAACTGCGTCTTTTAACGACGAGGAGAAAAATAAATCAGCAACAGATAATAAAGAAACTAAGGAAAGCGGAATATCGGAAGAAGAGCAAGCGCGGGAAAATAATGTTGAGAAAAGCGATCAGCCGGTGTCAGAATCTCAAGCCGAAACTAGCGAAACAACGTAATGAACGTTCAGCTAAAAATCAACTTTCCGCTAATATTTACTTATGATACGGAAATAATTTATATTGTTGTATTTTATATTTCAGCATTTTGCAATCAAACGCAAGACCTAAAACTTCTCTGAGACCGCCAAGCGCTCGACCTATCAGTGCCAGACCCGCAGCTCCTAGAATGAGAGCTAAGATCGACATGATTGTCAATGAGGAGATACAGTAAGAAATGGCGACTCGCTTGAAACGATTATATGGCATTTTCGATATAACTGTGATGTGTAATTTTAGAACTCCGGTGGGAAATATCAGCGTTATTGTGGAAAATCCTGATTTAAAGGATGACGACGATGCTGAAGATATGGTGGTGATGGAAGCTAAAGGGAATAGTGGTGATTTTTTGGAGAACGGAGATTACAAGATAGACAATCAGCTGATGCAAGAACACGGACACCTTGTGGCGCAAATCTTGGAAACTCAAAGGGAATTGGTTAACACCGATAATGTCGATGTTCTGCCGAAAAAAGTAGATATTGTAAGAATTAACACATATATTGCACTTATCGTTTCTTTCACGTATACACAAACCAGCGAGGATATTGCTGCAATGTTGAGCAAGTGCATAATTGATCAATTTAATCAATGCGCTCTAATATGTATAGGCATGGGAATCAGGTTCGAAACGGGATCGAGAAGCAGCGGCTAGGGAAATTGACAAGCTACGCGGAACAATACAGTCGTTAACGCGTACAACTAATCCTTTAGGAAAATTGTTGGATTATGTACAGGTGTTAAATTATTTTATATATAAATGCTTGAAACAATTAAAATATTATATAATCAACAGTTTTTAACGAAATATTTGCATTATTAGGAAGATGTAGAAATGATGCAAAAAGAAATATTGGACTGGAGAAGTCAGTATCGTCAGTTGACTGAAGAACTGGAAGTGGAAGAAAGGTATTTTATACGTGCGCTTATAATAAAACTTTGCAATAAACAAATTTTATCAATACTTCACACAATCTAGTAATTAATTTATATATTAATATCTTTTCGCGCAGAGAAACACAAGAAATGATAGAGCCTATGAAAGAGACACTAAAAGAGATTGACAGCAATATAAAGATTGAGTTGGATAAGATAGGTCAAGTAAAAGCGCAAATAACGAAAAATGATCAAAAGCTACGGCGTTTGCTCAGTGGTAATATGTAACATATCGCTGTATCGTGTTAGCGGATTGTATAGTTTTCTAGTCTTGAAAATGAGTTAAAAATAGAGCTAGAACTATAGAATTGTAAATTAATTCTTTTTTTTACAAATGTACATATCATATATATGTATATAGCGTGAAGTTTCATATATAAATATAAAAATTTATATTATGTAGTAAATAAAATACTTTTATTTATCTGTATATATAATTACATACATCTCTCTTTCTATCCCTCACTCTTCAATGTTTTTTATATATAAGTATATATAAGATATTGAAATGTGTCAAATTGTTTTTTCTTATAAGTACTGAGTATACCAAAAAAATTATTAATTGTACTAATTCCAACAGAAAGATATTTAATTACCTTATTAAAAAAAAAAATTGGTTTTTCTAGATAAACGTATATTGCAAAAATTATTTAGTTTTAAATCACGTTAAAGAAATTTCATTTTTAATAGTAAGTATTATTTATTTACTTACAGATTTAATCTGTTTTGTTATATTTCATTAAATTTCATATTTATTCTGCAACTCGACGATCTCTTCCGTGGATATCTTTTCAGTCGTTTTGCAATATGTCAAAATAAGTTTCAAATCTAGAAATAATTAAAAAGACTTGTGTCACACAAAACTTATATGTAACCATCAAAAATAAATATACACCAATATACAAACCTTGCTTTTCTGCATTGCTAAGAAACATAATTAATGCGCGAAATCTCTTAATATTGCTGAGATTTTTCAAATACGAAAATACTGATTGTTGGCGTTCCATGAACTCTTTTAGCGTTTTTAAGATACTGCTAAAAATATCACTTTCCATTGAATCTTGAAATATGTTTGGTAAACTATCAGGTGATATTTGCTAAAAAAAAAAATTATTTGTTAAACTAAAATTATTTGTTTAAACTCTCGAATAAGTTTTGTTTACGATTAATTTTTTCTTTGAGTATATACTTCACAATTTATAAATGTAATAAAATTGTTACCTACTTTCAAGTATTTATATCGAACGTCTGATGTAGTACATTTTTTCCAATTTACTAAAAATTGTACTGCGGTTTTCGGAACGGGAGGAATTTCTATATCATTTTCAGCATAATTTTCTTCTAGTGTATTTTGTGAAATTGTCTCCTTTTTATTGTTTGCACTATTGTCAGAACGTGTATTTGTCAATTCTGCCTTTACAGTTGTGTAATTGAGTTTTTCATCTTTTTCTTTAAAAGGTTTACTCAGGTCAGCTTCTTGTACGAGTATCCTCTTTAATGGTTCCTAAATAAAAATAAATTTATGTTAGAAAAAAACAATATCACAAAACATATTAATGTGAATTTACCTTGGAACGTAAGTGAGGAAGTTTCTGAATAGCTTCTACAATTTCAACGTTATCTTTTTCCGGCAGCCAATCTGGAATGCGTTTATCTTTTTTTGATTCTGTTGTACTTGTAATTGTTTTGCTCGTAGTTTCACTTATAATTGGTACACTTGGTGGTTTTGCAGCTTCTACATTTATACTATTTTTTCTATTTTTATCTTCCTTCGTGTCGCTTACTTTTCTATTTAATTTTACATCACCCAACATTTTTTCGGCGATTCTTTTCTCCAGTGAAATATTTTTATCAATATCTTCTCTAATTATGGTTGGCTAAAACAAATAAAATTGTGAGTATATATATATATATATGTATGCACACACAAACTGATTTAATAAATTAATAAAAAATGCTTACTTGTAAATGTTCAAGATGCTTATCAATTTGTCTGAGCATGACCTTTGCTTCTTTATCAGACGGTTGCAATATCAACAGTTTTTGTACATCTTCTTTTGCTTCCTTATATTGCTTCAATTCCATCCTAGCTACTGCTCGTCTATGATAAGCTTTCACATAATTATCGTCTAATTGTATTGCAGATGAGCAATCTGCTTCTGCACTATATAAACTATAAAATATAACACATAATTACATAAATTTTAAAACCTTTGTAGAGTTTGGTATATTCTTAAACATGTGAAACACACACATACTTATTTAGCTTTAAATGACAAAGAGCACGATTGGCATAGAAAACAGCATCATAAGGAAAAATTTTTATTGCCTCATTATACGAAGCAAGCGCTTTAGACCAATTTTTCTGTTGAACAAAAATGTTTCCTTCTTCTTTGTGTGTTGTTGCTCTGCTATGATTTTTTTCCAATTCTTCTTTGGATAACATAGGTTCTTCAGCAGAATCGTCAGATTCTTCATTCTTATCTACTTCCTCGCAAGCTTTTTCCTTTGACACAATATAAAATATTAAGTTGACACGAGAATTGTGGAAGATTGGCAAACCAAAATATCTAGAATTTGTGTAATTGAAATATTATAATACAAATGCTACTCACAACATCAAATTTATCCCATGCTGAATAATCAAATGATCTTATTTTCTTAGAATTATCAGTTGTTTTCTTTGTTGTTGTTTTGTTATCATTTACTGTAGATGTTTTTCGAATTTTACTTCTAACAGGAGGTAAACTATGCTGTAACATATATTTGTACTTACAAAATTAAAATGTCATGAACAATAAATCTATAATTTTAGAGAATCTAACATTTTTATAAACACGTTGCCATGTAATTTATTGTAATAATTGCTTTTGCATCTACAAATGTTAAATGTTTCTTTCAAATACCTGCTCATCATGTTCGTTTATCAATTCTCGCTCTTTCCGTTTCATTTCTTCTTCCCAATTTTTCAAATCCAGAAACTCACTGTGCAAATCCTCTGAATTATTTCTTACCTGCTTTTGTAGCAATATAGACTGGTCAAGTTCCATCATTAAAAACTTATTTACAAAAGTTTTTTGGAATTGTGCGTTTACATGTGAAAGAAGATTCGGCCAGTTAAAAAAAAAAACTGTAACCTCTTTCAAGAGTTTATGAACTTTTTAGTGCAAAATCACACATGCAGAGTGCAGATCAAAAACAAGCGAAACAGAAAAGCGTTTTAATGGTGGGAGATTATCCAGTCACAAATAGTGTAAAGCCCCTTGCACAATGGAAGGAATAGCGATAGCGATAGAAATAACACAGTTTTTAACACAGAATTCCAACTCGTCGGAAATTTTATCGCTATTGCTTATTCCGATTTTCTGATCTGCATTGATACATGTGTAGTTTTGTATGTTAGATTCCGCTGTTCCTACCTTTATTTTTAAATATAAATTCTTTAAAACTTTTGTTATTTCTATCGCTATCGCTATTCCGTCCATTGTGCAAGAGGCTTAAAACTTTTGTTATTTCTATCGCTATCGCTATTCCGTCTATTGTGCAAGAGGCTTAAATCGTGATTAGTTAGGTTTGGTTTGGTGCTCTTTTTGGCTCAGTGGACCTATAAAGCTAGTCCATACGCCATTCTATGTCTTTTTGATAACAGGTTTAAAACCGTGGATTGGGTTCCTAACGCCAAGCCACGGGCTGTGTTCAGTTAAGCAAGATGGAACGAACTAATGGAGGAAATGCAGGAAATACAGGAATTGGAACTAATGAAACTAAAGGGTCGTCTACAATGGAGAGTTGTAGGCCGTAACAGTAAGAAATTGACAAATCACAATCGATTATTCTTCTGTACTTTATCTGTGATTGGTCAATTTCTTACTATTACGGCCTACAACTCTCCATTGTAGACGACCCTTTAGTTTCATTAGTTCCAATTCCTGTATTTCCTGCATTTCCTCCATTAGTTCGTTCCATCTTGCTTAACTGAACACAGCCACGGAGTTGTATATATTTGTTTAAATTAAAGATAATAATAAAGAAAGTGGTATAAAAAACACCGACAATTCTCCAAAAATATTCACAGCGTAACTACGCACATACGGCTGGCTTCGTGATTAGTTAGGTTTGGTTTGGTGCAAAATTGGCTCAGTGGACCGAATTAAGTTAGTCCATACGCCATTCTAGGAAGCCATTCTAGGAACTTCTGACTGCATTTCGTGATTAGTTAATTCTGCTAAACATAGACGTATAATATATAGACTGCGCGTTTGGCTGAAAAGATGTCTTCAACGTTGAGAGAGACAACATACTTTGAATAGTAACTCTTTCTCTGTCTATCATTTCCCCCAATACTTCGCTAGACAAAGATGAGGCTACTATTCAACACCAGCTGTCTCCCTCAACGTTGAAGACATTTTCTTACCATGGCAAAGGTAGGGAACGCGCAGTCTATATATTATATGTCTATGCTGCTAAATGATCTCGATTTAAATTATCTCCATGTCGGATACATATCGCGAACCGGACCAGTAGCGGACGATCCGTTCCACTCCGATTTTCGGGCCGGAGGCCGGAGTTTGCTCGCGGCAAAGTTATAAAAGTGTAACTTGAAAATATACTTTTCAATATTGACCAACAAACAAATCAGTCAATTACGCGATGTCAGATGGTAAATAATATTTTTAGCACATAGTAATATTTATTTTGATACAAATAACATAAGAGAAACGCGCATAAGAGAAGAGTATATGCAATACATATTTTGTTACACATATGTGATTTATTTTTTTTTAATATGAATTTTGCATTCACAGAAGAAGTGATACGCCGTCGACTGCTCATAGACGGAGATGGAACGGGAGATGATCGTAGAATCAATATGCTGTTAAAATCGTTCACAAAGTGGACCAACGGTTCTGATGTGGACAACACGTTGCACGAGAGAATGTTGTCACAGTTGGCACAGTGCGAATTTGCGCAGAAAAAATCTCGATTGGTGTCAAACATGAGTCAAGAAGAGCTACAAAGCTATGAAGAACTATCCAAGGAAATTGAAGTGCAAATAGAGAAAGCCAAGGAAGATATAGAGAAAACTAAGATTGAACTGCAAGATGCTAAGCGTGTGAGAAAAAATAGGATAGAATATGACGTATTAGCTAAAGTTATCAGTGAACAACCAGATCGTTTGGAAACCGATATGAAGCTTGCCACATTGAGACAAGAATTAGACAGTTTAAAGGTAACATTGTCGCATATCTACACATTCTATTCTCTATTGTCTATTGGATTTGTTCAGAACATTGTTCATTTTTGTGTCACACATAGGAAAAGTCAGAACAGTTGGAGAACAAGTTAGAAATGCGCCGGAAGCAATTTCATGTTTTGATATCATCTATTCATTCCTTACAAGGAATGTTAGACGAGTGCGATGAGGAAGTAATGGATATAAGTCTCGAGAATAACACAGACACAAATGGGTAACAGTCATGAAAAGATGTTTCTTTGAGATGTTTTTTCATACAAAAAGGAATGAATAATGCAGAATAAAAGGTAACATTTTTTCACACAATCTTATAACTCTTTCTTTCAAGTAATGTACACATGTGTTAAAAGATTTTTAACTTTAATTTGCTAGTTTTTGGTACGTGTCTAATAGTCAAGGATAATCTGACATCGCGTTTTATCGTTTGCCCTTCTACAAATTTGTTCGCACACATATGCAAATTTTTTATCGTAGATTCTGTTACATCATCCACATCTCTTTCTGCTATGGAGTGCAAATAGTTGTGATATAAATCCTTTTGCAAGACTAATAGGCTTCTAGGTTCTAGTAACAAACTAAATTCGAATTTAGATTGTTGTTGCTGCAAAAATAATATGTTTATAATAATATTGTTACATTATTGTATTATTGCAAAAACATTCCTATGTTTTTTATTATAATTGCAGTGTCTACCTCAGTGGAGTCAAGTTTTTTATAAAAATCAAGAAATGTGTGAGAACCGCAACTTATAGTAGTTACAACAGGATAAAAGAGCGGGCCATCTGAATGTGCCTAGGAAAATTGCGTTATTATACATATGTACATTTTTATATATTTTTTTTCTCTCTCTTTCTCTCTCTCTTGCTATTGATATTAAGTATATATAATTATATTTTATAAAGAAAATAAACTTTTTGTCTTCAACATACCATTATTCCTTGTCCAGGTAAATATTCATTAATTAAAACATGATTGGGTAACACTCCAGTTTCAAAGGCATTCAAAGCTTTAACTTTATCAATATATTTTTGTAGCCACTGAAATGTCAATTTTTAATTAAAAATATATATATATATATTGATTTGTAAAATTCTAATAAATTTCTTATCCCAGCTACCCACAGTAGGAATTTCTTCTGCTATCATCCCTTTGGGATGGGGTATACCACCCCAATTTTGCAATCTGCGGTGACTCAGTTGTGTCCATTTTGGTTGCGGTACATTATTTACGTGCTTTATAATCTGCTTTTCTTCTTCTTCAGTAATAAAATTCGGTATGTAACACGCGGTATCAGGTATCTGTGATTTTATATATATATATATATATATATGCAAATCTCTTAAAAAATATAACCTCTCTAGAAATAACGTGAGAATCATTTTAATGAGAATAAACCTGTGAAACAACTGCGTTGTGCAACAACAAGGACTGTCCCTCGGTCATTATAATAATTGTAATATGTCAATCTAACAATTTTACAACTTGATAAATGTCGATGACACTTGTAAATCTCTTGTGACCATTTGTAAACATCGTATGACAGCGGGAAGACGTGCGTGTTACGTGCGCGTGCGTAGAATTAAAGAAATATTTTATATGAATTGAGAAAATTAAAGTAAACAACCTCAATATCAATAAACGTATCTCAGTCGGTCTCGTGAGTATACGTGATCGTAAATATCTTTTTTTTTTTTTAAGTGTCATAGGATAATGACAAATTATAGATTTCTATACAAAACGGACATCAGAACGTTGCGGTAAGAAAATATCGTCATAGCTACACACGTCAATTTATATTTAACACAAAATCGCAAAGGTACTTTCATTGTAATAATACACTAAAAGAGTGTTGTCTATATATATTTTATATAATAATCACAATATATAATTGTTTTGTTTAGGTAGTGCTGTACGTTGATCAATAGCGTATTTGCATAAAATCGATTAATGACCTAAACCAACATCCCTTATTACGTGCGTATGAGTCTTTACAAGAAAAATATTTGTGCTGAAAAATCTGTTTCTGAGGTAAATTGAACATAAATAATCAAATGATATTAAGGGAAAATTTTGTATTTAAATGAGGTTTAATTTTTTAAGTAAATCATTTATCTTATTTTCTAAAATATTTGTAAGAGAGAACTATTTATATATGAATTTATTCAAAAAAAAGAAAAAAAATACTATATTCAAATCATAGATATACTTTAGTATAATAATCAGTATTTTCAGGCACACAATACCAAAGGCACACATGACTGAATTGATAATGAAGAACCAAATGGCTGATAACAATATTGAAATAATCCATCAGGTATAATTATAATAATAAATACATACACATGTATATCTAACTAAAGATATCTTTTTTTTGTTAACAAGATTTGTATGTGATTTTTTTCAGTTTCTTTTGGATCATAATTTTGAGAACACTGCTAAGGCTTTGATACAAGAAGCTTTAAAAAAGAATTATCAGAATCTCGAATTAAAAACTATAACAGATCCCTGTGATAAATTAATGCTGTACTACAATACCGGGAATTATTCAGAATTTTTTCAGGTACATGTAATAAAATGAAATTTATTAATTTAAAATTGCTTTTCTATATTATATAGTATTTAATTTTATATATTTTTATCTATAGTATAATATTTAATTTTTCAGTTATGGAAGAACTTATTTTCTGATAGCATCAAACAATGTGAAGAATATAAGAAGTTGACATTTTATTTACATGTACATTTTGCTATACTGCCACAACGTACATTGCATTCTAACGGATGTGATAATAAAGAGTTTGTAGAAAAATGCAAGGAGGTAACTTTATTTTATCTCGAATAAATTAACCTTTTTTTTATACTATATTTTAAGTACGTAAAATAATCTGAAAACAAAATTTATTAGAGTCTAAACTTATTATCAATAATCAACAGAATATAATTGAAATTGAGAAAAATATAAATAACAGTATGAAACAATTGCAAGATTATTTGCTTGGAGACGGTAAGGAATTGGAACATGACACTGAGTTGCAACCTTTTTATGCGTTACCATTTGTAAAAGATCTTCATAAAGATACGTTTTTTTCTACAATATTGGAACAGTTTTGGCTGGATGAATTATCAAAAAAGTTAAATTTATTTATTACAAATCACAGACAAGTAAGGAAAAATAATGTAACAATTCAAAAGTTCTACTTGCACACACCTACATTCAAGCACTTTGTATTCCTAAAAATGTAATTCTTAAAAAAATTATTATGAAACTTACAGGATGTGATTGAGCCAAACAATGTCAAATCTAATGAAGAGCAATCGCAAGACGCGATTCAATCTCCAAATATCTCGTCAAAAACACAAGATACGGAATCACATGTTACACAAAATAAAGTTACAAAAAATAATACATCGATTGTGCCAAACGACAGAGATATACCCATCAATAAGATACCTTTTTTAGAAGATTATGACGATGAGCAATATAATTTGTTTCGTAGGACAAGTCGTAATCTAAAATCGAAGTAAGTACATGAAAAAAATACCCTCTTTTCTCATCAGATACTTAAAAAAAAAAAAAAAGATGAAAACAATTTATTTATTATTTACAGATGCACGCAAACGCACATCACCGGAGACCAAATTACGATTAACGGTTCGAAAGCTGGTACATCGAATGTAACAGAAGAAAGATTGATTCAATGTAATCAAGACTTGGCATTGACCAAGTCTCATTTATTCATTATTCGCACAAGTTATGAGAAGCTAAAAGTGAGATTTCACAAACTACACGCGGACTATCACAAATTGATAGACGTTGCTGGAGAATTAACCGTAGCGTTGGAGAATTCAGTGAAAGGACAAGCTGTTGACATACAACGAACGCTCGAAATATGCATGAAAATATTCCCGGACTTGTTTAATCAAAATATAAGAGAGTCTTACGTAAGCAAAGTATATTTTTTACATTACTACATACGCAAAGTTACCTTTTTCAATACGTTTTTTTTTTATAAAAAATATAAATTATTATATAACTCCATTTTGAACAAAAAATGTTTCACTTGCGTGAAAACGCAAATTTACTTTTGTATACGTTTCGCTTTGATTAACAGCCATCCTTATTGCAACTCGGTTATAATGACGTAAAAACAATTGCAATGTCTAAACTTGACATAACAGCAGTACCGGTGTCTCCGAAATTATTGGATTACAAAAAAATCAAATTGCATCTACTCAATGGGGATGTGAAGACAAAGCTATTGCTATTACAAGCATTACGTTGGGTAACTACGAAAATAATTACGTGACACAAAAAGCAGTAGAGTATTGATTATTTTACTTTTTAAAAACAACATTTTTCGCAGAAAATAACGCTCGCGCAGTTGACGGAACAGGAGGAGGTTTTGCACGAGTATATAAATCATGATTTGTTGGGGTTTCACGGACAGATCGCCAGCAACACTGGCAAGCCAATCTTGCCATGTTTGTTAACCACGGGAGAAGCGTACGCCAGACATCTTTTGCAACAATTCACCGCTCGATTGTTAAACACACTGGCATCTTTCAGATGCGGACGAGATTACTTGTCAATTGGATCGACCATCGTAAATATGGTATGATTTTGCGTCGCTTATATCAAACTCACAAGCAAGTGTTTTTATTTATAATTGTATAATTTTGTTTCAAAAAGCTGTGAAACTATCAGACTATACATATAATTTGGATGATTATCAATATATTTTCAGATCTTTACTTGTCTCGACAATAATCATGGTGACGGAATAGATTCTTTCGCGTGCGACATGATGGTGGCGATGTTACAGAAACTGTCTTTACGTAGACAGCAACGTATATACATGATAGAAAGCGGACTGCTAGAATGGCTGATCCATCATTTGCACGATAATTGTCACGTTATTAGTTTGTACAGATTAGAATATGCCACAGCGCTTCTGATGAATCTGTCATTACATCGATTAGCACAGGCTAGAGCGTCCAAAATATCGTCTTTACTCGTTTCCACTTTGCTTGTTCTTCTCTCGTTAGATCACACGTCTGTGAGTATTGCGTGCGTGTTTAATAAAGATATATATGTATATACACAGAAGAGATACAAAAATGTACATGCAATTTGTTTCTAAATCAACGCAACGATTTTGTTTACCAGTCTTTGCCGTATATCAACGGAGCACTGAGCAATTTTTTGTGCAATCCTGTGATCAACGAGGAAGCGAGAAAAGTGAAACACTCGGATATATCGGACTATCTCGGTGGCAATCATAAAACTATAGAATTACGGTAATTTCTTAAAACGATATATGTATATTCTTGTCTTTTATATTTCTCTTTAACGATAATAATATAATTCTGATGTGCGCGACAGGAAGCATCTGGATAATATACTGAGAATACAGAAGCGTGAAAATATTAATACGCCACAAAATGACGAGACCGGTGACGATGATAATGTAAGTGCCGATGTGACTTCGCGGGTACATGAACACGACTTTGAACATGAATTTCTCGTAGGCAGAATTGGATGTACTGGAACATGAATTAGATGAAAATGATCCACTGCAAAATTATGTCGGTGAACTCAACGGAGAGACGTTACTTGCGGTGTGTTATAGTCTTTCTTCGAAGGTTTCTCGGAGCGCTTTAACAACTGATACGACAACTGATACGACTCTACAACAAAAATCAGCGTTGAATTCTACTGATTTTTACGGCAACCAACACGACAATTATCTTTATAACAAACATTCGTCAAATGCTACAATAAGGTATTTATAGAATTTTTACAGAAAACATCTCTAAAAATGTTATCTCCGTTTTTTTTTTTTTCACGTAAGAAAACTGATCATGTTTCTACATGTGTGACAACTAATAATAACAATAACAAATAATTTATTTGAAGTACCGCGAAAGGATTCAACCGAATCGAATCTTCATTACTAAAGTGTGAAAGTCGATTGTATGAAAAGCAGAACAAAAATTCATTAAAAACTGTAGCTTGGACAGGCACGGTGAAACAATCTTTGACTGAGCAAAAATTTTTTAACGATATGATTTACTTGTATGACAGTCGAACTTCCAAGTGTGTTATTAATTCAATCAAAATTAATTAAATCGGAAACTGTCATAAAAAAAAATAAATAACCAAAAAACATTAAATTAAAATTTATAATACAATATTAATTTGTACAGAAATAGTAGCGAAAGAGCACTGACATCGTCTACGACTCTTATCTCTGCTCACGAGAACAGCCAAACAGGTACGTACTTCATATTTGTAATTAAATAAGATATGAATAATTCAAAAAAGATTATTGCCCCAATGAATATGCCGATTTTGGAAAAAAAAAGCTTAAAAGCTTAAAGCTTAAAAGTAACAAAGTCTTAGCATCCATAAATAGTTTGTATTTATAATCGTGATTCAGACCAACAATGTTCTCGATTGTTTCAAGCTTCTCAGATTGAATCGCGACTATGAATACAGATCTAAGAGATAAGTTTAAGTAAATAAGTAACATTCAGTGAAAGCTCTTTGTGACTTTCCCTGCACGTGCAAAAACTTAGAAAAATTGGAACGCGTAAACGAAAGTGTGGAAATAAATATTAATGAGTTAGAAGGTACACTCTGCGATTACAGGAGAGCTACTTAGAAAATATTTTGTTAAAAAAATAGTAATTTTAAATATGAAAAATGGTTTCACATTCAGACGTAAAAAGAAGTGATTAGAGAAATATAAGAAAAACTTTTAATTCTTTGTTACTGTTAATTTTAACACAATAATTGTGTGTACGCTTAACTTGTTACAGAAGTGGAGAAATTCAGCAGCATAGCATCGTTGTGAGTAACACTTAATTTTGTGCATTTACACCGTGCACTTTTCTCACAGCTTTTTGGAGATATTTATTTATAACGAGGCGAAGCACGCGTAATTTTTATATTGTTTAAATTATAACACATGTTGTCTATACATACATGATTTATATATATTTTTATACTGAGAGAATTTTATGATGTTGCGTGAATAAATTTGTATATTTGTTGCTTGTGTTATATAATGTGTTTCTGCTTTTTTCGTCCTGATTGTTATAAATACACACACACATATATATATATCTATAAATAAAAAACAACATTGTGTGTTTGTAGGAATTATAATAGCAATAATAAAGTTAAGGACTCTTCGTGGAAAGACAATCCAGAGCTCGCTAACGAAGAAGACGCATTCTTGTCCAAGCCTAGGATATCGAGAACACCTCCGTGAACATTGCATCAAAAAGTTTAAATAAAAAATGCGAGAAAAAACATTTATACGATTTATACGATGTTAAAACTCTTGTAGGATGTCTATTAACAACAGGTGAAATATTATCAGTTATATACATTTTTCAGGACGGAAAAAAAGAGAGAGAGAGAGACTATTTCAATTATTTCAATTATTACTTATATAAAAAGTGAACAATATTTTTATCCTAAGTAAAATACATTTGAAAAACAATTCTTAATCGAAAATACAAAATAAATAAATATACGTATATACAAATCACTCACATATGAAAATCTGCCATACTTTTAAATACAAATAAACGACGCGCACATTTATAATGAATAAATCGACCTTTGCACGAGCATAGGTACGCCGCTGTTTCTATACCGTCTGGTCAAAGTGCTACTGTCATCGTAACCATTGCCACCAGCGTTGTAACCGTCAAAAGTCGGCGATGCGGGATACCCGGTCACGAGACCGCCACTCTTACTCCTGTAACCACTGGAGTAAAGCGGCTCGTCGTTGTAAACGTGACCTCCATCGTAACCAGGTCTGTTGTTTTTAATTATGAGTACTTTACCGGTGCTCTTGCCGTACGAAGAAGGAGCGTAATAATCGTCGCGATCCCTCGACAAGTAATAGGTCATGCCGCTATTTGGAGCGTGGCGAGTAAGGTACTTGCTGTAACCGTAATACTTGTTCGGTTTTCCCGACGAGATATATACACCGGGTGTTTTCGAAACGTAATTGCTCGGTCTCGACGCGTACGACGGAATGTCGTGATTGTAACTCGCGTGTCCGGCGACGTTACCTACGTTGCCCGTGTTTCCTCGCGTGTACCGCGTCTCTGACGGTGTCGGATAGACATTGCCGTACTTGCCGCCGCTTTTCAAGCCGTACGGGCCGTCTCTCTGCTTTCCGAACGAGTGTTCGCCGGCTAGATTGTCCGGCAAGTACGAAGAATAAACATGATCGTTTTCGGAATAGCTCGAAACGTCAGTAGAATCGTGATATCCCTGTAAACTTTCGCTGTCGACGGAGCCTTTGTGATAATTTTTCAACGTGGTCGGTCTCGAGTATCCCGCGGAATAAGGTATTCTTTTACTATTGACGCTTGTGCTACCAGTCGCGTACTGATTACCGAAATCGGAATCTTTGTAAATTGAAGAATCGCTCGGATACGGTTTGAAACCCGAGTCTCCGTTATTGTTCGAATATCCTCTGAACGACGTGGGTGTCGCTCGAGTTGACAAAATGTAAGAGTCGCTATTGGAATTTTCGTAGGTATTGGAGTATCCCGCGTACTCACTTTCGTGATTGTTATTACTCGAGGAATATCCGCTATAACTGTCACCTTCTATATTACCCTGATTGTCAACTGGATTAATCAACGAACTTTGGCCACCGACGTAGTTTGACACCTCGTGATTGCCTCCGGCGTAAAAGTGTCCGCCGTTCTGGTAACTGTCTTTAGATCCTAAGTATCCATTATTAGTACCGGTGTTACTGTAATCGTACCCATTGCTATCTCCGGTATAAGAATGGCCTACAACAATAATGTTTAACGAGTGCCGCTTTGAGAAATTGATCAAAAATTTAGAAAAATATATAAATGTTGTTTGAAAAAAAGTGTAATAAATATCAATAAATTCGTACGTAGCCTTACGGAGAATCGTATAAAAATCGTACAAATCAGACCGTTTAAAAAAAATTTTAATTTTGTGAAAATTTTACGGTAGCCTGATCCCTTGACTTAATTATAGACGTAAGTTTTTGAGAATTAACGTAATGTGTGATAGGATTTGTTCATACGTACTGTTAAGAGGCGATTCTGCGTTCACAATAATCGCACAACAAACTATCACTGCGCCCTAAAAAAAAAAACAAATTATTATTTCGTGAGAAATTAAGGAATATCTTGCAGAAAAAAGTAAAACATAAAGAATATTTTTTTACATCGGTTTATTGTATACAAATCTTGTTCAAAAAAAAAAAAATGTTAGAATCTTTAAATCTATGCACTTTTTTTACTTCCTGTGATACATACACACTGATAATTTATAATAACAACATGTGTGTGTTTGTTTGCACTTACCAGCAGCATGGCGATTCTCGTTCCGACTAACTTGTCGCAACACTAATATAAAATATATGTATATATATAGATCTTCGTGTTGTCTGTCCAAAATGAAACTGCACAGTGGCTGGCAAAAGCGCGATTTTCTGTTTTATACCCATAGCAAAACCCACCTCCCTCGTTTCACGAAAAGGTAAAAGCGATCTCGGCGCGCACATACTGATGCGACATTGGTCGGGACACGGCCATACGGAGTAGAGAGAAACGAGTCAACCTGATTTAGCTCTTCACTTTTACAGGGAAAGCAATGGGTTATCTCTATACGAGTACTATATACAGTCAACTGCAACGAGAAACACGATGGTTAATACTGACCTACCTATCTAACAAGAATCCTACCTACCTATCTGCCTCTATCTAAACAGAAGCTCTAAGAAATACATTTTTTTTAGACAAAACATCTTTCTATTCCAATAGTCTATAATCGGTCTATCTATAATAATGGTCTATAATCACGTATTATTATAGTTTTTACATCATATCGTGATCATATGCGCACAAGTGCGGACAACACACGGTTTAAAAAGATCATGAGCCGATCAGACTACTAATCATCTGCTTAATTATGCTTAATTATGTTTAAAGCATAACAATAAAAGTCAATCTGTATTGAATGCTTGTTGACTATTGATCTTTATAGAACGAGACGCCAATATATATAGCGCGACGAGGTTGTTAGTTAGTTTTCACTTTGCCAAGTATGTGCGAACAAGTTGTAGCACAAAAGGTGTAAAACTTGCCCCAAAAATAGGACTAATGAAGTTTTATCTTCTTTTTTTTTCTTTAATTTGTTTTTACTTAATAGCTCAACAAGGACTTTTTTTTAAGTAAAACACGCGACACGCACACACGGGGTTTGAACGTTTTCACGAAAATTACATGTGTTCGCAAACGTGTAATTTTACAAAATCCGAGATAAACATCATTGAGATTCGTGACCGATCTTAGGATATTTTTTTATCTGCATTTTGCATACACGAACTGAGACTTCTTGCTGAATAACAATGTTTCTCCACAGGAAAAAGAAAGTTTTTCGACGTCCCCTTGCTTAAGTATAACAAATCTAACGTGAGAATTTTTATACTTCTCCCCGTTTGCACAACATTTGCCGCACAAGAAAGCGTCGGCATCTCAACCCACTAACGTCTAAACGTTCTCTCTTATTGTTATATATTCATAATAGAACGAATACATATTAATTATATTTATTAAAATCCTCTCTGCACTCAAACGTGATTACAATACACCAAGCAAAAGAGGACGGTAAAGAACAATTTTTTAGTCATTTTAATATTTTCGTTATTTTATTAAAAAAAAAAAAAAAAAAAAAAAAAACAATTGTACCCTAGAAAAAGTGTATTAAAGGTAATCTCGGTGAGGTAATTCGCGTGCACATGCACAATTGCCGGATGTGTGTGTCCGCGGTCGGCAATTTTCAAAGTTCGTGCATCTTCGCTCTTCGAAAGTTCGCAAACGAAGCAGAGAAAATTACAATTCCTTGCCAATTGTTCGCGGAAATCGAAATAGTATTTATCTCGATCGTACATCTATCGATCTAATCGACGTTTATAGATTTGCGCTCGTCTCTGTCCTTTTTTCCCAATGCTTTCTACTTTCCACGCACGCGCGCGCACACGCGCATGCATTCATTCAAGCGCGCACTGATTCTGAAGTTAATCAGATGTATTTCAATAAGCACGACAATGACCCTCGGTAGCAAGAAAATGTCTCAATGTCTCTGTGTCGCATGTGAGTTCATCGCGTAGCACGCGAACAGCGTAAAAAAAAGTATTTTTTGCGAAGTATTTTTTGAGCAATTCTTTCGTATCATTTTCGAAAAGTGATCAGATCGCATGCTCCGTGCGCACGTAGTTTTTAATCGATTTAATTTTTTGACGCAAAAAAAAAAAAAACAATTTTTACGCGTAATATTGAAATTAAGATATATTACTGAAACTACGTTAAAAATAATAACATAAAGTTCAAATAATATAATAATAAAATATATATACAGCCTCTTACTTCAATTTCTTGATGATTAAGATTAATTAATAATTTAAAAATATTTTTTGTTTTGTTTAATATGAGTATTTTGTGTGTGCGTGTGTGTATTACACAGTAGTTTACAGAAAGTAAAATCAGAATGGAAAGTCTCGGATATAATTCTAATTCTAGTCGTGCAACTCACTCTAACGCCAATGATCAAGATATATAAAATCTCGATCTATAAGAAATCGAAGAGAGAGAACTGTGTGTGATTGTGACAGGGATTCTTCCAATTTGTGGTATCTATACCAAATAATGAGAATATTAAATATTAAATATAATATTAAATATTTAATTTAACGTAATCACGTTATTTTTTTCACAAGACACGAATTTTCGACGTGCGATAAATCATGAGTTTTTTTAATAATTAATAGACTTTTTTCAAAAATGTTAATTAGAGAGAAGAAGACTGAAAGCAGTCACGGACTGCATTTGAAAAAGTTTTCTTAAGTAAGTATTTGTAATTGCAAACTAGGTATATATTGTTCGAAAAATCAAATTCTCCTCTCGTGCTGCCACTTTCGCGGCGCTTTGAAGTCAAATTCTCGATCGATCGTATTCGAAACGCTTCCGAGCATTTGAAATGAGATCCTGATCGCGCGCGGTTACAACGGATTTTCTAACCTTGAATCTACTCATTGTGAAAATGATTTTTCGTTCGAAAGCGTGTCCGAGCGACACTTTTGCGATACTCGAAATTTTCACACATGAACGCGAGCATTTTTTAAATCACGACTTACGAGATAAAAATCGATTACTAATAAAATTTTACCTGATTTTCTTACATGTAGCTAATTTATGCTCGTCGCACAAATACATGTAAATTGTAAATACATTCCGATGTTCACTGTCAGCGTCACGAATCTATAGTTCACGTCACATTTACCGTAGATTTTCAATACTGACGGTAAATATCGAAACGTGATCAATGTCGCGCACGTTAAAGAGATTGGAAAGTGTAAACACGCATTCGAATGTGTTATATGTAACCTCTAATTTTACTCCACATTTCACAGCGTTCAAGTAATCAATCATTGATGATAGTGCTGTGATAGGGAATTCAACGAATAATTAGATGAGATTTTATTAACGTGAGTGTTTCCTTGTTTAAGTGGTCGAGATAATGAGATAATTACTCGCCGGAGACCGGGACGTATGATGGATGATAAATATCAGACGAACGCGAACGATGTATACATGTACCTAATATGAATCATTTATTATTTATCTATTTTGAAACTAATTCATCTATTTTGGAAATATTTCGCTTTGGTTTTTAGAAAAAATGAATCCGTGTAAGTTTATATTTCTGTAAATTTATTTCTTTTTTCTGTTGTGAAACACACAAATGTCTTCTAATAGAAAAAAAGTGAGAGATAATAGCTGGTTTTTAATTATTTCAATTAAAAAAAAGAAAGTATATGTGTTTTACTTCCTCTCGGTATTTAAATCTCATTAAAATTGCATTCCAGTTAAAATCTCCACAGTGGACAGTCTTGACTATTGTTACATACCTATCACAAGAAGCAATATTAGCATAGGCATTAAAGCTAGTCATGATGCAAGAATTGCCTTACGAACACACCTTGGCAATGATTCTAATTTCTATGAAGTAAGTTTTTTATCCTTTTGGTCTCTATAATTAAAAGAATGTAAAAAAAAAACTCATTTAATTTTTTCTCTTTAGATCATTATTGGAGGATGGGGAAATACTTTATCGGCAATAAGAAGGAATAATACAGAACCAGATGTGGCAGAAGCAAGAACTTGTAACATATTGAAAGCTGATGAAATATGTAACTTTTTTATACAGTAAGAATATTATACAAAAATTATACATAATTTATATAATTTTTGCACTCTACAACTATTTCTTTCTTTAATTCCTTGGTTTCTCTTTTCAGATGGTTTTGCGATGGATGGTTATGTGTCGGTCGGGAAGATAATTTGGAAACATTGATGTCCTACAAAGACAAAAATCCGTTTGTTATAAATTATATAGGTGTTAGTACTGCTTGGGGTGCTACTGGAGAATGGCTAATTGATGGTATATATCATGTATCTTTTCCACAGAACTTGCTTTAGTCTCTTTAAAGATTGGCTCCATTTTTACGATAGATCATATTTTTATAATATGACTAAATAAATATAAAGTTGCATTAATTACATTTACTTTCAATGCATTGTGTAATCAATTACCAATTTGCATGAAAAAAAAAAACAATTATAATAAGTAAATTTCCAAAAATTTTCATGATTTACTCTTAACAGATCGTGTTTCTTTTACGGCACTAGCCATCCGGCAACAACTCGTCGACACATCTCATTACTGGGTAGATTTTGACGAAACGTTGGGATTACCTCGGAATGTGGTAGTGGTTTCGGAAGACGGTCTATATATTGGTCGTACACGTCATAGTAACAGTATAATACCAGGTGGTGTTCGTGATAATGTTTTAACGCTCGCCTGGTGTGGTAACGTGCATGAGAAGCGAAACTTCCAGGTGCTATGTGGCAAGGAAGTCGGTTGGGTAAAATCCTGGGAGGGTACCGTGCCTCTGCACGCACTGCCAGCTGGTGAAACTGAGGAGGGTTGTGCTTTGTTCATCGGCCGGGTATTAGATGAGGGCGTTTGGCATGTTGGCAAGATACAACCCAATCATCAGGTATGCTACGTAGTGCTGAACGGTGATGAAGTGTCCTATCTAGAATATGATACGTTGGTAATATATGATGACTACGGGGGCGAATATATAGGGAGATAAGACGACAGAAGTTGTGAAAAAAATAATGAGAGAACATAGATATTTATATTTTTTCATGAGACATCCGTAATAAAATATTTCCTGTATTGTTTTCTCATATTGATTGGATGAAAACGTAGTCTCAAAAAGATAGTTCAGGTTATGTGCATTCACGTAATTCCGTGTGATTATATAATATTGAAGGTAATATATTGAAACTATAGCTTAATATCAATTATATATAGTATTATTACAATAACGATAATTTGTGTGGAGACACATGTGTCATATATACCTCTTGTTTTACATAAATTGTGTGACGCACTATATACTCAGGGTTTGTCGACAATTATTCCGCAAAGAAATGGCCAATTTAGGAAGAGTATGTAAAAAAAAAAAAACGAGATACTAATATTTTATCTACAGCATTGTGATATAGGATGATGACGAGTCGAACTCGAAAAAGCATATGTACCAAAAGAATACTTATATGTTTAATATAGCGGTTTTCAGCGATATTTTACATCCTGATAGCAAAATCTGTCGTAAACAGACAATTGTCTAAAAAAAAAGAAACAACAATTTTTGCATGCAAGTTGCTGCTAAGCATTACGTATAATTGTTGCCAATCTGCCGACGTAGTAATATTTTCTAGGCAAAAGATGTGTCTGCATTGCAAATGCTTTTTTTTGAAGCATTCGCGATTCCTTTTCTTAATCAGTTGTACAGTGTATAAATGTTAAAAACTTGCAAAGTGGAAATGGACTGTTAGAAATTAAATGAGCAAATGCTTTGCACAACCTTCTCTAGAACAATCATTATTAATTAAAAGTATTGTTATAGAAAGAGAGAGAGCACAGCTTTACTTCTCTATTTTTATTGTTGTTGACTAAAGACAAAGAAAGACATAATTGTATTACGTAATAAATGTAACTGATAGTGTTACAAAACGCTATATAAATGTCTGTAAAGCTGTAATAAATTAGTATAAATTATGTACATTGTAGATATAAAAGAAACGAATGTTTGCTTTTTAGATTTTAAATTTTCACACAAAAGTTTCTGTTTTTTAAATTTGTTTTTTAAGACAAATTTACAAAATATCTAGATATTTCTCTTGTTTTTTGTAGTTGAACAAAATTATAAAAACGTGAATATAATAGTTTTATACAATTTAAACTTCTCCAATGTTAGAAAATAAGAAAAACGATAGATTCTACAATAGATAAAAAACGTAACAAATTGGCTTTTCATATTAAAATGAGATCACAATTGCATTTTGCGTAATGAAAAAGAAAGACATATTCTAGTATACAATAGGGTAAGCAAAAAAGAAGAAAATATTCAAAGAAACAAAGCAGTTTTGGTTCTAACAATATATAAGAGAAGTACTTATGTAATAGTTGTATGACGTATATAGATATAGATTTTAACTTTCTTATTTTTTAAAATAAGAATGAGAAAGAAAAATGCCTGGAGTGTTCCGCTCGTCTGTTTAGTGATCGACCTAGAGAGAAAAACGATAAAACAGTAGATTGACTTAAACTCTGGGCGACAATAACAGAACGGTTAAGCCGTTTTGCGACAAGACCGGTCGAGAAAAACACTTGTGTTTATACACGAAATAGCTTCTTGAAATAGGAAACTATGCGAGAAATTTGTTTTGTATTATTTGTAAATATACATTATGCATACACATAATGTTATATTTTGTTATTACATTAATATTATACAATAATGCAAATATTAAAGTTGTTTATGATGTTTTCTCAATATATTGTATGTGTATAATACAATATATTTTTTAATTTTTTACACCGTATAGAAATAAAATTATGTCTACAAAGAAAATAACAGTATTAAATAAAATATAAATTAACAATGCAAATGCTCAGATGTGTAGATGAGATGTTGATGATTTTTTGAAAAAATAAAGTTCGGAACATTATTTATTCGTCTTGTATATATATTTTTTAAAGTAACATTTTCATATATCTCCTCTTCACATCCTCAATCCTACGTAACTCGACGCAAACGTTCAAACTTATTTAACAAAAATGAGTTTTCGCGATCTATTAGTTGTTCGATAATTTGTTTAGAATTTAGACAAAGTGTTCATTTACCCATAAACTGAAAAATACATACAACGACTATTATAGTTACCGAGTCGAACGTTCTAATGCGCTGATTTTCTATATAAATCAGATAAAGTTAATTCACATATCAAACCGCCTTGATAGATATGTATCTCATGTTCAAATTGGTTGTAGAAAATGTAAAACACTGTATGTACACTGTGTGTGTTAACCGACCTATATTTCAACATTTCGCTGTGTACACGTGCACGCATGTTACATGTTGCTTTAAGGTGAATATAACTCAATGTAACTTTGTAGCACGTAACAAGGTAAATTGGGGTCGGTGCTTAACGTTTTGCGGGCTATTTTTTTTTTCTTTTTTTCTAGCGAATTTCACGCAGAGAAACATATTTCCACGCGCCTACTTGCACGGCGTACTCTTCGCAAACACACATTTGACGTACGCACAATGCTAACGTGTCCTTCGTTTCTGTGACGTTCTCGACACTTTGTTCTCCAAATGATCTCGTCAAAGACGGGACTGTAGAAAGAGTTGACACGTGAAATCTAGTACGAGCGAACGAAACGTGCTTCACTCATCGGCAATGACGGACGTATTGGAGGCGTAGCGCGATTTACAACCCTCTTCTCTGAGTGGGAGCGCGTTGCTTCCGTGTATAAGACACGGTAAATGAGGACCTGTCGTTGATTACATCGCAGCCTGCCGAGTTGCAAGTAAGTCTTCAAAAACAACTTGGAAATTTTGTGCTAAACGTAGCACAATTAAAAAGAACAATAATACTCGCGTTTTAAATGAGATAGATTTTAATTTGTTGCGAAATCTGTTGTTTTGAATAATTAAAACTTATTTTACCGATTTTCTCTGAAACTTCTTTTTAGAAGCGCTTGAGCATGCGCGGCAACTCGCTGTATCTGCTCCTGTTGCTCTTCATCGTGGCGAGAGCTTACTTAAAATCTTGCAAATATTGGTGCAAAATGGACAATCATCGGTACTACTGTTGCCAGAGTGGAAAAAACGATTTCTGGTCGGAACACAGCTGGCACTCGTTTTTCTTTCCCTGGTTTTGGTTCGGCATCGGTGAACACCACCACGTTCACGAGCATCCGTGGCACGAGATGACATGGAAGAAACCGAAGGAGCACTGTCCACCCATGAGACCGCACTGTCCCAGAACTTACGACTGGTACAAGCCGCCCAAATTCTGCAACAGCGATCACGAGTGTGACAAATGCGAGAAGTGCTGTTACGACGTGTGTTTGGATCATAAAACGTGCAAAGAAGCGGAGTAAGAGGTATTTGAAGTCAACTACAGTAAAGTTCCCCGCGACTTTTAAGTCGAAAATTTGATGTATATTGAAAGATATTTCCCTTTTTTTTTTTTTTTTTTAGTTTATAATACACAATTATGTAAAAAACGGCTTAACAGAATAAAAAATTAATTAAATCGGACCAAAGAGCTGGCAATTCAACGGATGATGATTATTGTATTTTAAATGTATTTAAAATACAACATTTAAATACATTTAAAATGTATTTTAAATACAACAACCGTCACCCGTTGAATTACCGACTCTTTAGTCCGATCAATTATGTTTTAGTTTATAACATTACCACAAATATGCAAACATTCTTATTATTTTTTGCGTTTTACTTTTAAAAATATCACACAAATAAAAAAATCATAATTACATGTTAAATATCTTCTTTTACAGCAAATTGGAAAAATTTCTCACTTATCCATTGATATGAAGTGAGGACTTTTTGAAACAAGAATATGAAAAAGCTGCCGGCAATGTTTTTTTCGATTCGCACACGTTGCGATGGTTGCGTTTCTTTAATTGACTTAGCGAGTAACAAAATTGTCGAATACTTACAATATTGCAAGGTAAAAAGCGGAGGAAGAATGTGAAAAAGACACACAACAAGTTTAAAAAATGTAGAACCGAAAGCTTATTCGACCGTTTGCTAATTTCCGTGGGATTGCCGATAATTGAGGAGTCTGCTTAGCGCCGTGGGTTAATAAGTTTTGAACCGAGTCGTAACTTATCAATTACGGACCCGGCGACGAGTTCCTTAATTAGCGTACAAGCTAATGGCGCATTACGCATACTTCGCAACGGTATATATACACGGTCGGGGTAAGAGAATAATTGGAGTATCAGGTTGCGTCCCGCGTGGATCAAAAGTCGCACACGTCGTGTGAATTCCGGGAAAAATGCGCACGCAGGCAAGGGATAGATTATTTTTTTCCCACTCGCAAACTGCGAATGAATAGTTTTAAACACATTTTTAACGCACGTTGCGTCACGCAAGATCTCGATCGAGTCACAAGGACGTCGCTGAGTCGTCGCGAAAAAGGCCTCGATCCCGAGCGTCTATATATGAGTCACGACGACGGAGTCGAGACAATTCAACAAGACCAAAACTTTTAATTTGTTCTGGAAAAATATAGCGCAGAATTTTTAAGCGATTTTCACAACATTTGTTCTCAAATCACGGGCGATAAGAATAACACGCGATTCTTCGTTTCAAAAACAGTTTTGATGATATTCCACATCCAGATTTTATATTCGATTTTTATTAATTCGGAGTATATATAATTTTGAATCTTTTTCTCTCCGCGAATGTGTAGATATATATTGATATATGTGTAGATATATTGATATAATAAAACACCACGTGATGCGTACAAGAACACTTCAAAATGCTGCTCGCGTTTCCCCTCTTTCTTTTTTCTTGTTGCATGCGCGAGCTCCGAGCGAAAATTCCAAGCGCAATCTCATCCGGATAATGTTTCTTTTATGGTTTACAGCCACACAAACATGCGCATCGGGCCCCGGCTCAGCAATAATGAGAAAACGTTAGCCAGGTGGAAGCCGCGGGCCCTCCGAATTAGGCTCTCCGGATCCGCCCACAACTACTTTTAACTCTCGGGGGGCCGCAAGTCCCACGACTGGATCTGCGGCACGCGTATAATTGGACACAAACTCGTCCGATCTGATTATTTCAATCTTACGGGCGTAATAGGGCCCAGAGGGCGCCAAAACAATTTAGATAAGACGCAACAGATGCCGTGCGGGCCCCGAAGCAGCGGCTTGACTCTCTCTCTCTCTCTCTCTCCCTCTGTTTACATCGTTCCGATCTTTGTAATTAAGCGTGTGTTTCCGATAACACGCCGAAAGTCAAAGTGGCAACTTGATTTTCTGCTGCATTTCTTTCTCCGCAACATTCTTATACAAAGGTGCTTTGACTGAAGAAGAGAAGAGAGAAAAAAGGAGAGATAAGATAAAATAACAAAAAAAAAAAAGAAAAAGGTAGAAACGAGAGGAAATAAACGGCAGGTGCTTCGTCGACTAATCCCTTTGCGTCTCTCAACCCTTGCAAACATCCTTTCTTTAGGTAAAAATTCCGCTGTTCTCTCTCTGCCAAGAGATGTAATGTCGGAGATATATTTTTTCATCGGAGTATTTACGCTGCCTTATTAAAAGCCAGAAAAAAAAAATATTGCTTTTGCTATCCGCATGTTTAAAATAACACGGTGTCGGTGAAAAACTGCCTGTAACAAGGAATTTGTGATATACAAAGAAATAAACACGTTAGATCGAGGAGCATTGTGAAACATCTGTCTTCACCGGAGAGACATAAAAGTTTGATGGACTCGAACAAGTCCAAACGTGATTGCGATGTCAGATTCAAAACAGGATGATGACAAAATATAAACGTTCTCCGATCACAATGAGAGAAAAAAAATTGCTCTGCGGTGGTCAACCACAAAGAATGGCATTTCAAGAGTATTGTGTGCTCAACAGATTCATTGCTTGTTCGAGCTTCGGAAAAGCCGGCGAAACTGTTCGTTTCACGTCACAAACGGTCTGCTACCGCGATCGTTGTGCGAGTTTCTGGTCTTTTGCTTTTTTTTTACGAATTCGGCTTTAAAGCCGTTTGGCGCGGTATTGTCAAGTTTCATCGATCAGCCTCATCGAAAAGATTGAAAAGATCCGGGCGACCACCTACCGACGATGCGTTGGTTGTTACTAACGCGCGATGAAAAGCTTTTCATCATTTTTCAACATTTTTTCGACGAGCTTCCTTCGTATATATTTTTGTGTCCATTATTGTCCTTGTTGAATGTACCAAGTGTTTATTTTCCGATGTATATCGAGAGTTGAATTTAAATGTTGAATAAAAACCGGCGGCGTGTGTATTTTCCCGTGGAATACCAACGAGTTTATTAAAATCTCTGTCTCGAAAAAAAATCTTCTCTCTCTCTCTCAAAGAGCTGACTTGAAAATCTGCTTCGGAGAGCGAAGATGTTAATCTGCGAATTATAAATTCCACTTTTCTCCGTGCGTATATATATATATATAACATTTATTTATCTGATAAATTTGTTATTTTCCTTCTTTTTTTTTTTTTTAGAAAACAAATGCGACATTAAGATTGTTTTGATAATTAGCTTCTGCGCGTTTGTGTTGGTGTCAATCTTAATGACATGATAATCACCACCAGAGACCGTAAAAAAATTTATTTCAATTATCCGCGTTCAAAAGTGGGAGGAACCTGTTTTCGAAAGACTCACACGTTGCCACATCCCGAGTCCGGGATAACATCAGGAATAAACTGTGCGCGGTTTGACAACGTCCAATGGGTTGCGGGAAGATCCTCTTTATGGATTCCCATCTCGTTGTTCGTCGTTCATGGCATGTCGAAGAGGGTTGCAGGAATGAGAATGAAACCGGAATTGGAATGGAATCCGAAGCCCTCTCTCTCTCTCTCTCTCTCTCTCTCTCTTTCTCTGCCTCTGTACGCATGCGTCCGGTATACGTTCATTCACCGATCTGTCCATTCATTCTTCGCGATCAACGCGCTCGTCGACATTGTTGCGTATGAACTTGATCCACTCGATTCAATTCGATACGTATATATATATATATAAAATCTTTGCACGTATATAAAACTCACTACTATTTTTTTAGTAAGAAATTTTGCTAAATATATTTTATATATAACATAATTAAATATAATAATATACTATTGTTATTAGAACAATATATTATTAGAGCTACAGTCAAACCAAACAGACTAACCTCTTATCTTTCCTGTGTTATCTTTTTCATCAAAATGTTTTATATTTCTCTGCCGCCCCAATAATTTATTTTCCTCAAAAGTGTTTGAAGCATGCACCACGCATCGGTGAACTCGGTTTCGTGTGTGGGTCTACGTTACTCACACGAAAAACAAGCTTGTTTTCCAAACCATTTCACGCAGCTATCAATATATCGCCAGACAGACTTTATTCAGACGGAAGTTATAAATTGTTGTTTAAGGGGAGAGAGAGAGAGAGAGAAAATCACTTTTTAAAAATAAAACTCGGATTTTTATATATTAATATATTTGTACACACACGCAAATATAATGCGTGTATACACATGTATAAAATTGTTTAATATTTTAATTGCAGAAGTTTATTTTTAATTTTCTTAAGTGTTATCAACAGCTAATTAATGAAACAACAAAATGCTAATTACATTATATATATGTGTGTGTGTGTATGTGAGTTATAATTAATTCTTATAGACAATATAAAAACCCCGTAGTAATTAGTATGAACGTATGTGTGAATGATTATATGATTTCCTGTCACGCGCATACCAACTTTAACGATCGTGCGAAGTATATATACAAATTCAGACTAATTAATACAGTTCGGATTTACGAAAGAGCATCGCGTTGTAAATCACCTGGAAGCGAATCAATGCGCTTGATAATAATTCGATCGATCGATCGAACAAACGATCTGTGAACGAAGAGAAAAGATGTGGCGAAATATTGTATCTTAAAAAAAAAAAAAAAAACCCAAAATTGCTGGAAAATCGACAGAGAGTCTCGGACGAAGAAAATTTTCTTCCTATCCCCCGAACGAGACCGAACCGCGCGTCCGTCGGTTCTGATTTAGACGTAATTGATGCGTCGACCGCACACGTGCTCGGCGCGCCCGGTGTGGATAAGGTACGGAAGGGAAGGGACACGAGGAAGAGGGAAAAACAGAGCCCCGAGAGTGGTCGCGCGAGCGAAGCGAGACGGCGACGGCGCCGGCGGAAGAAGGACGGAGAAGGGAGGGATTAGCGGACGCGCACCTATGCCGACACGGAACTCGGAAGAGCGGCGCGCGTGCAGTGGCATTCGCCTGCGAGCCGTTGCGCTGTACGGTCGTGTTCGTATCTCTATCTATCTATCTCTCTCTCTCTCTCTCTCTCGCTTTACTTCGGTAAGAAGAATCTTGTGTCAAAGAGACAGATCACGAGCTGACTTCTCTCGAGCGTGTCATCTTTTCCTCTCTTCCCGCTGAAGGAATTAGCGATTGTTCGCGCATGAGTCGATTGAACGCGCGCGATCGCGCCACGCGACTATTTCTTCTGTCTTGCGAGTTAAAAAAAAAAAAAAAAAATAAAACGAGAGGGTGGTGAGTGTCTCCGCAAAGGGGAGACGACAGTTTAGTATACGACAGTCCGTTCCGTTACTGTGGGAAACCAGCGTGACGTTCGCGTCTTCTTGGGCTAAGAAGCACGAAACGGTACTACGTGAAATTAGCGTGGAAAGTGCGCTTGTACGCTCCGTTTCGTCTCGCTCAAAAGCGCCTGGACGGAAAGGGAGAGACGGCGAGATGTAAGAGAGAAACACGGAACAGAAAGCGTATATATATTTGCGAGGAGGAGCTCGCAGGAGACATTACACTTTTTGTCGTCGCGTTTTGATTGTTCTTTTTATTTGTTTGTTTGTTTGTTTTTTTTTTAATAAAAAACAAAAATTTCATTACAGATAACATTAATCGCTGAGTGTAAATACGAAACATTTCTCCGCACGTGCCAACACTGTTGTGTGTACTTCAGAGTGATCCGCGTCTTTTTGCTCGACACTGTCACCAACGTGTTCCTCTTGTATACAGTTTCTGTGATTTGACCGATGTTCAGTACGGCCTCTCTCGCAAGATTGAGCAAATTTGTTTTCTCACATTCTCGCGATTTGTAAATCTCCACGCGCGACATCTCGTGATATCTCGCATCGCGAGATTATTTCGCTCGCTTCGAATCGCGCGTGTGGCGTCCGCGAAACGGAACAGACACACTGTGTGAAGGTTAAATAAAGTGCGCTGACAGCTGCAGATAGAAACGCTTCTTCTTCCCCGGAAAACATGAACCCGACGAGAATCCTGCCGCTGATCGTCCTTCTGGGGATCGCCAGCTGTCAAAGTGAGTATATACTTTTTCGATTTTCATGTATAAGTCAGCTGTCACGTGAATCTCGCCGAGAATTATAATCGCGCGTTTCTCTCTGAGAGAGAAGATCGTGTTCTTTTCCTCGATAAGAACCTTGCTCTATCTGTAAGCCGACACCGATTCGCACGTGTGTTGTAAGCTCCCCCACGAATCGAGGGCGATCGATGCGTAAAAGCTTCCCTCTTTTAATCGTACAATAAATTAGTCGATTAACGAAGCAAACCGAGCGTGGTTGCGTCAGTTTTACGCGGCATTTAATGAAAGTGTCTCTTTAACGTAGCCAAAAAAATATCTACGCAATTTTAACATTTTCAAATAAAGATAATAATTGTGTACATATAAATGATTTAGATTTGTTAGAATGTTAAAAAAAAAGAGATTTAAATAAATAGATAAAAACACATGTGTGTGTGTTGTCCACTCTCCAAAAGACTAATTTATTGTCTTTGTAGTTTTTTCAAGTTTTCAACAAAGCTTTCCAAGTAATAATTATAATTATTTAGAAAAAAATGTACGCGTAGATTTTCAATCTTTTTGACTTGCCAAAAAAAGTTATAGCACACACACACACACACAAACAAACATTTGTATATTTCTCTCAACTCTTTGAAATTTCTGTGTAATTTGCACTCTGAAAAAAAAAAAAAAAAATAGAGCGCGACGAGATTAGTCGTTCGGCCGACGTCTCTTCGTTGCCGATCGATCGACGTTAATTCACGGCAATTATCCCGAGGGACGCGCAGGATGCGTACGGAAGCGGCGGCATCGTAATTTGCGCGATAATGACACATTTTCGCTCGTGTTTCGCGGTTCAGTGAGCCTTTTGTGTGGAATATCGTGCGGGAGGACAGGAGGGTGAAAGAAAATTCTTCCTCCTCTCCGATTCTGTTCTCGTCGGCATTCGCTCTCGTCGAGACAGATCCTTTCGGTTTCAAGATATATCGCCGGGGCTCTTCCTATCGACCAAACAGAGTTTTATTCATAGAAACGCTACAACGCGCGCATTCCTTACCCAGAAAAAGCCATTCAGTTCTTCCTATTTCCTTATTACGAAATGCGCACCGTCACCGGACACGATCGAATAATGCACTCGCGACGAATTTTGTATTGCGAGCGATTGATACGCCCTTTGTTTCTATCAAATATATTCGTCAAGTGTAATTATTTGAAATAAAATTTGAGCAGAGAAATAATATGTCGAATATAAAAAGCTTTCTCTCTCTCTCTCTCTCTCTCTCTCTTTTTCTCTTTCTATCAAAATACAAAAGCACAAAGGTGTATATTGTAGAACATGATAGTTCGCATTTTTTGTTTCGTTTTTTTTACTCAAAGATTAATAATTTTTCGTAATTTACTTAATCAGAGACTACGTACAATTTTTTTTGTCACGATTAAAGCGAAATACACGATCGTAAAAAAAAATCTTATTTCTTTTCCTTCAAACGGCAACACACACATAAGACGCAGTAGTAACACAGTTAAAAAAAAAACGTGTGTAATTATGTAAACATGAGCTAACGGTGCCGCAATTATCGCACTTTCAACGAGCGACTCTGCTTAGCGCAAGTTCTCGCGCGTCCCGCGTGTGCCGTTAAAAGGAGACTAGACGTGAAAGATCGGAGCATTATCGTTCGTGTAGGCACGGAATCTACTAACGCAGATAATACAGATTGCAAGTCACGATCGGAATGTCACCGCGTATAGATACTTGCGCTTTACGTTGTTGCGACAATGGCGATCGATCGAGTCGCGCCACAATCGCGAAATCGTCGTTACATCTCGTCGTCGTGATGTCTGATAGAAATTTCAAAATATTGTTATCTCAACAACCCACGTTCAAATATATATGGTTTTCAGAAAATTGTTTGGAAAAAGAGCAACACGCATCAGGTTGCACACATGCTATTTCACTTTTCTTCTCACGTAAGAGATTTATGCGACGCACAAAAAAATAGAAATTTTTTCTAAGGTTTTAAATCCCACGTGCCGCACAGCGCATTTTTCTCCGAAACGTTTTTTTTCCCCACAAAGAAAGCACCATCGCTGACAATTGTACAGACTTCCGGAGAGAGAATTTGTTTCAATACACACTGGAGCATTGTGAAGTTATACAATGTGTGTACAACATCCTCGAGAAAGGAGGGACGAGCATATTTTTCTGAAAAAAAAAAAAAAACAAATTTTCACATCAGTTTGAGAAAAAATAAAGCTTTGTTAAATCTGGCTTGTATTTGTTTTTTACTCTTTCTTTTGAAGAGAGTGAGACGCATTTTGAAGAAATACCGCACGCCCTTACACCTTCGTGAGTTCACGTCAGGTAGACGGAGCGCTTCTTTTTAGTTCCTCTCTTATAAAGCAACACGGAAATCCAAGCGATAAAATCAATAGCAGTTGTGAGATCGCCAACTAATCGAGAGAAAGTACACGATTCAGGCACATAAGTATTTTTAGATGTAAAAGCTGTAGTTAAAATAATTATTCTTACGCTGTTATTTTTGTTTCTCAAAATTTTTTTCTTATAGAAATATTAATTTACATACAAAGTGTATATAATTTGATGATATTTTTGATATTAGTTCAAATACAAATTATTAATTAATATAAAAATGTTTTGTTTAAAAGATATTGCGACACCGAACGTGAGTGCGCCTACACTAATATTAATAATTCTGTCACCTGCGAGATTAGTCATGCTTAAAACTTGTCTTCTTAGAACTCTATCTCTTCTCTCTCTCTCTTTCTCTCTTTCAGGTGATTCTACACGCAATAAGATTTCTTTATTGCCACTTCAGTGGCCAGTGTTTTCTAATTCAGGCTGCTTGCTCTCATGCTAAATTTATACGCTTGAGTGGAGAGTCGCGTCGATCACCATCGACGAGTCATAGTTCAATACGAGCGATGTCGAGACACAATTTTAACCTTCCCAAGTGTTTGCGTCACGAAAGTGTACGCTTTGTTCCAAATATCTAGAACTACAAGATGGCGATAACACAGTTCAACACTTTTAAGAGATCTGAATAAACAAAGCGTAAACGTAATTGTGTTGTCAAGTAGTTTTGCTAGACAGAAACGTAGTCGCGCGCTTTAGCATTCTATCACGTAAAATTGATTATATTTCCAATACATATAAATATCATTATAAATATATTATAGATAAAAAACAGCACTTTTACGTGGCATAAATAAAATTGCAAACAAAAAATCTAGTTTTTTTTGTCGGAAAAAAATAATAAATATCACCACAAACGCCAATCCTGACACTTTTTCTCAGAAACAGTGTCCTAACATGATAGGGTTCGTTTTCAGCGACCAAAAATCCATCGGAAAAACTACCTTGTTTATTCAACTCCTTCAAGAAAAGATATATTTTTGTACAACCTTGTGTAATATCTCTTTAGAGAGATTTAGTTTTGTTGCGCGGTTGTACAAAAATAAATCTATATTTGAACGGACTTGAGTAAACAAAGTGTTTACCCCGATGAATTTTTGATTGATTTATATATGCATTTAAAAATACATGTAGTCGCAACTTTCTTTGTTAATTTTTTTTTACACCGACCAAAATGAGAACTCTCGATAAGAAGAACGTTCGCGATGTCCGAGTGCGATTATCATCGACGCGACTTGGGCAGAGACGATTTTTTGTTTCGATACACACCGCCGTCACCCAATTTACACCTTCGCGCGTTTACACATGGCAAAAAAAAAAAAAAAAAAGGACTCTCGAGAGGCCCATTAGGACGGGTCTGAAAATGTTGCTCTTCTTCGCGCTCGGAAACTTTGGGTCCGCGGGTTATTTCGGTGCGCTCTTTTTCTTGCGGTTCGAGAGAGAGTATATGAAGGGCGGTCTCTCGAAGCGTGTTCGTGAGATAACGATTCGTTCTCCCGACGATTGTTAGCCGATGACTTGTCGCCGAACCGACGAAAGAGAACGCAGAGAATATACTGCGCGTATATTTTGAGAACAAACATGTGAGAAAGATAAGATATACAGTGTTTTTTTTTTTGTAATAATAATATTACACGCACAATTTTTTTTTTTGGTACATATAAGAGCACGTGGAAAAGAAAAACGCGCTCTAATTGCGCGACACCGATTGTGCGGTTTAACACAAACACATTTTAAAAAGAGACAAAAGAGATGATCTCACAGACGTGGTCATTTGCAAGACAAAACTATTTTTAATTGGAAGATTATATATCGTTAAGAATTATCTTATTGTCCGTAATTCTCACTTATTTAAAGCGACAATTTATTTATAGACGATAAGATAATCTTATCGGTTAAAAAACATTCGAGAATGCGGCACGAAGAAAAGAGACATTCCGCACTGATAGATTCATCCAATAAACAACTTGCACACGTGTAGATATAGAAATTCCGCAAAATTCCACGATATTCTCCAGGCTGTAACGTGAGATAAAAATCACCGTGAAGTCGGGATCGAACGGGTTTCGCAACGCAGCAGCCAGGCTGCTGCTGCTGCTGCTGCTGCTGCTGCGGGACAAACACACACGCGGGACAGGTCGAAAGCCGCGCGCGTTTAATTCGCCCCGCTGCTACTTCCACGGGCACCTGTCGTCTCCACGACCGGGAGGGCCGTGGAGTAAGAGAGAGAGAGATTCGCGGCCATAACGGCTTGTTGCCATTAATCACGATCGTCGGATGCATCGCGCGCCGTCTTCTCTCGTCGTCAAACCGTGGTGGTTTCTCGCCGTTGACGAGGCGACTATCCGGCGTTCTTGCCGGCGCGTCTCACCGTCATCCATCATCGCTCTGGCGACAGCCGCGTATCAAAAGCCGCCCCGTTTTCGACTCCGCGTGCATAAACGTGCGGAGAAAAGAGAAGAGAGAACGGTCGTCTCTCTATCTCCCGGCCGGTGTCGAAGTCCGCGCGAAGTCACTCAAGACAAAACACGAGAGCCGCCCGTCGTTAGATCTGCGGTTCTCAAATTAAATCCTAAATCTCTTT